AGAAAACCATCACAGAACAACTGTACTTTATTGTTGTTTACTACAATCTATTATCTTATGTATTACTATGTGCTCTAGCTTGAGAAGGGTCTTTTACACAAGAGCTTGAACGGAAAGACAGTTAAACGGTCCATGAATGTATAGTAGCATGGAAATAATAAGTATATAAGATCGCCTTGAAATAAAGTCTCAATTTACACGCAGAGAGTTAATATCCTCCCATTAATGGGCAGGAAACTTTTTTTATGACGAGACTGGACAGAATGTTTATCTTATCTTTTCTGAAAAAATGCTGATCAACAGAAAGATCATATTTTTGCATCAGATATTGTTTCTATTCTATGGCCTTTTTTGACATGTGAACTGGTTTTAAATGAAACCAGGTTGTCCATCCATCTATCATCTAATACGTATTTATGTATACTGACTCGTATATACGTATTTATGCACAATAAGCGCTTTTATGGAGCAGTAACCTAACACCTTGTAATTAAATTAATAAGTGTTCTTTTTTCCAGTATGCTGACTGGTCGTACAATGTATGCCAATTATGCATATCTGCATGTCCAGCGCTGGTAAATGGTTGGATCGTCGATCGCCGTGTACGATTGTGTTAATTTAGGCGTCAGAAGCAGAGTTGTTTTGCTGGAAAGGACGAGGATTCGGATTCGGTTAAGGGCAATGAATCCAAAGATTTCAAGGTGAAAGCAAGAGCACGAGAGTAAAGCGCAACAGCCGCTAACCAGACAACCACCAACGTTCCCCTGCCTCCATAGAGCATCTGACACAGCAGAGTGACGCATTTGCTGGCCTGGCAATAAAAAGGGTCAACGAAACGCAAACTAGAATAGAACTACTAGAACAGGGGAATTCAGGTAACGTGTCATACACGCACCTAGGTATTCAACTAATCCCAAGAACAATTTTCAACCTGTAATGAGAACCCTCAACAGTTTCTAGAAAGTGCATGAAATGACCGAAAATGAGTATTAATAAAATGACTCCATGTATTTCTGTACATCAATGAAGAGGAGAACGCCACCTATAACTCTGATGCCCATTAAATTGACTACGAGGGAGCAAGGTTTGAAGGTCAAATGGATTATTATACCACGATATGTAATGACCACAATATTAATACATTTTGATACAACACATGGTTGTTGTTGGGTGTACAAAAAATTGGATATCATCACCATATTTATGGACCAAACCGAGCTAGTCGTGTTGTTACAAAGCTGGAGTTTGTGATCTAATTTCGGCGTCCCCGAACAAAAAGAGTGCAATGAACTTGACTGACTTTTTAGAGAGAGGGAGAGAGAGAGAACTCCTGCTTAATAGCAAACCTGCCTGCCCCGAAGCTTCCTCATGAAAATGGTCCATTCGAGAACTGCCGACCCCCATGCAACACAATCGCTCCTTGCAACGCGAGCTCTCTAGGGCACATCCACGAAGGAAACGATATCTAAAGTCATCCTCGTAGAGTCGTCGACCTGCGCGTCACTTATCTTTTCGGTTCTTATCCAAGCCAGAAAATCAAGAAACCCATTCTTGCCCTGCTGCACAAAATGGGATGAAATGCGTGGTGAAAGTATGGGTGAAAGTGGCCATTACGCACCCGCTCTCTCATGCATGTATGCAATGCGTGGCGGAAGGGGGGAACACGAGACGCGGGGGGGAGGGGGTGTGGCGGGGTAGTTGAGATGTCGTGGGTGTGGACGTGGTTGGTGGGTGGGCCTGGTGTAAAAAGCGACGCTTTTGTCGCAATACATGGGGCCGTATTGTGTGTCGAGGAGCGGAGGCTGTTTCCCTTCTTTTCCTCCCAACCTTGGCACATCCCATGAAACCCCCAAATTGAGAGAGAGGGTCAACGGTCTCAAACCCTTCATCGCAGCTCCTTTCCCTTTCGATGCCGCCGTGGTGGATTCAATGCCAGCAGGGTAGCCTTGGCTAAGGGCTCCTCACAACAACCAGACACACACACCGGCTATGCGTACGGACGGGGATCTGCATGCATGTTATGATGAGGTGGCTTGACTCGGTATGGTTTTACGTATCCTTACGTACTTGTGTATGTACGTAGTTATGTAGTTGGTGGCGTAACCTTGAACGAGTTTACATAGCTCGACCTTGGTCTACTCATGACGACGGTGCAGGATGAATGACTGGACTGAGTGCATGCATGGAGCGAAAGGGAGAGAGGACTTACCGAGGAAGGGTACATCCTTTGCCTGGCCTTGGCAACTCTGGTGCGTTTCCCTCGTCTGCGTTGGGGGCTGCGGTGCTCTGAATTCACTCATAATGACAAATGGGTCCTTTGATTGTACTCCTCGTTGCTGCTTGTACTCGTGTTGGCAGATTTAGGGTCCAGGCTCCATTGATGGAATGGGGTGATGATCTCGTTAAGGTCCTACTTTCCCTGACAGGTAGGTTACGTAGGCAGGTAGGTAGGTATTTTGTTGTGGTTTGTCCTCCGGTGAGCCTTACTTTTGTATAAAGTGAAAGTGAAAATGCAGTCTTTTGAGTTGACGGAGAGAAAGATTGGTAAGATTGGTTTAATTTCAAAATAATCTCTTTTTTTATAGAAAATAGAAATTTTGGTAGAAAAGTGTGATCGTCAGGTCCAGTCCTGGAGTGAAACTGACTGAACTTGAACTTGAACCGTTTCCCCACTGAACTCCTTTCAGTCAGTTCTTCCACAGCGAGCACCCGAGCTCAGGAGCAGCAATCAGCGTTGCATTGCACCAACCACACTCTCCAAGCCTCACTTTCCCGACAAATGCTTTGCTGCTTTCATACATATCATCATATCGTCGTACGCGTGTCTGCTGCACTCTCCTCCAGCAGAAGAAAGAAGTGTTTAACGACGACGACGACGACGGCTAAATAAACTCCTCGCCAAGCATAAGCGTCTAAACTTAGAGCAGATTATTTACACACAACAACCAAAATACCAGTATGTTCGAGACGAGTAGGAAAACTCGCATTTAGCTGCTTCCTCTTTAACTTGTGATATTCATGATGATGATCTGGAGAAATACGTCCACACGACATGCAGTCTCTCTCATTTACAACAATTTACGCAATTGAAACCCGTATCTGTACAGAACTCTTTTTTTTGTGCGAGGCATGTGTGTCACTATTGCTTCAAGTATTTTAAACTAGCTCCACTTCCAATGAATGACTTACTTATTTTGGTCGTACAAACGTCTACCAAGAAGAACTGACTGGGAAATGGAGAAGATGAGAATTGTGGGATTTATTTCTGCTGAGAAATATGTATAATGAATCTGGAGTGGAAATGCAGAAATTGGCGATATGATACATAAATATGTGTACATGAGTTCCTGAAAATATTCTACGCATGTAAAATTGGACACAAATTACTACTTCTATTACTGCTCAGAGTAAAACGACGCTAATTATAGTTAGTACATGAATAAGGAGTCTTTTTGAAATGAATCGGCCATTGAGTCATTGTGAATTTTTATGCTCGGGTACAAAGTATGCAGCTCAAAGTGGAGTATTACGTTACATCATTCAATCATTTTCATAAGCTACCAATGCATGTGAGTAGGTAGGCACTTGCGACTTGTGCTCGTGTCATATGACTCATGTTATGCATATGTTTTTTTGTCTACGCAATTCTTTCAAGGAACGGATAAATCAATACAACTTATCTTGCATTGTATCATCATCATTTACTTGGAAGCAGGTTGATGTTTGTAAACACGGGCATTATATTTTAATGTGTGTATGTGTGCATGCATATTTTGAGTGAGTGATCAGCAACACAACGCCATATACATATGTACATATATTTAAGCATGTATGTGGTAAATAGTCAGCAAAAATCGCTTCATCATGTATTTTTTTCATAGACGCTACTATTTGTTAATCGTAAATTTTGGGAGATGGGACATTATGCATATAAATTGTCCAAGAACGTTGTTTTTTTAGTTTTGTTAAAGGGAGAAATTCCAAGATATTGACATTAGTATTGGAAAACCGTATGTAACCTAAGAAATCCATTCCATCAGCATCGTTCCTCGATACGCAAAAACCATACATGATGCAATGGACATATTTGCTAATTTTCGAAGAAGGGGGAAGATACATGTTTTTAGGGCGACACCTCCGATTTATACCAGTTCAATGTTGTAATAAAGGAAAGTCTTTGAAATATTTTTTTTAACTCGCATCCGAGTCGATGTATGTACATACTTTGCACTATGCATGAAAATATTTTGTATTTATTTTTAAATCATTCTAGTTTACCCACTCCTAGTAATTTTAATTTTAGATTAAGCATCTATAATTATATCACGATCACACTCTTTTATGAGATTGGTTTTGACATGAGTATCGATGAATAAGTTCAATTTCAAGGTAAACTCGAAGTCCTTGAAATGTTGCGTGGTAAGACTGGTATGTGTATAAGTAATATATTACTTCGTCATTTCAGGTCAACAATGATCTTTGTATCGTAGTAAAATGAAACCTATATGTATGTATACTCAGAAATGTATATATACAATATTTGCTTGGCCTGTCTGTCTCGTAAGTATGTGTGATATATTGCTGGACTATATGTATGCTGTATGCACCATGTCTGCATATGTATTTATATAAAGTATGTAGGATGGAATTCAAGGTGGTACCAATAATGTACAAAAATAGAACGGAAACATGGTTAATACGTAATGTTGCCGTTTGTTACACTGGACTATATAAATACTTGAGGGTAGATTTTTTGAAGGTTGATTTGACAATGGATCAAGGTTATTTTCCATGAAAAAGGTAGAAATGTATGCAAGCAGTAGTTTTAGGACAAGGAAAGGTCAGTCTTTCTATGTTTTATGACCTCAATTGTCCGTTCTCTTCCTTTATTACTCTCTACAAGCTATAACGGTGCATCTCCTTCAGAGGATCTTGAACTTATTTTTATAGATGCCAATGGCATCACCCATAAAAAAATACAGGGAACAACTCCTCATTAACGCGATCGCATGTTCATTTCTATATTATTGTCAAGTGTCTACAGAAAAACATTTAAAACAAAAAGTGAGAGTATAATAAGTTGATCAATAATATGATTACACGGAATTTGAGCAGCATACATAAGTCAGTATTTTTAAAATATTGCTTAAATGATAGCTAAACCCAATTTTTTTGTCTACTTATTGTTAGTAGTAGTGACGGATATACAGGGCTCTGTGATTACAAACTTTTACTTGCATTCATCTCATTTTAGTTGTTGTAGTTGGAACAAAACAAATTGATTTAAAGGTAAAATAAACGTGCACAAATTTGGATCTAACGCCGAGTTTACCAGGTTTTATTTTTAATTAAGATAAATGGAAAACTTGCATTTCTTTCTATGAAAAAATCTTATATAATTTAATATCATACGTATGTAGCTGACGTAATTCAAAGCTGCCAAATCCTAAGATTAGAAATAATAGGTAAACATCACAGCATCAAGATTTCTGTAAAGTTTAAAACGTAGAGCGGTGGTTTTATTACTCGGTTTCGTGAGACATACAAAAGTTCGAAAATGGACATTAATACGTTCACACACAGCTAAAGATCTATTTAATTGAAACGTTTAAGGTCACTTTTTTGCAAAGCTAATACTCCCACAATTGGACCATAGGCCTGGAGTAAGCACTATGACTTATCATCAAACTGCTTAGAGTTATCTGATCTAGAATCGTCGTCTGTTTCCTTATTTACAGGTATATCTTTTAATGTATTATTGAACGGATGGTTCGAGTTGCGTAGTACAGTATAGACATTTTCGACAGAACTCAGCCTTTCGAAAAATGGGATGAGGTATAGTAATTCGGTGTCTGAAAATAATCAAATATCGTACGATCAAGTAAAAATACTAAGCATTAATCATTAGCATTATTCGTTAATTATGTAATACATTTGGTACCTGAACTATCGTCAAACCAACTTGCCACAGGGACTGCGTTATCCGGGTGAAATATATAACTTGCTGGCGAATTATCCACAATTATTACCCGTTGTAAACTTCTTCCTAATTTGTTCAAATCCTAAACAAGAATATGAAAATAACATATTAGAGAAATTGCATCATGAGTGAGAAGAAGCAGCAATACATACTAGCTGAACCAATAACATGGATAGATTTTTTGTTAATTACCTTAACATAATTACCACGATGAAACACACACGCGTCACGAAATAATCTGGATCGAAACACTCCCCATTTATCGAGAAGGTCAGCTACGGGATCTGCGTATTTTGCCAAGGATGCTGGACACAAACATAGAACAATTTTTAACCAAGGCCTTCACAGACAATCAAAACAAATTAAAACTAGAACGGTAGAACTAACTAGTACTAACTATACAACTACTTAATTGTACAATTGTAATAATACCTACCGGTAAAGAGGATGCATTCATAAAGCTGTCCCATCTTTTGTAAAAACTCGTCGACGTAGGGCCTCTTTGCCACATACACTTGGTGTATTACACCGTCTATTTCGACATCTGCAATTAATTATTAATAAAGCCATCAAGTTCATCATCTTATTATAATATTGATGTACACTCAACACTGTATTGTTTTTGTTATTGAGGCTTACCGACAATAAAATCTGCGTTACCAATGGGCTAAAAGATAAATCGAAAGCATACTGTGAGTATTTAGTTGGTTACATATTTATGTGACTTGAACAAAATACCTTAAAACTAGAATGAACGAGAGTTTCATCTAAATCGATGACCATACACGGTTTGGTTAGGTCATCCAGATGCAACTGCGGAAGAAGGTAACCCCCTGTAAGAATTGACACAAATAAATTGTATGTAAGCGCGAGTTTTTAAAATGTTCAACATATAAAGTTTATGTCATAAATTAATCAAATCATTTTTGTAACATCATTGTAAATTATGTGCTATAGAAATTAAATAATATTAACAATTGCTTAAATTTGTGCAATGTTGCACTCGCTGGTAAATTAAGTTGAGATGGGACAAATAGCCTTTTTTGATTTGCAGACTCAAAATAGAGATCGTGCCAAACCTGAACTTAAAATTCGTTGCATATATATATGCATATTGTTTGTACATACAAATAAATAGCAACCGTAGTAGCAATGCTATATATACTACTATTTTTGTATCCTTGATCTATATAAGTTATGCGCCAGATAAGTATGTACTGATATGATCTAGTTTACGTTTGGAGGCATGATAAAAACCAAAGAGAGGATAACCGTTGAGCCAATTTCTGATTGCCAAATCCTGTATCCAAGTCTGTATGTCTGGGTAGGATCACAAGTAAAAGAGGACAACAATATTGTGATACTAACGGCGTATGCATATATACATATCTATGTATGTACGATGCGGGTTTGTAAAAAGAATTATTTTACAGACAGTCAACTAGTAAAGAACGGGGAACGATTACGACACACGGGAGCAAATTACTGTGGCGCCGAAGGAGAGATGCATATAAAAAGAATGCTTTTAGCATCCAACTCCACTGAACGAGATGTTGGCTTGGTCCAAATCATCTTCCAAATCCAAACAGCTTTGCTTAATGACTTTATTTTATTATTATGCATTATGTTGTATTCTTAAAAAGGGAAGGAACCCAGCATCATCACATGCATAAAGTCTACGCTACCGTAAAAAATGTAATACTTTCTCTCCAAATTTGTAATCAATTACACGATTAATCTCTTCACCATGTTTACCTTTACCATGAACTGAATGCTGCTGCTACACGGCTGCGATTTGCCAATCTCTTTCATTCATGAAGAATCAAGATTATCTTTTGTTATGAAATCAAATCACCTTAACATTTTTATGATTGTGTGAATTGGAGGGCCAAACCAGAGTCCAGTAACATACCAACTGAAATCCGAAACCTGCCATTCTACTCCCACTTGAATTCTATTAATCAAATCACTACACTGCCCTATTGCCCACATGTGTTATGCATTCACTAAAATCTATTTATAATTCAGAACAATTGATGCTGCAAAGAAAAGGCTAAAATATATGCTGCGTATGAAAGTGTGGATGTTGATTGTTGATTATCTACATACTATAAAATACGGTGTGTTATTATTATTGTCGTGTCAGGTGGGTTACCTGGTGGAGGACTATGTTGAAGGATGGTGTCCGTGTGATTGGAAGAGGAAGACTGATTGTCACCAACGGCCCCATTATTATACAAAGTGGGGACGGCTAACTGTCGTGAATTGTGGTCATTATCGTGATCACCATCTGCGCCACCATTCAAAACTGCGCCACAACGTTCACTCCGCCGTCGAGTTCTCCCACAGCACCAACATTTGAAAAGCTTTGTGAAGAAATTGGACTTGGTTGGGGTGGCCTTTGGTGGGGGGCTGTTGGATTCCTGTCCTGGGGGGCCCTGTTCCTTATTGTTGGCAGTGGTGTTATTGCCAGGTTCGGAGGAGGAGGAAGATGAGGTGGAGGGAGGGAGAGGAGAGTTAAACCTGCGTCTGAGGAGCGAGGCCTTATTGTTCCCGTTGGTTTGGTCCGCCGACTCCTTCGTCACCTGGGTTATCACCGATTCCATATTCTGCTCGATCGGAACAAGTATAACTGGCCAGAGGATATGTGGAGCTTCACTACATTTTGCAACTTTCAAACGCTAACTATGACACCCACTAAAATTATTATTACACATTCTTCGTTACAAAATGGCGGATCACCTTTTACTATATCAGTCTGCACAGAGCAGAGTGAGTGAAACAGAATGATAGAAATCCATTCCACAACAAACACATTTACGAGATCCTTTCAAATGAGATTTTATTAGTATAATGTGGTACAAGCATCGGAAGGATAGATGTCACTTATGTATTTTGATTTTACATGCGACTTGAGAGTTTGTTATTTTATCGCTTATTTTTTTACTATTGGTACCCTAACGATTTGTAAAGTAAATGACCCTTTTGTAGCCAAGTAATGGTGAAATTGAGAAAGACCTCCGTATTATCCAAAGGGGAGTCGGGCTCTCGAAATAAAACTCCCATCAGTCCCATCGTGGTAAATTTATCTTGATCCGACCAAGCACATTGAGCTTGTAGTTGTTTGCAGACTCCGGACCGAATTTCTTGTAATTGAATAAGCTCTTCATTATTTAATTTGTTTTTAAGAAGCAGTACATTTTGTTGTCCTACAAGTTCTAATAAACATTTTGTTAAATGAAGAGTGAAATCATTCAAGCTATCTGCGAAAACATACACAATAGCTTTCACGTTTTCACAAATCTTCATGACCTTCACGACTGTGCGTAAATTGAGTGGAATTGATTCGTTTGAGAAACCAGGAATTTCAATTATTGTGTAATTTAATCCTTCCATGGTAAGTGTGGCTGCAAGTGGATGAGATTCTTCGTCCTGTTCCCAACCACATGAGACTGGGAATCGTGTGGAAGATTTGTAATGTTGAAAAATCTGATTGCATACATGACTTTTACCGACGCGACGATTCCCAATAAAAACTACTGCATTTTGAAAAGATTTTGACTTTTGACATGAGATAGTAGTGGTGGTGAGATTTGCTGATGAGATGGACATAGTTTGAGGGGTCTTGGGACAAATGAGGTCCAATGATGAGCTTTCAATGTCATATCGTGGCATTTTAGCTGGGCTACTTTGAAAATGCATACAATACAAAATATACAACGTATATTCATAGCAAGTATGCACGCACATACAATTCTTTAGAAAGAAGGTTGTCACCCCACACACGACACAATCGATGAAAATAAAATAAGGCCTAAAGATAGTGGAGGGTACTTAAAATGAAAATTTATGATTTGATTTGTGTGGGGAAGATGGTTAAGCTAGACATACTTGTATCACTGTTTGTTCTGAAACTGGTTTCATTTCTTCTTGACGCAAAGCCGCCTCCGCTAATAGATTGAGAGGGCTTTTGAAGGGGCAGCCACCATACTCCACCTCCACGTTGGTATTTTTCTGCAAAAATGCAGATACCACTGACGGAATTGATTGGGATGTAGTCATTTCATTTTCATTTCGCCTAAATTCTTCTTCTTTTAAAATAATTTTTGCATCGTCATTTGATAACTTATGGTGCGTTGTGAGATGTCCCATAAAACCGGTTATAGATGCAAAGCCAAGATGTTGGAGGCAGTCAAGTTTTTTACATTTATATATTTTTGGAGAAGGGACATGAGGGACGATTTCATGATCTGCAATACCAGGTGGGAGGGGTGGGAAATATTGTGCTTCATGGTTTAAATATTTTGCACACTTTCCATGCCACTTTAAAAATTCCTCCGGTCGTTCTTGTTTAAAAGCCTCCAGATTTTACACCCACTCGCTTCTACAAGATCGTGACAGCAGGTCCAAAGATGAAAAGGACGAAGTCATCTGGAAGCGATAATTTAAAGTACATACCTACGCCTTAAAAAGTGTTATGAAATCATGACTGACCAGAGTATATACATAATTCTGCAGTAATAACTGCATCAGTGGTCGCGGAAGCGTCGGGACAGAGGGACAATGTCCCCACAGTTATTCGATGTCCCCATCATCTGCCCATGCTATATAAACCCCTTCCTCCCTATCCTATATGGCCCCACTGGAGGCAGGCAGGATGTTGTGCTAACGCCCACCTATTCTTGATTAGCAGAGATAAATCCAAAATGCAATGTCAATATCAACAACATCTTTGTCAATCAGTGTCACAGCAGTTTGTGCCATTGAATTTACAAAGGAAATTTACTTGTAGCCACTAGCAGAGCAATTAAGGTATACAAAGTTGAGTATATATGTAAGTAATAATGAAATTAGTAGGCGTTTTTATGGAGTGCGTAAGTTAATGGTGATGGAGAATCTGAATAGCTCTTGTACTCTTGAGAAAAACGAAAAATAGATTTGTATTAATAATTAGACACGTACTTCAATATGTCAAAATTGATGCGAAGTGTGATGTGAAGTGCGATATTAACTTAAAACATCAAAGAGTAAAAAAATCTACTGTTTCATTTCATGTAAAAGTAAGGAGGCTGAGATAAAACGAATAAACAAGGAATTAGCCAATATCCGGAGCAAGTTCAAGGGAGATAAGACATTGGAGGGGTATAAAAAAAAGAAATATGTGTGCAAGTTGCTCTTCATCTTATTACTCGGTCATGATATCGACTGGCTACATGGAAGCTGTCAACCTTCTTTCCTACAATAAGTATACGGAGAAACAAATTATATCTTGATTAATATTGATCCATGAGAATTCTTTAACTTTGGGTCGGATCAAATTTAATTGCTTGATAGATTGTTCTTGGTCCAGGAATACTTGTTTATTTCTGAATTGGTTAATACAAACAGCGACTTGATACGTCTAATCATGCATCAAGAATGACCTGACTGCGCGAAACCCTGTGCATGTTAACCTAACTTTACAATGTATTGCTAATATTGGAAGTAGTGAGACGACTTTTTAGAATTCACCCCGATAATACCCAGTGGCGAGTGGACAAGTTCGTATAAATTACCGATAAATACATACTACATACATTGTAATTGATCTTAAAATTTGTTTCTAACATGGGCGCATTGAACCTAATTCTGCTTCAGCATTCAAATTTACGAATGATTCTTCTGCTCAACGACCAACACAAGGGCGTCGTCACTGCGGCTTCCTCCTTAATCGAAGCACTTGTCAAACGCTCTCGGGGCGAGTCAAGGGTTGCATTCTCTTGCCGTTTCTCGACATAGCCGAGTAATTAACACAATAATAGGATTCTGGTAATGACAAAATGGGTGAAAAATGTGAAAGTACCTCAACCCAATCTCCTTGTCCGAGCATGTAACCAACTTGGCCAATTCCTAACCCATGGAGAAACTAATTTAAGATATTTGGCATTAGAATCCTGTGCTTGTTGGCTACATTAGAATTTTCCCATGAAGCTGTTATGTCCCCACATGTCCCCACTGTTTCCGCGGCCACTGACTGCCATTACGATTTAGTAATTTTGTCGAAATGAAAAAATTACTACTCAAAAACAAACTACTACTAATCAGGTAGGAAGATATTACCGAATAAATGCCAGTACAGAGTATACATGTACATAATTTTACCAGATTTTTAAGAATTGCTTACCGTTTTGTATAGGGGAGGCAAACTTATTTCACGGGACTAAAACGTAATTTAGTTTTCGTCATTCAGATAAATAATAATCAATAAAATATAAAACTAAAAACGTTGAAACAATAAAATTGTATTGCTCAAAACCCCATATGAATGTTAACCAAGTGCGAAGAGAAATTCCGCCACACATTTTATTGTTTACATGTGCAAAATTTCATCCATCCTTCGTCGTCTCAAATAAAACATTTTTTAAAATGTGGTCGGTTTACGGTGTGTACTGGGCTGACCCCACTGGGCAAATTACCAGTTTATACATTGGTAAGCATGCACACACATAAACTCATAGACATAGATTAGATAATAATTACCTAGTTAATTGGCAATGCATATTAAGAGTAAAAGTTGACATTAAACGCTTTATTTTAAGTAAACAGCAGTGATACCAGGTAGATAAATAAATGTAGTCCATGTAAAAAACGTGTCGTCGTAGCAAGGAGAATCGCCACCCAGGAACATTTTAGAAATAAAGCGATCCTTGTTAACTGCCTTAGTCTTTTTCTTCCCTTTCCCAGCAGGAGGTACTTGTGCCCACATTTCCTTCACATTTTCAAGAACCATGTTACAATGACGGTCAAATGCTTTGACACGCCCCATCAACTTTTTATTGTTGATGAGGACCTGTGTATTATTGCTCTTAACAGAATGTGTCAGGATGGAAAGTGGATAATCTCGTCTTTAGATATAAAAGTTTGATTTGAATGAGGATTAACCGAACTGACTAATTTTAAGTCGTCAACAAAATTTAGCAAGTTTGCATATGTACAACTATTTTTATGACATTTATTTAGGATACACCTCTGCTGATCTGCTCGCTGCTTCCTCAGCGCGCACGGGATGCAGCGACCTCAAAACGTTGCCAGATCACGGATTCCGATGTTATCGAAGATTTCCGTTTTTGATTTGCTTATGCCCTGATCGAGACTATGCAATGAGAATCAAGGTAATATATCTCGCTTTGACGGAATAACTTTGTTTCATTGATTTCATTATGCTTTGTTTGATCCCAGTGTATGGTATCCATGATTTTGGTCAGTCAAAAGGTGATGAGTGGCTAACTTAGAAAATGGATTATGCAATGGTGGCAGAAATGATAAGGATGGTGTGTCGATACGTAATATTGACACTTATGATTAGAAAGGAATAGACAGAATGAATTTATTAATATAAATTAATGAATTTAATATAAATTAATGAATTTATCAACTTTTGCTTATTAGTCGTGCAAGCCTGGGCGAATTTTATCCAACAGTTGTATTGGTGGTAATTTTACTCAACTTTTTTTTACAGTGTACATAAATACATGCATAAATCTATGAGTAATTTAACAGTTTTTTTTTCAGTGGTGGTTCCGATACTTCACAAAATCTGCAGTTACATTCAAACCACACCGATACGTATTCAGCTTCGATGTCCAGGAGACGCAATTATTAAACCAACTGCTGTACACTCACCCAAATCTGGTAGGGTTAATTTGGGAGGATGGAGGATGGTCTGTAGCAAGGGTCGTGGAGGAATGGATGACTTGGTTTGCGAATGTCCTTCCCCCACTGCCTGGACCCCCACCCGGACCACCCGGACCACCCCCACCACCTCCCCCGCCGCCACCACCAGCAGCAGCCGTTGTAAATGGTTAAGCTCTCAACCTGTCGAGTTAAAATATTCTTTCTGTAATTATTTCAAACTACATATAATTATAAAAATACTAGTACTATCCAGTTTTGTCCAAATTATTATTAACCAACCAACTTTAATTGTTCAGTTAAAATTAAGTGTGTCATTATATAAATCACGTCGCCAAGATGACGATGCACTCATCCATTCAAGGGAAACTTATCGCCGTAATTGGCGACGAGGGTGTTGGATTTCTGTTAGGTGGAATCGGTGAAATTAATAAGAATCGGCAGCCCAACTTTATGGTGGTGGATAAGAACACAAGTGTATCTGAGATTGAAGAAACTTTCGAAAAATTTGTTAAGAACTTATCCTATTTATTCGTTCATCGTGCCGAAATTATTCCTCCAAGAAACATTCCAATTCAACCTGGGAATTAGTCTGATTATTTTTCGTCAGTTAAAAAATTTAATGTTTACGTATTTTTAAAAAAAACTGGGTATAAATATGTAAGTAATGGATAACTTGTCATCTTGACCTTATGTTAGGCAAATATCGCGTGAAATATGTATCTTTTTCTGGTAGAAGTTTAGCACGGAATTAGAAAATGTATAGTTTAGTTAGTTAGTTAAATAATCAACTTTATGTGGTTTGGTTTAAATAATTATGCAAATTTAAGGAATAATATGCAAATTATTATCAACTTTAGATAAGATATACATACATAGATTTGACATTAATACATATTTAGTTATTTATGCGACATTTACACACAATCCTGTTGTTACGAAAGTTTAGTAAAGTCTGATCAATCGTCTCACATTCTCCTCCAAAGTCTCAAATTCATTGTTTAACATATCTGCGTCTCATGTTACCTCGTCGTCTCACGTTGCCTCCTCGTCTCACGTTACCTCGTCATCTCACGTTGCCTCGCTTTTTCAGAAGTCGATAGGGAAGTACCGGACGGCAGGTGCCAGCAGCATAGTTATAGCCAGCAGCTGGCAATAACTAAAATACTTACAAGTGTGTAGTACTATAGTTGTAAAATGAAGGTGATTGAGGTGATGGCAGAGTGAAATTGTTCCATCCATTCATTCATCAGAGTATTTGTCATCCATCGTCACTCTGCAGTCGTTTACTTTTTCGTGTCGGAAATGTTTGCCAATTTGAAGAAAAAGATTGAATTAGAAGTGGGTGACTTGTCCCGTTTGACGCCTAGTCTTCGAAACTCTGAGAAACTGACCCCTCTGAGCTCTCGACACAATTCCGTGTCCAGTTTAACGTCCGAAACGTCAACGTCCTATACGAATAAGTTGAGCAGTCCGACGACCAACCCTCCCTTTGACCAAGCACAGCACTACGGCAAGCATCACGAGGGGGCGTCAAACAATAATGGGGGGACCAGCAAGTTGGACAACAGTATACAACAAAATAAGGTTAAGAGACAGTACGAAGAAAAGATACAAACTTTAGAGCTGGACTTGGCTTGGCGATTGAGTTCAAAAGATGAAGAAATTACAAAACTAAAGAAGCAATTGGAGCATGCCAACACCCTTCTTCATTCAAAAGAGTATTACAATTTTGCTGTTCGTAATTTATAACATGAAACGCGGGCATTAAGAATTAATAATTCTGTTTGCATTTCAGGTTTGAAACTCATCAGAAATTGGTACGTGTTCAGGAGGACATGGATAGTTTAGAAGGGTACTCACAGCAAGAGACTGCTAAAATAAAACACCTCCTCTTAAATCGTGAAGAAGAATTGAGTGTAATTGATTCATATCATAGATAGCTAGGTTATTTAATTAATTAATTAAGGAGGAGGAGGCACTCTCCTTACGTGAAATGCCCCGCCATGATATTCGCCCCAATTTTTGATATGTTGTACATCTCGACGTACTGAACAAAAAATGTATTGGTCCCTAAGCCCTAAGTGACCTGGTTCGACCGGAAACTGAGGTCAAAGGTCAGTGCACTTTTTCGCTCGAACCCCACAAACCGTATATTTTTGGAAAGCTCCGGACTTCGTGAGTCCGAATATACATCATAATAGGGTCTAAGGTCATCCCTTGACCTTTAACCAAAGTACATTTCTGATAGGATTGCAGGACCTCGTAAGGTCAAGGGTTGACCTTAGACCCTATTATGATGTATATTCGGACTCACGAAGTCCGTAGCTTTCCAAAAATATACGGTTTGTGGGGTTTCGAGCGAAAAAGTGCACTGACCTTTGACCTCAGTTTCCGGTCGAACCAGGTCACTTAGGGCTTAGGGACCAATAAATTTTTTGTTCAGTACGTCGAGATGTACAACATATCAAAAATTGGGGCGAATATCACGGCGGGGCATTTCACGTAAGGAGAGTGCCTCCTCCTTTACGCCTGCTCCTGATATCAGTTTGATATTGTTATTACATATGTATAGTCCATCAAAGAATTTAAACTCTTTATGGACTGAGCATTGTGCGTCATTCTGCAATTGATTAAAGAGGTTGTAATTGTAATTTTTTGTTTAGGAACTCAGAGCTGCTGTGATGTTCAAGGACTCAAGACTTGCAGAGTTCGAGAGCCAACTTAAGGGCATTTCTTCTGAAAATGACCGGTTGGAAAAAAATTGGGATGAAGTTGTAAGTAGGCAATCTATTCAAAAACAACAGCAACAACACTGTATCAGTGACGAAGAACAGTCTAGGTTGCTGGTGCTGCAACAACTACAGGAGAAAGTACAACTATTAGAAACAGCTAAAACTGAATTGGAAGCATCACTCCAGTCCAAACAAGAAGCTAGTGATAAATTATTATCTGATTTAGTCAACACTCGTCAAACGGCGGATTTGTCAGCGGAAAACCTACGAAAAGAAAACTCTTTAGTTTTAAAAGAGTTGAAAGATCTTCAAGTCAAACTCAACAAAGTTACCCAAGATAAAGACGAGTCCATCTCTAACTTGCAGTCCGAGTCAAAAAAATTCCAGGAAGCCTTGTCTACCGCACAGCTAGAATTAAAAAAAATTGAACAAGCTAAAACATTAATGGAATCGGAATTAAAAAGCACACATGCTAGACTTGACCAATTTCAGAAGGATAATAATTCGCTACAGGCAGAACTAGATTTGCATACTTCTGAGCAACAAGGACTAGGACATCAGTTGCAAGAGAAGGATTCAATTCTCAGCGAATTACAGCAGCATATTTCCCAATTGAAGGAAAGTGTTACAAGCCATGAAAACGAGAAACTCGGTCTTTCGAGTCAGTTGAGCGATTTACATACAACATTAACCACCAAGAACACAGAATTACAACTCGTGCAAGATAAAGTTTATGTTTTGGAAAACAAAATAGTAGAAATGGATCTTCGAGATAAGAGTTCAGAATCTGAAAACATACAAAGACTGAACGAAGATGTCCAGCAGAAGGAACACATAATATTGCAGTTGAAAGCTCAAGTTGAAGATATGGACAAAAAGAGTGGTGATTTACTCGATGAAATTGCTAAAGCCCAAGCAAAATATAACGTAATTCAACAAGATTGTGACAAAAATAACTTGATGATGAAGAGTTTGGAGGATAAATTAGAAACCAAAGTGCAGGAAGTTTCTCAGCTCGAAACTAGATTACAAGCTTTAGAAACCACAGAAAGAGAAAACGGATTGTTAACTCGACAAATATCAGAAATTCAAGCAAAATATGACACCATGCAAGGGGAGTATGACACAAATAATTCCAAAGATAAGGAAAACTTTGCAAATTTATCATCCGAATTGACGAGATATAAAGAATTGGTGCATCAGAATGAGAGCATAAAAACTTCTCTTCAATCCCAGTTGACGGGGATGCAGGAAAGGGTTTCTCAACTTGAGCTTGACAAAAATACTTTGCATGCGGAAATCAAAGCACACGTGTCTCAGCAATCTGGATTCGACAATACTCTCAAAGAACGGGATGCAATTGCAAGCGATTTGCGACTTCGGTTGACCGAATTAACAGAAAACATTCATAACCAAGAAAATATAGTTTCAACAATGAACAATGAACTCGATGGTTTGAAATCCGAGCTGCAAAAGAAACAAGATCAATTACAACTCTCGGAAGAAAATTCGTCTCGTTTACAGTCTAAACTGACAGAGAAAATCATGGAGGATGCGAGTATATCATCTGAAGCAATAAAACGGTTGGAAATAGAACTCGAAGAGAAAAATGACACTATTGCAAATTTTCAATCACAAGTTGATGAAATGGCTACCTTTGAAATCGAGAACAGTGAGTTGGTGCTTCAAATCTCTGAAATGCAATCAAAGTGTGACGAGTTGGAAGAAGAAAACAACTTCTTGAAAAATTCTGCTCAGCAAGGCGATGATGATGCATTAAAACGAAAAATTTCTGATTTAGAAGGAGATTTGCTAGACAAAACACAGGTGCGTTAATATATGTAGTACGCAAACATAGTGTACGATGAAATTTAATACACATTTTGAATCCCCTTACACTTGTAGATGTTGAAGCAACAATCGTTACAACTTCAAGACCTAAGGAGGTCACTAGGTTAGCTCATAATACTCCATAATTTCCTCGTAACATCTAATACAAAAGTAATTTTATTAACAATTTCAGCCAAAGAAATCAACAAAAACCAATCCCTCTCAGAATCTGCCTCTCCAATGGAAATGGCATCATCATTCCAGTGCAATGGAGCTGCAGCTTCTGCTACGAGTCAATTAATATTGTCTTCGTCGTCATCCTCAGGGACATCAACACAACCGCCAACCCTTCCTCCTCAGGAGACGGATGTAAATTTCATGTATCTTCGGTCAGTACCTTCTTCTCTATTACTATGTAACTTTGCATTTCAAAAAAATCCTGGCATAAATAAAAAATTGATTTATACATACTATTGTACCTAATAATTTGTTGACCTCTGTTTGTTGTTGCAGGTCAGTTCTCTTTAAATATCTCACTACAACGGATGCCCAAGTTACACAACAATTGACTAGAGTTGTGGCCACCCTACTTCATTTGAATGAAGAGGAGTCACACTTACTGAGTCAGGCCACCGAATCCAGGAAAGGTTTCCTCCATGTACTCGGCAAGAGCTGAGCTTATAAACATTCCAATCACTTAATTAAGAAACACATTACGTAGTGATTAAGATATTTATTGACATATACATCCATATTTCCGAGTGCAAGTCAGATAACATACAAAAATATAAATTACATTATATATATATATATGAGTGCAATTTTATGACAGCAGAAATTCCTTGCCGTCCCGCAACCAGTTTGCAAACTTGTGGGTTTGGCCTTAAATTTTATTAACAAGTGAATAAAAAAATGCAGAAAGTAAAAGTAAGTGTGTACTTATATATGCAAACGGGTGCATTTTATTTCTTTTGCGATTGGTAAATCAATGATAATCCAAATTCGTATATCTGTATAACCGTCACCACGAGTGGGTGTATATGGATGAACTTTATTTTCGTCTCAATTTGTCTGTATTCAGTTTAACGACTATAAATAATGGGAGGTATAAATATTTTCTCTTATCTGCGGTTGGCGAGTTTCTAAACGTGACTGCTCCTGGCTATTTAATGTCAATCTGCAAAAACAAAAGAAGATGGTATAACTCAAACAAATTCATTTATTATAGCTCTTTGTTTGAAATCTGTCAATGAAAGAATCCCTACTCGTTAAGGTTCCTAGTAGAATGTAAAAGTGACGATTGGCGATGATGATAAGCACCAGATGAACTTATTCGAGATTGCATTCCCCCAGATGTTGTTGCTGATGATGAGGAAACCGCAGTTGGAACGGGGTGAGACCGTCTAGAACTATTACTTTTGCTCCCGTCGCCCAAATCTAAATCCAGTATATCATCTGCCAGTCGGAATTGGTCTGAAGCCGTCAATGAAGTCGTATGAAGTGCAATATCTGGCATTTTCCCACTTAAATGCTCGAAAGGTCCCTTTTGACTCTCCAAAGCACTGGGTTCTGAAGGAACTGATTTTGACAATGACGAGTCACCCCCTCCACTCGCTCCAAACGAACAAGATTCGTCGTTCGGGGCTGGGTTATTGGTCTGATTAGGATTTTCTAGCATCTTGAAGAATTCAAACGAGTTTTATTATTACTATTGTTATCATTGTCAAATGACATATAATTTATTAATTGTACCTCTGCGACATAGTCTGGAAATCCGAATTCTCTGACTACTCTCAATCGCAAGTATTTAGTTGCTCGTTCACGGGAAACTAAGTTAAAACTTCTATGATGCGACTGAAGTTTCTTTAGTCTGTACAACATTGAAGAAAGGGTCTCGACGTCGACCACTATAACAAATATATAGTTTTTGATATTTTTCTTTTTACTAAATTAGATTAAATTAAATAGAAACAACATACCAATATCACCGGGTTTAAGGGGTTCATTTCCACGTGAATAATAATTAGAATTGTGCAAGCCTAGCTGATTTGATTGTTGCGATGAACAGCCTTCCACTGCTGTGCTCCCATCCTCGATCATATAGAGCGTGTCTAGAATTTAATTACGTTGTCAATATTACGGTCACCCGTGCTCATATAAAATCATAAGTTATCAGATCACAAGTATACGTATCTTGTACCTGGTATGATGGACCGTAGTGTTCTTCTCCCTGTAGCCGTAAGGTTGTGATCACTAACTGCACTTAATCCCACTCCAGTACAACTGACTGTCGTTGCTCGTTGTCTTAATGATGATTTTGCCTCTATTATAATATCAGAATATATTAGTTATATACTATTTTTACTGATATTCAGCAACTAAGCTAAAACTAATGCCGGTGGATTAGAAAGTTCTGGAAACAATAAGTTCCACTACTTCATGAAATATGTAGCATACCTTCATAAAATGGAGTGTAAAGTCGTGGACGCACATAACCTGGACTAGAATTTATCCAGGGATTCGTCTTTTCTTCGGTTATCATATGACTAGGAGGTATTGAGACCTGTAGGTCCATTTTTATTTTAGACCAATTATTTGATACATGATGGACCAACAATAACATAAATTTGACGTACCAATCCGCGCCGAACTGCTGCGATTAGGACTTCGTGATTAAGTAATATGTGATCCGTTCTCACTAATCTATAATCAACAAATGATGACAATAATGACAATCTTGAACAAATAACAATATTTTTTAAATGCAATTTCACACAAACCGTAAGAGATCAATTATAATTTCACGAAGTTCAACATCGTTGAGGTCACGTCGCTTGATTCCTTTCCTACTCACGCTATCTCTGGTTGTGGTTAGTAGATTTGGTTCTTTTAAATGAAAATATATTTTAATATTTCTTTTTAAATACTAATCAGAGTCCTCAAAAATTGCGATATAAAAACTGAGTTAAACCTTGACTTTTACCTCTGTCTTCAATGCGTTTCATAAGTTGGTGTTCTCCCCATCGCAAAATACTTTGTAAAATATCCACCTCGGAAGCCTGTAAATCCGAAAAGACCATCGTCAAGACCATCAACCATCATCATCCTTATTTCTTTCTATTTATTAGAAATAACAATAAATAAATAAATATTACCTGTAAAAAGTCTGGAATTAAAAGGATATATCAAGTTTATTCTATAATTCTATTCATTTTCATCCACTCTGTTATATTATTTTATTAATAATAACTTATTATTAAAATAAACAAACAAACTCACCAGACTGTACCATCTCCACTAAAACTATTTTCTCCAACTCTAAGAATCCAGAGGTTGCCACGAAATTTATAAATTCCTCTCGCAGGAACATCATGGCTTGTCTCCGAACCCAACTGGAACCATATGATTGAGACGCCCACCGTAATACTGATGGCAGCTGGAAACATTTAAAAAATGATTATAAAATAAAATATATGTATTATCATTATTCATACAAAACTCACAGATTCGTATGTCAATTGCTCTACAATTATATCTTCCGCAGCTTGACTGAGTTGGTCAAATTCCAGAAATTTACCTTGAATCATATGAGCCATACATTTATTTAGAATTCACGTATACTAACAGATTTACACAAGATATGCAACAAACCAATTTGGTAGAGTTCCATAGCTTCCTCGAATCCTAAAATTATTCCAATAAACTATATTATTGCTTGGTCAAATTTTGACAGTTTTATCTGTCTAATAAGGGTAGCCACTCGTTAATTATTTTTTTTGCCTTACCAGCGGGATTGAGCCGTCCAGTAAAAGTTAACGCTTCTACTTCCGTTAATCCTTTAAAATTAGCAAGAAAGGTCATATCAAATCAAAAGTATACCTTAGTGTCTCAAAAACTAAAGTCAACAAATGGTACAGCTGTTATGAGTTTGATAAAGACTTACCTGAGCGGGCAGGATCAATTAAATTTAGGTCGATACGATCAGTGTACATACAATGCAATATAACCTGAAAACATGAAAGCCTAGTATAGTTTCATGTTTTTTTACAGGAAGAAAAACAATCCATATAGATAGTTAGGTAGTTATAGTCAAAATGTTTAACTCACGCGAGTGTATCTTTTTGGAATTACTGTTTCGTCTAGTACAAGATTTTTGGAGTTTCCTCGACGTTGAAACAAGGACCTAAATGAAAGAAACCTCACCAATCATTAAACAGCTCAAACTTCTACATAGATAAATATGTTGCAGTTTTGTTTTACCTAAAAAACGCCGACCGGGCAGCTAAGACTGCTTTATGGCATGGAATGTGCTCATCTCCCACTACTAAAACAACGTCCGAGTATTTTGCTGTCTGAAGTAGTTCGCGGAGGTCAACCTATTAAAAAACGACGCCAATGAATAAAAGCTACAACGTACATGGTACATGACCATAAAAGAATAATCAAATATAACGCAAATATATAATATGCTAGCATACTTCGAGACTTCGAGATCTTCCATTGTGCCCAAAAATTGTATCCGCAAAGTTGTCCAACTCTGCACTTGATTCTTCTGTGTACAGGTATCTAATAAAACTAGAAAAGGTAGGAATATCTACGGGGTCTTCGATGTTGACATTCACAATTCCGTTTTGGTGGTGCAATAGAGATCGAAAATATTTTGATCGTTGCATAAGTATGGCACTAAATTAAAGTTAGAGTGGATTAAATATAAGATCCACGCACATAAGATCCAACCCAGCCTAAAAAAACTTTATATCTTACCGATGCGCAGGAAATATGGCTGGAGTTAAGTATAAGTTTACATCGGAGTTCCATTTGAAATCTAAAATTGGAACGTTAAGGTTATTAAAGAATATGGATATGCAAATATATTCGTGTCCTACCCAATAGATCTGCTAAATCCGAGCGAATTGTTTGAATTCTTGGCCGAGCTGATTCAGATTGGATGTACAGTTCCTTCTCTTTTGTCATCATGTCATATTCTTGCACTGTAAATGAGTAATAATAAAGTAGTAAATAACACTTGCGTCCTGAATATGTATCTATATATTTCAGACTTACTTAACGCATAAACTTCCCCTATTGTCCAACTACTTAATATTTCTCGTAGCGGTCTTCCAGGATCTGTGGAGCGTGAAGTTCTCCGACGCCACCATTTTTTCTTGCGTTCCCTAAGAAGTAAGTTAGTTTTACTTAAATTAATTTATGATTTCCAATTAATTGGTTAGCAAGTTAACCTAATAATCACACCAACTCACCTTGCCGCATTTATGAAGCAATCATCTTGTGTGCAATCTGGATTGTTCAAGCCACCACCTCTGCTGCCCCCTCCATTACTAACATCGGACAGATTTGCTCCCATGTTTCCAAAACAATGAGAAATGTATGCGTGGAAATATGACGAACCCAACCCCCTCCCACTCCCTGGTCGTTCCGTATCTACCACCTACCACGACCCCTCCAATTTTCGACCACCAGAAATTTAAAACCAGTCCAAAAACTCTAAACCACACAGTCCTCCAAAACTTTGTTCACTATTATTTATTTCTATTTAAGCCATACTAGATACTCTCGCACATGGCACAATTAGCGCAACGCACTTTTGTCTCATAATATTTTGCTTATTGTTACAGTTTTGTCTTTTGTTTTGAATGTGTGAATGGACAGTTACTATTGTTTATTATTGTCTCACATGTTGTGCAAGTGAACGTTATAAAAGTTCTTTTGTTTACACGTTTCCGCCGTTCTTTCACGACCACGAACCCATTCTCCAATTGTCTTTAATTAACAGTCAGTCCTCAGTTTTCTCCGTGAATTAAGAGAAAGCAGAATTTGCAGTGTTCGAGATAGATCTGCACTACTGGTCGTGTGTGTATATAATCGTGGTAGTGGCATATAGTGCTGATGGATAGTGGACTTGGTTCAGCACAGAAAACCCTGAAATGAATGGATCCAATTTTTGCTCTTAATTAAATTGGCTGAATTGTCATTTCCTCTCCTTTTCTGCTACTGCAATATAGCAAGAAGAGAGTAGTGCAGAGTTGGTGGGTTAGCGATTTAGTTGCTGTTTGCACTTCTTATGGTGTTTTCTTTATATGAACTTTATATGTACTTTGAGTGTGGTTGTTGGTGCTGAATGGCTAAAGTGGTGGTGGTGGTGGATAGCAATTTGAGAACATCAACACAAGATGAGAGAGAGGAGTGCTTGCGCGAGAAGGGTGTGTGATAGAGCAAGTAGGAGCACCCAACCTTATACATTACCCAAGCTATAAGTCTCAAATATACCCTCGCCAAGGACTAGGACAATAATCTGCTGACCCTTCGAAGGATTATCCTCATTAACCCTTCCATGACATTTATAGACACATTCTCTCGCATTTCCATGAAAATTGTTGCGGGCGCCTCTCTTCTGTACCGTTTTATGAAGCAAAACTTAGCAAGCTCACTAAAGATTAAAAAGCCCATTTTTTTGTGGAATTTGACGGAAGTATGAGATTTCTAGGTTCATAAGAAAGCACAGGGTAGAATGTTGCTCCGTGCAGACCACCATGAGAGAGAGCTTTAAAGGAGAGCCCTTCTGTTTTTCTGGTTTAAAACAACCTTTCCAAAAGCGGTGGCTATGCTGCTCACCCGTCGCCTTGCGCCCAACTTCGAGCCCTGCTGCTTCCTTGTGCGTAGTTCGGGTTGAAGCGCTTGCGTCTCACGGTGAATCCATGAATTGATTTGTTTTCATGTAATCCATTTGGTTTGCATGGAAGGTAATATGTATCATCCTCTCTCTTTCTCTCCATTCCATCCACCTTCAATGGCTCAAGACTTGTTGTACAACCTGCAAGTTTGCGTTGGTCAACGTGACTGACGAAGTGCTTCTTCTTCTGTTTGCCAAGCGATAATACTAATTGCTTTCCCATCACATAAAGTGTTTGAAAGGGGTGGCAGCGACAAGATAAGCAAGAAAGAGTAGTAGGAGAGCATAATATTAAGCAATACACACGATACGGACACCTCTCTTCCTTTTTCTTTAATTTTATTTACTCAAACTTGCCATAAACTAGGAAAAAGTGAGGACAGAGAACTTTCCAAAATCTGTTCGGAATAGGTTCTGTGATCCTGTTGTTGCTAGTTTGAACCGCAAAGCCCCAAAAAAAGAAAGAAAGATTTTATACAGCACCCAACCAACCATCCTCATCCAGCTAAATAGCATCATCATAGGCATTTTATTATCATGAGGTTGTTCTTCTTGCATCAGTTCTTCACTCGAAAACCTTGCAAACAACAACACTACTCTAATACCTACTAAACCAAACTTTACCATCGACTATACTGGAGAATACTTACTTCTGTATATAGAAAAGTCACGCATAAAGTGATGTGACGTAGTTGAACGAGTATTAATAATCTGCAAGCAGTAGTGGCATTATATACGGATTTATTAAATACTGCTGCTGCACTTCCTACTACTGCCCGTAAAATATGGTGATTAAACAACTGGCGTAAAGAACATGTTCCTCCGAGTGAGCTTTTTATCCTTTCTTGAGACGTAAATTATAGTTTTGCATCAAATATTGACAACGGCTGGGAAATTTTAAACTCGTAGCGAAAGAAAATGTGACATCGAAGCTAATAATTAGCTTCCAAATAAACTTACGAATGGAGTGGTAGAAAGTACATTCTCACAACTTTCACCCAAGCCATAAATGTGATATAACTTATTACATCATTACATTATTTCGTAGCAAGGATATTTTCAACATTATTTAGTAAAATCGGTGCTGCTTTTTGCCTCCAGTTTCGAAAAATTGTTGTATGTACGACTCTTATAAACATTGTAATACTATAATAATTAGTAGCACTAGTAAATGAAGTACAGCCACCAAATTAAATCATTTTATGACTGAACATCAGATTAAGGAAAATCAATTTGAAATAAATTATTAATTCTAGTAAGAGATAGGAACACTAACTCTGGGGTAGTACAGAATCACAAATTAAACATTGTGAATGAACTAATCGGGACATTTTAATTGCTACTTTTGAACTTTGTGATATATAGCATAATAATAATAATAATAATAATAGAGTCGAAAGTATAATAAATTACGGAATGCATCTACGCTCACCATATACTAATAATTCTCACCTCAATTGGGCGAAGATAATCAACAGCGCAACAACGATAACTGTGTATGCCTACAATTAATAAAATCATACACAGCTGAAACAGGGGAAGAGATGATAAGCAAAATTGACGTGAACCAAATTCATCTACCATTTTGAAACAAAACTTTGTCAACAGAGTATAAACGATTCAGTTGTTGTTGTTGGCGTAAAATAAAAGCAAACTGCGAAAGAGTGACAATATTAAAGTGGTCAATCAGTAGTGAGTGAAAGCAGGTTTAAAACCAAAAGCCCTATGCTATTGTTAACTTCAAGATATTAGTGACACTTGATAAAAGTTGTTGATGAACTTAAGGTCGAATTCGAGTCAAAGTAGTGCCAGTAATACAGAAATCCAGTAGCTGTGTAGGACTGATATGTAATTTAATTTAAGCAGCTAAACTTTAAAATTATGTAAAATATTGCAGCTGAAAGAGAAAAAGGAATGACAATTTGTTAAACACTAAATCTAAAGTATTAAATATATAAAATCTAGCCCATTTATCATAAATAACTGTCGTAGCTTTTATGAAAGTACACATGTAAAGTAGTAATATTTTATTAAGTAAACATAGGAAAAGTAACACAGAGTCTTTGCTAAAACTTGTATCTTTTATATATAAAGGCGAGAATTTGCAAATTAATATTTCGTACAAAAAAGGACGTTGAATTTTTGAAATGGGGGCGAAGACGTCTACAGAACAGCGACCAAGGACTTTCTCCAACTCTGAGGGTGCACATAATCATAATCTGACTGGATTTAACCATAATCACAATTCGAGTAGCTCAAGTGTACCAGCACCCATGACCCGTGGGTCACATCCATTCTCGTCCAATGGTAATAAATACACATTAAAATGTCCATGAACAGAAATTTTTGCGAGAAAAATTTGTGCCATATATGTAAAATGATGTAAATATGATGATGTAGGAGACGGTGCGAGGGGACCGGTACGAGGTCGCTCTTATTCGTCGTCGGCGATGCAAAGTTCGTCAGCTTCAGGAATATTGGAACTGAGTGGGAGGATAAATTCATTTGCGTCAGGGTTTTGGCCCGTTTCCGGTGAGAACCAAATCGGAGTAGTATCTAGAGATTACTCTTTTTGGAGGATATCTGAATCTGCATAATCTATTTGTAAAGGATATTGAGCAAATAGTAATAAAAGTGATATTTTTTCAGGAATACGATGTCCAATCTGCAACAAAACGCTATTGCCTGATGACATAGAAGTATTAAAATATTACGCATTAATTGATATGATAAGTTATGCCGTCGTTACGTGAAGATTTACTTTATGAGATGTTTCATAATTTTAAATTAATTTGCTAGATTCACCTCGTTATGTGCTTAACTAGACCAAGACTTAACTATAACGGTATAAAAATCGAATTTGGAAATTTGTTTTGATACGGCTTTAAGTATCTGTGTTTTTTTTCTGCAGAGGATGTTCTAATCGAGTCAAAAGATGAATGTGTAATTTGTCTTGAAGAAATGGAAACTGGTCAAACAATTGCGAGACTTCCTTGCCTTTGTGTTTATCATAAATCATGTATTGATAGATGGTTCCAATTCAATCGAAGTTGTCCGGAACACCCGGACAGCTCCTAATAATACAAATTAACTGTACGTAACCTATTTAATAATAAAAAAAAGAATGCCATTTGAACTAAAAACCTGCATCATGATTAATAATACACATGTTATACTTGTTGATCCATATTTTGACAATCATAAAAATATGAATCTGCATATTGGATAAAGTAATTATTTTTGGCCAAGATTGCAATTTATTCATACCTTTATAATATGCATGACTCTGACTAAATGTCTATTTTTAATTACATACAGCTTTGTTACATTCGCCGTTGTAATTTATCATCTACAATTGTGATTAAATATTTCTCTGTTCTACTAAAATATCTGTTGTATTTTATAATAAGTTCCAATCTAAGTGTAACAGTTTGATAATAGTGTGTGTTTGATGATAGTACATATGTATTGTATGTAGGGATGTATAGATGAGCTCAATCTCTGTTGCGCGTGTCATTCAAGTTAAGCTTTGTAATACGGATATACGTGAGCTCTTCTCTTGTGTTAAGAGCGATAGACATTAATATTCTTTTTTTTGCCACAAGGAATTATTTTTTGTCTCTGCGAGTATACTGCAATGGAAATCAATCAGCATCAAACATAAACAGACTACAGTTTTTTTTAAGATTTGGCTTGACAATAATCCTCATAATCTTGCTAGGAAGTACATGTGTATTTATATAGAGTAGAATTTGAAACAGGATGATGATGATGATGATGTATCATTGGAATATGGACGCAGATCTGTTGCGTCCACGGGGGGTGTAGGATCATGAAGATTTGCTTCTGTCAACTAATGAGTTTGCACTGTAATTGGTCATTAAAATTTTAAACTCGAGTACATTTATTAGCATTACTTTTACCACTACTTACAAGCTCACTACCCCAGACCCCAATTGTTGAAGAATGCCCGTGGTGTTGCTGGGCTGACTGCTGTTGTGAACAGCGGAGGCGGATGAAGACAGCATGGAAGGTCTTCGAGACTTTAGACTCGACATGCTCCCAGATAATGAAAACGGAACAACATTTCCCGTCGTATTTGGCATTGACCCACCCTGATTAAATGGCATAAATATTTAAAACGCGTCAATGCGTGTGTAAATGTAATCACATACACATAGGCTTACCACAATGTTCCTTGTAAGCTATGAACAAGAAGATATGTACATATGCAATGCAATCACAGAATAAATTTGGCATTATGTTGCCAAAGACATGAGAGAAAATTTTTATTCAAAAAAGCTTTCAATACCGCTGGAGGAGACAAGTTGACACTGTTGCTTGAATTTTTCCTTTCCTGTGGCCCAATGGAAGAGTGTCGCCTTACTGGAAGTGGTTCACCAGGACTGGAAAGCGCAGAACTTGGGGCCAGGCGTATTTTCGGAGCCATAAGAGTGTTATCTGAAATAGATTTTTGGTGATTTTGGTGACTCTAAATAAGTAGTTAACCGCATTATCCGAACTTGTTTTTACACAAAGAAGGAAAGAAAGTTGAAAATCGATTATGAGAATCTCAAAGTTCGAGAGTATTATGAAATAGTCACTGTAGCTGACAAGTTTGAGCGCCGTGGGCAGTGTTGACAAATTTTGCAATTTTGCAAGCTATCATCATTGTTGTAGTGTATGGAATGTACCGGCTTCCGGTAGGTTACATACAAGATATAAAGCGATAACTGCGTACATAGATACATATGAACATCATACATTGAATTTGAATAGTACCTGAAAGTCTTCGTATGGGAAACTGACTTCCTTGCACCCGTAAGAAATTGGTTCCGTCTCCATATAATTCTGCTCAAAACACAACCAACGGATAGAGGTCTCAATGCATACAATAACCTTATTATTATGTAGCTCTATTTGCCATAATATACAAAATAAGTTTACCAGCACTGGAATTTTTTCTCATCATCATGTCTTCTGCAGAAGATGTCTTTCTTTGGCATGGGATTGTCGGACCAATGCTCAAAGTCGCCGTATTTTCAATGTGTACATTTGGCACAAACATTGGAGTCGTAAAGGGCCCAATGCTCATGTTATCAGAGGATCTCTGATGCCGTAGTCCTTTGTTGTTTGTCTTGGAGTAAGCGTATTCTTTCTGAGCTTGCCCATGACCACTATGCGTGACTATGTGATGATCCAATTTCAATTTGTTCCTTTGATTTCTATAAACATGTTCAAGCCATGAATTATCTAGTGACATTTCCATCTTGCTTGAACGATTTAATCATCAACCTGTCAATATGCTCCAGCATTTCTTGGAGGACTGCGAGAAGCATGCTGAATTGCTCCAAATGCAATCTCGGATTCACCGTCTGAGGAAGAAGACTTGGCATCACCCTCGTCGCCATAAGATTCACGCTCAGCCCGTACTTTTTGTTATCGCTGAGCATCAAGCGGTAAATGTCTAAAACGAAAGAAAGAGTGGAACTTGTTTGTGTGAACAAAAAATTTCAAGAATGCCAAAGTTTTGCAATTGAACAAAGAAAATATGAGCAACTCAAGAATAACTTTGCCAACTTTACCAACAACTTTAATTTAGGAAAAGACTGATGGCGAAAATGGTAGTAAAGTTTGTTGACAAACCACCTCTTTCTCTGTGCTTGTATCAGCATAGAAAATTAAAAAAAATGCATTTCATACTCGTAACGTATTTTAGGTGCATGTTGGATTAGTCGACAGTTCTTTTTATTTTTTTAAAGATGTGCATCTTTTATATATTTATGTATATATAGAATACTCATTTATTTATGTATTTATAGTCGCCTTTCTTTTTGATCTGTTACTACAATAATACGCACAATATTAAAAGTATTTACTTGAAAGTATTTACTCAATGCATGTTCAAGAGAAGTCACAAAACAGAGTGTAATTGTCAGGAAAATAAAGAAAGAAATGTGTCTCAGTCTCACTTTTAATGCCACCAATGGCAAGAACAAAGTACAAAGTACCCTGTTGGAAACTGAACCCCTTGACTTTCTCTTCGTAAATAGTTGCTTCCAATCTATAATTGTATCTAGCATAAAGTGGTGTCTTGCTATGAAGGAAAGTATATATGCCTCCTACGCCAGTTTACTTGTGGGCGTACTTTCTACCAGGAAAAACGGATTTGGGAGATTTGGAAACAACTTCTGCAAAGAAATGCAACACCACCAAGTTCATGTTCCTTTACTATTTTGAAACTTCCGAAACGGAAGGACCATGCGTATATTTTGATAGGAAACATGTCGTGTCAGATTAACTTTCTACATATGATGAAGAAAGTAGTTTAATGATGTTTTTCACTAGTCTCATATTTCCCATATACGAGTGCTATGTAGTAAATAAGCATTATTATGACTTTTGTGTTTTCGTATGATTATACTTTGTAAAGAGGTGTTTTCGAGTTTCGACTACTTATTCCCAAAAATAGACTTTGTTTTCTCCACCTGGTCGTAATATATATCCGAAAACATCTTGCTTCGTGGAATACAAATTTAACCAGCAGAGCAACTAGATCAAGGAAGCTAAAGAAGTTGTCACTTGAAATAAATATGTATCTTGGGTGGTTATATGCAAATGGAATGGGCTTAATTTATGAAGTTACATAGTTTGTTCAATTATTTAATCAGATTATAAAAAAAGTTAGTTAATTACCTGTCAATTTTCCGATAATGTCGGGATCTTGTCGGGATGTGGCATTTTCGCAAAGTATTGGAAGTACGTCTTCAATGATTGTAGACCGCTCTAATTTTGGAATTATTTTTTCTAAACACATGAGTATATTAACCAGGACTTTGAGATCCCCACAATACTTTTCGTACTAAAAACACAAGCAAAAGTTAGTTACATACATCGCAGTGCTGCCATAAAATGAGCCACATGCTAATTAATTATATACGAGATGTGAGGCGAGGGCGAGGAAAAAACTTACAATGCCTTTCAATCTGGGGAGAATTATCTTCCTAATAAATGTCTCGTCTAGATATTCAGCCACCAAAGATGCCGAGATGAGAGATGCGCTCTAAAAATATCATCATCGCATCCATACTTAATCTTCATCATGTCAATGACTTATTAAATTATTGAACAAAAAAGTGTATATCAAACCTGAACTTGGATTGTAGTAGATTCAAAAGCGTTCTGAAAGTGATGTATGCAAAGTAATGCAGCCAATATTTTTATCGAGTAAGTTAGTTACGTTGCGACAAGTTATAAAATATTCATTTATTTACAAACCTGAAGCATTGGCAAAATTTCATTGTTCAGAAGCTCGGGTTGTACATTTTTCTCAAGGATAATATGCAAATTCTCCAGCAAAGTTACCGACGCTTGAATAGATTTTGGTGAAGAAAATACGTGCCTACAGTAATTAGCAGTATTTCAGAAATAATGTCCACGATAAGCGACGTGTGCAACTTTCATCACGTCAATTATCTTTCAATCTGTGTGATTATGCATTCATGGTCACACAACTCCGCAGCAGCCACCAACTTTTGACGGAGAAGCAAGAATACCACAAGAAATTTGAAACGATCACTCACTTGAACGAGGGAAGGATGATGTTTTGAAACTCCTCTGCCGTACTCTGTTCAGAAAACAATGAAAGTACTTTGTCATAATACGTACATACCGTCATAGTAAAAAGCAAAGGGATGTGCTCATCAATTGCATGTACACATTTATGTAAGCATGTACTATATATTACTACGATCATCATAGCTGACCTGACTAATTAGCAGGAAAATTGGTTGAAGGGCAGCAGCCAGCACTTCTTGTGTCTTCATTTCATCTCTGAGCGTAGGCCAAACGTGTTGAAACCACAGTTTCTGGAATAGAATGCCAATTCCATCATCAGAGGCATAATAACACGAAGTGGGAGTGGGTCGTATAAGCACTACACAATTATTTGAATTAGGCCATAACATAAAGCGGAATGGTCTGTGCTCAACATAAATATAGCTCAGCAGCAGCATCGGTAAGAAGACGACGGCGAAGAAGTGAAGTATAAATGCCAAGTAATGCTGTGGTCGTGGCCAAGCATGTGAGAGTTGAGACTGACGACGACGTCTGTTCCGCTTTCTCCTTCCTTCCTTCCTTTCCTTTGTCCACTTGTTGGACTTGCTGGATGGATCGTGATGGTGGGAGAGAAAGTCATTCTTAAATTCGTCTGCTCAGCCAGCAGCAACTCAACACCACCACCACCGCCACTACAACCAACGGATGGAGAGGTGGAGGAGACCATTCACCAATATGGATCTCTGTATGTACGATTCTGGTCCTTTCTCCACAGAACACGCGTTGTTGGTTAAGTTGGGTGGCTGGGTCTTTATAATCGTCTTAGAATAGATTGCAGATGAAGTGGAAGGAGAAAAGCTGTCAATGTTCAACCTTCACACTCAATGGAACTCTATTGAGCGGCAGCAGTGGCCGTGGAGTCAACTTAACATTACTCTTATCTATTTAAGGGTCTCAAGCAGAGCTTTAAATTACCTAGCCGCCTCAACAACAAACGGCGTATAAGTAAACAGGCAGCTTCCCACTCACAACCCATTCACAAAATTATAAAGTATATGTTCGGGCCGCAACTCCTCCTTCACCTCATGCCGCCTCTTTCTTTTCATGCGATTCATCCCCAAACGATCTAGTGATCCGATTCTGTTGTTATATTCCATATAATTTGGTAAAACAGAGACGTTTCCATCATCTCTGTAATCCTTTACTTTCTTGCTTGAAAATTTAATACTCTAACGTTTTACTTGGAACCTCACTCTCCCGAATTAATACCAAGGTTATACGTATTACACATGCATACGTATTTCCATACATAAGTAGTACCCTACGTTGGCGGGCACGTGCTATTGTTGGGTCTTTGATCTGCAGTTTCGCGTTCTGAAGTTCTTTATGCAAAACGAGGAGGAGTTCTGCCCTAAAATATGTTTTGATGTTTGTGAAAACCCTGGAAAGTTTAATAAGCATTTAAGAATGGGTTGTATGATATGAGCCTGGACACATAGTTTTCATGGATAATATGTAGTTTTCCATGTGCATATTCAGGCATGACATCAACATGATCAACATCTACGGATTATCAGATCGATGAATGTTTTGAGGATCTTGAATGATGAATGGACGTCATCGCATAAGCTTTTCGCGAGTGGGTAAATACAATTTTGCATAAATAAATGTGTGTATAAATTTCACATCTTGTCTAACAAACTTGTTGTCGTATCAATGTGAAAATTTTTAGCTATGTACACTTGTATGTTAGTTTCTCCGTTTCCAACTTTGCCCCTATGTACTTATGTTCTCTGTAGATATATGTGTGCAGAGATAGAGTACGGTGAAATTCCACTGATCTGGGCTCTGCATTTCACATTGCCCCTAATCAGAATCTCTTATAAACCCCTGCCATATATCATACACATCATAGTTATATGCTCTTTAGGATGTCATTGGAAAGCCCCAATTTCGCCAGGGCTTCATTTGGAGCAAAACAAAAATTAGGGTCAGAAAGGTCCTTGAGCCAATAAATGCTCAAGAAACTTGGTCGGTCTCTTCAGCAGACGGAGTGTGCGAATTGTATGTGGGATTTGATTCTCAAGAAATCCATTGTGTATTTTATCTTGTGGCGACTACATACACAGTTTGCCAAGCAGTGCTGGTACTTACTTTTGGAATATAGGGCAACACATCGCTGAGTTGATGTCGATAAAAATGAGCTTTTTGTGACGGGTCTTTCATTGTAATTATATCAAGGTATTGAAGCGTGTAAATCGCTGAAATATGAAACAAACAGCGGTTTATTTCATAGAGAGCACACATTGAGAGAGAGAAAGACTTGGTCAAACATTTCATACCTGGGTCAGCAAAATATTTAATAAGTGCGCTGCGAAAGACAGAATCAAAATTGACTTATTATATTGCAGTTTTTTTTATAGAAATCAATATGTTTTTGTGTTTTTGGCTTTATGCACTTTTAATAACACTTTTATTAGCAATCATTGTGATTACTGATTGTGAAGGACACATGTATCTATGTATATCCGAAAAAGGACAGATTGGTGATTGGAAAGAAGGTCAATAATATCTCTACAATAAGTTGTTGGAAGTGGTGATGAATGAAGCTCTGTGGTGCAATAATAACATAAATTTGACTCACAGTAATTGACTTGTTGGTCTTTGTCTCGGTTCTTTGCACAGGAGACGTTGGACTGCCTCACTAGGAGTTTCAATAAGTCAATATTCAATGTATGTAGTAGTAGAAGTGTCTAGGTCTTTTCGCCTTGGATTTCTCGCCCGCTTTATTTCTTATGGGGAAAAAGACGGATAGGGCTTTTCGCCTAGGATTTCTCGCCAACTATATTTCTTATGGGGAAAAAGACGGATAGGGCTTTTCGCCTAGGATTTCTCGCCAACTATATTTCTTATGGGGAAAAACTTGGTTAGGGCTTCTCGCCACAAGGCCTTTATAGCATGGGTATGTATTGCAAGGATATGGTGTCTGCTTATAGTAACCAAAGTCTCAGATGTATTTTCATGTGTCGAAAAATATTGGCGGGACAACTCAAATTATCCCAAATATCTCAAAATGCCCCAATTGTCTCAATTTACCCCTCTATGCCATAAATTACCCCTGGTGTCTCAAATCACCCCAAATGACTAAAATTATCCCAAATCTCAAATTACCTAAACAACGTATTTCCTATGGGAAAAAATCTGTCAGATGGGTGTACATGGGTTGACAAGAAATGATGGCGGGACATTTGAGACTTTAGGTCTCAATTTATATTCTCCAAAATTATCCAAGTGTGTCAATTTACCCCCAAATGTCTCATGTTACCCCATTTTTCTCAATTTATTCAAGTATCCCAATTTATCCAAATACTTCAATTTACCCCAATTAAATATTTCAAAGCACCTCAAATATTCCAAAATACCCCGAGCCTTGTCTACGGCTCCGCCCAATGCCTCTTCCTTACAATACATTTCTTATGGGAGAACTTATTCCCATAGCGTTTAAGGATAGACACCTTTGTTATGAGACCAAGGTATATGTATGGTGTAGTAAGTCATCATGTAAGGGTATGCCAGTATTTGTTATGTCCCGTCCTATGCTTTACGTTTTATTATGTATAGAAAAGGTTGAAAAAGTGGAGTTCAACCTTTTTGTTGGTAGTAGTGTTGATACTAATAAGCAAGTTACGAGAAAAAGATTGAAAACAGGTAGAGTGAAACGTTTCTGAAGCTAGTGGTGATACTAATGATGACGCAATTTTTCATAAACGTTTGAAATAGTACTTATGAAGGTTTATCTACAAAAATATAGCGTTATTTGTGAAAATATGATATTCACGCATGAAAAAACTTATTGTTTTAAAACCATGAAAAATTATATATGAAAATTGTTTGCAGTAATGAGATGAAATAACAGATCAGAAGTATTTATAATTAGCATTTATTGTCAAAGATTTGTTAACTAATTCTTAAAATTGTGTGTTTATTTATTATGCGCCGTAAATTTGACTGAGTTCTTGTCTAATGTAAACCTTTCCCATTTATTTATTATCATAAGTAAAGTTGGGATATGTAGGTGAGGCAGTGCCTAAGTACACAGCACACAAACTTTTAGAAAAATTATCTCCCTTTAACTTTATTGCGTTAAAAACAAAACACTAAAACCACTTGATTTTTAAGCCGCATTAAAGGACAATGTTGTTGGTTTGCACAAGAATTAGAAGGTTTTTGATCTTTTATTTTGAGTAATTTGGAAAGTGTACAGTTGTTCATTTAGCATTGAGTAGGTTTCAACGTTTTCTTACTGGTAATCAAGCGTATGGATTATCATTTGGGAGACCTTCAGACGATCTTACGATATCAGTAAGTAATTTACGAGTCACAACCATTTCTCCATTCTTTGCCGCCTGCATAATAGACGCTATTACATTTTTCACATGTTCCCCAAACGAGGTGCAACTTTAGGCTCAAGTCAAGATTTGAGCCTAAAGTATGAGAGACTGAAGAAGTCTCTCATTTGCACCACGTTCCACTCATTCATATTTAATTATCATACTTTGCAATCAAATTTTTATTTTAATTAAACCTAACCCCCAAATTAATTAGGGTTGGACTGAGTGAGGTGGAAAATCAAATCAATTGATCATATGGAGGTAGATCTTTTGAGGCACCTCCCCATTTGCCAAAATGTGTACATATGTATACATATGTATGTGTACATATGTGTACATATGTATACATATGTATGTGTACATATGTGTACATATGTATACATATGTATGTGTACATATGTATACATATGTGTGTGCACATATGCATACATTGGTGCGTGTACACATGTGTGCATATGTAATTACATGTGTAAACATATGAATTTACCTCAAATCATAAAATCTTTTAGATGACTCAATAATTTCGGACCAGTATAAAAGAAGAGATTGCTGTTATCGTCAGACAGTTGACCTAGAGAGGTGATATCAAGATGGTTTACAAATGTAGTCGCTGCTCCAGACACTTCAATTCTGAACAGGCTTTAAGTACTCATAAAACTGGGTTTCACAAAGTGACGTTGTTTGATTCTGATGATGCTGAAACGAACCAGGATGACTCAGCGGACACATCAGAGTCCAACGAAACTAGCTCCGATGATGAACCCCAAGAAAAAAAAGAAAGACGATCTCGAGGTGGAAGAAGGAACAAGCTGTCAAATTGTAGTAGAGAAGGGGACAGTCGAGATTCAAGTTCAGACGCGTCTTCGGACGAAGAAGAGGGAGAAGATGATACAGAAAGTCAGGCAAGTGGATATACATATGTACATATGTATACATATGTACACATATGTACACATACATATGTATACATATGTACACATTTTGGCAAATGGGGAGGTGCCTCAAAAGATCTACCTCCATATGATCAATTGATTTGATTTTCCACCTCACTCAGTCCAACCCTAATTAATTTGGGGGTTAGGTTTAATTAAAATAAAAATTTGATTGCAAAGTATGATAATTAAATATGAATGAGTGGAACGTGGTGCAAATGAGAGACTTCTTCAGTCTCTCATACTTTAGGCTCAAATCTTGACTTGAGCCTAAAGTTGCACCTCGTTTGGGGAACATGTGAAAAATGTAATAGCGTCTATTATGCAGGCGGCAAAGAATGGAGAAATGGTTGTGACTCGTAAATTACTTACTGATATCGTAAGATCGTCTGAAGGTCTCCCAAATGATAATCCATACGCTTGATTACCAGTAAGAAAACGTTGAAACCTACTCAATGCTAAATGAACAACTGTACACTTTCCAAATTACTCAAAATAAAAGATCAAAAACCTTCTAATTCTTGTGCAAACCAACAACATTGTCCTTTAATGCGGCTTAAAAATCAAGTGGTTTTAGTGTTTTGTTTTTAACGCAATAAAGTTAAAGGGAGATAATTTTTCTAAAAGTTTGTGTGCTGTGTACTTAGGCACTGCCTCACCTACATATCCCAACTTTACTTATGATAATAAATAAATGGGAAAGGTTTACATTAGACAAGAACTCAGTCAAATTTACGGCGCATAATAAATAAACACACAATTTTAAGAATTAGTTAACAAATCTTTGACAATAAATGCTAATTATAAATACTTCTGATCTGTTATTTCATCTCATTACTGCAAACAATTTTCATATATAATTTTTCATGGTTTTAAAACAATAAGTTTTTTCATGCGTGAATATCATATTTTCACAAATAACGCTATATTTTTGTAGATAAACCTTCATAAGTACTATTTCAAACGTTTATGAAAAATTGCGTCATCATTAGTATCACCACTAGCTTCAGAAACGTTTCACTCTACCTGTTTTCAATCTTTTTCTCGTAACTTGCTTATTAGTATCAACACTACTACCAACAAAAAGGTTGAACTCCACTTTTTCAACCTTTTCTATACATAATAAAACGTAAAGCATAGGACGGGACATAACAAATACTGGCATACCCTTACATGATGACTTACTACACCATACATATACCTTGGTCTCATAACAAAGGTGTCTATCCTTAAACGCTATGGGAATAAGTTCTCCCATAAGAAATGTATTGTAAGGAAGAGGCATTGGGCGGAGCCGTAGACAAGGCTCGGGGTATTTTGGAATATTTGAGGTGCTTTGAAATATTTAATTGGGGTAAATTGAAGTATTTGGATAAATTGGGATACTTGAATAAATTGAGAAAAATGGGGTAACATGAGACATTTGGGGGTAAATTGACACACTTGGATAATTTTGGAGAATATAAATTGAGACCTAAAGTCTCAAATGTCCCGCCATCATTTCTTGTCAACCCATGTACACCCATCTGACAGATTTTTTCCCATAGGAAATACGTTGTTTAGGTAATTTGAGATTTGGGATAATTTTAGTCATTTGGGGTGATTTGAGACACCAGGGGTAATTTATGGCATAGAGGGGTAAATTGAGACAATTGGGGCATTTTGAGATATTTGGGATAATTTGAGTTGTCCCGCCAATATTTTTCGACACATGAAAATACATCTGAGACTTTGGTTACTATAAGCAGACACCATATCCTTGCAATACATACCCATGCTATAAAGGCCTTGTGGCGAGAAGCCCTAACCAAGTTTTTCCCCATAAGAAATATAGTTGGCGAGAAATCCTAGGCGAAAAGCCCTATCCGTCTTTTTCCCCATAAGAAATATAGTTGGCGAGAAATCCTAGGCGAAAAGCCCTATCCGTCTTTTTCCCCATAAGAAATAAAGCGGGCGAGAAATCCAAGGCGAAAAGACCTAGACACTTCTACTACTTATGTACAAATGCGACTGCATAATGTGTAATAGAACAATATGTAGTCAAACATACTGTAAACCAAGAGGGACTTTTGGGAGGAAGTCGGCAACCAGAGAGTCCAACTAGAACAATACAGGAGAAAGTAGTAAGCGAAGTGTGTGTGGATCCGACAATATGCAGGATGACAGATAGATAACTAACTAAACAATTTGTTCTTCCAGTCTTGGCCAACAATAATGCACTTACCATTTCCACTTGTTTGAGGTACTGCGAGCTTGAATGATTAGATTGAATCAGAGGTTTTCCGCCGTTGAATATGGCTGTAATAACCATTCCCAGGCTGAACTGCTCAAATTCATGTGCAAACATGTAATTTATATTCCCTTAATTCCTATCAAATAATTCATGTAAATGCACTAACCATATCAGACATGATAGAACACATTGAAGTCTGTTGGACTTCAGGAGCTAAAATTTACCACAAAGTACATCAAAGTTTGGTGGTTCATCAGATATCAGACTTCCAAACTGACGGGTTTCAAGTCATTTTTATTGTGTTTGCTAGCAGAATGTCATGAATACATGTGTATTGTACCAAGGAACACATCAGCTACATAGGTAATCGTATTCGGACCATTCGGAATACATTTTTATATTATTATTTTTGTGAATTGTCCATAAACATTGCAATTTCAGAAAACTACTTGTAAAGATAAGTACTGTCCAAGGCATGATTTTCGGCTAAATTGAAACGGCTGCAGCAAGTCTTGCCAAAATCACCTTTCTTAGATTTTTACTCTAAATTTAGTTTATAATATTAACTAGCTCTGAGCGTAAAAGCTAAGAAAGGTGATTTTGGCAAAGACCGCTACGGCGGCACAAAGTCAGGTCGGATTTTGACTTTTTAGGATAAAAAATAATTAAAAAATAAATTTTACAAATGTTTCGTTGTCGTGAACAACCTATTTTCACTTAAGTTCTATCCCCCTCCTTAGACTACTTCGAATAGCCCGAGCCTATGTAACTATGTCCGTCTGTCCTTCGGCAAATTGATAAGTAGGTCTGGTAAAACTTATCTGATTGACTTGTAATTTTGTATGCACTTAATATATCTCAATAACGAATTCAGTTAGGATATTAACCCTATAGAACCTTATAGTTTTGCTAAAAAGAAATAGAAGAGGAATTTGATAAATTGGTTATCAAATTCCTCCTCCAATTTGCAAGAATTTAAAAATGATCTTGCAAGAAAGTCAATTTATGGATATTTTTCCAAGGTCTAAATGGTTTACCCACATTGATTTTTGAAATTAGTCGAAAAACATATAGGGTCATAACCTTCTCTAAAATTTTGTCAGATGACCCAACTAAGGGTAACTTCCCTACTTGCCAACAGATATTGATGCCTTTTTGACATGCGGTAGTATCACATGAGTTGTACTAAAACAATCAAGTTGCATGACTCAATGATCACACCCGCCACACCCACTCAAAGACTCTTTGACAAAGAGCCAAAAAATGAAAAAAACCCATATTTTCACTCGTTCAATCAACAAACAAACCCTCGCCAAAAATCCAGTTTTTCTCGGATTTTGAAAATTTTGCACCATTGTACTTCCAGACAGTTGTTCTCTTTATGCAATCTAAAACTCAACTTTATGAAATGTTAATTTTTTCGAAGCCATTTATCCCTGGTCATGGAATTTTTGAAAGTATAAATATTTTTTGATGTAGGATATTTTAAAACAACTATATGGGACTATATATAATGGTACAAGAATTTTCAATTACTTATTGCGATCGTTTTGTCCGTCCGTCCGTCAGCAGGATATCTCCAGAAAGAGTCAACATAATCCCCGTTTTGCTCCTAGACCTCATGACTTTGAGGAGAGGTCAAGGGTCAAATACGGTAATTGTCAGATACAGTGACATTTTAAAGGAAATTTGGAGCGTTCTGACGCTTCTTTTTTATGTTCGTTTGTAAGGGTTTATTTTGTTTTATTTCCCAAAAACAAAATAGCCTTTCAGAAAGTTTTCTAAGGAATTGGGACTATTAATATTGGCAGAAATTCGTACTAACTAATATTATCGTATAATAATCGTCAGAAATGTTCCTATAATCCAGCATGTAAAATATCAGCTTTTTCGACTAATTTCAAAAAACCAGTATGGGTCACCCTCTCACAAAAATATTCATAAACCTTACTTTATTTTCTTTAAACTAGCCTCGATACCGAATTTCATCTGCTTCTACCAATTTCCAAACCCAGTGGGGGTCACCTTGTTGGGTCCCCTGGCATAAAAATCTTACAATTTACAAATTTCTTCTTTGTTATCTGATCTGCCCCAGCAGCTTCATGCAAATTTAAGCCTTCTGTGTCCATTTTCGAAAATATGTGGGGTCGCCAATTTGGTCGATTACATTGTATTTTCACGTTAGTACACAAATGTCCCGAATTTTAGCCGTCTCAACCATTTCAAATATACTGAACCAACAACTCACCGGATTTGAATACTCGACCGATGAGTCAATCAAATTCACATGTATAAAGTACGAAATCAATTTGAAATTTTTTAATCTAAATTAAGTTTCAATGATGGTCAACAGGACCTAAATAGAGTCACGGGTCTCCCTGATAACAGACTTGAGCCATATTCTATCTAACTCAATTCCTAATTTTAAACATAGTGCAAAAAATTTCAAGTCAATCGGTTAAGTTTTACGGGACTTACAATTAATTTACAGACAGACGGACTTGCATGGTTACATAAGCCTACACTCGGGAAATAAGTTCATTAAATTCTGAACCATATCACAAAATAGTTGCCAATGACGTATATTTTATCAATTAAAAAAATAAAATTCTTGAGCCAGGCCGAAAAACCAGCCTTGGAGAGTACTTTCCACTTGGAGAGTCGTCTCACGTTTCATAAGCAAATATATATGGAAATAAACGGCTTAATTTATCATGAGTAATAAAATCAATAAAAAAACTTTCATGAAATGATTCCTCGCGAGTTTAATTTTGTTTTTGTTTCAGCTGAGGCTAGGAATTTATGAAGCGATAGCGACTACATACCACAGTACTTACGTACATACATCGTAATCAGATACCCAATTTATTTCTCTAGATATCTGCGGAATTTTCCAAGTCTCTAAATCGATCGGTATAAGATTGTTATTGAAAGTATAGGGAGCCCAACATTAAAATAATTTCCAGACTTTTGTCTAATTTTTGTACAAACTTGATCCAAACTTTTTTTCTAACTAACTACACGAAACTTCAATTAATGTTCAATTTGGCAGCGTTGTAGATATGGCTTCTTGAAACAAAGGAATAAAATGAGGCATATTATTTGTTATATGAACTGTAATTGAGTTTTTTTGACAAAAATATGCTTTCTTTATTTGTCAAACTAGCGTTTCGTAACTCAATCTCGCCCCCTTCAAAAAAGTAAATGCAATGCAGAGGCAGCTGCTCTCACTGCGGTTGGCAGGGCTGGAAACTTTCTCCGTCGTTGTCCTCCCATTCCCAGTGATAACTTTTGTTTGTGCCGTAAATATGCCATACGAGTACAGCCTGATTTATAAATACATGGGGGCCTGATGCCATATTTTTCGCAATATTCTGCTTATCTACTAGAGTATCTTTGCCTAAATACTGATATAGTACGAACGCATATACATAGATAGACCACCAACCTGTATAGTCCAAGTTGACCTGACCGATCTTTGGAATTTTGCTCGTCCATGGTATTACCGGAACTGTTATTATTATTTGTTTATTATTAATTATTATTACTATTATTAACAAATATTTTTACCTCCTTCCATTCCATCCAAGTCGTTTGCTCTATCTATAAAATTATCCAAGGGTAAAATGTTTTTATTACATTCCACGTTTCCGAAAATACTTTTCGAAACTATGTCTTCGGGATAAAGTAGCTCAAACCTGCCCATGTATTTAATAACAGTAATAATAAACGCAAAAAGGTCAAAAAATGAGCATTTTTTGCATATTTAATAATATGTACGAGCATAACTGAATATGAGCGTTTCATAATTTGTGTCTTTACACTCGCATGAGTGAGTAAATACAAATATGTACATATTGCAGTTTTTAATATCCAATCTCCTGCCTGCCTGCATACGCCATAAGGGAATTTGAATGTCAAACAAAATGTTTTCTGCATGCTAGTCGTCACGGAACAATGAAACGGGTGTATGAAATTGAAGGTTAAATTAAATTTGGAGCAAGTTGGGGCAGAACAAATCAATTTCAACTGAGTGAATGAAATACATGAAATTGAACTGGGAGTGAATTGAATAGAGAAAGCGAGGACATTTCGTACACGAGCAGATTGAGCGGAACTCAACAGTTGTTTAGCATTTATGTGCATGTAGGTCTTCTTCTACACAAGCAAAAATAGAAAAAAATAAAAGTACCAATGAATTCCAACCCGGCGAGTTTCCAAGTGCCTCGTTTTGTAACCTAAACAAAATTAGTTTTAATTTAACTTCAAACTAATCAAATGTATTCGTCCTACACAATTTTTGCAGAGTTTTCTACAGAAAATCTACAGGGTTAGAGAATGTAGTACACAATTTCTGAAATCATCAGGTTTACTTGTTAATAAGTTACATATGTATTTGAATGTACATATGTACGCCTAGTTGAATTAAAGCGATTGCCTTGGTACATGTACATACTTAGGTCTCTGAATACGTAGGTAGGCGCGTATACTTACAAGAATATTTGTTGGTGTGATATTCCTGTGTATGATTCTTCCCGAGTAATGAAGAAATTGAAGGGCTTCGATAATCTAAAGGAGGTGCAAATTACGTGTTAGCAATAGTAATCAGGATTTGAGGGAATTTGAAGCTCGGGAAATTCGAGCCTGGTATCATTCGACATTTGGCCTTGGAAAGTATTAATTAGTTCTTCATGATACCAACAAGTTGAATGACTACAAGCACTGACTGCTCCATTAGCTTGTTGATGGAGCAGAAAGTTGCCCGGAACTACCGAAACTACACATGTACATATGTACATACTCCTTCTGGCTGGATAGATTTTACTTGCCTGAAGGATCCCATATCGAAGTTCGACATCTAAGAAGACTGGATGAAGGTCAACACCACCCGATTTCTCATTAACATCGCACGAGTTAGTCATGGATTGGTGGGGGGAAGCTGCTAACATACTCGCAAGGCTCGAGTAGATGGGCTCTGCAGCAAATGCAAGTGTGTCTGGCCCTTCCTCAAGCGGATACACCGTCTGAATTAGTGATAAAAAAGAGAAAGCACATATATACACATTTAACATACAGAATTGGTTTGATAGGACGACGCTCAACTGCACGTATCTATTAGCTTAATTAATCTTTTTCCTTTCCCTCCGCCCGTGTATAGGTAGATGTACATGTGGACTTATGTAACCAAGAAGAGGAAAGTCTCTCGGAGAAAGTAAGAGAAAGGGAAAAAGTTAATTTGGTACCTTTAGCTTTTCATTCTCGTAGGTTTCAAGCACGACGTTAAGCGTTGGTACTAAGATGCTCTCGTAGAGATGATATTTCGATACATACTGAAATTATGGGCATGTCTAATATGCTAAATCCTGTTTTAAAGTGTGAATGGGAGCGGTTCCAAAATCTTCCAAATACCCGACCGAATTTCGACCTTGCTAAATTGGTTAAAAAATAATGTGGCATCGGTATTAAAGACGTCGTCGACCAACACGAGCAAGGTGGAGAAAGCCCCTCTCGACTCGGGGGACCATTGCTCGGGCTAGAAATTTAACAGGCGGTTGCAATTCCTGCAAGTATGGTTTGGTTTAGCGATGTGGCACTGGATGTCCAGCATTGTAACTAAGACCCGCTTTTTGATAGCCATGCGGGAGTAGGGAAGATTATGACAAATTATGAGTAACCAACCTAAATCCATCTCCAGAAACTTTTAGAAACTTCTTAAATCTTAGGGTTGCCGTTTTTATCCGACATTATCCTATCCGATCGGATAGGATAGGATGACGGATATCCGACACTTGGTATAACATGCATCCTATCCGAGGGTCGGATAGGATAATTATCCTATCCGAAACTCGGATAGGATACATGTTATAACAAGTGTCGGATAATTTCGGATTATCCGATCGGATAGGATAGGATAGGATCGGCAACCCTATTAAATCTACTGGTTAACTTTTAAATTATTAAATTAAAGTTTACCCTCTAAAGCTCGAATAAATTGCTTTTACATACCACACCCATGTATTCCGATAAAGCCTCCTCAAATTCTAACTTTTAGATATTGTTATGTATTTTAGCTACAAGACAACAGGGCCATCGTTGAGTGGGCCTTTTTTATCCATGTCAAAACAACTAGAAAATTCCAAAGTGGTGATGCAATTGGGGAAATGATACAAACGGAGAAAGTAATTTAGAGATGCGAGTGGAAGAAGCAGAATAAGAGGTAGCAGTGGCCAAATTTTAAGGTATGGACCACTACGTACAACTTTGCTACTCAAATTTCTAGAGATATTTTAAGCCTCTGATAATTTGAGTTATCACGATCGTGAATTTTAACAACCTGGAATTTATAAGGAGTCCGAGGCGGGAGAAAGTTATTTGCAAAAAAAAATAATAATCCGGTTTCTCTCGCAAAAGTGGCTTGAAAAAGAATAGGTCATGGTCCGAAGGGACCCAAAATTATCTAGTCAACTAATTTAATTGTAAGGTAACAGAGGAGAAGAAGATTTCTGAAGGGAGTGCCTGACGTCTCGTACCAAAAATACTTTACCATTCCATGTAATATGCAATAAGCATACCTAGAAATGTTGTGTTGTTTCTAATAAATCTTGAAAATAAAGTTTTAATATGCACAAAATGTAATCGTAAAATCAAACCTGAATTAGACTTCTGTGACGAAATCTCTCCAATTGCCTGACCGATGAGCGCAACATTTCCGCAATGGTCTCCTTCCTTCGGGGCTTGTGCAACTTTTCGGCCGATTTCTTCTCAAACACAAATATTGAGACTTCCTGAAAAGTGATAATAATAATTTAATCGTACCCGTCATTTCTTATTTTCATTCATTAAAAATAGCTCCAAAATATCATGAAATTTTATTTTCAGACTGTTGAAACTCAATTTAGTTTTAAGTAGTTATGCAAGTTTTGCATATTACTCATGAATTGACAGCTTGTCTGTCTCTCTCTCTATCCCCATGTCGAAATATGACTTTATTATTTGCTAAACGAAACACCTCAAGCCAGATACGACATATTGTTAAAGAGTTATTAAAGAGAGTTTCTTGTTGGAGAGGAATCAAGTCTGTTTCTAATTTATTCCCAGCGCCACAAAATGCTGCGGGTGAAATTGCTAATTTGGGTTTGTTGCAAATGAACAACGTCAAAATTTGCATAAGAGAAAGTGAGATGATAGGATCACATGAATAGCAACTTGAGTAACAAGGTCTCCTTGTGCACAGTTCAGGACTTTTGACAGACGACATGGATGGCTGACGGGTGGGTGGTGAGTTGAAATTGCGTAAACACTTTCGGGTCAGACATGAATATATCCTTGCATGGAGTGTGGGTTTTATTAAATATTAAATTTGCATTTTATCAAGGACATGCAGCATGAGGGGAAAGTCTTGTCGCATGTCTGTTACTTTTCATGACAGTCAAATAAATAGGTAAACGACGACGACGACGGAAGTAACAGGTGCCAGGAGGGAAATTCAGATTGATGGCCATATTATTGTTTAATAATGCGATCAATCAGGACTGCCAAGAAATAACGCCGCTACTGCTACCAAATCTGCTGCATAAAATATGATATCTAAACAAGTCGTCGCAGCCGCAAACCTTGGCGTGAACTTCTTGCCAGTATACTTTACAATAAGCATTTCTATGTAGTTTAATCGCCGTGTACTTATTACTCATTACGTAAAAATCATTATTTATTGAGAAAATTACAGTTTAACACTGATGGCTGGAGGATATGTGCAATGGAGAGGATTTTCAATTAATTTGGGCCAAGTAGGCTTTTCCCATTGTTAAATAATTGATTGGAATTGACATGGTGTGAATGAAAGGGGTGGCAGCTGTGGAATGAGTTGTGAATCAGACAACTTTGGAAAAGAAAGTAACTCCTGCCTTTGATCCGAATTGGCGAACAAGTGGAGAGGACGACACGAAAAAGTGACTCTTCCTTCCCAACACAAAGGAGAAAGAATAAGAAAAGATGTTGACTTTGCAATGTTTAGTTCGCGTCCATTAAAGTTCTTTTTAAAGCGTACAAGAGAAATGAGACATTATAATCCTATCATGCGTTGTCGCTTCCAATAGCGAACCGAGTGCAGAGAAGGAAAGTGACAGCAAAGATTAGAGGTGGACGCCCAAATGGTAGAAACGAATGGTCTACCAAACACTCGGAACATGTGTATCCACATGCAGCAAAAGTATCGTACAAGGGTGGTTTGGGTTAAACTTGAATTATTAATGGTAAACCAAACGAAGCATGTCAACTTCAATTTTCACTATGAAAATCGATTCCAACGGTTTTGTATGAAAGTCTCTTTTTTTAAAAAAAGTTCAAGGAGCAGAACTCTCCTGAGAATGGACACATCACCTGCGAGTCAAATTGAGAATTCCGCAATAATGCATCAAATATGATATGATACGAAGGTATGTATTGTACGTACGTACGTACGTAAATGTAATATTTATATCCATTTCCTTTCTTCCCTCTGTCTCGTTATTCTCATGGTTGATGGAGTAGAAAGTAAATATAGTAGCACATTCCAAATTGAGACTCATTTTCTCTTCATCACTCAACTCAAAAATCTCATTTTGAAAAGTTCAACAAAGTTGAAGAAATCCATTAAGTTTCTAATGGGAGTTTTTTTGTACCTACTTAATTGGCAATTAATGTTTATGTGAATGTTGAAATTATTTATTTTGTAAGCTAATTCTTATATTCAATTAAAACTTTGTTGAATGTAAACTTTTCATGTGATGAGCAAGTTTAGTTCGTAATCGACTTCTTGGAATAATAAAGTACAACAATAAACAATTTGTCAATACAACCCTTCATTTCAGTTTATATTGCACAATAAAAATCCAATTAATTTGTATGCACTATTCATGCGGGGAAAATAGCTTGTACTACTCAAGTTTAAGCGGTGTGTTCGTGTGTGGTTAGGATGCATGAATTAATTTACATGTGACAGAATGAGAGCATGGAAATTGTCATACGTACCTTCCCATCACACTTTCTCCATCCGTCATACACTTTCCAAATGTTTTCCGGTCCTGCGGTTCCAAGTAGTTTCCCGACTTCGAGGAACTGGCCCAACTGATTATTTTCAAGTACGGGATTAGAGGAGACTGGGCTGTGAGGATGACAGTGTGGTTGATAAAAATTGTGATGCTTGTTAAACTTGAACATTACGACGACAATGGGATCGTGTACGTGTAGCACTTGGTCCTACGTCTCGTATCGGCTAATAATCATGGATTTTGGCACTAAAAGGAGGACGAGGACATGATATCGCTCGTCCCTTGTCAGTTTGTGTGTGTGTGTTTCGGGAAGTTTGGAGGCGAGCGGAGGACTGGAGCCAGGAATGGATTGTGTGAAGTGAAAGCAAGCAACCTGATGAATCCTACCACCTGTAGGATTACTTTGCTCCCAGGATTAGACTTTCTCTCTCTCTCTCTCGTTCTCTGTTTGTTCTGCCTCCAACTCTGACGGGGGTGACGCTTGCGTTTGCGTATATCCTTGGCCAAATCTGGGACGATTTCTTACCTGCTCACTTGATATTTCTATATTCTATATTTGGGGATGAGATCTTGATCGATATTTTTAGTAAAATATGTTTCCACTCCTTTTAGCCTCCTCCATGGAGCGGTGGTGGGCAGTGAGTGAGTAAACGAGCCAGTGTGAGTGTTAAACAGCGGGGGAAGTTGTTGGAGCCAGCAGAAGCAGCACCACCACCACCACCAGTGCTTTCACTGGGAGAAAGGCAGCAGCTCCACCACCACGCACAACATCCTCCTCACTTTCTCTCGCTCTCTGTCCCCGGATCTCATCTTCCTTGATTCATGATCAACAAGCTGCACCACCACCACCGCCAACCATCTCCCGTTCTCTTCTCCAGGAACGTCTACCTCCCATGTCGTCAGAGCCCGTGTCGTCAGAACCCACAACCAGAACCAGAATCGGATGACACTTTTTTTATTCATAACCAGAGCAGGGGATACAGGATAGAGGGACAAGGACGTGAAATGGCTGGGGTGAAAATAGAAAGCACAGGTTTATGGCAGAACATAATGTGTGCGTGTAGCATACTTTTTTGTCTCGTTTCAGGATATCTCCGTTCAGCATATTATTCCCCTCTCATCCTCAGTGTGTGATGATCAACATCCCAAGCAAAGTTTGGGCTGGAAATAGAGAAAAGAGAGAGAGCGAGGTAGTTGCGAAAACCTGGCTGTGTTGCTTCTACTGCTCTCGCAACTATCTGAGCAAACAAGTGTGGGCAACCAAGCCAAACAACGTAAAACCGACCGACCAACAACGGAGGACACATTGTGTATAACGGACCATACAGCAGTCGTCAAAAAGATTGGATGATAACCATTCAGCATAACGATGTCAGATGTCATATCTCTCAGACAGAGGCAGTGAAAGCAGCGTTGGGTGGGAGCCCAGACAATGCAGTAGGCTTCGTTTTTGGATTTCCCAGGGACTGTTGAATGTATTCATGTACTTTGTATTTATGTGATTGTGTGTGAACCACAAGGATCTATAAGTAACAGCGCCATGAATTTCTCATGACTTTATGAATAAGTGATGGTCGCTTTCACTGTGGTCGGCCCTTCAGCTCAATCACGTATCAGATTGAGCAAATTAAGTCACACAAATTACATGATTCGTATGTTGATCCATTATGGTCGTGTGGTGGAATGATTTATCGCCCTCATTTGTAAGCAGTGCCAAGTTCAGAGGTGGTGGACTAATCCCATTAAGGCAAAGTTAAAATTAATCGCCCCTCTCTGCTAGGCATCCTCTATGACATTTGTAATTGAAAATAATAGCAAAACTACAGAGTGAGGCATTAAAGGAAGGACGGTTGCGTGCCGACTAATTGCAGTTATTATGCTGAATGATTATACGCTTGGTTAAAAAAATATTGCTGGGGGACAGGTGGTCACAGTAATCGGAATTCATAAGTGGCTTACTTTAATTAAGTTGGTGAATTTATGTTGTATTTCAAACATTAATTGCCACATGCGGAAAAAAAACATTTGTATTCCACTCAAATTATATGTATACATCAGTGGTTATTACTCAATATCCATTGTGTGTATAACACATTTTGATTTCCTGATCAATGAACTATTTATTTAATAATTATGTAGTAACAAGCATATTAAATATTAAATACTACTCAAAAAGCATATCGAATATTATGCACAACTGTCTTTTAAGACGTACGTGTATGCATTTTCGTTTAGGTAGCACAATTTGCTTGACATATGGAGAGTTAAGAACGCTACCTGCCTATGATTTATGAGCAAACTTCCGTCTATGCATCAAGTCATGGTTTAGATCAAATGGTTGCATATGTATGTATGCATTTCATCCTTCATTTTCATGCATAAATGTAGAAATTTGGCACAACTAGCAGTTTTTTAATACATTTAGTAACTAGAAAGATGTACATAAAGTGACTCAAAATTAAAAATGACTCAAACCATTGTGGACCAAGATATCATAATACTCTTACTCTTAATATTTGTCTTTAACATAGCCTACAGACTGGCTCTTTCTCTTTCTATCCGTTTTAAATTACAGCCCTTGACTTGCTTCAGAGCAAGCTTTTGAGTAGCATATTCCTTATTGTTATACATCACATAATATGATTACTAAATACCATAATGTTGAATAAAGCACAGACAATGCAGACAAATAATCCTCTTATGCGACTCCTTGTACAGTTTCATGAAAATCTTTGCGAGGTTTCCCCCAGGACCAAATTACTGCCCTGCCATCCAGAACCCAAGTGGAGAAAGTTGGTGGTTGGGGAAAGCGGAGATGCGGCCGGAAGAAGAGGTGACGGTGGTGGTAGCTCGTAAGAGATGCTGGTAACCAAAGGGTTAGATGTCGCCTAGATGCGCACACAAATGTACGAACTTTACCACCACCATCAATGACGATGGTGACTAATATGCAGGATCTGCTGATCTGAACTTTCTCCACTTGAAAACCACTCATCCTACCCACACGCATACATTGTTATTACACATATCTGAATAAAAACAGCATTCTTGACGTTTCACTCAAACAGCAAACATTATTATCTCGTGGATTTATTTAGCTATCTGTCATCGCCATTCGTAATAAAATAAGTACAATAATTTTTCTGCGCATAAACTTTGGACAACAACATTTTAAGATTCAGCAGAAGGTGGGTGTTTATAGACAAAAACATTGTTGAACTGCGTGACCTTGCTGATTAAGCACCCAGCAGTCGGAGAAAGTGTGAGACGACTGAACGAGAAGGAGATTCGCTAAAAAATTTGGGCCACGACGTCCTGCGTCACAATTTCTTTCTTTCACCACCAGATTGTCAGTAATTGATAAAAGTGACTTATAGGCCAAGGACGAGGAGATAGACGTATATGCAGATACGGCATATTTGTTACAAGTGGTAGAAGCCCAAGAGGAAAACAGTGCGATATAGGTAGATTTTGATGTCTTGGATTATTCAACGGGACAGTTATCAAAAGTTGAACAGGTCTGTTGTACAATCAAAACATTAAGCTACGAAGGATAGACTAAATTTTCTGACTTTTACTACAGAGAAATGGATTCCTTATATCAAAACTATTCGACGACGGACTTTCACCGCATGGCACAAGCGATAGCATCGAATATTCAGAAAATTACACAAAATGGTTAGTGACTGTAAATTGATCGACCACGGTATATTAATCTATTATTTAGCCCTTGTTAACAAATTCATATTTCACAGTGGCATCCATTACACGAATGGTTGGTCAGATTGGATCATCGGTGCATGACTCCTCACCTGAATTACGTAGTCAGTTGTGAGTTATACATATATATTCCCCAAGTTTTTGGATTTCATAAAAAAGATGAGATTAATTTTTAATGGGGTTATTTATTTTCAGACATAAAATTACTCATTACACTGGACAATTGGCAAAAGACACAAACGGAGAGTTGAAGGAGTTAAATAAATTCAATCTAAATGACCAGCGTCAACTGAAACTCCAAAGAGAGAAATTAACGTCAGATTTCTCTGCGGTGTTAAACTCATTCCAAAATATTCAAAGGTTCCGTTGAAATGAAATTTTATAATCATTCTGTTGACACTTGTACAATTTTACGAATTAATTTTTCTAGAACTGCTGCCCAAAAGGAGAAAGAGTCTTTGAAAGCCTCCTCATCCACAAAAGTACCTTTTTTGGAAGGCCCTAATCAGCAAGCGACTAATCAGCAGCATGGACAACGACAGCAACAAATGTTATTCCAAGATTTGCAAGAAGATGAACAGGAAGTGGAACAATTGAGACTGCGAGAAGTAAATATGAAGGAATTAATATATACTATACGTGCAGATTGTATTATGGATCTGAATCATTAATCAACTAATATTTGAATGATCAACAGCAAGCCATCAGACAATTGGAGTCTGATATTCTTGATGTCAACCAAATATTTAAAGAGTTGGCCACCATGGTTTATGATCAAGGAGAAGTTGTGGATTCCATTGAATCGCATGTCGAATCTGCCCAGATTGAAGTCAGCCAAGGGGCTAGTCAACTGGAACGTGCCCATACATACCAGGTAAATATGTAGATTTTAATGCACTTACGTAGAAATTCACTATTTTAGAATATCATGATTTTTATTATAAAACTTTGAGTTTTGGTATTTTTTCTAAAAACAATGCGATACTCATGTTAAATCAATTAATAATTGTTAATTCGTTATGTTTATGTTGAATGGTTTAACATTTATTTATTTTTTATTTTCGTTTTTCTGACGCCCAGAACCAAGCGAGACGTAAACAGCTTTGTATTATTTGTACCTGCATTGGCGTTCTCATCGTTTTCATTTTGATACTGTATTACTCATTCTAATCAAACCGTTTTTTCACGCTGCTTACTCCACAATTTTTGGACCACAAAGGGAAGAAAACGTCGCAACTACTTCTACTTTCTCCTGATCGTTACGATTCTAATAATAGCCATATTAATCACGATAAAAATGTTTGAATAAGCTACATGCCATTGTTATCACGTATGTGCACTCCTTTAATGTCATACATATGCATTATATTAAACGAAATAATATAATTCAATATAGAGTTACAACTTTTGCAGACTATTTATTTGACTTATTGAATGCAAATCATTATTAATGAACCAGATCATTGAATTTTATTTTTGTAAGTGATAATATGGTAATATACGCGTGATTTCAATAAACAGGAAGGAACAAAGCTCGAGTCATAGTAGTCTACAAAACAAGTACAAGTATTCAACATAAATTGGAAACCATAAAATTCTAGGACATTCTTCTTGTTATACATAAATATCATATTATCGTAGTCAGATTATCATGCCGATTATCAGTATTATCTCATCAACATTCCCACAATTACACCCCTCCTTCAATTGTAGATATTTCAGATATTTTCATAGAACAGTAGTAGATGGACCTGGCCAGGAAAAATAGAGCAACCAAGAATGCGCCTATATATGCAACAAAGAGTCCACCTTTCTTCTCTGCAACGGAATACGTCCCAACGGTCACTCCCACTATTTCAAATACAAATATTTATAACGGCTTTATAAATACAGATAATATATTACATGTACGGACTCTTACCTCCAATAAGTAGAAACAGAAAGGCAAGAACTAGAAACAATATTCCACGTGACCGAGCAAAATCAGGACCAACAGACGACCTATTAAATTATAAAATATGAAATATCAATCATATACTAATTTTAAAACGTTCGTCGATCAAGGAGTAGAAACTATAGTTTAAGTAGATAAAAAAGGGAATTACAATTTACGACAATGAGGACAACGTGCCAGCGAGTTGTTTAATGTATTAAACAGAAAAGAATCTGCACAACTGGCACAGTTAACCCTCGCCATTCCCAGAGGTACAGCTGGTAGCACAGGGCTTGGAGCAAGATTGATTATTCTCTTGCCTAAAAATTATTCAAAAGATAACGTTTTTTAAGATTGTCCATTATAACCATTAACTGTTGCAATAATTGGAGTTACAATTTGGTCTGGGACAAGCTATTCTTTGAGAACTAGCTCGGCAGATCAACAAGCAATGACACGGGCATCTGACATACTTCTTTCCTGGAGGAGGTGGTCGAATGGGAGTCGCTTCTGAACAACTTCCACACTTTACCACATGCTGCTCTCGTTTGTCACTAATGTCAATTGTTGCCTATAGTGAAATTAGAGGAGGAATTAAAAAAGAAGAAATAATGACCCATGCATAAATGCATAAGTAAACTATTCGAGAGTCTTTCTTGCCTGGCATACACCATCAAAATGCTGGTACATATTTTGCTACAATGTATGACTCAAAGCGGAATACATACCTGACATACACGGCAGGTCACCATAGACCCAGAAGGAAGGGTCACATATTCTAAGTTGGAGCGATCCACAGTTCCTTGTGAGGTGATGATCACTGTTGGAGCCTCTCCCGTATCAAAAGGCGCTGTGTGTAATACAAATGTAACCAAAAACGCATACATACAATTTAATTTTCAGGTTGCACAATTTTTTCGCTTTACCTGGTTTGGCTCCTCCATAAGACTGGCCTAATAAAGGCTGGCTTTCTCCACCGTCATCCATTCCGGTCATCAATCAGGTAAGACTTTTGCAAAGAATGTCAGTGGGCGTTATATATGCCTCACACGTAGCGACTTTTAGGCCTGTTAAAAAGACAAATACATTTATTAAATTATTTGATTTATTAAATTGTGTTAAATCGTCACATTTTGAATCAGGTGAAAGTCTGAAGACTCGATCCAACAATTTATCATGAAACGTGAGAAATTAGGTGTGCTATATGCGTAATACGACATAATTCATTTGTTTATTCCGTTTTGACACTGATTGCGTATAATACGCGGCGCATTTGTTAACATCAAAACCAGTGGTTTTAAACCACCAAATTGACTAATCCTAAGTTAAAGAGTGAGTAGAAAGCCCATAGATCTATAATGTTTTGTTTAGCAATTTTTAGAGGTGTAGTGCTGATTATGACTCACCTTTTGTTTATGCAATCTTCCTTCTTTAGTGGCCCTCCTCGTTTAGGCCAATCTAGATTTTTAACATCACAGTTCTTTTCCCTTGTACTTAAGTCAATCGCCAACCTTTGCAGACTTATTGATCTCTACTTGTTTCTCTCCGTTTAGTTCAAAAATTACTCCTTTTTCGACGCACTTATGACTTAATTACAAATTTACAGAATTTACACGACAACGAAATGGCATACGATTGCCATCTCAGTGAGTGAGTGAGCTGTTAAACAGTCGCTCTTGCTGGAAGAGCCAGCCAGTAAGTAACAACTTGTTTTTTTCTACCTTCACTAGCTATGCAGTATTATTCAATTCACCACTAATTATATTAGTTACAAGTTGTAACTCTGCTAAAAGTGATGAAGTAAAAATTATATCTCGGAAGGAAATTATAAACAAGAGAGAAGGAGGAGAATAATATAAAGCGAATGACAACTCACTCCTCCGTATATATTGAATCCCCTCTCTGCCACACAGGCTAAACCATTTTACATCACAAACCGAGTAAAATATCGGACTTTGTGTGAGTCCGATTGCATTGGAGGAATGAAAGTTGGTGGTTGTTGCTATACGAAGAAGAAGAAGAAGCAGCGAGAAGAAAGCTGTACTGTTTTTGATTTAGGTCTCGTGATGGGAGGATAAGCTAAATGCAGAGCGTTATTTTATATAGTTTTACCATGAGAAGAAGCAAGTTGACATGTTACAAGATCTCTATTGTCGCACTTTATGGTAGTTCAGTATAAAACATGACGGGACTATCATCATCCATGATGATGATATGTAAATTACGTCCCAACTTTTTATCCACAGGACAGACTGGACAAGAGCGTATATATGTATGCAATTTGTTCTTCGTCAACTGGATGCAATTGTCCGCTAGCTAGGTCTATTTTTCTGTTTTCTACTCATAGCAAACATTCGCCTAAAATGCTGCGATGATGATGGTGAGAATTTGTTTAGATTAGGAGGTTCCTACATACATATTTATGTAGCGTCACTCTGGTTTCGTATATATGAGGTAGCGATCTATACTCCAGTGCACTATAGACAGATCAACCATGAGCAAAATTTTTTGAGCAAATAAGCGCAGAGATATTGGCAATTTGTCGAGTCACATATATTTGACAAACTTGACTGGACTTTGATGATGATGAACTGGAACTGGTCCACCTTGAGGTTGCATTAAAGGTTTGCTTAACATGAATAATAGATTCAATATTTCTATGTAAATAGAAAGCATACGTAATTGTGCAGCATCTTACGTGATTCACCGTATTGTTGTAATACAAGAGACAACTATTAAAATGCGTACGGTTGACAGCAGGCAACTAGTGCAGAAATGCCGGTGCTGGTACATATTCATTTGGCTTAAAGCGTGGATTCATGATGCCAATTTCCGTATTATATCATGGTGTAATGGCTTGATTGTTTTATTTATTAAAAATTATAAAAACATCATTGTTATAAACTGTTTGCATAAGAAATACCAAGAACACAAGTTTATCAACTAATATATAGGCACATATTTTACAAAACAAGCAGAAACGACACAATATTCTAGTATAAATATAGTATTATAGTTTTATCCGTCTTATAAATAATGAAAATTAAATATATAATTTTGGCTTATAAAATATTTAATCTTTGGATAATTTAAAGTATAAACGGCACTGCTTATTTCATTGTAATTGAGATTCGCTTCTTATTGGCATCATGGTTTTGAAAAACCGAAATGTATGCTTAGTAAAGGCCTTAACAGGAAGAACTTTTAAGTTTTTCGAGCACCGCACCAATTGGAAAATCGGGTGGCCGGATTCAAATTTAGGAAAAACTGAACCACTCTCCCAATAAATTGATAAGTATTACGTGCAGTTATGTGGTCATCCACTGCCCGCTGCTGCAGCCTTCTCATTTAACATCCCCATAATCCTGCTGAATATGGGGTGCGGAATGTAGTCGTCGTTCAAATCATCGACCAGTGTGACCTGTGAAAATATTGTACATAATATTATGGGTTATTGCTAATCGTGATTAATCGACGGACAAAATGCGAGAAATTATTACACTGACCTCGCAATTGAAGCTGACTTTTCGATTTCCCGAGTCCACACTTTGTCTTCTACTGTTGGTCTCAAAGTCGTGTGGCGACGGTCTCCTGATGGCGGACGGTGGTGCAGGTGCTGGGAGACTGGACAGCGTTGAGAGATCTGGGACGGAGAGGCTGAGGCTGGACGGGGGGACGTACTTGGAGCCCTTCCTTTGGTATTTGATCCTTCTCCTCACCGTGGCGTAGCGGTTGCTCGCAGTTTCGGACACAATCATCCCCTCCACTTGAGGCAGTGCTGTGGACTCGTGGAAAATGAGGTGTGGTCTGGAAGGATCCCTTGGTGTGGCGTATACCGTCGTGGCGGCTGAGGCTGTCGATGGGGATCGTACAATTGAGGCTGAGGCACTGCTGGAGCAATTTGAACTGAACTCTGAACCTTGGCCTGAATCTGTGTCCAAGGGCCAATTTTCGTAAATTCGTTGATCTGATTTAAACATGGGGTTACAATCTACCACGGGTCTACTACTTCCTGTCGTAGTTTGACGTGGAGCTGAAAATTTAGTGGGTAAACTGGGAGGGTTCGCCGAGTTAATTTCCGGCAGGGGGGAAATTTGTTGTTCTTCTTTGCAGTAGAAGCAGTAATATACAAGAAATCCGTAGGTAATTGGGTGGAACCTAGACTCGATCCATGTTCTGTACAAGCTTAGAATTCTTCGGGAATCGATGAAAATCCACACATCTTCGAAAAATTCAGAATCGGAAATTAGAATTATTGTTTGAAATGAATAAGAAAATGTCATGTTTATTAGCCAATAAATACCTAGTCGTGAGTGATGAAATAGCGTTGCATAGCCCCATTGCGGCGAGTAGAGAATCACTGCTTTGAGGTGGAGATCTGCAATGGACTTTGAGGTCTCGAAGATGAGATGGGGACGAAGACGGGTGGGTAAAAGGGTGATGAGACTTCCTGGAGATGGATCAATGAAGCAGATCGGAAGTATGGCTGGAAGTGAGTTTAGTAACCGGAACACTTTTGTCTGACCATGACAGTTGGGCTGAGTAACACAATGAGTCATAATTTATTAACTCCGAGGGTACTTACATGTAAGGATGCAAAATATTGGAAGCATGGCAATATATGGAAATCACTTACTTGAACACAGAACTCCTCCGAGTCCAATGAAGTTTTTATGGCAAATTCAAAACTCGGCTAAAATAGTGGACAAAGTAATTATTTGTAATTAGTTTTATATTCTATGTGAATTATTGTATGCATTGCGAATAAAATACTCTATACTCACCCAGTCGTTACTCAACAAAGTTGACGAGTCAATTTGCATCGTATACTGTCGTCAAAGAAAGTAAACCCATGAATCTATTGTAATACAAGAGTACTGGGTTTTTTTCAGAGCTCTAATTAGCTTACCTGAGATATGGACTCCACATAATTCGTTGTGCGACAATGGAGGCAAATTTTTGTGACATTAAATTCTGTATGAAGTTGAAGTCCGGACGCAGGGGATGCGTCACTGGACCCCTCCTCAATTTGACGTATTACTGATTCCTGTTATTTTAATTGCCATTATGAAATTGTCTTAACATATTTAACTACTAATTAGTTTCATAAATATGTTGTATAAAAATTAGCGTACATAAATAACGGCATGAGCCACACCGCTTCCCGAGATCTTCCCCATTTTCCCAACCCCCTTCCAGTTGATATCTTCAATATTCGACTCAATGACATGATGGATATGCGGAGGGTCCAAAACAGACTCTCGCATAAGAAGGCTTAAATCCGTGAATAGACTCTGGAAAATAAATGCAATTTTTATTTCCTACTCGTGAATATTTATTCTTGAATTTCCTACTCCTCAGAATTAAAATGCATGTTTAATTTCTCATTATGCTATACATGTAAAATGCCGAGCCGGAAAAAATGCTTAATGTGAAATATATTACCTTGAAACTGCAAACCGTACACGAAGAACTCGTTGCTGTTGTGGGAGCATTAGAGCTGGGCATTGAGTTGCACCGATGCCACCCAATTTTTCTGAAATTTCTCCGGAAGTAGTCCAAATGATACAAGACTCTAGTCAACTCAATTATTGGGGACTCCATTATTGGAATTCCAAAATGCAAATTAGATTATTCGCACACGACACTTTCCACGTCACAATGATAAACAATTAAACAATTCACTATCACTTTTCCATTTAAATTAAAGGGAACTCATTTATGACACGCTCCAATCAATTAAAAAGTGAATGTATGTGTACCACCATAAACGATAGCCTCCTTTTTGTGTGGCTTGTTTTCAGCTACGTAAGTTTCTTCTTTACTCACAATTAGCACTAAACTGTAGACAAACTAAAGAGTTCGAGACCTTTTCCCTCTTTTAGTAGATGAGATAACATGTATTTTTTGTATTCTTAATTTAAGAGCTGGGTTTAAAACCCTTTTATCATCATACATTGATTGTATGAGATGAGTGTAGGCAGAAGCAGTAGTAAACAGTGAATAGTAAGGCAATCTCTTCTGGTGTGCGTACTATTCCGTCCCAGTATGGAAATGTATAAAAGATGCGAGATTTCGTATGGCTTTGTTGGTACCCAAACGCTATAGGGGCACAGATTGCTTTTCCAACAGGTAAGTCAAGTCAACAGGCAAGAATATACGTGGATCGGATACAGGACGACGATGAAGAAGTAGCGTCTTAGAGAGAACCACTTAAGAGCGAGCATCATTGCAGAGATCTTCCTGTGCCGCTACCCTTCCCTCGAGCAAGTTTTCCCATTATTGTTGCTTCAGCCCCGGACGGACGGACGGACGGATTTGTTCACTTCGACATCCTTCTACCTTTGCATGGCAAAGTAATAATAAATTGTTGCTCTGCCGTATGTGCCGTGCCTTGCTTTGCTTGACAATAAGGGGTGAGGTGGACTTTATAGCGGAGCAACCAACCCCCACCAACAATTGGATTTAATACTCGTGGGTATCTACTATCCCTCTAAATAGTAGGTGGTGATGTTATGTTGTCAGGCTGAGTCTGTCCTTTTCTTACTCAAAATGAGTAAGTGGTGGGAATGGGAAATGAGCTTTTTTTTTTATTTGACCGTGTAGTAGTAATAGTAGTAGAAGGAGAAGGAGTCGTCGTCGTCGTGATTATGGCAGGTGGTGGTAACTTTTTTCTAGGTTGGTGTGTTTGTCATGGCTTGGCTTACCTTTTCCTTATGCCACGTTATTTCATTTTACTACTACCTACTCTTTCAAACTTCACAAGTCCCATCAGCAGCGTCAAGGGGAGATTGGGAAGTGGACTTTTCATACTGCAAACAAAAACATGGTTTGTATGTTGCAGACAAACTTTAAGTTTTACAATCGCATTACAACTCGGCCCCAAGCATCCCATCCAAATCAAGCCATTCTAAAATACTACATCACGTCAATAACTGCTGAGGGGATGATGCGTGCACAAAAACGAAAGGAACCAGACGATGATACAAAGTACAAACTAAACATAAATGCATAAGTAACATGGCGTAATGTTTGCATGCTTAATACGATGGGTCTGATTATCATTATACTGCTAAAATGTGAGTTTAACATGTGTTTATAAATACAAAAAAATAAATGTCAAATTGTCATCATAAAAAATCAGTTGGCATTCATTTTTGCTCTGGTTTTCTTCAGTTCTGAGTCGGGGAAATCTCATTGTCAAAATAATACCCAAAATTATAGCAGATTTCATCAAAGCGGTGAAATGTATGCATGACACAAACGTGTCGTCTTAAATTTTAATTTTGAGCGTGTCCTGGCAATTCAATCCCCTTCACCATCCACCATCAAACATTGGGATGCGTAATCGCGTCTCCTGAGCAAAAAACAGGGACTTGAAAGAGTGACTCACAATCAGTCAGAGCGTTGCTGCCTGCAAGTCAGGTGCAGAGGCAAACTGAGCCAGGGTTTGGAAATAAATATCAAAGGGGTTTAGTGTACGTATTGGGGGACCGGTGTTGCATCTCGTCGTGACTATACGATGTACACGAGGAGAACGAAAACATAATTAAAGGTCTGTTATAAGGCACACGGGACTACTTATCAGCCGACGATATACATACACACACACGACGGATGAACAGGTATTGCTGATGATGGTCTCCTTATTGCATATGCAGTCTTGGTTCATTTCATCCAAATGACTTTTTACTCATTCTACCCTCACTCGTTTGTGGTGCACCTTTCTTACATTTCCCTTTGTATCGCCTTCCAACCATGCCTGTAATATTTTATTCTCATGGTCATTTAACTCAACCTGAGTTTTGAGTTCATCCAAGGTTCAGCCATACTAAACAATGCATATGAAACTTGTTGCTTTGAACTTGGCGTTGGCGATGGCACAATAATAAGCAGCAGCAGCATACGAATAAGCTCAGATAAATACACATCCCGTCTCAACTTTTGCTTCCCATCGCCATCAGCATGTCTTTTACTACATGTCTGTATACCCACCTGGATTTGTTTCTCTCCCACGACCGTGAGCAAAGTGAAGCAAAATCTCTGGTCTTGCACTTACCTGTTGCTCTCGTAATAATAATCTCTCTAATATCTCCATGCAACAGGCTGGGGGCTGCTTCTTATCGTTCTCGTATTGTTGTTGCGTTGGTGGTGGTACTGCATTTTGACTGCAGTGGATCCACGAATCTCTCATTTCCTTCCCTCCCTTTCCGTCTTCCCAAACAAGCAACAATACAGACCCAAAGCCAACGAAGTAATCTCAAATCTCCATCTGTCTTCCTTCCCTTCATCCAACGAGTACAAGTGTAAAACATAAAAACGCTACAAAAATCAAGGATCATCACGACGACCACTCACTCTACTTGATCGGTGGGCATATGGCATGGCTTTCTTTGACATGGTCAATATTTTAAGGCGGTTGTTTGTGGCGTCAGTTTCTCAATATTCTTTGGTTATACTTACTTTTGTTATATAACCAACCACTAATAATCTTAGAAGATGCTACTAAATCATCAGTCAGTGTGAAATGAATGAGACATTTTTGCACTGCAATTATTTACCGTGCAGATGGTAAAGAAAGAAGCCAGAGTACATATTTAATTGCGTAACCAGTATTTCTACATGAATTGACCCAATTTATTAAATTACTTTTTTTGAAATGATCTGTTGCAACAACAACAACTGTAAAATAGTACATTTGATTGACTGGGTGATGGACGGGTCAGAAGAGATTTTTAACACTTTCGATTAGCATGGACGAGTGTGCGTCTTCCTTATTTCTAGAGTCACGAAATCATGAAGAAGCACTTTGCATCCTTTTTTGCATTTTAAATAATAATAATCATGATTGAAAGTTTAGGTGCATTCCATTAATTCAATATTTTGACACATCTTGATAGCAAAAACTAGAATATTCCACTTTAGCAAAATTCTTGTTAGTATTTGTTTTCAATGTATTTACCAATATAATCCTTCAGCGGATTCACGACTCAAACCTTGTATTGCTTTGTTGGAGCAAAGATCAAAATTGGGAGAACGGTAACACAATAGCAAGTCGTAGACACGACAAACTTATCGATTACCACATCAAACTCACTTTTCATAAAATGTGTAGAATTATTCAATTAAACCAGTCATGAAGATTTTGTTTTCAATTTTCTACTTCAAATTTATTTACCTCACGGATAATGAGAAAGTAAATGGGTAACAACAATGAGCCGTGGTTTGCCTATGGGTGTGAAATTGGATAAAATGCTTAGGATTAGCTTAATGGGCTGGTTATGCATGAGATAAGAATCGGTGGGCAGTCATGGCCAATCTTTTCAAATTTTTCAAATGCATAATAAGACAAAACATATCTCGACGTTACCACATAAAAATTACAAAGTACAAAAATTAGTTACAATTTCATTTTTATTACAGAATGCACACTTTCGGTTTTTATTTGTATTAAACTTCGTTCGCAATCATTACAACCAAAATAAAACAGTAAATAAGTAAAAACATTCAAATTCACACGTCACACACACACTACAAACAATTATATCACATTTTTCTCAACAATCCAGTGGTTTCACACCACCCACCTTTTTGACACGCCAGTATTATTGTTCGGATCACGACACAGACACTCCATTTATTGTCACAATATCAGATGAGGAACTTGTTACACCGTAGTCATCTAAATTTTCATAAATTGGATCCATTGGTTCTACAGTAGGATTGTCGTAGTAATGTTGCTGAGGTTGACCCATAAAACTGGAGGATGTCGAAGTCAAAGAACTTGATGTTGGAGTTGGGAATACCACCATCGGTTCACCCTTCGTAGGTTCCGAACGTCGAATATCATTCGTATTTTTCTCATTACGACGCTGGCGAATATGCCAAAGAAGGAAGAACAAGACGCCAGTAACGATGACAAATCCAATGGCAAGTCCAACAATTACTCCAACGACGGAAGAGGAAGAATCGCTGGATGCATTTTCGTTTTGCTGTTTTGAGACAGCCGTAAATTCTTCATGATTAAGGCAAGTGGGTGGCGAAGGGGGGTCCCATTTCCCAAATTCCGAACAAGTGAGTATCTGGAAATAATGATACGCGCTTATTTATTGCGATTTAGTAATTTAAAATTAAGTTTTAATATAGTTTAAGTGGATGATAATTGAAATTCAGAGGGGTGGGGAATTTTCCTTTCTGTTAGGAAAGTACGTACACTATACATACTTGTGTACTGGGCAAGAAAAGGTGCAACATGCAATTTAATCGTTTCTCTATTTTTTAACTCTAACTATGTGGTTATTGCATTCAAACTTGATCACACGAAATGTACAACGCATATTATATTTTGTTACCCTTACAGAAGCTTGTCCTGGTGAAATTGAGTAGCCGGGTATACAGTGATACTCCACCTGCATAACAATATAAAGGTCTTGTATTATACATATTCCATTGGTTAACAACTTGAAATGGATGTTTACCATGGCGGAATACACCGTTGAAACATTTACAAGAAACTGTCGAGCGTTTGTGGCAGCTGGCGGAGGGGAACATTTGACGTCTGAAATTTACGTAAATAAATTATTTTAAATATTTGAAAGATGATAACAATGGAAAAACACTGCGAAAGTAATGTGCAAAATTACATTGACACGTTGGAGATTGACCGGACCATTTCCCTCGATCACTGCATTGCCTGGTGGCGTCACCTAGCAAAAATTTTCCTTTTCCACATGAATACTTGGCTAGACCCCCAACTTGAAAATTTGTGTAGTCCACGGTGGCATTGGTACTTTCCACAGCTTCACACGTGATTTCTAACCAAATGCATTGCATATTATAGTTTATAATTTTCGAAAGCTTGATATTTTTACAAAATATATTATTGGCGATTAATTATTTTCCGATATACCTCGGCAATATGGTTCTGATCCTGACCACGTTGAATTCTCAAGGCATAATCGTCTGGAATTCCCTATCAACGTGTAACCGTTGAGACACTCGTAAATCACAGCACTGCCAAAAACCGTCGTGTTACTAGTACAACTTTTCTTTCCATTGGCAATCTCTGGAAGATCACCACAGTCGACAAATTTGCACATTGTTTTGTCACTTGTAGACCACACACCTCCGCCGTTACAGGTTTGCATCTTATCCCCCTCGAGTACGTAACCACGTTCGCATCGTAGTTTCAAAATAGTTCCAATTCGAAAGGTGGTGTTTAGATTTTGTTGAGACGCAGATTCCGCGGTGAGCAAAGACTGTGTGTTGAAACGGTCATTTTTGGCCACTGTTGCGACAGAGGATGGAGGCAAATGGGGAAAACTACATCTAACTTCTAAGCAGGATGGAGTGGAACCGCTCCAACCTCCATTTGCGGTACATGTCCTTGTCCCTGGTCCGCTAAGTCTGTAGTTGGGGGCTGAAAGAAGTCATAATATTAGTGCACGTTCTAGGGGGCACTATGATCGATAATTCGTCTTACCACATGAATACTGAACCGTCGAATCTAGGTATGTTTTCCCAGAAGGATAAACGGCTTGACCAAATGGTATTGTCTGAGAACGACCACAGTCGATAACTATTATTTGTATAGAAATACACACATATATTTAATCAATTGTTTTCATATTTAGGGGATTCTACTAATCGTAAATCGTCTGGTCTTACATCGACATTGGGGAGCAAGCCCGCTCCAGGTTCCCATTAATGTGCATCTACGAATTTCTGTCCCACCGACCATCACATGTCCCTCTTCACAATGGTACTGGATTTCTGATCCTACCGAAAAGTCATACCCTGTGACGAATGAACCGTTTGGTACTTCTGGCTCGTCACAGACGATCACTGCGTAATGCATAAAAATATCCATTACATACATTATGCTTTGAAAATTGAAAGACCGTATTCTATTTAAGTGGTTATTAATATTGATAATCTTGCTCAGAATTAGTACATTGGCATTTGATGAGCGTAGTCCAAATTGGAGTCCTGCTTCCAAAGTTGCCCATCATCTCCCAGTGCCCACGTTCGCTGCATACGATTCTGTTGCTTGATTCATCACTGAGTTCAAAATTGAGATCACACGATGCTACTGCGACTGAGCCCAAAATGGGGGTAGGCGCACCCTCGGAATTATTCATTAAATTGAATGTCCCATTGGATAAATTTGGCAAATCCCCACAAGTGATAAATTTGCACATTGGAGGGGAGTTATCGTACTGCAAATAAGAGACATTATTAGGGTATACATTTGGAAAGACAAAGCTCCTATCTAAAAATGTTCCTTGTGTAACTGCACCTTTCCTCCAAGTTGGCATCGTAATACGGAAGACCCGATTAAGATATGGGCTGCATTGCAAGAATATGTGACCGAACTGCCTGCAGTCTTCCCGGATGCCTTAAACGTGCCGTTGACAATTTCCGGTGGATCAGGACAAATTGAATCTGGCCATAGAAAAACGAGTTTGTTATGAATTGTTACACACTGGCAATGCAATTATTGTTGAAGTCAATAAATTCTCACTTAAACATTTAGGTTCTGCACCAGACCATTTTCCTTCGCGAGTACAAGTTCGCGTCTCCTGACCTTCGGAAAAGGTGAATCCCGTTATGCACTTGTACATTATTTTTGCTCCATAGTACGTAGAGTTATTTCCTGGAAGAATTATCTCGCCATTCTCAATTTTGTTTTTTAAAGGTTCGTCACCACAATCCACGACTATATCGAAAATAAGATGCATGGAAATACAATGAATTTTTAATTAGTTTACATGAATATCTATCAGATATATTATGTAAAATTGCTTTATGGTACATTTGCATGAAGGACAGGTTCCATTCCATAAACCATTCTGTTGACAAATTCTGGTGGAATCTCCACTTTCTAGAAAGTATCCCGGTTTGCTGCATCTAAATGAATGAGTTGCGAAAAAAGGTCAGGTTTATTTCAGGTCGATAACACACGTATACATAAGAAGTTTGTTGAAACATTTTCAAAGATTTTGCCACTTTAACTAATGTCGAGTTTACGCGTACTGGTAAGATGGAAAAAATGAATGGAAGTTTGAAACCCCACCTGTACATCAAAGTCGATCCAACTAAATAATCATCTTTTGCAACGACCAGTTCAGTTCCTTCTTGATAGTCGGGACTGCCACATCGCTTTGGTGCTAATATTTAATAAATGTACGGAATTACTTATATTGAAACTGAGGATGAGTCAAAGCGAATACAAAAAAAAGTCTTACGAAAGACGCAAATCCAGTGAAATAAGTCGAGACCGCATCCAACATCATTCCTGGCAAAAGAAAATAAAGATGGTCCGTTTGAAAATCTGATGCGTGTACATTATCAATTACATTACTAACCAGGTCCAATCTCTACCGCCATCCAGTACTGCACAATTTTGCTCCCCGTTATAATTGTTTGGCTGTTCTTTCCCCCAGTTTGGCTTTTTAACCAAAAGTCCAGAGTCAATCCAACGCCAGGTTCGAGAAGTAAATCCTGGATCTCTGTATTTAGTAAATATTCAATGTACAGTGAATTTCTGGGGGTATTAATCGTAGACATATGTATGTTGTGCTTGCATGCAAGTCTGCTACGTCGTACCTTTCAACGCCAATCCATATCAATGGACGCTTCAACCCTGGTTTTAGCACGTCTAATGTTGTAGTAACTAGATACTGATTTGGCGAATTTGGTTTGAGATGATTTTCAGTCAACAGGTCACCTTTGCGAGCTACGCACTGTGAACGAGCCCCACTGAATGTCTGTGTAACCATAAAACCAAAACGAATGGTCACATAAAAGTGGTCTCAGCATTGCACATCACATAGACCATTGATTTTACAACAATACTTAATAAAATAATTATTTAGTACGCCATTTCATACCTGGCCACTTTTTGTTGCAAACTCGAAACAAGAACCGTTAAAGCTCACAATATCTTCAGCGACAGTGGTTTCAGGAGAACATCTCTGACTTGGAATGCCTTAATTGTTATTATAATCAATTGTTATTTTCAATTATATCTGTAAATTACTCAGATACAAAATCATAAATTTTCTCACCATCAGTTGCAAATACTTCGACTTCACATAACTTCAGAACACTTTCACTTCCAATAATTTGGATAGATAGATGACGACCCTGAATTGGTCTGGCACACGCGAATAACTTTTTCTCTGTTGAAAATTTAAAATTTAGTAAATATATTTCTTACATAAATTACGTTAATTAGAAATTGTACCATCCGGCAGAAATTCCGAGGCAGGTTGCCAGACGCATAAAGGATTTTTTACCCCCAATGGGTTATTTCCGACTCTTTAGTAATTTAAGCATAAAAACTGGTTATTATTATTTTTTTGTGAAACTGATTAAAAAATGAGATGCTTACCTGACTTCTAAATCTACAGACTGAGACGTGGAGACTGCTGGAAAATGTAAATTCATACGCATGTAAACATGAATTTAAGCAAAAAATAGTGTGCACCCACTTACCAGCGTTTCCCACAGATATCCTAATCCCAGTAACATGATGGTTTTGTAAAAGGTCGATTTTCCAAAAAGGGTTTAGCTCTTTAATTAAAAAATGACACAAATTCATACAAATGCATTACGTAAATAAGTACTAATTAACAGCATTAGCAATCAATTAATCTTTCATTATAGTGAACATCTCTGTGCATACCTTTTAATGTTTGACTACAAGTACTGATGGATCCATCATTGGCGAAATGGGACATTTGTTTTCCACTGGATGGATTTGACGCTGCGGCAGGAGTTGACACAGTGGAAGATTGATTCGTTGGACGATTGGCAGCTACATTCGTAGCTATAAATATTAATAATGACTTCAATTAGCAATTTGTTCACGCCACCAAATATATCACATAGTTGCCTTTGTGATTATTCATTAATGGGCTTCACCATGTCAGGCGCGTTTTTGTGTGTAACCCATGTCGTCGAGATACTGTGTGCTTTGTGCATGCAAATTATTTATTGGCAATGGTGATGTATGTGTCGTACACACCTCACAAGGCGCAGGGATCATCATAATTACTGATTGGGCATAAATTATCTTACAGGGTAAAAAATCTGACGAATGACAAGTTGTAACAGGAATACAAAATAATAAATGGCAAGGAAATAATCAAAACCTTGGTAAAATGATATGCATATCCTTGAGATGAAATTTGCGAATTTCAATACAATTTGAGATGAAATTATTGAAAATGCATATTGCGCATACAAAAAATAATACTATGTCAATTACTTAATACTGCAATTTGCTACTGATATTGCAATTGGTATTGTTTGCCAATTACGGTTGATTGATATCAAAAGTTTTAAATAATATTATTAGCTTTTGACCTTTGATTCCTGTTTTTCTAATGCTCAGGTTTTGTGTTTATTGTTGAGATGATGGAAAATTGAAATGAATGCATAACATCCAACTATGAATAATTACATACATACCTACAGCATCCAGCATAGTATCTTTATTGCTTTAGATTTGTAAAATGTGCTAAAAATGGAAAATGTGGAATTGTTTTTCACAGACAGTTAGTGCGTACGGTGGCACTGAGGCCAGAATCTAATGATGCTGAAATAATTGTAATTTAGCCCAAAGATACCAATAACCTCTTCTGCTCTAGTGTTTCTTGAGATTGTGGTAGAAAATAAGGGGTATTAGTTAAGTATACCTATGCTCCCCATTCCACGGCCGAAGGCTGAATGGCACTCATTTCTTTATTATGTGGAGTTTAACTCGTGTGAGAAAGTGTTTAGTTTAATACATTGAACTATAAAAGATTTAGCATTGTACTCATTAACGTCGTACAATTGGGAATGTGTAAACTCTTGGTAATTAAAAAAAGTATTGTTTCATCGGTGTCATGAGTCCCCAAAATGTCAGTTATTCACTGTATCCATCCACTCATCTCTGCCAGCTTAGTTTTCATACGCACTTCATACACATTTCATGCGCCTACATAATAATAATTCATCTACGGTGTTGGTTCATCTTTAATTTTTGAATTTATTCATAGTGGATGATGAAACAACTCGGAAACAATTTAGTTTCCAACTTGGGAGACAACACATGGTCACGTTCAGCTTCTCAAGAATACGAATGAGACTCTTGCGAGGACATTCACAAAGGTTTATACTACACACCTCCAACATACAAAAGTAAGTGTGGAATGAGGTTTCATATGAACATATGAACAACAACAGCGTGAGAACGATTTTCTATAAAGGAAATAAATTCTCATCGAGTAACTTTTGTTTGTAGTGAAACTGAGAGTCTGTATTATGCTCTGCAAATATTTAGGAGCTTACTCGTCGTAAAGCCCATAATGTTTTGCCATTTGGCAGTAATAACAGTGGCACGACGTAGTTAAGTATACATACACACACACTACGATTCTATGGCATTTTCATTTCATAAAGATTCCAAAATTCAATGCTATCTTTGGGCTGTTTATTTTTATTTGCAGTTTCTTCGCCAATTTTCATTCATTGAAGGCGAAGATGGTTAATGAACAAATGCGGCGTCGTGTTTTTCCACGTCACGCATTGCTACCTGCGAATGCCATCCGCCATGCACTTGCTGCGATTATTACCAGGAGGGTCTATTATATTATTTGGCATTATAGGAACTCGACCACATTTACATTAAATATTGAATTAAATGCATAATTCGAAAACGAATCAAGTAGCATGATGCCTAGAAATCGTTCGGTGCAATGGAGCTTACGAGAAGAAACTGCATATCATTTTATTCAACATAATGAATAGACGACTACGATATGCACACCACTTTGGTGGACCGTAAATAGAAGACGAGTAATTTAAAAGGGTTAATCTATGCCTGTGAGCAAGCAAGGCTTGTGTACGCTTGTAGTCTGTGATCTATTTTTAGTAGTGTAGAATCTGGGACAAAAGAGTAGCGACGAAGGACTCACCACAATATCCAGAAGACTTCCACTTTCCCTTGGTACAAATGACCTCGGGATCTCCAAACTCGAGAAATCCTTCATCACAAAATCATTAATATAACAACAATTTATGAATAAACAAGGTGCATCTGGTCAAAATTTACCTTCATCGCACTGGATTTTATAACCCGGAGTGTTGACTAGACTCGCAATCAGTCGAGCGTTGAGTGGGCATGGGGGTGAAATTGACTCACACCCGTTTTGGTCTAAATAACAAATACAATAAATTAACAATTATAGTTGCTGCTGTTGTTGATACAAGTTGGCAGGTGATATTTATTTCATCAACAAAATCATCAAAATAAAACTATTGAAACTCAATCATAGTGTACATAATCAGACTGAAACGCTAAAAAAATATTTCTATATGTTCGAAATCGAAGTCAAATATGTACAACATGGCATTTATCCACATCGCCCTATTACATCGCATATTATGCTCACTCTTCTATATAAAATGAATTATCCGTTTGCTTGCTATTTTTGAAATCTTACTTCTCTTGAGATTCAATTTGCTTTTGTAGAGAAGTTTCACACGGCTGCCAAGTCAGATCAAATGACAATACATAAGTCTTTCAAATTAAATTACAGTGTAATTTTACGTGAGTTTTACGAATTGACTGTCTATGAGTAATCATACTACTTAAAGCCTGTTTTGTCATAAGCCTCTGAGCACCAAATATATGGGAAAGATTTAGAAATTGAAAGTAAAGCCTTTCTGAAAAACTGGGCATTTGATCTGCGACGAATCACATTTGTTCAGACTGTTAAACTCTGAAATTTTGACACGAGGTTCTATTTCTGAATAGCAAATAAATAATACCATTCCGCAGTGTAAGACTCAAGTATGCACATAAATATCAGACTGTCATCTTTAACCGGTTAGAAATTTGGTTCTTACATCATTATATTAAGTACACGTTTAGGTAGTATTACTAATCGTTCAACAAAACAACAAAAAATATTTCATTGATACTTAAGCTGAAAATTCTCATCCTCAAATTGTGGTGGATATGAATTAATTTTCTAATTATGAATGACACTGAGCCACATGACAGTAATTAACAATTACCAGAACATGAATAGTTCTCTGGGATGGCCAAAGACACATTTCAAATTCAACTTGCATGTCTAAATAGGACTCATAAATTATTGGGATTAATCTGACATGATGACAATTGAATGGTGCTGTCGATTAGCACTTAATTGTTTAAACGTCTACGTTTGTACGCATGTATGTAGGTAGCCCAGAGCTATATCAATGACGGAGGATAAATACTGAAATGCGATTAAAATGGATTATAATACTGATAAGACGCTGTACATGTTCGTCCTCAGTAACAAAGTTTTTGGGTTCCAAGTTTCCAATTTTGAATTTAATTGATCTGCAATTATCTTAAAACTTTTGCGTATGCGAATTGAACAATTATTTGCCTACTTTTGCTTTTGAAGACAATTATGGAAGAAAGCGGAAATATGAAGTAGCTCAATGCTCATTAGCAATTTAAACAAACAAACATGTAAGTTTTAGGTTATTATTATTCATCCATTTTCAATTAAGAACCGATGACAGCTTGTGTGGAACTAATAAGCGAGTAGACGAACGAGTTTTCCTTTGTCATTTACTTGTCATATTAATACTTATGATAATCTTAAGTACGGATAATATAAAGCTTGAAGATATTAGCATTTTGGTTTACTTGAATAGCATTTTATTATTTTTATGGACGTGAATTATTTGTCCTGGAAAATGTGCTGCGTCATTATGCCACCATTGCCACCCCAAAAAACTGCCGCATTCTTGTATAAATTATAGCAAATCGCATTATTCAAGACCCAGCCTATACAAGCTCTCAAATAATAAATAGTTAACAACCACGGACATCGAAGGTCTCTTATTATAATTGATTTTGTTTTATAATAAATTCTTGTTAGTTGAAATTGAAGATGTACAGAATCACAAAACAGTCTTTTGATAAAACACTTACAGACATAAATCAAAATTGACTACTTTACAAAAAAATGCCAAATTTAATACGTGCAATATTGGTATTTAATTTTTTCCTTAATTCTTTCCGTGAATGGCCAAGTCACGACGAGGCCAACCAGACCAGAATAATATGCATGTACTCCAAGGTACATAGGTTTGCGGCTGGAAATGAGCGTGGACAAAAAAGTTCCTCCTAACTAATTAACGACGCTCACGTTCGGCCAGATTCTTTGTTTCTGACATACAAAGACAAATAGCCACGCCTATTGCACTTATAATGAAAATCCAGAATGGATTTCAGAATATAGAGCTGCCGGTCAATTTTGCGAATATCCAAGTATTTTAAAATATTTGTTGGTTTATTTCAGGCATAAAATGTATGAGAAACTAACCCAGGCGGACCGACGGCAAGGCTGACAACGTTAAACATAATATCACAAACACTTTGTCGAAACCAACATTCAGGAGCAATTCACAAGGAAATGAGACATTTTTTGCTGTCACAAAAACACCAACACCACGACGAATCGTTCTGCGAGATGAACATTTTTTGGAGCGTGTGCCCTTATGGGTAGAACCCATCATCACTTTGGGATGACTTAAGTAACTGCACAAGGGTATTTCGCGTACCCTTGGCTCACTGCTCACATTTTCCCGATTTCTGCCACTGAAACGATTGAATATTTAAAATATTTGCTCTTCTTTCAAACTTCATCCACGCCAAATAATACGGTGGCATGCACTCACGTTACAAGCCAAGACTGCAGGCAAGATGTATGAATGTTTAACTCCACAGCACTAGTCAGCCAGCGTAAACCATCGTTTTCCAATGTTACCTTGATAAGTAGGTTGGAGGGTTTCGCCTGAAGGTACTTTATTCACCAACTGAAAGTAAACTAAGCTCGTGCTTGACCATAACATAATGATGCGTTGGTTCTTGCTCGTTGTGGAAATGCTAACACCAAAAACACAACGAATGCCACGGCAAGGAAAGTGGTTTCAGCCGTCCTATGATTTTTGCATGTATTATCACAAATGGAAGTTACCCCTACACTTAAGAACACTCTCTGGTTGAAGCAATCCAATAATGCATCCCAGTGCTGTTGTACGTAGTGCAATAATCATCCAACCCTTTCCTACCCACCTCAACAACAACATGAAATAAGGAATACGAAAACGAAAGGTAAAGGGGTCGAAAAATGCAAGCAGTATCATGGCGCATAGTGGCGTCGGCAGCTCTTGGAGTTTGCAATCCATCGTGACATTCAAAATTTATGAATACCGATGTTCTCAAAAATTATAAAATAATGTGCATTAAAATATTTCGGGCTGTGAGTAGTAAGTTGCATTCCTATTTTCTAGAAATGTGGTCATACCAACGAAGGACGACAGAAGGAAGCTATTTTTTGCCAGGAAACTACAATTCCGATATTGAAATTGTAGGCAGGATGGTATGTAGCACCACCTCATTTCTGAATGCACCAGAATACAGTGCATTTAAAACTAATTTGAGAAAGTATATCAGCATCACTATCCCTTCAGTTTTACTATCTTTGCACTCAATAAGCACAAAAATTAAGCAACAAGGGTTGCAGTCGTCCACGAACTTTTATAGTAACTATAACATGGCCGACATGAATGCAACTTTAACATAAATAGGCCCATAAACCTTAAAATATAAACATGCACCCTTCCTGTTGTTTTGAATTTGAGCTCTGCTGTTAAGAAACGTGTACTTGATTAAGAATCCACGCTATCGATGCTGTTATGATGATGCATGTAAAGCACAACTTGTATTTCGAAAAAATAATTTTGATTTAGAGATTACTTTACAACTGGCAATCATTTTCATGCAATTCAATTTGATGTCATTGCATTTAAACACAAATTATTACATATCCGTTGGTCTGTTATTACGAACGATTACATTATTTTAGGTGACCCTCAATTGATGTGGTCAAAGACAAGGGAAGTGGTTGAAGCTTAAATACTCTTATTGGAAACTGAACTATTTAGCTTGGTCAGATAGTCTAATTATTACATATTGGCTGTGCAAGTACAAAAAACATGTATATTTTTCATTGACTACAAAAAAGTATTAAAATAAAAAGCAAACCAAACAGGTGACATAAAGAGTAAAAACAAACGGAGGGGCTAAACCCACACCAATTCATGTGTTAGTTATTTATTAAATGAAATCTCAAGGGTGGAGAAGACTAGATGATAGATAAAAGTATATTCCATGCATATGAGTCCACAAGTATGTATTAGCAGGCTTGATAAATATCTACAATCTAAAATGCAGTGCAATAGCAAACCCTGACTGCAAAGCAAATTGAAGTAAGTATGCTCTCCAACTTCCGTCATCGTTCTTCAGCAAGTGCCCTGTGCAATTGCTGCAATACCAATTTTGGGCTGCTATTTATTGTTCTGCTTCGCTTTGATCTGAATATTGTTGCAGAATAATCATGAGTTGCCAAAAAAGTGAGCGTTTTTATCACTGCTGGTTCTGCTCTAACTGTCATTTCACTGTCACTTGAGCAGCAGATCTTGACAGATGCTGGGAATGAAAAGAGTAAAATTATGTGTCAATCAACTTGCTATTATTCTGATAAATCTCATTCAGGTTTGAAAATTTGACTAATGCGTAATTCCATAATATTCATGGCAAATTAAAATAGCTAATTACATATAAAATGTTCAATCAATTGATAGGGTGGTGTGTCATTCCATTCCATACAAAAGGATTTACTTAGTCTTAGTCATGATATGTATCTAAATAAACTACTCACACGCAAACATTTTAATATTGCGAGACGAAAAACCATAAAAAAGCTTTTCTTGCCGACTATGAATGAAACTGGCAAAAAGTGAAGAATGTGTTACTCGTCATCCTGCAAATATTTATTACTAAACTGATGTGCAGAGCATACTACTTTTTGTAACAGATAGAAGACGATCTATTTAGCAAAGTCACGGGCAAACCTGGAGATAAATTAATTGTTGGAGGAGTATTTATTTCTTTATTTATCAACTCGTCGGTATTCACTACGGATGAATGACAAACTTTTTGAATACTTGGCATAAAATACATGAAAGGGTTTATTTTTAAATACAATATGCCCTAATCAATACCAAAATCCGGTCATTCTAATAAAACAACGCCATCAAAACTCAAATCAAAAAATACAATGTAATTCCGACAATCAATGCAGTCCATTGAATAGACTGTTAGATCAGTAATCAGTAAAATACAAACATTTGGAAACACAAAGATGATAAAAATTATTCCACCGCCCGTGATTTGTACAAGAGATGAAGAAATTTTTCTAGTAATATGTATGAATGAACTATAATTAAATAATAATTTCCCTCTTGGACGACTCAGTTCTCAGACCTACAAAAATGCAGCACACCAATCCGACAGACATTGATAACACGTCGTAGCATGATTTTTGTTGCAACTTGTGATATCCTTCAACCATTCAATAAACAGCTCTTCGTTCTTTTTTAGAACGAGAAACTGTCCGAGAACAACGTACGCCTGTAAGAAACATAACAAATTTTATCGTCAGCAACTACATAACCACTTCAGTTCACATATTCGTATGCCCAATTTATATATTTTACCTTATCGAAGCCTTGATTTTCCAACCGTTGACCATAAGTCTCTCCAATTCCGGCTAAATCAGTCACTGGTTTTTCCCCCATAGGCTCGGAGACAAAGTTGCGGTGCTTCTGAGAAGTAGAAGACATTCTGCAAGTAGTACAATTTTTAATTATTATAAATGAAATGTTCTTTCCAATATAAATTTTAATAGTCTTTACATATGTGACATGGCACTTACTTGACAATGGTTTTATATGAGATTGCAGTTGAGAAGAAGGATTGTTGAATGCTTTTTCTTCAACAAGAGAATCCACGTGTGTTATTTGTATTTTAGATTAGGACGAGTGACCAGGGGGGAGACCTAAAAAAAATATGCCGGTGTAAGAATTTAATTCGAAGCTGCAAAAATCTGCTCACGATGTATTCATGACCTATACACGACTAAGTGTAACATTAATTTAATAATATTTTCTATCATCCATGATTATTTGTGTAATCTGTGTAAAAAAAAGTCGGAAGTAAAGAGTAAACAAATGCAAATAACTTTCTATCTGGCTAATTCTAACGTCAAACGATAGGATTCCTTTCATAGCTGGATTTATTTGTTTTATACAATTTTTTCGCGACGAATTATAACGTATCTGAGTAGAAAAATGCGAGAACTTACCTCGGCTTGACGTTATTTTTAGCAAATGTCGACTAACGAAAACGAAACGGCCAGGGAGGACGAGCACTGAAAGAATGAATAAGCTCTGTGTGGCTCACTGACGATTTGGTGTTTGGTTTTGGGGAGAAGAGTCAGTTGCTCCCCGCCATCTCCATGCTGGATCCACAAGTTGAGACTGCTTCTCCATGCTGCAGCACTCCGTCAAAGCTAGTCTCAATCTCCCCAGTCTAATAAACGAGGCTGAACATGGTTCCGAATATGTCTCACTTTGCCTCAGTTTCTCAGAGTACGAAGAGCATACGTTATGTAATTCAATGCAATTTGAAACTAATGGTAATCTCATCATAAACGTTACGTATGAGCAGTTTTTTAATATTTTTATGACGATAAGTGAAAACGACTTTATTTTCCGTTTTCTATTGAAGAATTAAAAAATATTGATAAATTGATATTTAGAGTAAATCAGTAACATCATTACACGTATTTAATTTAGTATAATATTTTGATATCTCGAAAAAACATTGCTTCTGTAACGTTAAAAACCTTTGACACAGTTCGTATCAGGTAGTGAATGAATACATAAATATTTGTTGCTTTTATGTATGTTTATGTAGATCGTCTTAAAGTATTTGTTACTCGTCTTCTTATTCCTGATGCTCCGTAAACTCCTGGTTGGAACATTTACCTTGCAGCAGCAGAGCTACCATTACTCCTCAGTAATACATATCATTAATTGTGTCGTAGCATTGGTACTGTGTGTCGTACACATTGTTCATAGATAATAATTATAAGGTGAGTGGTGGCCTTGTGGTGGTACAACTAGCACGAGAGAATAAAGTGCCGCTGGAGTTTGATACGTTAATAACAATAAAAAGTACATCCATGAAAACTCTATGATCTACGTGACAGTTGAGAATGTGGGGGGGGGGGCATTGGGGACATTGCACTGGGACCCAAAGTTGACTGGGTGGGTGGGTCTAAGGCTGTGGAGACGTGCGGGGGACGGAGGGTGAAGGTGCCTGGAGGAGGAGGGCACTCCTGTTGCCGCCTCCGGACGAGGTGGGGACGCTTTTGGAGTGGGGGAGGTTGTGGGAGGCTGACTGGGTGGAGGAGCCAACAATGGCTGCGGATTCTGGGCGCAAGAGGTTCTGCTTCTGAGGACCGTCCAAGTGGGATGAGAAGCACTGGTTGATAACCTCGGGCAGACCCTCCAACTGCTCGTGTATCACCGCAATCTTCTCCTCGATTGCTGTCAGACGGTCGTCCAAATGGTCTTGTCTTCCAGCCAGGTCAGACACGATCTCGTACACGTTACTCTGTGTCTGAAAGTATCATATGGCAATTGGTATTAGAACATAATGCTTGCACGGAATGAATAGAATAGTGAGTTCATTCAGATTTAGTCATGTATACGACTTATTTCGAAAAATATCATATCGTTTCTGGGACAATGAGCCAAGAAATAATATTCAAGCACAGTAAATCTGAATGAAGGGTCGAATTTATGTAATAGTAAAACTGGTACCTTTGCCATGTCTGTCATACTGCTGGCGTTGTCCATCAACTTTCTCTGGTCCATCTTCACCTTACGCAAACTGAATAAAACAACATTTTATTGAGACTTCACAACCACAATTGTACATGAAGGAGCATACTATGCATGTACAAACTTACGCATAAATTGCCAAAAGAAATTTTCTTTGATGTGCCCGAACTCGAGATGCATTGACCCGTTTCACCAGTTTGGTGTTTCTGTTAAAAATAAATAAAATTTTTAAATAAAATAAATTTATAATAAAATATATTTGTTTAGCATTATTTCGATACTTACTTGTATATCAACCATGTTTCACGGAGAACATTCGCTGCAGAGTTTTTTAACTAGACGACAGAATCAATGAATCATGTTCAGTTATCAGGTCATACATATTTCGTTGGAGAGAGTGAAGATACATAATCGTGGAGTGTTTTAATTAATGAACAACTTTATAGCATGCCAGTCCCAATATTAGAACAAAGACATGACGGGAACTCACTGTTCTATCCAATTGTTTTTCCATCATAATTACATGAACCCTCGTTTCTGCAGGTTGCATTCTGAGTTTTGGAAGCAGCACTGCCACAACCTGGGTAGATGCAATAATAACTGAATAAGGACAAAGCTTACCTGAGGCTCGAGGTATCTGAGGCTTCTTATCTTAAGTTAAGTGCTTATCGTACCAATGCCATGGTTCCATTTCCCTAAAAGCAAAGTCATGTGTGGCGTCACATGTGGTCTATTTCAGAATCAGACAGCCCAATCAATTGTGACAATATTTATGGCAATTGGTTTAGTCGGGTGAAATTGCAAAGCGTTTCCTCGGCCTTTCGAGTTTATTTTTGCACAAGGAATGGCCTCAAATTTTCAACATTGATTGTGTTATTGGATTTAACAAAGTTAAAGTCAACTCAGTAATTATGTATGCTTTCGTGTCAAGTGAATGCATGAAATCGATATAAATAACGATTCATTCGTTACTAATGACCGATGAGCAATAAGGCTTTCCACTCTATGTGCGGATAGATATTAAATATTTCACACATAATTGTTTGTTAGTTAATTAAAACACTCCACAATTATATACAACACAAGAAGGATCCATCCAGTACTTGTCCACTAAAATACATAATTCTAATAAGTGGTGTGATATTAATTTCAAATGTGTGCCGAAGGTATCAAACTAAAATTACTTTGCTAATTTCCACATATGTACATATACAATTGAAACCGTGAGCATACTAATAATAGTAATCATAACATAATACCGAGCATTGCTTTGATTGCATTGGAATGTGAAGTCTGAAATTAACGTTAATTTAACTCACTTTCACCACGTATTACAAATATGTATGACAGGATGGACCAGTACTGGTAAGGGAACCTTAAGTACTGTCACATCTCGATTTCCTTTCGGAGGGTATTAATTGATAGATAATTTAGTGTTACTTAAACTTTGACATAGAACATACGGTGTAAAATCCCATTTTCGCGAAATATTTGGCGAAAGCTGCACCAAAACGTGCAATTTTTCCAATACTTTTAGCATAGATATTTTAGCTTTCAGAATGATGAAATGAAGTTTATAAATTATATGCCTGTCCGTAATTTCTGCTGATCGCCAATATGCAAAAGAAAACATGCAAACATTGGCCAATTTTATTTCAAATTGCGAAAATCTGCAAAATTTTCTAAATTTGAATTTCGTCATTTTCTTGAAAATTTAATAAAATGTAAATGTCAAACATCTTTGATTTAAGCATTGAAAAACAGTTTTCAAAGAAGAAGGTTTTTTCTTATTACAAAATTGGCGAAAATTTTCAAATTTGGATATCAATTTTTACGGAAAAAAGATATAATGACCAATGCTAGTCTATTTTGCTTATTTTTGCAGAACTATTGCCTATGTGTATTTCTGCAAGTTGCATAAAATTTCGGAGATTTGTACCGTCAGTTTTTAACATATTCAACAAAATAACTTTTCCACACCCCGTTCGAGATTTTAAGCTGTTTGGAAAACTGTAAAAAACTTCATCTGGGAGGGACCCTATGGGTCCCTCCACTATGGTATTTATATACGACCGGTCGTATATTGACGCCACACATGACTTTGCTTTTAGGGAAATGGAACCATGGCATTGGTACGATAAGCACTTAACTTAAGATAAGAAGCCTCAGATACCTCGAGCCTCAGGTAAGCTTTGTCCTTATTCAGTTATTATTGCATCTACCCAGGTTGTGGCAGTGCTGCTTCCAAAACTCAGAATGCAACCTGCAGAAACGAGGGTTCATGTAATTACGACCGGTCGTATATAAATACCATAGTGGAGGGACCCATAGGGTCCCTCCCAGATGAAGTTTTTTACAGTTTTCCAAACAGCTTAAAATCTCGAACGGGGTGTGGAAAAGTTATTTTGTTGAATATGTTAAAAACTGACGGTACAAATCTCCGAAATTTTATGCAACTTGCAGAAATACACATAGGCAATAGTTCTGCAAAAATAAGCAAAATAGACTAGCATTGGTCATTATATCTTTTTTCCGTAAAAATTGATATCCAAATTTGAAAATTTTCGCCAATTTTGTAATAAGAAAAAACCTTCTTCTTTGAAAACTGTTTTTCAATGCTTAAATCAAAGATGTTTGACATTTACATTTTATTAAATTTTCAAGAAAATGACGAAATTCAAATTTAGAAAATTTTGCAGATTTTCGCAATTTGAAATAAAATTGGCCAATGTTTGCATGTTTTCTTTTGCATATTGGCGATCAGCAGAAATTACGGACAGGCATATAATTTATAAACTTCATTTCATCATTCTGAAAGCTAAAATATCTATGCTAAAAGTATTGGAAAAATTGCACGTTTTGGTGCAGCTTTCGCCAAATATTTCGCGAAAATGGGATTTTACACCGTATGTTCTATGTCAAAGTTTAAGTAACACTAAATTATCTATCAATTAATACCCTCCGAAAGGAAATCGAGATGTGACAGTACTTAGTGAGCATAAATTACCCTTTTGGTAAGTTGAGTATCCATCATAAAGTTATGAACATGCTTTTCTGCTCGCGAAAGTTCCAGTTTTCTTTTTTGTTACAAAAACAAGGTCGATTTGTTAATTCCTTTTTTAGGCCATGTTCGCTGTTACAGTACTTACCTAGAGACCACTGCAACTAAAAGAGCAGTACAGCCTGCCCCCTGAGACACAAGTATTAGTCAGGTTATATCATTCTCGTTAGCCACTCAAGATTTTCACACAAATTAACCCATGCCCACTGGAGTTAGCGTCATATAAATTTTCTGATGTCAGTTTTATTAATTATTGAACAAATTATTTCTAGTCACTCGGATGCTTATCTTAATAACGATTAACGAAGCGTATGGAAAATGTTATTAAGCAGGAGAGAGCAATAATAATAATATATTTTACCATTATACCAGTCGTAACTGCAATACCTCTCCCGCAATACGTATTCGGCACCTTAAATTAACGCTGATATTAACCTTATAAATAAAAACGAAAGTAAATAACAAACTTACTATATCCCCGTATCTGATGCCCACAAATAATTAATTAGTGATGAACCAAGACTTTTGTAGTGCTAAATCCATGAATCCTTATATGCACATATCACGATAATGACCTCTATACATAATATTAGGTCAAACGCACCAAGTATTTGCATACACAAATATGTATGAACGTAAATAGTCATGTATGTACATATACTCGAGGTTTTCAAGTAAAATTCGTTTGTGGATCCTGAATGGACAAATCTCATCGCATTCACGATTCACTCACCAAAACTGCATTGCAATATTTTCTTAAAGTGAAACCGTCAACCAATTTGATATAAACGTGCAACTATTGATAATAATTAATCCAATCCAATTATGCAGTTTTCATGGACTCATGGATTTTTCGTAGTAGCATAAGTCTTGGTTCATAACTTGCCCTATAGATAAAAATGTAATAGCTGCCAGGAACATGAAATGGAAAAAGGGGAATTTTAATGACATTCTTAACTGAATGAAATTTAAATTTGAAATTTGTATTACCAATCAACCAGAATGAGTTTAAAATATTGGCATGTTCCGGATCGCTGAAAAGGAGGATACTACTGATACTTACTGATGTTGATAGAATACTTACTGGTACTGATAGGATACTTACTGATAACTGAAAAGGAATAATTCCATATGATAATAAACCCTTGCTTCATTGGAAAGTTTTTAAAATGCCAAACTCAGAAGCTACATAACTCTACCAATCTCAACAAGATCATTTGCATTCAGAGTGATAGAGGATGTCTGCGGGCCTTAAGGTGCATAAGGAGATCACGTTCCTATTGCTGAAGGCAACCCGCACTTAAAGCTAATTAATTAATTAGCATTTAATTAACGTTGCAAAAAGAAAGTATTTGAAACAGTAAATTCAGCAAACTCTGAATGAAACGCAGAGCACAAAGCGCTGTGAAAATTTAAAGTGCATATATGTAAAGAAACCCTTGCTCAATTTGAGCGTCACAAGATCGAGAAAATTCTTTCCACTCTATCCATATCTCATATCTATAGTCATAATTACATGAATCAAATCATGCCGATAAACGGAAATATTTGATGGTTTTCATATCGGAAATATATCATGACACTTGTACAACTGGATACTCCTGCTCTTAAGGCAACAACATCCTCCATCAATACACAGTACAAATCAATACGAGTTTGCAAAACAAAACTTAAGTATTTAAAACACTATTGTACTGAGGCTACAAAAAATTGTTTGTTACCCATCAGAGTTTTTGATTGAAACATTAACTTAATAGACCGTTAACACTCTTTATAACGATTAGTATCAACTGTTCAAAGCAACACTTTTAAGTTGTAGTAAATATCTTGCAAGTAATAAGCAAATTAATCGTGGTCGTTACTCTGGGAATTTCTTGTCAGAACATGAATTAATTAATTAATTAGTCGGTCGTAAATTCAAAACATTTAGACGAGGAAGTGACTATCTCCTGTGAGGGAAGAGTAATTTCCTTGTTTGCTCTCAAATAAACTTTTACATACATTAGTGTTCTCCAACACTTGGCGTTTTGAACGATAGCTAAATAAACAATTAAAATAGGCCATACATACTCGTCGTAGAGACTGAACTCCAGTGGGCAAAGTCAATTATTTCATTCTACTGTGCGACACTCTTACGAATATCACGTCCACGTCACAATGTGTAATTGAGACTGCGATCATTGATAATTTGGAAATGTACATTTTATTAATGCATGTAATCGGGCGTGGAGAAAGCTGTGCAAATGTCGATTGGTGACCGCAAAAATTAGTGTTCAACAACCGTTTAGCTTCCAATCTCATGCGGAACTTTGAATGCAAATGTCTTAAAGACTTAAAATATTTGGTGACTTAATTGGTGAATGAAAAGTTTCACGTGATATTTGCTCGAGCACCGCGCTGCACTGATGATTGATGTGAGATAAGCTTAGTTACTTACCATCATGCCACATGCGACGCATATCCCGCGACCACAATATGTCTAATTGAAAATATTTATAAATAATCATAAATTCAGGCAAATTCTTGCCACTTAACAAAAATTGCCAACTCACGTTTGGTACTATGTCTCCATACCCGACGCAGAGAAAAGTAATGGCTTCGCAAAGTGAAAGTAGTGAAAGTAATGAAAGTTAATGTAACTCGGAGATAAAAATTGAGTTAATTTAAAGCGTCTATTATTACCAATCAACCACATTGAGTTCAGGAGATTTGAATGATCCCCGTCATGATGTCTTAGGTTTGCAATAGCAGAGTAAAAAATGTATCAATTAATTATAAACCGTGGATAAATCCTGTTAAAAATCGTGCTTAAGGTTGCAAGGACGCACATCGATTTACACAATTTGTGTAACTTGTCTAATAATTCAAGCAGGTACGTGTGCATGCACAGTTACTAAATTCAAGATTTCTCTTTGAACAACAAAATAATAATGTAACAGTGAGTTTTTGGATCTCGGTCCATCGACATGTTTCTTTTATTTTAAGCGGAATACAAGCTATCGGAATCACATATAACTTTTCCCTTCTTCAGGCGATGGTTAAGTCCCCAACGAAATAAAAATTGTCCCGCAAGGTTTAATTAACTAATTAGAGGGAAAGCAGGAGGCACGATAAGGGTCATGCATATGTACATGGAGTAAGTTACATGAAAAAGTTGAGTTTCAAGTTTACGACTGAATTTACTTTCTAATCGCATATTTGTACTTATATGGCTGCCACTGATTAAACATTTAGTTGTACATCGGGAATGAAATAAAAGTACAGTGAAAGTGAAAATATAGCAGTTAGAATTGTTCAGGCAGAGCGAGCGAACAAGAACAAATGACACCAACAACAGATAAACATTTAAAACACAGAACATCTGCCTCTATATTTAAGTAATCCTCGAAAATTAAATTCTAGAGAACAACGAGAACATGTAAACATGGTCAAGATTCTGGAGCGACTTTTTAAAATTGAATTCCAAGATTTCCAGTGCTTCCGTGTATGAAATAACGCTACCTCATCGATCGAATTGATACAATGGTTTAAATTGTTGAAAAGTGCTGTAAGAATAATTAATTGTGCAGTTAAAGTAAAAAAAATACTGCAAGTGAAAGCTCGCCTCATTTCTCTGTTGTCAACATTATGCAAAAATTCGTTACGACGACTGTACAGAACCGTATGTAAGTTTTGTAGCTCAAAAATGTATTTTATTTTTATAACAGAAGCGTTTAGTTGTGTAAATCTACGTGTCATTCACTTTGATGCGGTTAGTCAGTTAACTGGCATGATTTGAACACTGTCAGAAAACGAAGCAAAAGTACAATGTTATTATAAGTACTACATTAAAGACAGAAAAACTACTACGAGCAGTAAGTTTCCAGAAACAAGAAGAGTGGGTCCAATCGTGGTATGCAGTAAGTGGGTCTGTGCAGCGACCAGTATAATTAATGTGCCAACTTTTATTAATCAACGCTCATAAATCATTTCAAAACGGCTAAATGAAATTGTGGAGCGGTGCCGATGACGTGCCGTGGTTTTTAAAAATCGAGTATTTGATTCAATGCATAACATGCACTTGGAAATAATGATTCTCGTGAAATTAAAAGTTCCTTCTTGTTAAAGAAAGAAAGTATTGTTGAGTTGTACCGTACAACTTGTACGTATCATAATCTGATCATCTACGTGGGGCAAAATTGGACTCTAGTTTTACTCAACCTTGTACACTCGCTGAAGTTGGCATTTGCAAATATCAAATTCCCCAACAATCGTCCAGCCCCGTCACATAATATCGTATGCCTGAACGTACATGATGGATGTATTTATTAGTAGAGTACACATATCGATTTATTTATTGGATTTCTGGTGGGATTATTTACTCTGGTTAGAACGCAGACACATGTTCATTCAAAAACTCTGATGTTTAAATGTTCTCTATGCTCTCTACAAAAAACGGAAAAAATATACGAACATCAAATAAAAAACTTTGAAAAGCCAATAGCATACCACAATTTATGAAAGAATGCCGACAAAAATACATCAAAGCAAATATAAAGACAAGAAGAGCGAGTGAAAACTGGGAAAGTGTAGCAGCTTACCGCTCGCATTGCCTTAATGTCCACGAGGCAATGATCCACAAGGAAACCATAAACACTAAAAGTACTGTACCTACATACGTCGCGAAATGAATAGGATCCATTGATTATCATTGCTCTATGCTTCATCTTACATACACCACCAGCATTTTCTTACCAGGACAGATAGTCATCAAAGTCTTTAGAACAAATCTACAAGACAGAAAAGCCATCCTTCTTCATTACCGATACCAACATCCAATAACTTTAATTATTAATGGTAAAAAACAGGGGTTGTCTTATGACCTGGTATTGAAATTTATTCTGTTGAGTGCACCAATACTTCTGGACGAGGCGTCTGCAATACATAACGAAAATGATATAATATGCAGATTGACTGAAACAGTGGGCATGTGGACATTATGCAACTTCTAATAGGAGTGCATAATTGCATAATAGGTATGCACTCCTCACTTGACGAACAAATTCATCGCTAATTGTATTGTGCAAGCGCAATTCCAATAAAACAACATGAGGTCTGATGTTTTTTTACCTGTGAATAGCTTGGAATGAAGTAACATCACTCGACAAATGAGATATAGCCGGAGAAACATGGGTAAGCTTAACGCAACATCGATTGGCACTTCCTAAAATATGCATGAACATTCTTGTCAAGTGAGAACAGAACCATCAAATTGAGAAAATACATAATGTAAAATATGTGCGTACTTGTGTCTTGATATACCCGCCGTGGTTTGCTGAAAGATTATTTCAATTTCGGCATGTTTAACATTTCCAGTAATTTCTAGAATTGGGAATGGCGTCAGAAGTTCTCATACCCATTTTCGTTGTCCAGTTGAAACTATGATTTCCAGGAACCGGATGTATAGCACACACTGCGAGCTCCAAACCGATCTGAGACATTCTCTGCCACGTCATTGCTATACGCCAATCGTCGGCACAATTGTCGATCATGAACAACTAAATTTAGAGGAATAGAGAAACGTGGCTATTATAGATGTGACAATGATAGATTTCATTACTCGGGTACCATGCACATACAATACATGATATTCATGTGCCACTCATACAAGTCTATTCAGGCTTTCTCCAGTTTAAATAACCCAATTATAGGTACTAATCAAGTTTGTCAGTAAATTCGTACTTAGTTCATATCACATTTCCTGCTAAATTCTACTGACAAGGATAAAGTAAAGGTGGTTACGAATTCTAACCTGAACTTCCAACGCGTGGTAAGCTATTATCAATCCTAAAAGGATGATCGTTGACATCGATATCAGTGTTTTTAGAGCAGTAGAATAGAATGAAGTCTGAAAAATTAAAAAAAATAATACAAGTAAATACAGAAAGTAAAAAAATTGTTTTTCTCACTTTGTCATAAATTCCGGCTGAAGACAGCTCATTTTCTAGCACCATCTGAAATACAGGCAGAGACCCCGGTTAGGAATTTACATATTTATGTAGCTAATAACACACGGAGAAAGCTTACCACCCCAATTCCAATCATTCCCATAACTAAAGCATAATCGGAAATTCGCTTCCTCTTCTCAAACAAGGCTTTCCTTCGACCCAGTCTGTAGCCCACATTTGGCTTTTGCTTACCTACAAAAGTGTACACAGAGAAAACAAATTAAGTTGGTTCGGACAACAAGGTAAATAATGAACCCTGTTGAAATATTTAAGGGCACTTATTGATCGCTTATTACCAGCAGCAGCCAAGGAGTAGGCCTTTCTCTTGTCCCCAAACTGTGGAAACTCTGCTTGAACCCCTACCAACGCTCCTTCGTCGTCCCTTGTCCGATCTACGGATTTCATTGCTCCGGGGATTGATAGTGTCGACACGGGTTTCCGCAACTGGTCCAGCAACAAGCAAAAATTGCAGTCAGTAATTCCCATCAGAAATGTGTGTCAATTTCTCCTCAATAGACAAGAAATACTGTGAAAACTAGTCAGCTTGCTGGCACTACAAAGATAGTCAAAGGCAACTATCACAACTATTCTACGACTAAATTCTAGTACTACGATGGCAATGTTAAGAACGTTGCAGTTATTCTATACAAACTTTACGACCCCTCCGTGATTTGTCTACACCAAGTCCAGTTGCTTTATGACAACTTAAATGTTAAACGCTACTCTACGAACGTTGTACTGCCATTAGTTTGGGTCACACAATACCCGCATTACGGTATTTTTACTACGTAATTGCCACACGGTTTGCACTCAATAATGGAAGTCGATAATGCCTCCTTGGCCTCTACGTACGTTAGAATTATTGCCAAACGCTACCGATGCAATGAGCGCATAAAAAGTTATACGCGCATGTAAACGCAAATAGTAAGCATTATCATATTAGATTGGATGCATTAATCGGTTAGATGTGCATATTGAGCAACGTAATGCATAAAAGGATTAGATTACAAGACTTGAATGGCAGCTAATACTGAAATGGCGACTGCAATTATTATTGAAAACTCGAGGCAATAATGCTTTCACCCATTTTCTCAGTGTGAACATCCCTCCTCGCCTCCCCCAGCCTCACGATTTATGAGGGCTCCGCTGATGAGGAGTGGACCTTCCCCCCACGCTGATGCTACTTATATTTTTAATAGAATCCAAGGAATCTACCACACACCCGTCACCACCTCACCACCGCCTCCACCGTCACCACAACCAATTATGGGAAATTCAGTGAGGGGACTGAGCGTGTTGATCTCACTTCAGGTGATAACACACATCTCAAACACGACCCAGGGCTTCCCATTATTTTTCTATAAAGGCTTAACTGAGCAACAAGAGAGAAACAAAAGAGATATTTTCAAACACAGATGTGAAACGTTGATCATTTTTATGAAATGGCAAACCTAGTTTCTTCGGAGAGTTGGGCTCCGTGGTTCGTCGGAAACGCGTGCGCCATCCTGTCAACTGCACAAATACTGTGTGAATATCCTCGTCGTCGTCGTCTTTGAGAGTGAGGCCTGCCAACAAGGATACACAAATGCTGCAGCCAAACACTGGAATTACGCTTGAGTTGAATATTCCGAATTATGAGATGACATAGTTGCTTCTGCTGCTGTGAAATGCCCTGTCGTGACAGAAAGACTGAACCCAGAATGAAAGTGTCCTTTCCCCAGGCACAATTGGACAATATGTTTTCACTCCGTCTCCCCTTGCCTATCCTTCAATTGGAAAATGGCAGCAGGATATTTATACTGGTTTTGGGGAAAGAACCACCACGGAAGAGCAGGGGCAAGGAATAGCTTTGCGGGTATCTTGTCTCCAAGGCTGGCAGAAGAGAAGAGGTTTAAGAGGTTGATAACTAACACGAGCTTGTGGTTATGGGCTCGATATATTTATATGCATGCTATGGATGATAAAGTGTGGAGAGAAAGCAAACGGAAATCGATTTATCTCATAGGCTCCTCTCCATGTTCATAATTCCGCTATTTTATGCCAGTTATTACTCATTTGTGATGTATGCGAACCTCGCTCGCCCATCCAGCAAACACGACGGCGCCTTGCATGACCCCCATGTGCATACTCGATACCCAATATGTCAAAGTCCTACTGCCTCATTACGAATGAATACCCAAGGCCTGCTTTCTCCATCTCTATCGCCATCATCTTCTTTCTGGCTTACCACATAATAGATAATATATCTCCGTAATTGTGAACCACTTTCTCCGGCGTTTTTTGTCTCCCAAAAATAACTTAAATTCCTAAAATTATGTCGCGTCTCAATCATTGATGTGCCAAAGTATCCATGCATTTTCATAGTACTATGTAGTAACTACTGGTTTGCGCAATGTTAAGCTCTAACGAATAAATGTATACCCGAAATAAAATTGTATGCATATTCAATATACACCTCGACAGCAACACTGGCATAATATACCTCTTTCAGTGAATAGCGTTCTATGCTATGCCTAATTAAAAGTTATGCAAGTATGCTCCTTGTATAACATCACATAATAAATAACTCCCGAGCAAACTGAGATGCCTGAATGAAGTCTTTGTTACATAACGAGCAAGGGCCTACAGGGAACGTACTATGTACACTGTGTTGTGCAGTCTTTATGATGATTCATATGCAAATGCGCAAAAAATGGCGGATTTCTATACCGTCGAGCTTTTTGGGCTTATTAAAGTGAAGCTTCTCAATCTTTAGAAAGGGGAAGACACACACGTTTGCAATACAGGATCATTAGGGCAGCTTTCTTTTGTCCCAATGTCGTCTCTGCACAAATTCATTTATTGCAAGTGGAGCAAGACTCTGTAAAGGTCAGCACTGACTTCTTTGCATATGTTTTGCGTAATCCGATTCAACTGTGTGACCAAGTATATATGTAGCATCAAGGAACTTGTATGTGACGTACGTATATGTATACCATATTCTAAATATACAAGTAGATAGGTACTCAAAGCGAACGTGCATAATTATGCTGTGATATGCTTGTGATGATGGGACATTGCAAAAATAAATGGCAAAAATATTCCGTGAAAGGCGATTGGTAGTGAAAGTAAATAAGTGGGGCGTGGTTGCAGGAAAGTGCATACACAGAAAATGAGAAATAAGGAACAGGACACAGTGTTCGGTGTTCTTGTGATCATTCCATACAGCCAGCGATTTGCTGTGGTTTTAGAAATGTGCAGTGTGAGGATAGCTAACAAAGAGTAAATTTAGGAGAAAGAGAGGCTGCTACTAATTAAGAAAGACTGCGGTGGCGAGGAGGTAGATAGAGAAACTAAACAGATTGAGAGGATTCGAACCGTTTTGGCGACTTGTGAGGTGAAATTTAGTACCCTGGAAGAATCTGGATCGCCTCCAGCCTCCGTGGTGAAGGCTCTTCGAAGACACTTTCGACGACTTTGAGCCAGTGTTAAAGGGTTAAGGAGTAAAGTATGCTATGGGAGAGAAGAGAACAATATTGTGTATCATCATGCCATGATTGGATGGTTGGTTGGTATCAGTCAATTATTTAAGGTTGGGACGATGTCACACGTGGTTTGGTTTATGGGGTTGTTTGTTGGTTTCAAATAATAGTGACACATACAGAATACATTACATACGAGAACAGGGGTATCAGACTGCTGTTGTTCGTGTTGCTTGATACACGTGCTAAATTTGCAACTCCTGAGTTCATGTGCTATTAACCGATAAAATGATTATAAGACTGATCAATAATGGGATATGCCCAATGCGACTTTGCATAAATTGACTATACATCTCTGGACTACGTTGGACTTGAGCTACTTCTAATAATTAAAACCTACTACGTTTGCCATCTCCTAAGTAAACAGGCATTGCATTGATGTTAGTACGTATTTACATTTGTAGATATTGACAATGTACAAGGCGTAACTGGAGCAGTACCGCTTATAAATTTAAACCAATCCCTCACCAGCTTTTGAAAGCAGCGGTTAGAAATTTTTATGATTACCAAACAATTAAATATTAATCAATATTAAAATATACTGACGAACGACGGTTTTTTATCTATTTAAAATTTGCATAGCCCTCAACACAATCACGATAAAAACATTTACAGCTACCTAGTCAACAAATTTGGTGAAGCATAAACGTCTCTACATAATTACGACATATTTACCAACCACTTTCAATGTTAGATAATTAGTGTTATCGCTTCACAGCTATTAACAATTCTACGTAAAAATTATTATTAATAAAAATATTAATACACAAAGTATTTATAACTCGCATGATGTCACATATTTATTCCTTGAACAAGGCTTCCGGTGATAAATACGTATGGATAGAAATGAATAAAAGTTGATCTCTACCTGTTTAAATTGTCGAATCGCCCCATTGAAGCGTAAAGAGTCAGCAGCGATGCCAGCAATGCCATCGGCCTCGAGACCACGCAAATGCCTAAGAGAAGTGGAACTGGTAAAAAGGGAAGAAAGACAATCAATAAAAACAAACGATCAGTGTCCCAATACTGAGTTAGACATCAAAGGCTTCCACTTTGCAATAGGATAACAGTTCAATTGGTGCCTGCATAAAGTACACGGCAAAGCAGAAGGGAGCACAATACGGTGGCAAGCTTTCGGATGGAGATGAATTAAACAAAACTAGAGCCAATTATTGGCAGGAAGGTTGATAAAGGTTGGTTGACTGCCAGGGAAGAATGACTGACTGGTGGCTTTCGGAATTGATAATGAACATTCGTGCTGGGTGGCAATGGGAGTATATTAAGCTTTCACTGCTTTCTCCACAGGATACGATAGGGTTTAAATATGCATGCGTTTGTGGAGAGGTTGCATGGTGGGTTAATTGGGACTTAAGCGAACATTGGGATGGAAACGTATCCAGTTCAGTGTTCAAAACTCATCCGAATGTCAACTTTCACTCACTTTATTACGACACTGCACGGAAGTTTGCTCATTCTTATTTAGCCATATTCTCATTGTTAAGTTCTACACAATGTGATTTGATATGCAGATGGTGAGCTCTGCTGTTGATAACCATTGTCCCTTCATGATTAATTTCGTAGCAAAGTCACGCATGACATCATTATTAATAAAAAAAACTTTTTTTTCGCATGCACAGAGCTGGGACTGTCATCATGCATTCTACATTAATTAAATGGAATTAAATTAACTTGTTACTTCGTTTTCTCTGGAGAGACTCGACTACAATGTATCATTTCTGTTCATCATTGTGAATTTGCAATATTGATGGAGACAGGAAAACCGTGCGGGATTAATAATTCTAGTGCATCGAGGTACATTTTGAGCTAAAACTATGCTGCACATTGAAAGCATGCCACGGTGGTTGATATGCGGAAGCAGGTTTTGCGACTTTGTAATGGAAATCCAGCCCGTGAATAGCATGCATGGCGAGAGGAAACCACGCCCTCCGTTGGAGTGAAGGGCAGCAGCATTAAAGTTTAAAGAGCATTTAAGTTTAGACTGTTGAGAAGACTAACCTGTGCGCGTGACAGTAAAGACATGAACTTTCAGGCTGCGAATGCTGCCTACGAATTGTGGGGTCTTTTTGTGAACTAATAGAAACTGACTGATTAAAAATCCCCGTGGATACGTTTTCACTCATGCTCTCTCGTGATGTTGACGTGTTTCTGGAAAGTGAGACAGAATGGTGTCCAGAATGCTCACATCTGGTACAGTGGCTTGGAATGCATCTGTGACCATGAGGAACCAGGAATCTAGGAATAAGGAGACAAAATAAAATGTCTTTGTCATTCCGTCCCTTTGATGTTTTCTGCCCTTAAATAATTCAGTAGTTGTTCAACTTCAACAAGATGAAACCCTTACATAAAACTTGAAAACAACTTTACCAGCCCAAGAAATCCACCATTCTCGCAACAATTTCACACCCATACGAGCCATGCCTTACATATATCACCAAGACAAGTAGAATTTAAGGTGAAGGCGTGTGTATTTGTGAAATTTGGTGCCTCTAACGGTGCAGGAGAACAGAGCAATTTGAAAATCTAATAAATTAGAACGGCTCAATTGAATATTGAAAGCTGATCGTGCTTTGGATCTGTTTAAAGGGATTTGGTAACAGAAAATTGAGTTTTTCCATGAATTTGCTGCTTATAGCGGATTCTTGAGCCAAAAAAACCCACTAGGGCCAGGTAAATAAAAGTTTAGCACGTCACCAATGTGAAACAAAAGACTTTCCGTCCTATATACTTATACCTACGTGCATATGCATACCAGTATGTAATGTAAACTCCGGGAATGTACATAAAGCTATCCTATCTGAGTTCACGATTTTATATGTAAGATGACGAGAATCTAATGCATTGTCGCTTTTTGTTGTGTCATCCTTCCTCCTCCTGTTATTCAAGCTTCTGTGTTTGCCAAAAATATTCCTCCACGAACCACTAGAGAGCTTTACCTTGCACAGAAAGCACACATCAAGAGAGAAAGTACACGCATTCATCACTGGTTGGCAAATTTACATACTAATTTCTAGAGATTATTTCAGAATTAGCAGCTCACCTACGCAACCCAACCAGGTTTATAACTTTCTCCTACGTAGTAAATTACCGAAACGAGCTCTGTACTTTTATTAGAGTGCAGAGTTTACGTGAAAGGAAGGAGATGACATTATACTAGACACGTATAAACGTACGTGGATATATTTTATTTTGCCCAAGAAAGAATATATGTTCTAGGCTCCTAATCCGGAAAGTAGTCATCTAAGTGTGAACTGATGTTTCGAGAAAGTTTGCAGATGGTAAAATTGACATTGCATGAAACCTCCCGTCCTACTTTCGATCTGCTACATATCACGGCTTTACATAGTGTTTTTATATGGTGGCAGAGTCCTCGTTGACAACGTTAACACACTTATTACATGAAATTGCGTGCCAACTCTAATCTTGTTAACACTTTTATTATGCAAAATGCACGTAATTACAGGAACAATTCATCATCAACACGAATAGCCGTGCAGAAGATGAGAATGTAATGCCTTGATTCTACCACAGTCAAGGAATACATATTTAAATCTCCTGAATGTATGAACTGTAATTTAATATTTTCTACCAATGTTTGACCTGACGTTATTCATGTTTGACGATTCACCTAAGTGCACGTTATTTGCACACGCGATTTACTTTTGGTTGAATAAAAATGGGGAATTAATGTACGAGCATGTATCATCTCGACATGCAAGCAGATGTGAAAGCGGATTTACTTGTGGCGACAGGAAAGCCCATCACTGGAAGGAACACTTTGGGTAGCGACGCAAGGGACGAGGGGGTGAGGATTGGTGGTGGTGGATGACTCCAAGTCATTTATGCTCCGAAGTGAATCTCCCGCATTGCCACCGGTTATATTGACAGCGATATGTTCCGTGTCTTCGTCCGTCGACACAGTCATGTGAGGTTCTTCTATGGAGATCGAAGCAGCAGGTGTGGAGACGACAACGGCTTGTTGAGAACATCTTGCTAAAGGAATTCGATTCCTGTTGCCCTCCGCATCATTCAAAAATCCACAGTTCGACGGGGATGCTTCCACCTGGAGAAGAAGATTTTCAGTGGAGGAATCCGCACGAATTTCGCTTGGTGAGCTCATTCCTTTAAAGAATCCAGCCTCGGAGTCAACGAGAAGAGAAAGACCTGGAAAAAGAAAAAGTGGATGAAAGAACGCGAATGAAATGAAATTGAAGATTCCAACGGATCAAAAAACCTTTCGGAGGAAGCTTCGAGTTGAAGCCGGCTTAAAGAAATTGAAAGTTGAGAAAAATGAAAAGTTTCAATTTATTTGGCTTTAGTAGATATTTGTGTGCGACATGTGTATGCATAGATCGGTTTTGAGATGAGTGTGCTCTTTGTGGCCTGCAGGTGAACTTTGCACACTTTAGATTTTCAGGTGATGATTGAAGATTTCAAAGCGATTGCACGTCGACAAGTTGTCAGTTATTTTTAGTACACAAAACTAGAGAAGGTTATTCGGCTCTAGATAAGAAGGATCTGTTCGTCATAATATGTAATGAGGTGCACATGCATATGATTTCGCATGCATGAACCTACCATTTTTGGTGTAAGTATGCACACGCAAAATTGCCCACTATCTACTACCAGAATATTTGCAATATTAATGCATCACAGCAATTTCATGGGGTATATACATGGAAAGTTAAAAATTACACTAATTGAGGTCTCTTTTCGTGGGAAATGGTGCAGAAGGTGAGCGAGTGAAAGCCTTCTTACATATCTATGCAGAGTACCCATTGATTTCAACCCACGAGGAAGACAGTGTATGGACTGAAGAATGTTACAATTGTACAGACAGCAAATGATGCAGTCTTGAATTATGTAGATCTGAAACTCATTCAGAAAATGCAATGGGCGATAGTTACATACATACACTACCAAAAACGGTGTGCTGTGCATACCATATTGTGAAGAAGAATAATAACGGTGATGTTCAATCGATGACAAAGCAAGCACCGTCGTATCGACGCAATATTTTATTAAAGAATATTGATTCCAGAAGAGTTCGTGTTTGTGTGTAGTTCTTCTTAAATCTCTCATTTTTGGACTGATCAAAAGTGAACGATGCGAATGCCAAGCAGTATGCACGCTATGTACGTATGTACGTAGTTGGGAAAAATCCCAATAAGCCTTCGAATATCGTACTTAATATGGCCGTTGAAAATGCGAAGCAGAATGAGATGGAAATACACAAGTGTATACTTCACTATGTGAAAGCACTATGTGAAAATTCGCATTTCCGAACCTTAGTAATCAGAAGAAGGCTTTTGAAAATGCATGAGGCTCGCTATTGAATTTTCTCTGCCACTTTGCCCACTTCATTATGGCCTTTCACCAACCAATATTCTCGTGATCCCTGCCGCTGGTGCTGCACCCGAACAAATCAAAATTCAATGAATATACAACATAATGGCTCCTGCATTGCAAAGATAAACTAATAGAGTGGGAGAAAAGTGATGAAAGCTGTTGTGTCCTCCGAGCTGTCACAACATATGCTGAGCAAAGTTACATATACCATTAAACCAAATAATAGCTCACACTTACAAAGCCACTTTCCTCTGCTATATTGGATTTCTTGCTTACCTTTCCTACTTCCTACCTGTGCTTCCTACTACATATGGCGTTGGCCTATACGTATATGCGCTTTTTCTGGATGTGGGAAGAGCCACGAAGATCATGCCATGTCCAACCAACTATTTAACTCAAGAAAGAGCAGGGAAAACCTCTCTGCCTTTTTTGACACTTTCCTCCATTATTCATCATTTTCCACATGGATTGATCGAAGGAGATCGACAGTTGGCTAAATAGTGGGAAAAGTGGATGAAATTGTAATGTAAATGGGCAGACACGGGCGTCGAGTATGCATTGTACTATTATTAGAGTTTATTAAGTAAGACAACTTTCGAGTGGCAACGGTAAGCTCTGCCATCGATTTTCGACTGCCACGCTGCCACGCTCTGCCACGCTGTTTCACAACAATTAGTAAATTTAATAGAGCAGGATGCCAACCGCAAAATAGGTCCACATCTACGTCTACGTATCTTTGGAAAAAGGAAAAGGCACTAATTTAAAATGTAATTCTTTTCGTCGGTCGTACTGGATTATTTAGCAAAATGTTGAGCTAAACACACTCCTCCGAATGAATTTTTAATGAACGGGTAGTCCGATGGTCAATAACTGTCCCAGCATCGTGGGTATTGGCGTGCCTTGTAGACAATAACCCCAACCGTCCTTACATTGTACATTTCTTTTCGATCAGACCAAACGTCGAGGAAAGGTAAATGACATGCATATTAAATTCCCTACTGCGCAGATAGAACGATAGAATAGATTGTCATTTGCAATTAGGGCGCAATGTTTAATTCACTTCCATGTTTTGACGGTAGATATATTCGTACTTTCTGCCGTGATCGATGTGATCCCAAGCTCATTTGGATGCTACACTATTAACCCAACATGCCTGGTCATTGCAATACGATACGATTGATGATGGCAAAGGATTTCTTTGTATCGTGTCAAATATCATGTGATGGATGCGCTTCATTGCGCTTGGGTGAAACCTTTGTTAGTGACAACGGTTAAATCTTGTAGTAAATTTTTACAGGTGTATGTGTGTACATAAAAACAATTTACTTCATATCAGTCAACAGCAGATTATTGGAAATCTCAGCCCAAAACTTTTCATACCTAATAAAACCCGATCCACTAGATGTGAGCTCGATTGGAATGATTTCGCTTTCTTGACTCCGTCATTTTTCAAAGGTGCAATTTTCTTTGATCCGTGAACAGACTTGGCTAAACAACCATCAACGTGTGTAAACACAAACAAGATATTCCGTTAGTTGGGAAAGTTTTATAATTTCAGTGCCAGCAGGTTAATCTGATATTTCACTTTCAAACATTAAATTGGATGCTGAGCAAAGTTTTTTGGGAAAATGAAATTTCCCTGCAAAAGTTAGATGTATAATTTGCTTAAATAAATCACTATATATTTGGTTTTATGAACAACACAGAATTCGTATCCTTTATGTTTCATCTCCTTTTTTATTTCACCTTTTATTAAAGAAATGCCTTGACTGATGTGAGGAGAGAAATTTGCTTTGTTTGCTTGCCACCCGACAACTGAGAATCTCACGGCATTAAAAAGTTACACGGCATCATAAAATATATGCTTTCTAGGTCCTGCTCTTAAATCAGCTCGTTGTATATATTTACTTTTCTCATTACAAGTGTGATGCAGTTTTCTCAGTGTGAACTCCTAGTTGGCAGACTGACAAATTCATGAGCTGCTATTTTTACTAACCAACCTGCTTTCAATTTCTGTCTCGATGAGAATAAAACTCGGATTCGGATTAAAATTCTGATTTTTCTCTAACCTACACATTTACCTCTTCTGTTAAGAGAGGTAAGTGTGGAGAGAGATCCTCATCTCTCAGAATCAGTTGTGTCGTTTGAACTCCGCGTTTAATTAAGTACTTCACACAGTATTTCTTTGGGCAGAAGTAATTAAGCGGCTCTCCATCACCCGCAGTTTGTTTGAGTGCGGTAAGCCAGAAAGGAATACAAACAACGGAAAAATGTTGTTTCTATCTCTCTCTCTAATTATTTCTGAAGGTAGGCAGAAGTTTGAGCCGAGTATCTTTGGAGTATGATCAAAATAATATAATTAAGTATACGTAATATGCAAAAGCTTGATGAAAAATTAATGACGACATCAACTTTCCCTATCGGAGGAAAACTTGTATTGTAAATATTAGTTTTTTGCTAAGTAAACATCACGGGGCAAAATGTGTCTGGTTTAGTTTGGTAGTTATTACTAAATTGTTTTGTTAGTCTAGTAAAATACGACTCTATATGGAATCTGAACTATTTAATACTGATACAAACACTATACGCTTTATTGGGACTTGGCGAACAATAATAGAATGGCCAATATTTTGGTCTTTGGGGAATGACTTCATAAGTACTTTGATGGTATTAATAACATTTGACAATTACTGGAAATTTCGCTAACCACGTTCACCAATGCGGATTGTACAATTTTGATGAATAAATCACCAACAAACAATTACTTGGATGGCTGGAGTTGTCAATTATGGGCCCCTTTGTCTAACGTCATCACCACCAACAACTACGGTATTTATTTTCTCTCGTTCTTCAAATATTCTATGTGTATTTATTACGAATAACAATACGCGAATTGCATATCACTTGGGAATAATTTTAATGATAAATACAATGGAAAATGAGGGAAATCATGCTAGTTTTGCAGAGCAGAAGTTGAAGTTCTCTACTTCTCGGTTAGTTAGCCGAACTGTTTACACTTTAAACATGCCAGTCTAATAGCTGTTCAAAATATTTAACTAATAATTTAAGACGCATTTGACCTAATGGCAAGCATAGGATGAATTATTCGTAATTATAGTTTTGTAAATCAATTTTCACGTCAATTAACTACATATCTACATAAATATATGTGTATGACTCCGTACTTCAGGGACTAGTCTCTCCTTGAACGTAACGCATGATTTAATATTTCGGCTTACTAGATTCTAGTACTAAAATCCTTATCCCTTGTAATTGCCATTGTAGGTGGTGCACGAATGTTAGCAGATTCTATTGACACGCTTAATTCCGTTTCATGCACCTGGAATTTCGAGATAAGCTTCTAAACATGCTTAGCGTTGGGCAATCCAATTTTCACTCCACTACTTCAGTTGCACTTATAATAATGAAGGTGTCATTATGACGAAGAAAATCTAGACAGGCCAAGCGTGATAAGCCATTCTTCTAACTTTGTTTTCACCTTTCACCTTCCGAACGGAACCAAATCAAATTATATCAGCTAACTTACTTTACGAAAGCTACTGAAGTGTTATTCATGAGTCTTTGAAACTTGCATAGTCCGCACGAAGGGAAAATCTACTCATAACTATAGAAGTTTAACTCATTATCGACATTATCTCTGGCAACTATATTAACCAAGACGGGCTGTATGCACACACATACATACGTACACCTATGACAAACTACTGACATGGGGGCAAGTACTCTTATAAGTGATGCTATAAATATATGGTCGACGTGAGGGGGGGGGGCAATAAGTAAAATGCAAGATAAATAAAAGTGCATGAACGTTTGCCCGATAAGATTTCTTGGGAATATTCAGTCGAAATTTGGAAAAGAGGAACCGTCTCACGCGTCTCATGTTAGTCATTGCGTAGGCTGCATAGTGCAGGCTCTCTCTATTACATATGTATTTCTTAGAAACCTCGAGAATGTATCATCTCACTTACATATTTCTCTTGTTAGAGTTGTATCTTACTCGATCAGTCGATATTTCACGATACAAAAAGAATATTACTATGAATAACCAATGACTTACTCGACAAGATCCTTGTAGAAGGCAAACGTCGAAACAGTATCCAATTTCCCCCAAAATACAAGTAATACGTGTATGAAAACTACAGTGGATTAAAGACTGGGAAACTGTATTTACTTGTCGCTAAGTATGTCGGTTAAGTATGTACAATGGTCGATGTTTTCCCTGAACTGACATTTGGGAAAAAACTGTGGAAGCTTATATTTCAATGTGGGCGATGAAAAATTGTGTCTATACGCGTCTAAAATGTCGCATGTGGTGAATTACTGGTGGATTGGACCCAAAGTGTTGCATGGCACTGTGTTGTTGTTCACTCTGAAGCGGTCGAGATGGTCTCGAAACTGTGGACTCGCGTAATTTTTCATGGAGTTGAAATATTTATTGCTCGAGAGTAGAGGTGACTTTGCTGGTGGAGAGAAAAGAGTTTCAGGTGAGAGTGAGGGAGCGAGTAGGTTTGAGGTTTGCTGGCTGGTTGACGTGCTTTCACTCCTCCGGACTACTCGAAGGGGAAAGCTCTGTGCGGAGACTGACAGAAACTGCTTTCACTTTGCTGCTGAGGAGGAGGAACAAGAAGCGTGCTGCTGAAGGAGCCTTCTCCGGGGTACCGCTGCCTGCGTCGGTCAGGTTTAGCAAAAGCCAGGTCGAGAACACAGCCTTTCTTGACGACCAAACTCCGGCTGCCTCACTTTACTTGATCGCACCGAGTTAGGTAAATCTACCTGGTGGTTCGCGTCTAGGGTGACATTATGTCTTCCTTCCTGCTTTTTACAAATGAGAATGCTGTTTTATGTGCGAAATGTCAGGCTGCTGTGTGAATGCATGGAAAAGAAACAACCCACGCCCTCCGTGCACCTGGGCGAAAATGGAAGTGCTCGCATTGATGTTAATTATAAAATTGAGTGATTTCATAATTTGGCCTGCTTTGTGAATATTAATTACATTTCTTCTGAGAGTTTCAGTTCCAGGAGTGCATTACTCATGTTATGGGACGTGTGGGGTCACATCCTGATTAGACGAAAATATAAATTGGATTGGGTACGTGTTGCTGATACAAAATGTGGACCTGTTTCATGGTTGTCGCTGATGTTGAGAGAGAGACATCGGTGAACAAGAATGAGTCTGCTGTGCTTTGTCATAAAGTATCTTTGGGGACTTGGCAAAACACTAAAATAATGTCCTTCTGTCCAGGTTGCTCAACAAGGAGAGTCGCCGAACGGGCTCAAATATTCAGACCCTTTCATATCACCTATGGCACCCTTTGTAGAGGATGTCAAATTGCAAACCAACTGCGGTTTCTCTGTGAAAGCAGGTTTGCTGCAGTTGACACGCATAAACCTTTGATAGGTCCACCGTCAACTGTCCACGACGAGGACCCGTGGGGAATGCCTTCGTAGTTATAAGTAAACAGAACCATTTTCCAATAAATTGCTTCTTTGTGTTACTCCAAGGAATTCTCAAATGTCAACTTTCTCCAACTAACGGTTGCGAATGTACCTGCGTAATAACTTTATTTCCTCGTTTCTAAAGTCATTTTTATGAAACAAAATTGCAGCCCACTTGTTATTGTTGATTGTACATGTACAGGATGCAGGCTGTTTTGTACAATGCACATATTTGCTACGGAACAAATCTTGGAAATATAGCATTTATAAATCTACATTACACCATGGCGTTTCTCATCTTCAGTTCTAGCTTTCTGTAACGTACATACGCTTACTGATGTACAGACCACAAGCTGGAATAAAACTTTGCAAGAAGTTTAAATTGGAATTTATGAGAGCTGGACAACATCGCAAAAGACTTTCAACTCTTTACAGTTTCCCAACTTCAAAGTAAGATGTTCACTTGATATATATTTATATATTTTTTGCAGAGGTACATGGTGCACAGCATCAGGTCCAAGTTTTGTTGATCGTTGCTCTTTTTGCTTACTTGTGGACGTATGTATGTAGTCACACTCTTTTGATCTGTCGAAAGGATTTGAAATTCATACAAGTTATACGCATATGTTTCATGCATTTACAAATATCGCTACACAATATTCCTCGAGTAAGGTCAGTGGAGATGTTATGTAAGGGAATGTATGAATTTGGATTGAGTCGAAACTGTGAACGTGACGATGTGATAAGACCAATTGAGCCCTCTACAATCCAATTTTCTTCTTAGAATAGATATGTGAAGTCAAGGGCATGCGGTCATCATATTACATGCATGCCTCTTCTTATGCCATCATGAAGCTATTCATCCACCAATGTCACCGAATGAGTGTCCAGTCTCACCCCATTCCGTCCGTCAAGGTTTTAGGGTACAATGAGTTTTATCATTTTCTCTCTCATCATTTTATCTGCAAAAACTACTCGATATAAACTATTCGAAATTGTCGTGATGATATTTTTGATTAGTCAATAAAAAAATTGGATTGGAGGTACGACATGAACTAAAAACCGAACAAACACCATCGTGACAAGAGACACCACGTTATGCGACTGTTCCTGGCAGTTGTAGGTGGGATGGGTAATTGTTGCTAAATCAACCATGTTATTGGGCGACGAACGGCGAAAGCATAAACCGGGCGTTACTTACATGCACCATTTAATGCATAAGATATTCTACATACCCCGAGCACCCTTGAAACGAATGGCGCAAAATGGAAGGCAAATATTGTTTGCAATTTTATTTTTTCTTAATTCCAGCAAGAACGTCTGGGGAATTAAGTCATTCACTGCGTAAATAGGCTATAAAATATGTCAACCGGTTATAAAATGCCTTTTTCTGACTGCTGATAATGTCGCACTCCTTTAGGAAGGCTGTTGAATCTGTCAGAATCACGAATGTCGGCTCTGATGAGATGTGAAAGGCTACGAATATTCATTCAAACCTCTTTCATCTGGGATGGCATTATCAAAAGATGATAAAACTAAAGAATCCTGTAAAAATCAATAAAAGTAGCAAATGTAATGGTGGCCGTGGTGATGAGCAATTTCTACACCGTGTTAGGAGTCAAGAAAGTGGAATCATCTTTTCCTCGTGCATTTCACTTTCCTCGCAACTCGTGTCTCTCCCCATCCCACCCTTTTCCCATTACGACTTCATACCAACTCGAGATTGTTTCCAACCACTTTCAATCAATAAATTATGAGTAAGAATGGAATTCCATTATGGAATTAACTACTGGCAACTACTAATGCCACGTAATAATACATGAGTCAAGCTTCCCTTTTGCTCTTCAAGATTTATTGCATCGTTCCTGCCCCATATTTCACATTACGAAAAAATGCTCATTGTCTGTATCGTCAAACTTGTGCCTTTCAGATTTGCACTAGTCAGTTCCAATTCCGTCCCCTGTCTGTATCAGGAATGCATGAATTATATCGCATTCATAAGAAATTGGAGACGAGACGTTAGAAGTAAAAAAATCATATTTTTATCCTGGAGTTGAAGAGGGAATGAGAAGTGCCTCCTGCACAAATAAATGAAATTGCTCCTATCCAGAAAGTGATGGATTTCGGAAACATTCTTTCCAAGGAAAGATTTCAAAAGCGCAATCAGTACTTTTCAGTCAATGGGGGAGTAACGAATTAAAGAATACAAGTATTTTCAAGTTGTGCAGGCTGGATTGTATTGGGAATAGTTAGGAATTTGCTGGCTGTGGCTTCAGTTAATGAGGCTTATTCAGTAGGTTGCACAAACTGGAAAGCAAGTACGAAGTGAAGAATTCTCATGGTCTTTAAAAGACGAGAGGAGACGAGGACTTCCTGTATTTTTGTTCTAGAAGCAAGGCCTGGCTGGGTGGCAGGCCAACTGAATGAGTGAGAGATGAGATTTCTTGGCCATTATCACTCCTCTCCGTTTCGGTTCATTGGGCTGGCTTCCTCATGCTCGAACCAGTAGCAATAATAAGCTGCATGTTATTCACTGGTCTAATTGACTGACTGGATATCCAGACTGAATATGATGACGACAACCAAACGTCTTTGCATAACACAAATATTTGTTAAATTGCATGCTACTTTATAAATATGTTGAACTCTTCAAACTACATTTGCTTGGATTATGGACATATGCATTTATGTACATCTGCACGTACTTATGTCAACTTGAGCTACGATACTATGTATAATAAAACGGTCTACTTTTGTCGTGTAGCTGGTTGAGGTAGCAGAATTTCGTAAAACCCCTTATTAAATTCCATTCAGCTTTGTTGAAGCCAGTATTGATTGATTGATTGATAGTCATTTATTCACATGTTATTCCTTGATCAGTACAATTTAATGACTGGTTTACATCAAGTAACACAAGAAAAGAAATACACAATCTTTCCCTGGATCAATACAAATATATCCACGCAATTCAATATACATTGAAAGGCAAATATTTTATTTAAACTTGCGAGTTGCACAAATAGATAGATATAGATACAATTTATTATTGTTCTTTCCATGTTCATTTATACATATAGATATAGATACATATTACATATGTATGTTCTTCTAAAATAAGGATCACGCATCATGCATGGTGATGAGTATTTCCGTTGGATTTGAGATAAAAGGAGGAATAGCTAATTTATGGAGTTGCAAATTGTGTTGCAATTTCATTATCAAGAACATAAGAATTGCTTAAATAAGCAAGAAATACGATACGAAGTTTGTACTTGACAAAACAAAATTGTGTCCCTTGTCTCATCCGTTTCGTTGCCAATTCGTGGAAGTACGATGCATCTTGCATTAGTGAATTAGTATTTACTATAGATTCTTCCCAGGATGATTCCAATTTAAAAGTTCTGCAACCTAATCAGATCCATACACATAAATACGTGCACATATATACGTACGTTATTTAGTATATATAAGTTGCTAATTCTGATCAAATCTCACCAAATTCGTGTTCGAACTCGTGTTCTCGAAATGAAGCAACTTTCTGTGAATATTTTGTTGTGCATAATTGGAATAAATTGGAATTTCTTGCAATCTGCCAGAGCTACAACGACACAATGTCCAATGCGATGTCTTTGTTTTCGTACCACAGTTCGCTGCATGTTCCTAAATTTGGACAAGATCCCCCAAGTTCCTCTAGACACCACTGTCTTGTAAGTCAATTATGCTATTTACATAAACATTATCCAGTCTTCTCGCGTTTGGGCAAACTTTTTGCAACATTTAGTTGTTTTACAACTCTTCATCGTAAAGCCTTCATATCTTTCAAGTTATGACAATTTCAAGTGACAAAGTAAAAGGAATGGCGTGTACTTCATGCTTCCACAATAAAACTAGTCTAAAAATGGATAACCATCCGAAGAATAAGGCAGTTTTATCGCTTGAATGAATTTTGTTAGCCAAAGTTCTGCATGAGCTCACCTTTTTCAATTCAACTGACGTGCTCAAACATTTTTTCCCATTCGTTTACCCAATTTACATTCTACTGCTATTTGTTTCACTTCTTTTCCACCTTGTTCTCAGCCAAACGATGCGGTGTGCATATTACATGATTGCACGTGTTCTATGCTGCAATAGTTACAAACAATGATGCTGTACAAAACGAGAGAAAGGAGCATTACGGAATTGGCCGCAGCAATTTTACAGATGTTGAGGAGAAAGCATAAAGCGTTCTTTACGGTTAAACTGATGGTTTGTTGATGATTATTCCCGTTCGATGTTATCACTTTCCCATTACTCCTTTCTCCTCTGCACCACTCGTTCGTTCGCCTTTCTCCAATTTTATCTACACGAAACTGTCCAACCATGTTTGTGATGTTCCTCCTCTCTGTATAATTGCTGTCCATGTTGATACATACTTATGCTATAAATGAAGGATAAATTAAAGCCTTGGCATGAACGGTTTCATGGCAGTGCAACCTTTTTAGAATTGACGAGTATTGACTCAGCCAAGTAGTCAAGGATAATTAAGGTGTCCTTATAGATCCAATTAGAGGACATCCGGTGACCAGGAAAATAACATTTTAGCCTTAGCAACTAACTCCACTTTACTGCCCAAAGACATGCAATGACGCACTGAAGAGTGGACGAAATAAACTACATGAAAACTTTGTTGGGATTTTCTTTGATTTTCGGACTATATTTCATTCATGTGTTTAATTCATTTACGGTAAATGCCAATTTCAGGTACTAGATAAGGTCTCAATTATTATGTGTTTTCAACGAGCTTATTATACTTATGTATGTACCTTGAATTGCTTATTATACTGATAAGACAGTTATTGTCTTAAACATTTTTATGACCATAATTTACCTGTCCTGCTTATTATAAATTGACCTACATTTATGTACATCTACTTAAATATTAATGGCTCGCATTGCATTCTACGGACAATAAAAAGCACACGAAACGTGGCAAATTTTTCGTCCAACTTTTGCCATGGATAAACTCCATCCAAGTCCGCAGGCATCCATTTTTACTTGTCATCCTTCGTTCCCCTCAAACAAAAGCCACTTCATGACTTTCTCTAAAAACTTGAGACCTTTTTTCTTCAGCTACTTTCTCCTTCCTTCCGTTTCACTTTGACAACTTCAATATCAAAAGTGGAAGACATCATCCATTACTCTCAAGTCTCGTGTTATATAATGAAGCAGTCGCATAAAATATTCAAACCGTGGAGAATAGTATATGCATTTTGCTCAATTCTCAACCGTTTGTGTACATATGCGACGCTATTGTTTGCAAAATATTGCGAATATGGATGATTTGTCTGTGCCTTGTATACGTACATATGCGTGGGTATGTTAATCTAATATTTTCTGTTATGTAGAGATCTCCGGTTTAACAGAATTCGTGAAATAGCTCCTTTCCAGTTTCGCAACCTCAGCGACCTAACTACTCTGTGAGTACACACAACAGATTCTGATATCTGTATAGGCAAAAAACCCTTTTTACGGCCAATTAACTTTCGTTGTTTTCAGTCTTCTCAATAACAACCAAATCATTGAGCTGAAAAATGGGGCCTTCCAAGGACTCAGCCAATTACAACACTTGTACGTTCATCTTTTATTCTTGCTTTTAATACGTCATGCGACTGCTTTTCGCAGGCCGTAATTAATAAATTTTTGAAGACCTGACATTTGAGGAGGCAGGGAAGTAGCGATAACATGATTTTCCACCTCGTTGAAGTTTGATGTATTCAGTTTCGGACCACTATCCTCAAGAGTCTAAATAATGCAAATACTGAAAAATGCATATGTATTACATGTCCGTGTGTACTTTAGGTATATTTACAAGAATAGGATACGACACCTGGATTCTGATGTATTTACTGGTTTACCAAAATTAGAACAATTGTAAGTATTCTTTTGTTGGGAAATTCTGCGTAATTTTATATAAGTTTTATTAAATTTTGAGAGGTTTTATTAAAACATTTCGAAACAAACTTTCCTCAGTGGAAATTATATGTTATAATTAATAGTCAGTATATAACGATGTTTCTGGGAACTAATTATTTCTGATTTCACAGGTACCTGCATTACAACTATATCCCTGTCATAGAGCCCACAATGTTTCACCAATTAACAAACTTGAAGCGACTATTTCTTCAAAACAACAAGATTCAGAAGATTCCTGTTGGTTCTTTTGATAACTTGGAGAATCTCCAACGCCTGTAGGTTTTGCAATTTAGTTTCTTTCCGGTGCTGTGTAGCTGAGGGGCTTTAAGACGTGGAGCATGTTCATTAGCTCCACCAAATCCTCAAAAACAAAATTGTCAAAACTAATCCCCAACTTTATTTGAAAGGCGACTGGACGGAAATGCGCTGGTTTGTGACTGCGGGATGATGAGTTTTGCCCAAATGTTGGCTTCTCACAAGGAAACGATTGCAGCAGCAATTTGTGAGCAACCTTTTGATATGAAGGGAAAGTCCGTCCTCATGTTGACGGGCAGCATGGAGAATCATTGTCGTAAGCCACAAACCCTCAAGCTACATACAGATCCACTGCATACGCACAAATTTACATGCATAATGTAGTCATTGCCTCAAATTCCTATTTTGAGCCTCAATCAAAGATTGAGGAAATCATCAATAATTTATTCCCAAGTATTTTCTATTCATTTATATTTAAATTCATTCGTTATACAGTTTCTGGTCTGTTGAGCATGAAATTAGAAATCCTATAATGTGCCCAAATAGCTGATGCTGTTTCTGTGATAGAATACATCATACGAATATAACCTCCTAACATATGCATGCTTATCTAAACCACTTTATTCAATTTTACTTCGAAGGTGAGCCTATCCTACTGGAGGAACCAAGAGATATTGACGTGAAATTTGGAAACACGGTTTATTTCCGATGCCGGGCTGAATTTTTTGGGCGAAACCCAAAAATTGTATGGCTTCAAAACAAGTAATTCAAGCACTTTCCTTTTTACCGAATTTTGTTATGTCGTATTTTATTGCATACATCGGTCCGCCTTTTTGTCTTGGTTTCGGGTTTCCTAACTGTATAGCGAGTTTCTTGGGTATTCTTACTTTGAATTTTTGTACTACTTCCGTACGAATAGCAAGACAATAATGGTGGATGGATTGGATATGCTTATAATCGCATCCTTATTAAATATTTATTTTACCTTCTTACTATCGATTACAATCTTATCCAACTTGTGTGATGGATCTAGCAACGAAATCAATACCCAACTTCCACCTCGATACTCTATCATGAACGATGGCACCCTGATGATTGAAAACATAGAATACGACGACTTGGGAACATTCGAATGCATTGGTTACTACTGCTTTTAATTTATAATCTTATTTTTGAAAACTATTTTTTAAACGTAGCAAATTATTTTTTAAAATATCCAGCACGCAGCGAAGGCGGAGAAGTAAAGTCTCGCAAGGCTCATGCTAACGCTGAAACCTTAGTTGAATATAAAACCACTCAACAACAACGACCCCGTTTCCTAAAAATGCCTATGGACCAGGAAGTTGTCGAGGGGAAGGACTTGCTTCTTAATTGCAGCGCTTCCGGGCCTTCTACTACCATTACCTGGTATTATAATGAAAAGCCAATTGACTTTTCTGCCCCGAATAATGAGGTGAGATTGCACGGTCGGGTGACAACTTGATACCGAGATTCAGTGAAAGGTCTCATAAATTTTCAGATTACAGATGAAGGGCTGCGTATCCAGAACGTGACTCGCGAGAGGAACGAAGGCGTTTATAAATGTTCGGCGTTAAATTTGGCTGGCAATATATCCGCAGTGGCTCAAATTAAGGTTCTTGGTAAGAATAAGGTTCTCGTAATAGGAAAAAGGCCGGAGAAGAGGAGGAGAGGGTGTAGAAAGTGATTCGTTATTTCTCATTCCAATTAGCCTCCATCATTCCTCCGACGTGGTTGGTCACACCCTCAGAAGCTCAGCGGATTGTGGAACTTGGGGAGAAAGTCGTTCTTTTCTGCGAAGCAACGGGAAAACCAGTGCCTAAAATTTCCTGGGTATTTTTCAAGAAAATTGAGCAATGAGACTTCATGATACTTCAAGCAGCTTGAAAAATAAATTCATATATTTTGCAGTTCCACAATGGAGCGCTTTTACCACAAAAAGGTAAAATTATTATGAAGTGCAAATTACACGTTTATTGATCAATCGTTTAATGTGGCCATTAGCAAATAGTTATTGTACTATTACTGAAACCTAAAATCCAGTACGTGCTCTAATTTGGTCAGTTTACTTCTGGACATTTTGCATTCACTAGCTCCACGAGAATTAATGCACTTTAATATAACAAACACACGTGTATGTATGTACCTATTTATATGGCTTTAAACCTAGCGGAGCAGTAAAAGTTTCCCGTAAATTGAATTTCAGGAAATTTACTGGAAATCACTGCCGCGGTCCAAGAGTCCCACGGAGAGTACACGTGCCGGGCTGACAATGGTGAAATTATTGAGACAGTAACCAATATAAAAATTGTTAGGTAACTTATGGAGCATGATACACATTTTGTGTTAAGTGATTTACTTCATTCGCAACATATTTATCAATATATAATAACTACCATCATGAAATATCGTTGTTTGCAGTGGATCAACACCAGTTTTTACACACAACTTGACAAACCTTCCAACCAGGTAACGTTTTTCTGAATGTGAAAGTTTTTTTTACTACTTGGCTGCAAAGACGAGCTAGCAAGGGAGCAACGAGAAGTGAAAGTGGCAGCATCAGAGTCTTCATTCGTCTTCACGGCACTTGACGCCACCACAAAAATAAAGTTACCGAGTAAATTACTGCTTGACGGGGTTTGGTTTCTTTCAGGCTCCGACCGGGAATCCAATTACAGTTGCCTTGCTCTGCTGTTGGTCGGCCAACTGCTAGCATCATTTGGCGAAAAAATTTGGAAACAGTCTTGGAAACTTTACGAATCGCAATTCTTCCAAGGTATATATTTTCGCAAATTTTTCCTCCTTCAACTTCCATACACTGATTTATTGTTGGCACTGAATGAAACATGTATTTTGCGTATATGTAAAATGTGCTGTGAAATTATTTTTGCGTTTTAGGTGCATATGATACTATCATGCTTCGAAATTACTCGCACCTATTTATACTATATTTGACCAAGGATCACGTAAAAAAGATAGTTTTATATAGAAACACTGATTAAAATACATTTTTATAGCGGAACTCTAATTATCAATGAGTTTGACCCTGATGAGGATTCTGGTACTTACCAATGCAGCGGTGCGTCATTTTATATAGTAACTTGAGGTGTATCATAACAAAAAATTTAGGAAGTTTTGGTATTGTTTTTAGCATTCAACGACCACGGTTTCATATCCTCCAAGCAAATTGTGATAGACAGAAATCAACTAGCAGTACGCCAAGATTCAGACAGTGACATAGTGTCCAATGCGTACAACCAAGCAAGGCACGAGGTGGAAAGTGCTGAAAACGAGACTTTGCGAATTCTTTCCGATACATCAAAGAATGGTAACTTTCCAAAGTCGTTACTGGCGTAAAAAAAATTGATCTAACAAAAGAACGTCACTTCACCAGAGCATCATTTCAAATCATATTTATTTCTGTCTAGAAGTGCTTTCTCCAGTCGAACTACTTAGGCTGACGAGATTTCCAAGGGGCGAAGGAAGGTTTATCGCACGCCCTGCCGAAATATACGAGAGAGCTCTGAGCTTGATAAAATCCCAGTTGGAGAAAGGAATGAGTATCAACGTGACCAGTAAGTGCATTTTCCACCACCAATGATGACAGACCTTTGCTTTTTAGCAAATGGCATTTACGTGCTTGTGTGTACATCGTGTAGAGGATTTTTCCTATGATGACTTGCTCACCACGTCTCAGTTGGAAACGTTGGGAAGTCTTTCCGGTTGCATTTCACACAGAAGAATGAACTTTAGCTGCAATCAGGACAAGTGTTTTAATAGAAAGTATAGGACGATTGACGGGACGTGCAACAATCCATCTCAAATAATGTGGGGAGCCTCGTACACTCCATTTCAGAGGTTGTTAACATCCCAGTATGAAAATGCCTTCAACTTACCCAAAGGTACATACATACAAAAACAATCGTTATTACGTATGTATTACGCCTGTTGTGTGCATATTTATGTAAGAAAGCATGTGAATACAATTTTTCAGGCTGGACGGCAAGCAAGCAATACAACGGCTACACTTTACCGGACGCACGTGTTGTGACAAATAAGATTATAACAACAGACTCAATTAGTCCAGATTCCAACTATACGCACATGCTCATGCAGTGGGGACAGTTTCTGGGTTGGTGGTCCACTAGTTTTGTTTATAATGAAACTGATCCCTTTGCTTGACCCCATTCATTCCATATTTCAGACCACGACTTAGATCACGCTCTGCCTTCACTGAGCATAGAGTCATTTGGGGAGCGTGTAAGTTGTCGAAGGTGAATATCCGATTTCGCTTACTTAATCTCGGAAAATTAAATGTCTATAATCCAGACGTGTTGATCCACAGAACTTGTGAGGTAAGTGCGAGGAATCCATTAAATAGAAATCCATTAAATGGAAAAAATTATTCAGTTGTGATTCGACCAGGTCAGATTGCTTTATAGCCTTTAAAGTCGTTACATACACACTTAACTCGGAATTATAATTATCAAATTTTAGTATTGCGAAAAAAATGCATTAAATATTTGGTACTGTTTTGTCTTCATTGATTAATGCAGAATTTTTTGTATCTTACTTTAGAATGTTGCCCCTTGTTTCCCAATGCAAGGTAGCTTTGGAATATTATGATCCTCAATAATATTAAGAATGCCTATTAAGTAATTATCAATTATTAGCACCAACGGGCGATGTGCGGATTCGAACAAGAAAATGCATGGAGTTCACTCGAAGTGCAGGTGTATGTGGCTCAGGCGTCACGAGCATTTTATTTGAGGTTAGGTAACGAAAAGTGGTTATGCAATGTGCAATGCAACTTAATAATGGAAATGTCGCGTTTCAATACGCAGAGTCTGCAGCAACGAGAGCAAATCAATCAATTGACATCGTACATTGACGCATCTCAGGTTCAATTTACAAAATGATCCAAGAGCAGACAACAAACTGAACCCGACAGGCCATGCTTGATATTTGGAAGATGTCCAATTTATTAAATGCTGAGCCGACTGACATTCACTTTCAATTTTTCAGGTGTATGGTAGCTCGGAGATAGAGCTGACAGCATTGCGGAGTATTACCGAACCAATCTATCTGAGAAATGGAATATTCATGTTTCCAAACAAACCTCTCAGTAATATTTTAAACTAATTATTTGGTTTCCTGAATAAAGCAAATTATTGTCACACTCAAAGTGCTTATTACGTTGAAGCACTATGTATTTACTTGTGATGTTGTGCAGCAAATCAATAATGTGAATATCGAAATCTTTCAAAGCTTAAAGTTGGGATTTTCTTAAATTTCAGTGCCGTTTGCTACAGACGATAATTTTGTTGATTGCAGACGAAACTTTCGGTAAATATAGCTTTATTTGTAATATTTATTGCTAATTACAATATGTGAAGTGAGCATGGGCGCAACCACGAGGGAATAATTCGCAGAGACAATGATAATTATTTCATATGAGATGGCCCCCTATGTCCTCGTGGTTGCGCCATTAAATATGAATTTCCATTAAAAATACAGAATGTCCGATGTTCCTTGCTTTGTGGGAGGCGATATTCGAGTCAATGAACAAGTTGGTTTGCTAGCTATGCACACAATCTGGTTCCGACAGCACAATTTTGTGGCACAAAAACTTCGAGATGCAAATCCTCGTTGGAGGAACGAAACTGTAAATTTAAATGTTTGTAGAATTATTTTGATGCAAATTAAAATTTAAATGAATTTCACAGGTTTTCCAAGAAGCGCGAAAAATTGTTGGAGCCCAAATGCAGCACATATCCTACGTGGAGTGGTACTTTATTTGCAGTCATCAAAACCTTAGCCATTCTTCCATAAGCATCTCACAGTTCATTTTCCGTAGGCTTCCAAAAATTGTGGGGTCTCTGGGGATGGCTGAATTAGGACCGTATCGTGGATATAATCCCAAGATTAACCCCAGTATTACGAACGCATTCGCCACCGCCGCAATGAGGTTAGTGCACTGAATGTGGTGAGAATTTTTTCTTGCCCAATCTTGTAACACTTGATGAAGCAGCAGAAGAGCACGAGAGAAGAGAAAGTTGTTGGAAAGTGGCTGCAGACTAGAATGTAGTGTCAAAATAATCCTGTATGTAAGCCTGCTAATGATCTTTTTTTTTATTTTTCCTCTTCTCACATTCTACGGGTTAGGTTTGGACACACACTTATAAATCCCTCTCTAAGGTAAGATTCGAGGATGGCAATTTATACATATCTAATATACAAAACTATTGGACATGTAAATGCATTCATATGCATTTATGTATGGGATCTAGAGAACTTTAGTATTGCAATTTGTGTGATGATTGATAACGTAATTTAACCTATTTTAGACGCTTAGACGGAAATTTTGAGACGATAAGAGAAGGAGACATTCCCTTGAGGCAAGCATTTTTTGCTCCCTGGAGATTAGTTGAAGAGGGCGGTGTGGTAAATTCTCAAATTAAACCTGCATTGTTACAAGAGTTACGGGATTAATTTCGCTGGTATAGGATCCACTTATGAGAGGACTGTTTGATACTCCTGCAAAGTTGAGGAAAAGCACAGAATTCCTCAATTCTCACCTGACTAATGATTTGTTCGGACATGCACATCTAGTATATTTACAAGCTTAACCTTAATTATATGACATGCATTACAGGACACCCATTTCTGACGTATTTGTTTTTTTTATCTCATAGGTAGCGGTAATTACTTTCACCATATTTTTTGGCCTGAGAGAAAGTTAAGCGGTTCTGCAGTTCAATCTCCATTGGTTTAGACAAGAAAAGTCATCGTTTGCTATTTTGCATTCTTTAAAATAATCCACGAATTAATAAAAACACTTTTTAGTTGGATCTAGCTTCTATGAACATTCAGCGCAGTCGAGACCACGGTCTTCCTTCCTACAACGACTACCGGGCCCATTGTGGACTTACGAAGGCAACTAGCTTTGATGATCTAAAGGTACACATTTAATTACATATCTACGTATGCGTGTTATAAAAGTTATGATGCGAACTTTGAATTTTGTCGACACGTATAGTTTGAAATCCCAGATAAAGAACTGAGAAACAAGCTGCAACAAGTGTACGGTCACGTGAGCAATATAGATTTGTGGGTGGGTGGCATCGCAGAACAACCATCAAGTGCGGATGCGAGAGTGGGTCCGACGTTCCGGTGCATTCTTTTAGATCAATTTAGACGACTACGGGATGGTGATAGGTAAGCCATCACCATAAAATCAAACAACTTTCTCCAGGTACTGATGTGACGCAATTTCACAGATTCTGGTACGAAAATGAGGAGATAAATAGTAAAGAGCAAATACGAGAAATAAAACGGACAACGTTGGCCAGAGTCCTTTGTGACACGGGCGACGCGTTAAGTCACGTTCGAAAAGATGTGTTCAGTATGATATCTAACATTGTAAACTGCAAACTGGTGCAAGGAATGAACTTAGAACTTTGGACGACAGAGGACGACATTATCTGCAGAACGAGTAGAAGGGCACGGAGAGCAAGGATTTCGAGATCAGGGTGACAAGCGAAATGTCGAAACTAAGCTTCGTAAAATTGTAACAAGTAAAAGAAAATCTACTCTCATTAAACACCCTTTGGACCAGTACTAATATTTCCAGTTTCTCATCTTAGTCACAAGCGTAACAATGTTCTTGTTGATAAGTTTTTGTGCTAGTAAATGGGTTTGTTGCATATATTTAATACAGCTAATAAATTAAATGTCACTCAAGTTTGTCAATATGACTCGTACATGTTTCGTGTGACATAGTGCAATTAATGTGTCATGGAATATTATGTATATTGCAATAAACAGAGAAAGCACATAAATGCTGCCACCCAATTCATGACAATCATCCACTCCGCCAAATTAATAAAACACTGCATGTCATTGTAAAACGGGCCTCGCATATATTTCGGAGTTGGGAACTCGGATATTTGCCCATGTAAAAGTGTCGTCATGGGGAGGAGAGGAAAACAAACAACGTGTCCCCACTTCGTCAACCTCGCACACTGATGATGTGCGATTATGATGCCACCCTCCCCCTCGCCAGTCACTCGCCACAACTGATATGTGGCACAATCCATACCACTTTAAGTGTTCAGGTTTGTTGTCAAAGTCAGATAGTTCAGTCCACAAAATTATACATACAACTTCAAAATAGAAACTCTGTTGTTACACAAATTACAGTGCATGCACAATGGCAACCTCTTCTGACGTTAAACAGGGAGAACCCCGTTATAGCAATTTTGCAAAATATCAAAGCTTGAGTTGTTCTTCGGAGGAAGGTTCATCATCATCTGTTGTTCAGTTACCTACCATGTCTGTAAAAGGACCACTGTTGGGATCAAATGAATTAATAAAATGCCTGCCAAGAAAAGAGGCCGTGATACAAATCTGCACCTGGAATATGTAACTAGCATTCATTCCGTACAAAACATTAATTGTAGAATATTACGTATCATAAAAAATTCATGTACAAAAGTCTCTCAACCACACGTGCACTTTTTCCCATCCACCAGGGGTTCGCTTCCATTTCCCAGCGATAATCAATTGAAGAGGATTTTCAAACATGATGGGATTGATATTCATATCATAGCGATCCAGGAAAGTTGGCCGTCCCCAGATGAATCAGAATTACTCTTCCAGACGTCCTTAGGACCTGGATTCGTACTCTTTCACTCCGTTACCTTTGGAACTCTGCATCTATGTATCTTTCTCAGGAGAGAGCTCGTGTGGTACACTTGTGGTATGTGCGCTAAGAATTTGGAATTATTATTTTCGTACAGAAAATGTGAGGGCATGCATACAGGTGCGTTTAATATTGTATCAAACTGCTGGAAGAAAGAGTATGGCAATGCCATAAATCTCTTAAACTTCTTTTGCCTATTAGTAATACGCGAACCAGAGGAGTAAAAATGGGCCTTTTGAGAGAATGGAAAGTGATAAAGTGGTTATTTGTTTTGAATGGTTTAGAGCCCGTCGATGTGAGCCACACAGTTCGTTCGGGCCGTTTATTCAAGACGAAAGGAGCTGTGGGAATTGGGTTTGCCTAAAATTAACTTTCAAAAGCGTGTCTGAGCTGCTGTTTGATGCTGACATTTATGTGCAGATTTGGATTATTCGGGACCAACATCCTGATAATAAATGCTCATCTGTCTGCTGGGGAGGAAAGTTCGAGGGAAATACAGCGGATGGAAGAATTAAACAGAATTCTAGTGGCACATGAGATCAATAAGAATCGCTACGACACCGTTTATCTTGCAGGTTTCAATTTTATAAAATTTACTTTTAAAATGAGAATTTCATACTTTTTCCCTGCGCAATATGCATATGCCATGAATCAACAATAATTATCGTTCTTCAAAGGTGACCTAAATTTCCGCATCTCGGGTCTCGGGAGAGAGAAAATCGTGGAGGAGTTGAAAAACAACAACCTTCAGAACATATTGATGGAAGATCAACTTAATAAACTTTTAATTAACTCGAGCCTTCCTGACACATCCAGTTTGAAAGGGTTCTCCGAAGCTGCAGCCATCACGTTTAGGTGATATTAATTTATCTTCATCACCCTCAGAAAGTTGCATTCATATCTTAATCATAAAATCCCAGAGAAGCAAGTCAAACTTTGTTCAAAACTCACTCATTCAGTCCTGCCATATCCTGAACTTGTGTAGCACCTTAGTTCTAATATCTCAAAATTGGGGTAAAAAATGAATCTTTTCCTTTCACTGGCAAGCTACGCGTTTCAACGACTCTTCTGTGGCTCCTTCTCATACGTGATTCCTGCCAACTGTCTGCAAATTCAATAACAAATTCAATTTGCTTACAGACCAACATACAAGTACGACATTGGTACAGATAATTTTGACTCATCTGCAAAAAAACGTGCTCCAGCCTACACGGATCGGATTATTTACAAATGTTTTTCGGAGAAAAGTGGATTTCCAGTGCCCAGTCAGTGCCTCAAATATGAAGCTGTTACTGAACTCAAGGTCTGAGATTACTTGTTTCATGCAAAATTCCAATGTACATACACATGTAATGGATATTTCATTTTATAATAAATACGTCTGTTTTGTTAAACAGGTCTCAGACCATCGCCCAGTAATTGCAATGTTCTCGATAAAGTTGAAACCTGGATTTGACACGTAATTTTGTTAGCTTTACTTATCTAGCATTCAAGTGATGCGAATTATTTGGATGATTGGATAGTTCAATTATTTGAATTTCCACCTATGTTTTTCAGTCTTCCCATCACAGGAGGTCGATTCAAAAGAGACGTTTATGCTAAAGCTATGCAAAAAAGAGCCAAATTTCTGCTGGACAAGAGAATTTCAAAGTTGGCTTCCACAGCGTGCAACTTGTCCTAGTGCTCCTAACTATATACGTGCAGATACATACTTAAAAGAGCGATTTATAATGATGGGGAAACGAATGGGAGGACGCTGAAGTGAAAGTGAAGCTCCCCTGTTTTGCCCCTTTCATGCTTTTCGTTTGATTGTTGACGAATCCATCGGCAAAAGACGGCCGTCGTTGTTCTTTGCGGAGTAATGGAGGCATGTTTCGAGTCCGAAGGATGACTACATAATGTCAATCAACAGAATCTCAAAGGAGAAAGGTAGTATGCATGGTCGCACATGACACGACACGGTGACTTGGGCGACCCACTTGACTGCCAAACGTTGGCAATGGTTGTCTCCTCAAAGACGAGGAGAATGCTTCTCATCCAACTGAAAGTGGTTGATTCCGTCCCAGTCGCTTCAATAACTTCAAATGACGATTCGATCGCAACTTGAAAGACTGGCATACTTATCTGTTTGGCAGAATACAATGTATACTGAAGAAGATCTTACGTGCGTACATATTTTTATACTAAGCAGCTTTTTCATGATATTCTTACTCTAAGGTGGTGTACAAATAGGTAGATATGTTTCGAGAATCACGAATAAATAACTGGAATCAGCATTTGTGAAATGATACGACACACTGTAAAGTATGGCTAAATATAAAGCTGTCTCGTGTATACCTTTCTAGTCGTTTTTAGTAGCTAAGTGGTTAATAAAATCAACGAGAACTTGATTGTTTTGTGTTTTGTGCTGACTAATTTTGTAGCAACAGCATTCATTAATTTCATCCGCTAGTAGAACACTCTGGATAATTCAATCTACGGTAGATTATCTACTAGATACTTGTGCATTATTCTGTCGGAGCAGTTTACATTAGATGTTAGATCACGTGAAATACAATGTCTACGGGTATTTATTTTACTGTATATGTAATATACATATGACTCTATAAATTCAAGATACATATACATTTATGTTTGTACGTGATTTGGTTCAGGAAAATCCCTTACTGGGTTTGTCACTCAAAAATAAGACAGCATTTCCTTATTTTTTTATGCTAAATAGTTTCTTTTTATCCACAGAATAATAAACTTCGTCATAAATCACTGTAAAATTGAGTTAAGTCGGAAACATAGAAAGAAGAATAAGAAAATACATAATCTACATATGTTAGTAACGAACAATAAGTAAGCAATCAACACCAATGCACGACAAACAACCCAATTAAGTGTGTAAACTGTGGCTATTGTTGGATAAAGTCTCTCAGTCGTTATCAGGTAGTCAAAGAATAATTACTTCTATATTTCCTCTCCAATATGGGAGGCCATGTTAACGGTGTATGTTTAGAGGAAAGGATATGTAGTGAACATTGGTTTTATGAATAAAGGGGCACAACGTGGATATACTTATTGTGAGTGTGGATAGAACGTGGAAGAATAATAAAGGATGATGGTTGAAGTTTAGCAAATTGCTTGAAATTGGGAACTTTGTAATCATGGAAGAATAAAATAAGGTTTCAGGAAATTAAGTCTGTGTCTGTGGCTTCATAAAAAAGTCGGCCGAGTGAGACGAGAGAACTTTTCTTCTGGTTGGATGCAAATTATTCTCTGTGCTGGCTTGACTGGTGGTAATCACATTTTCTCCCTAAATCTCTGGTACCGACTTATCCAGCTTACCAACTATGCTACGACTATTTGATGAATCCTTTCCTCAGCTTCTCTCCTTCCGAAATAATAAAAGATGGATGAGAACTAAGCGGGATTAAGACATTGATTACCATAGAATAAGAGTGGGAGGCTCTGCATCATATTGAGAAATTTAGTGACATCAATTCACACTCTTTATTACACTGAACATTTCTTTATTAATTATATTGATTGAGTGGTGAACGGGATAAAACGGGGATAATGTTGTTGATGATGGTTTTGTGATTATTGCTGCAGATTTGTGTGAATCTCTATCGGTGGTGAAAGAATATAGGGTTGGTTTCATTTGAATTATTGCTGTTTCATCAGGAGAGTCGGCGAGAGAGAGAGTTTGAGATTAACTCAAGGATTTTGTGCAACACAAAGACTGGAAATCACACCAAGAGTTTCTCCTTCGTCTCCTGGACCTCCTTCCAAATACTTCTTCGTAAGTGTAGCCCTCAACTTGAGAGTTTTCATTCATCGGCATAAATTCTTGCAAGTCGTCCAATAAACTTGATATCTCCCTGAAATTCAAAAGCAATCTAAAATGCATACACACAACGACGACGGCACTCGAGCGTCCCTCGACATCAGCACTCACCCTGTATCTTTGTCTATCGAACACAATTCTTCTTGGTTAAAGTCAGGATTTATTTGACGACATAGAATAATTTGGCTCAAAGCAGCAGCAAAGTTTGGTCCAGCAGGCCCGGGTCGACTGTCTATACACACATGGAAAAGCATAAAAAAAACTTTAGTCAATCGGGAAGGGAGAAAATCCAATAAAAATGGACAATTCAATTTGAGCTTCCATAAAAGTCAATAAAATGTCCCAAAACCCTGCTTGATTTGACTGAGCCATGCATGCATACGACGAGTTTAGGACGAGATACGACGACGACGACTCCTTGTTGTACATAAATCTTTCCATTGAATGGCGAGGAGGGAATTGAGATTCCGGTCTCGCAAATTGCGAAAAGACCAAAATTCCATCATGTCAATCGCAAATGCAAATTGACAGTTAGTTAGGGAAAAGCCGCCTATATGTACGTTGTGTTATATGTATACATGCATACACACACATAAGAACATGCACTTATAGAATCGGAAATAGTTCAAGTGAAATCTAATTTAAGACTCTCATCCGTTTTAAACAAGACAATCAGATGATAGGTAGACAGTTAGTTAGTTGAACGAGTTTTTCTTCAAGAAAATTGGACGCCTCTCATGTTGCCTCCAGGTGCAATGGAGAGATGAATTTGTACTTTCCATCCAAGTTGTTGTGCAATGTTAAGAGTAAAAGAGGATAAAGTTCTCGTCGACTGCATGGCTATGTCGTACATCTGTAGTTTTTTTTCAGTATTTCACTGTTGAAAAGGGTCTTCTAGTAGACCCGTGGAGAAAAGGCATTAAAAGGAAAATGGAAAACTTTGCCAACAAGCTCAAATCAATACGACGAGCTAAAGGTGTTTATTTTTTCTCTCCTCAATAAACTTTTCTCTCTCCAGTAGAAGTAGCAGCAGTCTCAAAAAAATCTGGGATATAGGATTTCCGTGTCAGGAAAATAAAATAAATGTCGAACGTAAACTACTAACCAACGCGATATCATCCCATGGTCTTCTGGTATCTTGTACGGATACAACTACTGACGTTGACTCATAACTCACCGTAATACCCTTCCATGTTGATTGGTAGCTTTAAGACAAGTCGTTTGCATTTTCTCAACTCCTTTAATAACAGCTGAGTACAGAAGAAGAGGAGAACCAGCTGCGGAGAGAAATCCATCGGCACCATCCCATCCGCAATATCACTGCAAATAAAACCCATAAAAACCATCTGAATCAGAAAGGCTCCACAATTCCAAACCCCAATTATTACAAGCCTTCATCATCATGGATCAATCTCCATGGGTGGAGATTGATCCAACCACGGCTCAACCATCACCCAGAGAGAACCACAGCGAGTGAAAGCTGGTCTACTCTCGTCCCTGCATGCACTTTGGCGATGATGAGATGAGATGAGCCAACTCAGGACTCTCTCTCCTACTGGTCCTACTACCTGGCCCTGGCTGCTGAGTGAGTAAGTAAAGAGATATCGGTCATTATTATTATATGGGCCATCAAATTGAGTTTCATTCCTCACCAAATACATATTTCTCTGCTGGTGCTCTGCCTGCCTACTCTGCATGTCAAACCTGTTTAATGTGAAAGTTGAGACCAGCTAGATTTTAAAGACCTTCTTCTTTTCCCTTTCATACGAAGCCTCTCCTCCTATTTGGTCTGCCTAACCTCAACCGTGGTGGTGAAAGTGTCTGCTTATGCACATACACCACCACTACCACTCACTACCCACATTCACATTTACTCATCCCCAGTTCAGTTCAAGTACAGTTCAAGTAATAAGTTTTGGTTGGTAGAGTTTTGTGATGAGTCTGCACTCATGCTCAAGTGGTTTTGGCTTGGAGATGGAGTTTATGAGTGGACGTGGTACTTTTGCAGAAAAGTGGCGAAACTTGATTTCCCATGAGTTCAAGCACACTCGAGAGCCAAATTCCAACGCCCCATCCCATTACCACCGAGCTTCATCATCCCAATCAAATAAAAGCGTTGTAATAGTTTTTCTCATCGTGAGCCCATACTGATTGGACACACGTGTACTTATTCTGCACATATGTAGGTACATTGCATTAGGTGGGCAGGTGTCCCTCGTCAGGAGGTTTTTTTGGGGGGAGTTGCAGCTAATGAATTAATCCCCCAAATTGCTCGGGCGGCGTTAATGGATGGGATTGAAATAACTTACTTGTGTATTTGATTGAGAATTATTTGAACAGCGTGACGACAGGATTCAATTGTCTGGCGTCTGACTCTTCTGATATTTTCACGCATTTCGGGTCCATCTCTTGGCTGTCCAATGTGGATGAGTAAATCTCTTAGCGTCGCCACTTTTGTATTCACGTCAGCAATTGCCTACGAACAGAAAATTTTCGAAATTACATATGCATGCAAGTAGATTTGCACTTATTTAACTTGACTCTGTAAAAATATGTATACAGCATTTCTTTATGTTTTGTCAGCATCATGCGCCGTGTGCTTAATTCTGATTGAACCACGTTTTTTATTCGTATTGCAAAAGGAGGAATAAAATAGAGCAAACGCTCCGGATGCTCTGATAGAGTCGTGGTTTCCCGTGGAGAGAATTTATTTCCATACATTTTTAAATCAACCAAAGTCAAGTGAATTGTGCTCAAGTACATATGTACCATTTTGCATTTGCTTTACCCAACAACAGGGAAATAGTCGAGTTAACCCCATACCCAACACATACAATGGATGATGAAGAAAAGGGCAAGCAATTTTACAAGTGAAATCATACAGATTTTGCATAATAAACTGAGACGTTCTTTCTCTCCTGCTCCACACACAGCTTTTAGCAGGTTGGGTTATTTGGACAAAAAGCTCTGCACTTGTGTGCAAATAGTAGACGTTTTTTTGTACCTTGGTTGGGTCTTCTGGAGGTTCGCGATCGTGGGCGAGTCCCATGCTTATTCTTCTAGCTAAGACGCTCCATTTGATTGCTGTATTAAAAAATAAACAGGTTTCCACTTTAGTCGTATTTGCAGAAAGATCTCTTTCAAATATTTTGTTAGTCTGAAACCTCGTAAACCGTATTATAGCACTTACTGATACGTACGTACCTGCTAAACTACTCCGTCGCATCATGCTGGGACTGCTGCTGCTTGGAGTGGGTTCCAGGTGTCCAGGGTGAGGGGTTCCTTTCCCTTGGGGATTGCAGCTATAGCGCCTCATAAACTTTGAATCTCTAACATTGCATGTCCCCAAGCCTCCAGTCGATCCTCCTCCAGGACTTGCCGAGCCTGGGACACTTAGTAGCTGCATGTTCGTGTGAGATTCTGCTTGTCCAACTTGAGACTGTTCCTGCTCCATTTCCTCCAAAGTTTGCAGTGAATCCATTTCACAAAGACGGCGACGACGGTGACTGAATGTTTACTTGTTGACTTTCTACTATTCTCAATCTCTCTGTTATTCAGTTATTCTTTCTTGACGAAATTGGATTTTGTGAGGTTGGGGATAAAATGAGATGCAGGCGAAGGGAGAATGAGACCGGAGTGAAATAGGAGCAGCGTAACAGCCAAAAGATCCTGTAACAACGCCAAACAATAGGGAAACCCATTTTCAATTAAAGCAAGTGAGACTTTGGTCTTGGTTTATATTGTGCGTCGACACATACAGCCGTTCTGCTTAGCTTTCCCTTGCACGTATGTATTCAAAAACATTTACTAAATTCCTCCGCTGCGGAACTTTCACTCGCTCGCCCAGCGTATTTGTTTGCGAGCCAAAGGAGGTGACACTTGGTAAAATTTAACGAGTGTTTATTTTGATATGTTTGGGGCCATTTTCGGGACCCTTGGGACTTTGGGTTTGATGAGGAGCAGGGAACAACTTGGGAATGAGGAACGCGAGTAGCATGTTAACTAATAAATTATTACTACGGTTGGCCACTATTACCTACAGCCTACTTGTTCCCTGGTTCCAATTAATTCTTCACAGCTTGCCTTCCCTCATTCTGATTCCCTGGCAGCAGCACTTCCGTCCACCAACACCGCTCTCTTTCGTGGTGCATTTATAATAAACTGTTGGCCATTTCAACGCTTCCGTCCATTTGTTCGTTCGCCATGCGTCCTCTGCCAACTGCTGTGGAGCCGCATGTTTTGTTTTATTTACAGAGTTTTTGCTGCAAATACAAATTCGGTAATCGGCCATCCACCGTGGATGGAAAAGCATGGACAGAACGGTATGGGCGAGCAGAGACCATTCAAATCAAACAGCTCACTACATCATCTTCTGCTGTCACGACGTTTACTATTCCCATTATTATTATTTGCTCCGAATTCCAACTGTTACTTTCACACCATTGCATTGGCTACTAGTTTTGGCTACTAGATACTTTGTAGTTGTGGCTCTAAACTGAATGTATACAAGTTTAGGGATATCTAGATCAGAATGTACGTATGTATGTACGTATACATGTTGAAACAAATAGTTGCTCCCCCGTCGAAAATAAAGACGGGTGAATGTTGCTTTGCAGCTGTGGCTTTCTCTGCGATATTGCTTTGTCTGTGCTATAGTGGTGTATCCAGTTAGAACATTGGGTAGTTGTGAAATATGCATGCTGTAAAATTGATCGTAGCCGTTGAATTACATTAGCCTGGCTAATTCAGAATTTGTTGTAATGATATATGTGACGCATAGACAGAGGAAGAAGGGAGTTTCCTCTGCCCGACGTGGTGGCGTTAACCAATTCTCTTTTCGCAATGATTGCATAGTGTGTACGTGGAAGTTTGACAAAAAGTGCAGGGTTAAAAACAAAATAGCATTGGTTGCGTGGGTTGGCTAGCGTGAGACAGGTCGGGTCTGGATGGAAAGTGTAATATGTATTCCTCTTGGCTGTCAAGAGCAAAAGAACAAAATTTTTCAAGCAAGCGGTGAAAGTAGGCTGCCTGGCTCATTCTGCCGCTGGAACACCGGGGAAAGCTTTCAGTGTTTGGTTTGACCAGAGAGAGCATTTATTTGTTAACGGTGAAAGAAAGAAAGGATGGGGAAAGTTTACTTTGTGCTTGTGTAACGCAAACAACCTCAACCAAATAGTGATGCACGCACACAACTATCAAAATAAGCTTTGGGTATAAATTTCTAAATTTTACAAATGATCCAACATAATCCAATCTGAAGCCACGAAATATTCCATATCTAACAAATGAAAGCCAATTCTAAGGAACGGGACAAAATGAAGCATTTCGAAATTGCCCAATAATAAGCCCATTTACTTTGTTGGAACGTTTTTCTCTCGGCTTGCTCCTCGTTGTGGTCCTCTCCTCGCGCTATACAAACCTGTGGCGAGCTCGGAGAGGGGTGAGTAGCAGAACAAAAAGGGAAGAAAATAAAAGAGAAGGACACAGACAATGCAGAAAGAGAAAGCATATTTTATCTCATATCTCGGCCATAGAAATAGAAATCGATGATGTCGGACGTGGAACATGAAACTTTCTCTCTCCACACACACACAAGGCACGGGTTCAGTGGGAATTTAATGACAAAACTGAGATGGCAAAAATTACGGACTTCATCTATACCTATTATACTAATAAGTCGTCCTCTGTGCAAAAAATACCACTTGAGATATGCATATGTATGTAGATACATACAATGTATATAGGTTTACTTATTACAGGCGTATGTAAATATGTGTATGGAACTGTGGACTTGGTGAAAGTAATACATAGCATTCTGCTTTTACTTTACAATCTCCCGTTTTATTAGCTCACTTTGAGCGTCTCGGAGAGTGGAGAAGATAACTGAAGCAAAAAGCAAGGAATTCCCAATTGTATCTCAGTATTACCTTGAACCAGCAAATATCTGTCCCTCTCCCCTTCTTCTGCAAATTCTAGCTGGCTGGTTGGCTGGTGGAGTGGAGGTACAAAATATGTATAGCGAGAGATCGAGGATGAGTAAGCTGAGTAACTTTCATAATAATAATATTTTTCTATATCCTTCATTGCTGGCTCTCAACATTTCTTAGGATTAGTAAGAAAGCAGCCAGCCCGACTAACTCTAATTCTTGCAATCAAATCAACCTACTCAGCTCCTATATATTCCTCAAGGTGCTCGTAGACACTCGTCGTGATAGCAAGTGCTATGTAAGTGAGTGGGTTGGTGAGTAGGTGAAAGCACTGGGATTTTGTCCGCCTATGGACGCAGAGGATGCATTACATGATTGAGCGGAATGACCATAAACGATTTCCGTTCATTATTTGCGTCAAACTATTTTATTGCAAACAGTAATTCTCTCACAGCATGACGTTACTTTATACTTTCATACATGCCAACCCACCCCGAGGAGTATGTATTACGACAATAATAATAATGTCATTAAGGATTATTATTTACTTCTGTAAATTATTACAGGTCGTTCATGACGTTTAATGAAATGCTATGTTTTCCCAAACACACGTGCACAGTTGACATGTCTGGTATACATGCATACCTATATGCATATCTACATATCCACGTATACAGCGTGGAGCTCGGATTTAGTGGAGGAATCTGACTTACAATATCTACAGCATCATGCAGCGAAGGCCGGAAAGTGTAAATCATTCCGCAATTCCCGTGCCAAAAGGCTCGAGGACTAATACCAAATCTCAAAAGATCTACAATCCACCTACCCAACCCATTACGCATTAATCCGTTTCCTCCACCACCGAGCATAAAACACAAGCTAACCTACATTACGTATTATATGTCTACAGAGGAAGAGATGAGTATATTAGATTGCAATGTACGTACGTACATGCATACATATTATGCATTCATTCATATCAAACACTAGTTGCTATTTCCATCTCATTCGACTTTCTTTATCTAATAAAAAACATGTGCATGAAACAAGGGAACATGTGTATGTGTGTATGCATGTAGGAGGGAGAAGCTACGAGCGACTTGCTATTAAATCCACTGAGAATTGTGTCAAGCGACTGTTGAACTAACCAAGGAGAATTTTGGCTAGGAAAAAGTGGCGTTGTTTCGGTCGGTGTCGGGTTGGAATGTCATGATATGTTATTTTCCCACTGACTTTATTTTCAAAAAAGAAAGATTCGGCATGTGTGAGGAGAAACAGCTTGTTGGTTTGACTGCTCATGTAGTGCTCGTCATTTCTTCTTTTCCTACTGCCTCCGACCGGACCAGAATCAAAGATGGGAATTGGATGGGTAGAAATGTGGGTAATGCCCCGTTAAATGCCCTTTTGATATCGGATTACAGGCAGAGGTGAAACTGTGTATGACACAGATTTGACATGAGAACAGGACACGGTATTCCACTTCCCACATTACATCACCCCTCACACATAACGGACCACTTTATTTTCTTTTTTCTCTTATACATAAATACGTCCTGGGAGTAAGTGGTTGACCAGGTTATGTATGTGGGTTGGTGGGTGGTAGGTGGTGCAGGATCAAAGGAAATATTATTGCATGTCAACTCTGTGACTTAACTCTGGGACTTACCTGTACATATGTGTCAATCCGTCTCTCGAAAACATTAGCGACAACAGAAGAGTGAAAACGTGACACTTTCAACTTGTCCTCTCTCCTGCACTATGAACCATAATAATAATGGGAATGCTTAGTTTGGGCCAGAGTTGGTTTTCAGTTTTTTTTATCCTGCCGCAGGTTGTTGTTGCACTGCTATGACATCAATGTCTCAACTTCCATCTCTGACGAGATCAGCTATTTCACAAGGACTAAGCACAAGTGTGAGAGGGGAGTTAAATGGGAGTAAATGTGAGCGTGACACAACTTGTTGGTGGAATTCGGAATCAGCCAAATTTATGCATGTGTATACGTATACATTCTAACGATCAGTTTGTGGTATTGGTACATGCATACGTTGGGTAATTCAATTTCACGATTGTCAATACTTCACTTGGTAGTGAAACGTTGGTTTTGTTAGTCAAGATGGATATGTATGTAAATTCTTCTATTGAATCCAGCTGCTAAATACCTCAGCCAGCGTAATTAAAAGCTAAACCTGTTTGTTTAAAGGAGAAGAGTGCGTGTAGCATGAAACCATACACATGTCGGTAGTGCTTACTCGCTGGCCGTAATTATGGTGAAAGTGTGTGTAAATTGTTAGTGTTGGGGCTGTAATGTGTGTGTGTTGTGGAGGATGACGATCTGCGTCAGAACAACAAGAAAGTCTAAATGAGCTCTCTTTTCAAGCGACGTCCACAAAATTGACAGTGCGGGTTATGAAGAGGGATGTCGTAATAAGTGAGAGAAAGTCGAGACGAGAGGAGACAATGAGGTTCACACGCGGCACATGAAGTGGATGGGAGGACACCACAAGTAAGTCCAGTGGTGTGAGTAAATGAGTAATGAGAGGAAAGGAGAGCGAATCCGAGGATTTATATGTGAGAGGAGTGAGCTTGGCTGTCGGGACCACCGCGACATTTCTGTGGTGAGGGCGATTGTCGACTGAGTGGGAACAAGTGCAGAGTTAAGTAAGTAAAAGAGAGAGGAGAGCAAAGCCATGCACCCAGCCTTCGTGTGCCGCTCTTCTCTCCGTCACTTTCTCTCACTTTCACTCCTCTCACGTTGGAGAAAGGGAATCAACTGGGCCAACTCCTTCCGCAGTCTACTTGGCGAGAGCCTACAGGGCCCTCGCCCCCCGTCTCATTCATGCACCACCACCACCGTCCACTGCTACCAAGACAAATCAATTTCTTCATCCCACGACTACTCCTTCCCTAAATCCATAGCAACCACCACTTCCACCTCCACTTGAACAGGAGAGCTCACATATACATACATAAACCCTATCATCCATTCAGCCCGTGTACCCTTTTCCTCCTCTGCCAAACCTTTCTTCTTGGCTTTACAGTCTTCGCCACACCAACAAACAACAGCTTCAGTTTCCTTCCCTGCCTCCCTCAGAACAGAACAGAGATGGTTCCGTGGAGCAGTAAGAGAATAGCAATATTTTGGGTTCGTTAGCAGGCAGGATGGATGGAATGCATGCCGACAACTAACCGACCGACCGACCAATTCTGCTGCTACAATATCCCAAAGTCGAACTGGGCAACTCGAGTTGCCACTATACGTGTGTGTCGGCTCTTTCACTGCCTCCTCTTCGCCAACAGATCTTGCTTACTCCTGGAGGAGTTTGGAATCCTAGTTGCTGATATCATATCATAACTTGCTAAGCATGATATGTTTCCATCATTGTTGAGAATTGAACAAATTGCTTTCCCCTTAAAAAAGTTTTAATGGTTAAATTTTCAGTTGTGTGTGTGTCGATTTTTCGGTCATGATTATCGAAACAACTAATAATGCTTGAGTAATCATTTCTTGCTAGTACGTGCTCGCATGCATTATTGTGCGAAACCCTCTTGACAATGGTGGATGGATATTGGCGAAATGATGGCATCAGGAGATAGGCATATTGTTAATATTTTCTTGCCACTGATCAAGCCAAACTAACTTTGTATCACGCTACACGGTTTTTTTACGCTGTGACTCGAATCGTTTTCGTCGTCGCCGTCGTCGTCGTCGTACCCATATCGCATATCGCATTAGGAGCGGATTGCAGCAGAGTATGTACTGTGTGATTGTGGCAGTGAATGATAATCTGCACTTTCCCATCTCCTAAACTTTGAACTTCAACTTGTGCCAGCCACGGTCTGGTATTTCAAAGTTGCTCGCATTCTAAACTTCTGTGTGTAGGCCTGTTGAAACGCCGTATCATCATGCTTCTTCCTCGGAGGGAGAGAGATATGCAGGACGACTCCCACTATCCTGCTCATCCTAAACTGGCTCCAGATGCGAATGCTGCTGTGCCTCACACGAGTCTCACTCAATGAAATGCTTCCAAGCTCACAATCTAATCTTGCTAGCAGATGAGCCGTTTTTTGGATAAAAGGGTAAATGTATGAACAGGAATGGCAAGATTTAAGCAAGAATAAAGTTCTTAAATGAAGATGGTCTCCTGTCTTATTATTCTTCTGCCCCGAGCCGCTATACGTACTTGGTCACTATCTATCACGTTTAACCAAGTCTTCGCCTATCCAATCCCGAAATTTTTCTTTCCCACTTTCACCTCCACATTCCTCCTCCTCTTCTCTCACCTGGTAGTTGAGCAGATAAAGATTGAGCACTGCATCCGAGTACCGTTTTGCAATTCTCGTTCTCTGTGAGCGGGGTGCCGATCCCGTTCCTCTATATTTCACGGCATCACATTTTCTATCATTCACTTTCTTATTCCGCACAAACAAGATTCTCTCCTTCATTTGCTCCCCCTACTCTCGCTTATTTCGCAAAAGGGGATCTCAATGCCTTCCTTTCCTTCAGCAAATACAGAATTGATTTGAAGATTGCGAGGTGTATTGGATTTCGCTTTCGTTTGAGGTCTTGGGAAAGTGAGCGAGCAGCAGCAGCCAGTGAAAAAAACGCGGTTTAAGCACGACCGTCTAGAATCACTTGTTTTTTTTTGCCTTTCATGAGCAATAAAACTAAACATTGATTATGGTTATCAATGACTGAGAAAGATTTGATTTGTCGGGTGAGATTACAGTTTAGGAATGGAAATGGAAAATCTTTTTTCGTCTCCAGCACACCGAACACGTTAGGATTTCTGGGAATTCATTAAGTTGCTCGGGCCAGAAGCACGCTGGGTTTTATTGCAAAGGGAACAGAGAAGCTTGATTTATGCTGTGCAATGAGAAAACTTACCAAAGAGTAGTTGGGACCAGGACTTTTGTGTTTGTATTCCGTCTAGACTCTGGACTTTCTCTTTCTTGTTATTTTGCAGAGGTGGGCTTGTAGAAAGTGTAACTTGCCCTCCCCCTCTTCTTCTTGTGCTATCTATTCGCAATAATATGTAATGAAGGCATACAGATGATTGTGAACGAAGGAAAAGGTGTTGAAGGTGAAGAATGTTGATGAGATTGCAGATTACATTATAATAACTGCCAAATACAGACACTCGGACGACCAAGGTTTCCGTTACGTAAGGCTGCTCCAATCAGATACCTGCTTTTGCCAGTTAAGACTCGTTCAGGACGAAGGAACGACACAAACCCGTAGTTTTTGATCTTTGATCTCGTCTCTCTGAATTTTGTTCTTTCGCATGACATTGTTCCCTCTTTTAATTCACCTACTTCCGTCCGTTCCACTTGTCTCAGAAAAAAAGAAGGAAAGAAAGGACATACTTTTCTTCAACGGATGTTGGTAGATTGGAAAGAGAGAGAAAGAAAAAAGTACAAAGGCATCTTGTATCAAACGAAATAACAAAATTAGACTGTGCATGGCTGTTTAATAATGCATGAGCAGGGACCGAGAGGCTTTTATACATCTGAAATATTTCCTTGTTGTTTGTTAATTTAATACGCAACAACAAATGACATTTCTTATGAACGTTGGCATTCTTTTCATCATGGAGGATAACAAGAAAAAAAAAATCTCCTTCTCCTGATTGGTCTTTTTCCTCTAATTTCACACAACTCGCACTTATTTATTAGAACAGCGTGGGAGTCTTTCCGCTTGGCTGTTTTATTGAAACAATTCTTACCGTTTTATGAAGAAATGAAACGCTTGAGATGACACATAAGACAGCCCATAATAATAATAGTAATAAGGTGGAGGTGGTGGTGGCGGAGGCGGAAATGACCTTTCACATTTGATGCGATGCCACTTAACCGTGAAGAGGGAGATAAGTAGTCGGCCGACGACGAGCTTTCACCACCAACGAAGAGATTATTATGAGAGGGAGGCTGTTGGGAGAAGATAATAAAGGGATCCGCTTCGCAGGCGAGGAATGACCCGTGAGAATAAGCGGACGCAATGAATGGCACATTTTGCATCTGTCGCAGCTTTCTCTTCACCCTTATTCGTGGGGCGAGTGGAGCAATGTGCAACCTCCGGCTGAACCGTTTGGATGCTCAGCCCGTCATAGAAAACGGATTGCCTGGAACCGTTCTGGAACCGGCCGGGAATAGCAATGCAACAACTTTGCTGATCTCCAGCAGTTCTCTCGAATGACGATAAGATTAAAACGAATTTTGTGAATAATTGTGTCCTACACGAAGCGTATAAACAATACGGGTTGTTAAAGTGTTTCGTTTTCTTATGATTGAAGAAAAAGTACATGTTTTCTTATTAGCTGCAGGAGAACGATAAAAATAACTAGACAAAAATGTGGATATTGGTTAATTTGATTAGATTTATTGGTTAGTAAGATGAAGATGCTGAAAAGTTGCACAAAGTGACATTGGATGTGACACCATCGGAATATCTACTGCCCGTAGCATAAGAGATTTTCGGAAAATGAGTAAAGGCAATATTTCGTCCATACAAAAATTAAAACTTTGGTTTTATACTTTGTTCTATCACTCGTCATTCTCATTCGAGTATGTGGTTGACACTATTATGGAACCCATATTCTGGTTCGTGGATCAAGTAAGTCAGCCTATCCTTGGTCCTGCCTTCGTTGTGGTTGTGGTCATCTTGGTCTCTTACGTCGTAGTCGTGGCTCATTTAATTGGTCAGAAAATGTCAATATTTTTTAATTAAAATGAGCCTCCTTTAAACATGTAATCAAATTACACAGGACTTCCATTCTGGACGGCCAAGAGCTCAACCTTCACTGCATTTCTTGCTGGGACAGGATACTGGATTTTGACCAACTTGACATTTAACTTTTATAAAGTCGCTAAAACCTCACCAGGACTTCCAACTGACACGGAACGTTTATTAAAATGCACTGTTACGATCTGTAAAAAGTGCATCAGTCCCAAACCGCCGGTGTGTATTTTATGCTACTTTATGAATTATTATAAATACTTAATAAATTTTTTGATCCATTTAATATATATGTATTTCTTATTATTCTTATAGAGAACTCATCACTGCTCGATTTGTAATCAATGCTATTTAAATATGGATCATCATTGTCGTAAGTTGTATATATAATTTTGATGAATTTCACACCATTTTGTATCTAATTACCAGAGTCCGGATAAATATGTTCTTAAAAACCCTGAAATATTTATGTAAAATGTTCAATCAAATCGCCAAAATCTAAACTATATAAAGCAGGTGAGTGTATCGCTGCTGGGTCGGTGGCTTTTTTGAGAAGTTAGCCTCTCCTTTCCTCTCTCCACTCTGCAGAGAGAACAAGAGAGGCTAACTTCACTAATGTTGGGATAACGGGCTTATCAACGGGCCTATTTTGCACGTCTATTGACGGGCTTCTACACTAGTATGTATATAAAACATATTTTTAATTCGCTTTAAATTGCCCCAAATTTAGCTTATTTGACTGCAGAAATGCCAAAACATGCTTTTACATTTCGAAGTGACAAACTAAAAACATTTCAACATGCTCTGGTATTATTTCTACGATGATCGGAATTTTTTATGACTGTTGGGTATTATTTATTATTAACATAAACATATGACTTGTGAATTTCCAAGGTTTTTCTAAAAGAATATATTTTTTTCTTAAAAATCGCTGAAATATGTAAAAACATATTTATGTGTATTAAAAATAATATATATTTTTGAAAAAATCGCAGAAATATGTAAAAACATATTTATGTGTATTAAAAATAATATATATTTTTGAAAAAATCGCAGAAATATGTAAAAACATATTTATGTGTATCAAAAAATGCACATTTTCGGCAAAATCGTCGAAATATGTTAAAACATATTTATATGTACCAAAACCTGGAAATATGTAAAATATGTAAAAACATTTTTTTGACCGTGTGACCTATGCCTGACCAGGAACAATATCCCAAAGTTTCAACTTCATCGGGTTATTATTGAAAAAGTTTAAAATACATACATATCCGGACTCTGCAGTAATTACACAACACTTGCTCATTTATTTGCAGCGTGGGTGAATAACTGCGTAGGACACTTCAACCGGAGATACTTTTTCATGACAATGGTCTACATTGTGCTGGGGTGCTGTTTTATTATGCTATTTGGGGTTGAACTTGCATTTCGTGAGGTTATCATGGACGAACATATTCTGCCGGACTGCACCAATGTCCAAACTCAGGAGTTGCCATTGGATAGCTCTGCAGATGAGGATTTGTCAGAATGCGACGAGGATTACGCACTATTGTACTTGGGAATAGTGGTTGAGCGTCGACTATTTAGATATTTTATCTACTTTGCTGGTTTACTATGCATCGGTATGATATAAATTATTATTATTCGTATGAATTTGGCCATAATGTTATGTAAATGATCATACATATATGACTTCTCAGGAACCTCTTTAGCCTTGGGCGGATTGACTCTTTGGCACGCAAAACTAATTAACATGGGCGAGACTAGTATTGAATACCATATTAACAAGGCGGACCGGAAAAAGAGTGATCAGGTAGGAAATAACTGTGGTGTATGTGTTTTGCTAATTTTGCTAATAATTAACACTTTGTGTAGGCATTTGTCAATCCCTATGATCTTGGAAAACGAAGAAACTGGGAGGTATTGTTAGGACTAGATCAACCCAACACGTCATTTTTTCGTCACATTTTATTTCCGTCGTCACACAAGCCTACTGGAGATGGATATGTATGGTCACACATAACTGAAGCAGCCAAGAGACGCAGGAAATTACAATAACAATTTTGAAAAAGGAAGGACGCATTTAATTATTTTTGCCGTTCTAGTCAGGGATCTCTTCATCATTTGCAGTTACGAGCGCACATACATTATTGTTTATTGTGATATTGTGATCTAAGTACTTGAATAAACTATTTTCATTTTTGTATTTAACATTATTACATTGTAAACATTTAAATAGGTACATAATTTTTAATACATAGTTGCACTCCATATAAGCCACATCGTGGTTGAATATGCATTTAGACATAACCCCAAACCTTGAGCATTGCATTTAGTCCTAACTCCAAAACCTGTGCATTCAATTTCGACACAATTCCAGTGCTAAGGAATTGAAGTTGTGTCCAAATGGATATTCAACTATATCTTATTATATATATTTATATAATATTTAATGTAATTAAAATGTATTTAAAATGTAATTTAATGTATTTAATTTGGTCTTATATTTATATATCTTTCAAAATAACTCTAGAATCAGACTACAGATGGAACAGCCAGTGGAGAAAGCAAACCCGAGTAAACTGGAAGATTTAATGCAAGTGAAAGCTATTTACTGGGGAAATTGAAGCAACTTTGCTACAATATTCTGAGCATGTACAGTATAAAATTCCTATAACTAGTTTTTTTTAACCATACGCATGCTTTATTAACATAACAAACGCTTGACCAATTTCTACACAAATTTCAAAAGATTTTCCTATGTCAAGTGAAAGTGAAAGTAATCGAAAATAAACTTTCATAAATACGTATAATTCCTGACACATGTCACTAATTGTACGAACTTGTTATGCTTATCTTCTGAATATGTTGTAGTAAATACAATCTAATTAAAAAATCGTTGTAACGTACAACCTAAAAGTGACAAATAAGATGCATAAAAGAAAGCCGGATAAATTCTACAGGACAGGACCCCATAAACGCATTCAGTAGTGTGGCAATAAATTAAGACAGCAACGCACTTCTCTCTCTCTCGCTGCAATGCTAATGCACTAGTTAATTCGATTCGGGAAAGTCCTTTCTTGTCTTCAATTAAGGCGAATGAGACCACACGATTGGTTGCTCAGCTCATCCTCAGAATAGGGAAGGAACAAAGCAGATCACGAAATACAAAGAGGGAGAGAGCTGATTCATTTTGATCCTGTAATGGGATTTTGTCTCTGATGTGATCATCAAAATCTTTTCTGATTATTTAATTGTCGGAAACTGACTGGGTTGACTTAAATCCTGGATAAAATAAATCAAAGGGGGTAAAAAGCATCACGAAGATGAAAAGTCAAAATGTCTAAAAAAGAATGATGTACTAAATATTTATACAAAACTACTTCCCCAACATTTGCCGTATGAAAAGTTGCTTATACACAAATTAAGAACAATTTCAGGTTCACAATTGGTAAAATTTGCACAAGTAAGACTAGGATCGGCGTGCGAGGGTGGAGAGTGCGTGGCGATGGGGTAGGAAGCAGGGCGGGCGGGAGGTAGAGGCGCAAGTGTGGGGAGAAAGGTCTCTCGCCGAGTCAAGTGCACGGGAGAAAGTGCTCGCTCCCAGACCAAGCAAACCAGCAGCAGCTCCCCGTCCTCCACGAATTCTCAACTTGCCACCACGTCGAAGTCTGCCTCAGCTGCCCCTCTCTCGCTCGTCGGTCAATTCAGCACATAATTTTTGCTAATAAACCACTCCACATCCAAACTGATTCAGTATGCAAATACTGACGGCACGAAAGACACACTCTCCAATTCCTCCTGCCACAATTACTTCTGGTCTCGAGAAAGAATTATCCCGTCTGGAGGAATGTGAGACACGTACCACTCATCACTCCCACTAGTACTTTATTACAATCAGCAATTAAAATGAGAAGATATGTTTTAAAGAGTGCTGTGACTTTTGGAAATATATAAACCAATTCTAAAACAACATGTGAAGTGGATAGACACAATTTTGAAAAGTTTTGATTGTTGTATTCGTGAATTTTTCTTTCACGTCGAGTGATTTATTCATGCAGGGGAAACTATGTCGTTCAAAGTAAGCGTGTGATTTTGCCCTTTTCCATTCTCATGCAGCGTGTGTGTTCAATTTGGGTCAGCTAATTTCGTGGTCATGTTCAAATCTCATGAACGGGTGGTGAATTAGATGTCTAGTTCATTTCTACTTCTGTGAGAACCTCTTTTAAATTTAAAAAAAAGCAAACAGGAAAAGTAGAGGTGTTGTCCTACGGGAAGAGTTAGTGCCATATTGTTGGCGTGAAATGTGAGCATTTGAATTATTCGTTGCAAAGGAGAGAAGGAGAAAGAAAGAAAGGTGGAAGATTAATTTTTAAAATGAACTGTGTCTCGTCCATCACCTTAGTTGGACGGAAAGGGGAAGCAGACGAGATTCTGCACGTATGTCAGCTTCAAAATTTATGTTGCTCACCAAAGCTTTCACTCTTGTATATTAAGGAGCACAAATTGTCTGACGTGTGAAATGTGGGGTGGGACCGGAAAGATGTGACAGCACAAGATTTACCTTTGATACTTCAATCTCTACCTTTGAGAATAAAATAAATAAATGTAGACACTCCACTAAACATTCCTCATTTTATTTATTAATTTTTACATTGAAGTATAAATTGCACACTATGGCGAGCTTAATTTTTTTTAGCTTAAATGCATGTTTCGATTAATTGAACTAGCAACATAATACGCACATTATTGATAATTGTAAAATTGTAAAATTGAGGTTAGTTATAAATAAATTTGTCGCTTGAAGTAAAGTCATGAATCGGGAGTGGGCAGGCATGGGGAGCAGCAGGAGCGAAGCGAAGACGAGGAGGGTGAAAGTGGTGTGGGTAGAACGGGGGTAGTTTTTACTCGTGGCTTCTCCTTTCTCCAGTGGATGCCGGATATGAAAAATGGCTGGGGAATGGGAAAACAAATGTGAAAGTAGTGATCCCATGTTGGCAGAGCTTATTATTTGAGTTGACGAACTTACACGCTCTGAGCTCTTTGTTACTTTCTCCTTTTCCCTGCATCTCGACGACTGCCCCCATCATCTTAATCATGCATGGTTCACATCATTGATACGTACCAAGTTACCCAAAGTAGACGGCAAATACATTACTTCCGGTTCGTGGGCACTTTGAAAAATTAAGAAATCTTTCAACACGCAAACCTGTGCCGTACGTACGTATGTACGTGGATGGAAACGTTCAATTCATTTCATTTTAGTGCAACTGGCCAAAAAGTCCGTTCTGGTTTATTTTTGGAACGGAGATGAGCAACTGCTTCTATTTAATGTTGATCTACAGGCAACATGTCTTCATGAATTTATTATTATTATATGTATAATGATAATCTATTTCATCTTGACAAAATACATGTAGAAGAATCTGCGGGTTAAGCCAGATATAAGCATATATCTTACAGCGGAAGAGAGGATGCCCAACGGTTGGGATATGATTAAGATAAAAGTACGCAAGACAAATATTGAAGTTTTGCTTTGTGGGTTTGTCAAAGTCAAATAGAAGAAGAGTTGAAAGATAAAGTTTGTGTGGAAAACAGTGTGTAATTTGGGGTTAAAAATGCTAAGTTCTTTTAAATCACGTTTCTTCGTTTCAATGATGTCTGATGAAGGTTACTCGCTATACCTATTGATCTTGAGATATGCGATATTGTAATTATTAAGGATTGGTGGGTTTAGACTTTTGGTGAACCCTTATTCAATTTTGAATATAATTATCCAATAAATGAAAATGAAACAATGGGCAATAATGCACATGGGTCGAAGCTCAGGACAGCAAATAGTTCGTGGTGATTTCGATGTGATCTCGTCCCATTGAGTGGAAAGTGAGAGGGGAGAAAGGCGCCTGCTTAAGTATAAGAAGATCCAACTTGAGCCATTTTCACACAAGAAAAGGGTTGGTGGAGATGATGAGGAGAGGGGATCGAGCCATGCAAACAGGTAAAGTTTGACCAAGGAAAGTGCTCTGGAATGATGATGAAGGATTAAAGGCGGCACTTTAATTTGAGAAACTGACTACAGATATTCATTCATTATGTACAAGATCAGCTTTCCTTAATCTGCTTATCTGCTGGTGATTCAACTACCCATCCAACTCCTCCTATGAACTGGCTCAGCTCAAGTTCTTACTTCATTTAACCACACCATACGCCAAATGTAAAGGCTTCCTCTCCCTTCGCAAATCTTATAATACGACTCCCGTACAATATGCAAATCCTGACGTGCGTGGATAGCGGTGGCCTGAAAATGCTGTCATGACCTCGGGGGGCTTCATTTACCAACCTGCCTCCTCCTCTGTTCTTTCAACAACAAAGAACAACTTTCTACATAGTCAGTCAGTCAGTCAGTCACTTTGCTTCCTTTGTTTCCTCGCTGTGCTCTCAGTCAAAATGGGTTACGTGGATCAAAATAAGATTTTCTGGTTTCTCCATTCCTCTCACTTCCTGCCACCATAAACAAGACAAATTGATTGATATTGGATAACAGCATACACAACTTTGTTCGAAATTATTACTCAGATTACCAAGAACAATCCAATACCTTCGTCTAATAAATAGATCCCCAAGTTTTTAGACATCAGCCATCTTGACATCATTACATGTATGTATTTAAGAGTTGAAAATATTGCTGTGCGGAAGGAGGTAAGTTTGCATGAAAGGACAGGAACCCATTTAACTAATGAATTTTAATAAGCTGTAATGGCTTATAGAAGCTGTTCATGGTATGAGCTCCGGAAGTGCTTGGATATCCTCGGTGCAACTTTACCCTGTTTTCGATTACGAGCAAAGCATGTACTTATCCACCCCACCAGGTTTGTCCTCCAACAAGCCTCGTCATGAACTTATAATATGCACACATGTATATGGACCATGCACCGTCTAATGCGTAACAACTCGTGTGAGCTTGTGGAACGAAGACCAAATGACCAAATCTCGGTGAACTAGGAAAATCCAAAATAGGCATCCAAAATTTAGAGGCTTCAAGGGAAATTCAAAAAGTTGTTCACATTTTAAATTACATACACGACGGAAATTTGATGACCATTCACCCCAGAGAGAAAGTATCATTCAGACCAAAAATACTTTGTTGGCTGACAGGTTAACCGTCTGCCGGCGTACAATTTTATTTGTGTTGGTTGGCACACATATTGTCAACTTGGAAGAGCAAGACTTGACCCTTGGCCCTCGTGCGGACTATGGCTCATATCTGCACGTCTATGTGTAGCTGATGATGATGGGAGTGCGAACACTATATTTTGTTGAAGCTGCGAAAGCTGACTTCTTACCCCTTTGAGATGATTGAGTTGGAACGTGAGTGGAATTTTTGGGAAGGACAGCATGCACTCGACGATTCACATCCTCAAAAAATCTCAGAATCAATTCCATTATTGTCACTCCGTCCAGGTCCACACTTGCAAGAATGACTTCACAACTCACAATGCTTCAGAATTTCAGTTTTTCTGAAAGGCAGATCGAATGCTTACTTGAGTAGAAGAGCACTCGAGAAATTTTTTCGCACTGTTAAAATTAAAGAAACGTTCGAAAAAGGCCACTGTGAAAGAGTTGACAAATTTTAAAGGTGTTGCCCAAAGTTTATATTTTCATCAGATTTTTTCAAGTTTAGAGCAGAACGGAATAATAAATATGACATATCAACATTCATCTCATTCAGAATTTCGTTGTCTCGTAAAATATCTTGAATATATCCGACTAGTATTAATTTATTTTTCAAAGTCTCAGCCCCTCAAACTTTCACGAATCAATTTACTTGTCCCAGCAACTCTTCTGCTCGGTCATATTGTCGCCGAAAAACTTTGATTGGGATAAGTTTAGATTGTACAATAAATTATTTGAAAGTTGCACAGTTGAAAGTATAATTGATCAAATTGAGAAGTAAGTACAAGACCTGTGCGTACGTACTAGAGTTGCGCTAAGTCTAAGTAGACAGCAGTTACTTTTCTTATAAATGGCTGGCTGTTATTAGTGGATGAAATATGAGACGGCAATGGGGGCAAAGAAACCGTGCCCTCCTGAGAAAGACAAAGGAAAGCTTGTTGAACATTTTGTGCATGTTGAATATTGTACACGATTTCCAAGTCTGCAGTTTCAGACCAACTTTTAAAGGATTAGAATGAAAGGTTTCACTTGTAAGCAACGATCTGGATTGAAATTGGGGAAAGTATTGAGTAGACGACAGCTATTTTATATACGTATCTGTATCATCTCTATATGTGGAATATCCATACGAGAAGTTCTAATGCATACAGGAAGGAACCCACATATTGAACATTGCATTTTAATCCTTAATGGTACAAAATTGCTCACTTATTTCAAATAATGCTTTATGAATGATGAACCCTTTTGTTGTCCCATAATTTTGCAAAATACTTGAATATATTAAGTATATATTTTGCAAATATAAATATATCTATATATATTTGTTATAGGTTTGCTGCAGTAAAAAGGGCATTAATAAAATTGTATCTAAAGTTGGTGAAAGTGCTGCACACAGAGAAGAGGAAATAGTTCAGGGTCCAGATTTTGCATTATTAGGATCTCCATAAAGATGTTGGTCATAAAAGGAAATATATACATAAAGGATCATATTTTAGTCATCCTCTCGAAGAGGGCTAATAAGAAATGAAATGAAACTAGCAAGCTGCTTTTCATTTGGGTTTTGTGAGAAAATCATAAACGCAGCTGTAAAGAATTATTTATTTTCCAACGAACACAAACAATCTTATTTTCCTATTTGGAAAGAGCTTTAATGAGATTTTCTTCTCTGTCTCTCTCAATAGCTTTCACTTTCAAGGAAAACAAAGTTTTATTACAATGACGATAATCGTATTTCCTCTCCTCTTTTCTTGATTTTCCCCGACACTCCCTTTTTATTCCCCAAACAGTCTCCACACAGTTTACACTTTTGCCACTTTTCTCTCACAACTTGGGCAAAGTAAACGATTCCATCCTTTGAATGTATAATACGCATTTACTTTTCGTCCTCTCCCCGACTTTCCCCGCAGCCCATATTCTCCCCATAACATGTGCGTGCACTGCTCAACCCATTGTTCAACCAGTTGAAACAATAATAATGGACAGATGGCGAAAACATAAAATTTCAACTTTTAATACTCTTTCATTTATTTTGAAACATTGGCACACTATTTAGCAAGGTGGCGGGTAGGGTGAAAATTTTACTACTCGTACGTACTTAGAAATTTGGTACTAAACTTGTGGGTTGCAGCGAAATTATCAAACTAAATACGTACTTGTTTAGTGCTGCCTTATTTATTAGTTACTAAACTCATAATTAGCTTGGCTACAATACTGATCGAATAATAATACTTGAAAATAATAATGATGAATGCAAAAAATAAAATAAAAACTCTTATATAACGTGGAATTTAACCCTTTAAACTGTAACGACGACAATAGTCGTTTTATAAGAAATGGTCTAATTCGACAAAAGTCGTCCTGAAAAATCGTGGTCATGGCGCGGAAGGACGACAATTGTCGTTTCTAGGAGGTCATTGATTTTCACCATTTTCTCTCCGCGATCTAAAATTTATTGCAATTTTGATGGATTTCTCCTATGCCAACACAATGCTAAATTTGAAGATTTTCTTCCCAAAAATTTGGATATTTCCCTATACAACGCAATGTTAAATTTTTGATTTTTCAGTTTTTCGAGTTTTATTAAAAACTTTAGAATTTCTCCTCCCGCGCCATGACCACAAAATACTTACAGTGTCCCCGATTTAATGCATTTTCTTGTCGTTAATCATACACGTTAAAGGGTTAATACCGTTTTTGTATTTTTGCAGAGGTTGCTAAGAGTAGTGTTTGGTCTTCAGCACTTATGGATTGTCCTAACTTCTGTCCTATACTGTTCAGGTAAGCGATGGTGATGATAAGCAGCCTAATTTCAGTGTTGCATCGCATACGCAGTCTTTGTGACAAAATGCAGAAGCGCAAATTATACGTGAGGCTTGGCCCAAGTGCAGCAAGGTGAAAGTTGGCCGCTGCGAAGGGGAAGATGCGTCGTGTGTGCAATCAGAGTCAAATGAGGAGCGAGGAGGTCTTAATAAAAATGAATCCAAGGAACGGGAGCAGAGATATTTTTCAGAGTTGAAAGTTTTCATCTTTTTATCTTTCCCAAAAGTGCCATCCCTTATACATGCCATAGTGAAACATTATTATTATTATTCCCGTCTGCCCGCCCCACGAAATTAGATTGCTGGACCCAGCCACTTAATCTTTTACGCTCTCTTTCTCTCTTTTATTCTTCCCTCTCCGGTCGCCTCCGCTGCTTTCTCCTCCTGCTTAAACTAAACTGCTTATGCTTTTAACACGAAAACTGGATGAATTGGTCGTGTAACAATCCAAACTCTGCTCCTTTTTCTTCGCCTTTCGCTAACCCGGTGGTGGTGGTGGGACAAGAGGGCCAGATTCGTCCTTAAGTCGTAATGAATACGAATTGGAAAAGTTAGACTCTTATAATGACTTTTTCACCCGGTGTTCCTTAATTAGGCTATCCCAATGATAAGTTAAATTTCCCCTCCTTATTATGCATTTTATTCTCATTGAAACAATTACACGTTTCGTGAGACAAACTTTCCATTCACTTTATCATCTTATCAACGCCATCATGGTCGGAGCCGGGTGTGCGGAGCTGGCTTAAACTTGTTTGTCTACACATAATACCTTCACATGTTGCTCCCAAATTGGTGGTTTTCGTCCCCTTTGTTTTATTTTAATTCCGACTCATTTTTTGTCTTCTCAACTCGCTTGTTTTTCTTTGTGTAACTGATACACGGCAATTTTTACGGACATATTATATATTTACTTGAACTGATCTGCACCTCTTATCGAAAGTGTGGGTACCTTGGTGGGTTTTATAGATACCCGAGTAAGTCAGAGGGAGCCTACTCCATCATCTCCTCTGTTTATCCACCAAACAAGCCAGTTCAGTCCCACGGCGTTCTTTTGTAAAAGGCGTTAAAAGTTTATGTTGAAATCATCGAACGGGTGCACGTGTAGTTTACGTGGGTATTACAAGATCAAGATCAGAGCATCAAAGCCTTTGTGAAAAGCTCTTAGTATCACTTTTAGCCAAGTTTAAAAGACTCTTTCCTTTATGCATTCTCTTCAATTTCTATGTTTTATGAAACAGTTGAAGAAAAAGTCTAGACGAATGTATGAATTTATTTACGAAAGGCTTGTTGATTCTTTTCTGAAATCAATAAAATTTTCGTTCGCAGATTCAAGAAAACAGCGCTCACATTTTAAAAATTTGTACATTTCTTTATGCAAGGTTAACGTGAAGTGCATGGAACGCATTTCTCTGCGTACGCCAAGTCAAAGATTCATTACGAAATATCCACGATGGCAAAGAGCACGACAACACTCGTGCGACCGGGTTATTCCGCATGCATGAGCCACAGCAGCGCGAGAGAAGAGCTGTCAAAAAGTTCAACCCATTATGAACGGGTCATAGTAAAGGTTACTATGATCGTTGGTGTCACAGTTTGTCATCCAAAACAATGCCTCTTAGTCAGACTGATGATGGTGGTTTTCGCGGTATAGTTGCTTTCTCCGAGCTCAACTATGTGCTCATGATTATGAAGTAAGTACGGAGGAGATAAGCTCGTGGAATTTAAAGCAGTAGGGTGAAAGCATCAATATTACCCTGGCAGGATGGAGGAGTAGACAGCAGTAGGAGCAGCAGTCAGGCAAAATCGAGATATAGAGGACCGTGGCTGTAATGGTGAAATTCCTTCCTTCTTGCTTGCTTGCTTGATACAGATGCCACTTGGTTCTAGGTTTGGAGGGGGAAGGGAAATTCAGGCAGCAAGGAACGGGCTGCCTGGTGTGGTCTGGTTGAGGAACACTACAAAGTATAATAATATGTAGTACGAGAGGGAGAAGAGGACCGACCGGAGGATAGGATAATGGGAGGAAGGATTACATTATTGTATGCAAAATTATTAGAAAGGGAAATGCTTGGAATTCCGGAGCTTATTATAAGAGAGAGGAAGATGCATCTCACGTCTCACGTTTTTGTGATATTATTAATTGTGGAGATGGAGAGAGAGATATGGAATGCGACTCTCTTATTGCTTGAAACACAAAAAGGGCCCCGTTGGGACTCCTTAGACTTTCTCCTAGCATGCTTCCCACAACTTTTAATTGATTCTGTCCATGCCATTGTCATTTCACATTCGAGATTCTGCAACCACCTACAGCTCACCAGGCAAATGCGCGACATGTACGCATTTCAAGTTGCAAGGAAACCTTTGTGCTTTGGTACATTCCGAGTTTGTTACCTATAAGATTACATCTCCAACGTCGTGAATTTCTTTAAGTAAATATTAGTTACATATTTAACAGAAAACTATTGAGTGTTATAAACGTGATGAACGATAATTTGAACCAAGGTACATATTCTAATTTAATTTATAAAATTAGGATAATTTCATAAATTAAAAAAGAGATGGGAATGTTATGCTGTGCAAAATGGAATCAATAAATACATTGTTTAGTTTTAGTTTTATTGTCACTGGGCGGCACTACGGGATGAAAATGCGGGTGAAGACGATGTCATAGCTGGTGATTGAGAATGATTTGTTGCTGTTGTGTTGTGCTTGTGTTTCCTCAGAGGCCGTTTTCCTAATCCTGTGAAAGCTCGTAAGGATAAAGTAATTCTGAAGAAAATCTTGTTTGATTCAGTGGATAAAGAGAAAGTCATTGTGTTGAACACGTGAAAACAGAGCGTCCTCTGCTCTGACGAGATAGCGAGGAGGTGAGTATCGGTGTTGGTGGGGTGGTGAAGTTGACAGAGTTTTTGTTGGAAGTTGTTTGAGGAAACGGTTCCTCGCGGCGCAGATTAGATATAGGTCGCGAGGGTATGGTTTGTCCAAACGTCCAAAGGCTGTCTTCCAGGGCAGAAAAACGTTAAAGACTTTCTCACAATGTATTGGGAGACCCTCTGGGTGCAATTTTACACATTTTTGTCATCAGCTTTTCCACGCCGCTATTCCCCTCGTTTATCAGAGATGAAAAGTTCATTCCAGTTAAATCACCAGCATCGTTCTCTCTCTCACACTCGAGGGAATACTACCCCACGACTCGACGACACCACTCCAATCTTATTTCGGTTTTAAGGAAACGAATCTGGCCAGCCAGCAACTGACCGCATCATCACCACCACCACCACCACCATCATGTTACGACGACCACCGGCACAAACAAGCCAAATCTTCCAACTGTCCTCCGTCCCGTCCAATTGTCACCTTACATACATACTTCCAACTTACTCCTCAATTTCCTTCGCCCACCAAGCGCTGCTACTAGTAGTTTACCTCAACTTGATTCCCTCTGATCTCCTTGAACTTTGTAATCTGATTGTGCAACCGTATTACAAATATATGTGTATCCAGCAGATACTCGTCGTCTCGTAATTGTATTGCGCATTCAAATTCCTTACACCTATGGAAAATTGTGCCGTGCGTGTGGCCTTTGTTTGCGGTATATGTAGGCATATGCATTTACCCTGAGTAACATTTCATGGCAACTGCCCATTCAAGTGTCCAAAATGATTAGACGAGTGTAAACATTGCTCTGTAATTATTCCTAATTTGTCCAAATATGTAAACCATACACCCTCTTAACTTCGAGGCGTAGGCTTCATTCACTTCTCGAGGACTAATAACGTTTCATGATTTTAGGCCAAGCGGCGTATGAGGCTGGATTTATTGGACCCATGAAAAATGTAACTGTGGTTCAGGTAAAATCATTACTTTATCATTCACATTGCTTCGTGTCAGACTTGCCTATGAGCTTTATGAATATTAATGTATTGTTATATTTATCCAGGGAAAAGATGCTTCATTTACTTGCATGGTACGATATGAATAAATATAGATACATAAACATTAAGAGAGAACAAGAGTGAATAAAATTAATGTATTATACGTTGTTTACAGGTGGACAATATGGTACGCTTTAAAATAAGAATCTGCACTATACAAGAAGTGGGAACAAGTAAATGTGCAAAAATAATCAATTTGTCTTATTATTTGCAGGGAGGACATCGGGTGAGGATTAGATTTTTATTAAATTCGCGAAATATCGCCGTGCTTTCTAAAAGTCCAAAAAGTAAAGCATAGCAAGTGTATATAACTGTGTAGTAGTAGTGGAAAGAGCGAGCTGTTCTAGAAGGACGCAATCACGAGACCTTAGGTTGTGCCCGGAATATTAAACAAATTGAGAAACGCACACATTATGTAGAGTGGACATTTGTCTCCGCAAATCTAGATAAAAGCATTAAAAGCACACATGATTGTGGAATTGTGGAGACAGACAATAGAAATGGAAAGCAATGTGTTTGACTTCTATTGAAAATAATGGGGATGAGCAAGTGAAATATTTTACGTCTTCCTGTTGTCCAACCCTTTTTCAACCCAGCAGTGTCGAATCTGGTGGTGGGACAGAAAATCAGAAGAGTGAAAGCAAAGTTGCCATGTTGTAAATATGTGCGAGTTGGTGACTGGCATTGGTTGCTTACTCATGACCGCCTGCCTGGTTGGCTCAGTTGGTACGGGGAAATGGTTAATTGTAATAACGAAATCGGTATTCATGAGGTGGCAGCATAGCCTGGGTTCTGAGGAATAACAATATTTGGAGATTTTAATTAATACATGACAAAACTTTCTCACATTGTTTTACACAGGGGTGATTTATTGCTAAAAACTTTTCACGCTGCCAGAGCTATGCATATAACGAAGCAATAATGTGATTAGGTGGGTGAAAGTCTGTCGGCTCGAGTCAGCAACTCCGTGTTTGCTGGCCTTCTTCAACCCTCTCCAACCTTCTTCTCTCTGCTCCCCCGCACTCATTCTTGCAGTCAAATGCAAACCAGAGTTAGTTTCCACCAGTCTGACTACATAGTTTATCTGTGAATCATTTCACTCGGTGGAAAAAGAAGCCACCACTCCCCAGGCAGCAGTCTCATGGAAATACCAGTCGCAAATAACTTAATTGCTAAGTAGGAATATTCATGTGGTTGCATCACTGCGTATTGGTCAATAATACTATCGAATGTGAGGAGAAGTTTCGTAATTGATTATTGTTTATGTAATATGCTATCAAATTGAAATATTGACTAAATGCTTTGAGCTAACCGAATATGACTTTCTTCAGATTGCCTGGATTAAGGTGAGCTATGCATACGAAAATAAGTATGAGATTTATACATGCACGATGACTCATTGAATACATAAGTACTTGAGGAACCGTGAAGCCATATTTATGATGACTATTGATTCTAGTCAGAAAAATGCACCGATTTTCAGTAATCAAATGATTCTATTGACGATTTATAGGTAGACACCAAAGCGATCCTCGCAATCCACGACAATGTTATTACTAACAATCCGAGACTATCAGTAAGGAGAGATTTTACGAGAAAATGAGTGTGTGCATTTTCAATAAATTGTTTCCCATATTTTAGGTAACGATGAATGATAAGGTTACGTGGACACTTAACATCCGCAACTCCCAGCCTGACGATGGTAACGCTGATTAATTTACTTCTTTATTTTTTTTTAGTTTGTTGTATTCCAATGTCTGTTAATATTTGTAAAAAACCTTTATTATATCTGTTATAGCGGGATTATATATGTGCCAAATTTCAAATAATTTCAATCAGGTAACTACATAATTTCAATGGCTGACTCATTCTTAATTTTATCATATCAGAGGAATAGGGCCTTCAGCGTAATTGAGCTGGATATACTGATGTATGGTTTTATTACTTACATCATACGACATTTGAAACATTGTCGCGTACTCTCGAGTTCATTAGCAATTGATTGAACCATTTCATGAAACCTCAGAGTTGCAAGTATTTCTTTGGTATATACGAGAAGACGTATGCATTTACATTTATTTCTAGTGTCTAGCTACAGCTATCTCATTTCAGTTGATCATCTCACTGAAAAAATTCCGTATGTTGAACTACGTACGTATGTATGATACTGCTAATCAGAGGGTCTGGGAAGTTATATAATATGTATACACGAAGGGCAAAGAGGTTTCGTGAGATGTGGTCTAAAAGTGTGATGAGTTGGGCAAATGAACGGGATCGAATGTGTGCTTAGAAAGATCCTTTTTCTTTATTAGATGGCCAACCTGGTTGTGGTAATTCCTCCAGACATTATATCCGATGAGACCACCGGCGATGTCATGGTGAGTTTATTATCTCAATGTTCTCTTCACATTGAAACAACGACATAAAAACGACAATGTACTCTCAATTAAATAATATGATGTGACTGTATATGACAATAGGATCGCTGATTGGCTAATTAAGACCGTGGTTTTAAAATGAGCATGCATGGGATCCATGTATTTGAGTTAAAAATAAATCGATCTTGTTAGTTAAAAAGACAGATTGACTTTAATTGAGACATGATAAAACGAATCTGTAATGACATCAATAATAATGCGAGCAAATTTTGTTTGTAGGTCCCAGAAGGTGGAACTGCTAAATTAGTCTGTAAGACCCACTGTCATTAATCCTAAGTCTCAGCATATCACACATACTGTACAGTATTTTAGATAAGTAGAGCTATATTTTATTTCGATTTTTAGGTAGAGCAAAGGGATTTCCTGCGCCCGTTGTCACTTGGGTACGTTTTCTGCATTTCTCTAAAGTGCATTCCTAAAATATGCTCTCAAAATATTCGCGTCGTCTTCTAGGTAAAAGAAGACGGTGGTCACATCATAGTCAAAGATCATCATGGTGGAGGAAAGAGGAAAGGTGAACAAAGTTTTGTAACAATGTCCCGAAAATTACCAATTTTTATTACTTCTCTTATTATTTTTCCTCTAGTCAAATCGTTTGAATCGGAAATGTTGAATTTAACGAAAATAGTGCGAAGTGAAATGGGTGCCTACCTCTGCATAGGTATAATCGCATTCTTGTACTTGCATATAACTGTATCGTGTTGTATAATTGTATTGTGTTTCACGTAGCATCAAATGGAGTACCACCATCAGTTTCGAAACGGTATGTATTTTATCGTAACTTCCATGCCATGAAAAACAATTATTCTTATCCTTTGCTGTAATTTTTTCAGAATTCTGGTTGCCGTACATTGTAAGTTGTGCTTAAATTTTTCTACATCATCTAATTTTTTGTGAAAGAGTGTAAAAATTAAATACTTCCACGTTGATGGTTCTCATTTTTCAACCAATCCTACATATTGTTTGTTAAAAATTCACAAACGCTGAAACCATCGAGTTTCTTTAACTGGAGATACACTATCTCAGTAGTTTTTAAAGAGTGGATTATCTGTAGATCACTTCCAGTTAGTGACACATTGCTTTCGTAGGCAGTACAGACAGATACATGGGAAAGGAAGAGGAGGAAAATAGTTTAACAAGAAGCATGCAGATTTTGATTGTATTATGGCTTTCGAAATCGAATCTGTTTGTGGAGTGAGTAGGGTCAGAGTAATGAAACCAAGATAACCGAGTAAGAAAAAGAGGCTGAGGGAAGGGAAGAGATAGATCACTTACTTTACGCACCCACTTACACAATAAAATGGCAAAGTGTGTCTACCCATCCGGCCTGGCGTTCTGGAGCTGAGAGAATGGGTGGCAAGGGGGAGGCGAAAGGAAAACAATTTGGTGAAAGATGTTTGACTTTTCTTCCTTTTAAAAAGAAATAAGTCACTCAATAGGGACGAGATTGTCCATTAATCAAAATTGAAAGTGCTGTGAAGAGGAAAAGAAGGAGAAAAGTTTTGAAGAATGATGGGATGGATGGGGCATCATCACCCATCACCATCATCGCCATCATCACAATATCAATGGGCATATGCACTGCCGCACGCGAGCTTCAACCAGTTCGTCTCACTTTCTCACCACCTTTCACCAACCAAACCTTCTCTCACTTGCATAATATTCATCCTCTCCACTGCTTTGAGAGGACGAGATGCACATCCATCCTGGCAATGAGCAACCCTCCTCCTTTCACCAAACAGAGGATCCTACATTCTTCTTCGCCGTCTCCCTTCACAAAAATGGCACGAAATCTCCACAACAAACAAATGAGAAAAGTAGTTGTTCCCTTGTTGTGGGGAAACCAAAGGAGGAATGCATGTGCACTTTTTGTTGCTCTGAACTGAAAATCCTCGTGCTTTTAAAATAGCAAACATTCCACCCACGTGCATATCGTAGGGACATAGAAGCGAAGGAGGAGAATGCAAACCACCAGCGGATAGTCTTTGAAGATAACATTGCTGGAAATTTTATAAAATGTTATTTGAACTTGAGACTTTGTGCGTCATACGAACATGGATGCAGGATAGTGGGTGACGATAATATGATGTCGGTTTTTTACAACTTGACAACAAACTTATTCTCATATTTCATTACAAAATGAAAAGTGAGAAGGGGATCAAAGAAGAAGAAAAATATGTAAATGCCATAAGGGATGCTTTTGACAGGAGGAGGCGAGAGGGTTGTAGATAGACATGAGAAATAGCGTTCTGCTCCGCTGTGTGTGATTGAATTGATTCGCAAGAATTTGGTTGGCTCGTGGTTTAATTTAATTTCCTCTTTGTTTCTGCTAACCCATACCTAGAGAAATATTTTGCATTTACAAATTCCACGTATCCCAGTTTGAGAAAAATGCGATTTTTAAATCAATATACCGATTATTTTTTAACTGGTTTACTTGACGAAACTTACATATAATAATTACGTATTAGTTTAGAAAGAGAAAGTTGAACATGTTATGAGGAATGTACACAATGTAAAGCAAGAGTTTGGTCATAATTACCCAGAATCCTTCTGTTGGTTAGATTATATGTAACAGAATGTGGAACAGAATCTACATAAAGAACTGACATACTTACATAAATATTTGATTCCGACAGTATAAATAGTTTGTGGTAAAATCATCACTAATTGTGCTGTGGATGGCTTGCACAGTGTCAAACTGACAAAGTCCGTTTAGTTGGAGCTATTAATTAGTGAATTAATTAGAGTAAAGTCTAGATTCAGTCCAGGTTGAGAATAATGCAAAAAGCTGACGTCAGGAGCAGTAGATAGGAAATGGAGAAGCTTGACTGGTTACCTGTGTCCGTGTCACAACAACACTGGAGCACAATGGGAACTTTACTTAAGGGAATTTGAAAAGAAAAGTTGCTTCCTACTTCCTATTCATTCCGAACTTGTAAATGAGGAGTGACTCCAAAAGATATTGTGATTAGTTTCCTAGGTCTAACTTATCCAGCATCTCCTCACCCATCAGCAAATCACCATACGCCATGTCCCAGCGTAGTACATACTATGTAGTCACAGTAGTGGGGGAACGAAACAATACATTGTTCAGTTCTGAGGAGGGACAGCTATTTACAAATGAGGAGACGGTGAAACAAGCGACTGACTGACTGACTAGCCTTTTGGGATCCCCAGTTCTCGGTCGTCCCACTTAACATGATTGGAAAGGAAAGCAACTTTCACCTCTCTCGCATTACCCTGATTATAATAACTGCGTCCATCCAATTTCTGTCTCGGCTCATCTCTCAGCCCCACCAAACGAATCCAAGACATCCTCGACTTTAAACGCTTCTCCCTCAAATTGCAGATTCACCCATATCGGATTGTTTAAAACTGCATTGTTCCTTCAACACCTTATAAGATTAATAATAATTTAGTGGCTCTAGCGTCGTAATAAATTGTTATACTTGCATAAATTTGGAATTGGATACAATTTCTTAATAAATAGTAAATATTTATGTACCACGAAATTATCCTCCTCTTATTTTGATATTGCAGTTCATCCTCTTATACAAGTTCCAAATCAAATGGTACGTCCATCATAATGCTACTAACTGATGTATGTTTATGTGAAACAACTAACAAAATTTCAATTTCATATGAAAATAGGTAGCTGCCCCCAAAGGAGTCGACATTACTATCGAATGCACGTCGGAGGCCAGGTAAAGTGCATTATTAAAGTTTAGTTTAATCAATTCATTAACTAAAAGTCTTCCATAGCCCCAAATCGATCAACTACTGGACTCGTTTTAGTGGTATGTATTGCTCTTGCTTTTCACTTTCCCCTTTTACCCATTGAAGTACATTGTCATAATTCTATAAGTCCTCAAGCTATTAAAAATTCTGTAAAAAAACAAGTCATTTAAAAGAACAGGAGAAAATTAATAGACCCCGAAACTAACAGATTAGTGATCACTGTCACAGAGGTCGGTTGGTCGTAGTGCATATTTAGCGCAGTGAAGTGAAGTTGTGAAATTCACCAACTGAAATTCTGGCATATTCAATTTCTGTAAAACCATAAGTCAGTCTATTAAATCAGTTGGATAAGCGTAGCAGTCATGAGACATGCAAAAGGTTGGGTTTGTGTGCGTGAAAAATTATCATTCTCTGCTATTCTCTGCCAAATATGCTAAATAACTAGCAGCCATTTTTCACCCACGAGAAGCACAAGTTAGATGGTGGCGGACGACGACGAAAGGGCTTTGGTCTCCCTCCTCATGTGCAGGAGGGATTGGTGCTGCAATTGGCAACCGGGTCGAAAGAACGTGGTGCACTGGCTTTGCAGCAAATTTAAGTAAGCAGTCGCAGGCTTTCACCACCTCACTGACTCCCGATCAGTCTCACCAAACCAACTTATCTTTCACCAAGAGTCAGACCACAAGACCTCGACCCAAGCAAGATTGCCCTTCCTCCGCCATCCGGACGGTTTAGGCGGATTCTAATAAATTGCTTTCGTCGTTCAGCACGGCTCTGTTTTCCTCAACGCAATGAAATTATGCATCACTCTGTGCGTTATTATTATGCATCATTGCAAAGAGTGTCACAAGTCAGGTAGGAATTACTCACTCACTGCAACCGTTCGCATGAAAATTCTCAGAATAAGAATCCAACAATAATATTCTTAGGAGCGCCTTCATGGCACACATATCCGTATTTATTGCATAACTTTAATCGTCTCACATTTGACAGACTAATGTCAAACTAATTAAAGAAGATTTTATAAACGATATAATTATTTACACACTGGATGGACAACTAGTTCATCCAGGCATCCTGCATAAACTACGTAATTTTCTTGTTATTCAATTTAGGAGTTGAAGAGGTTAGGAATTTAAGGCCGTAAATATGAATGCAATTAAGTTTGTCGAGAATGGATGTGCAGACAAGTGGGAGGAGATCAAACGTTCCACCGGGTAATAAAAGTTGCTGCTTCATTACAAGCTGCTGTCTGCTCCCTTCGACAATAATGTTTCAGTCCACTTTATTATAATGACAGGAATTTAGATGACAAAGAGTCAACTCTTCAAGACACAGGTTGCATGCGTGGAAGTTGTAAGTGTTAAATTGCATTACTCGTCGTGTTTATGGCAGGGGTAGGTAAACGACAAATGAAGAGCAGGCAGAGAGAGAAGGGTGAGAGGGAAACGAGCTAAATGTCGTCTCTAATTAGACACAAGTTAACGCTGACTGCGATCCAGGATGAAAGCAAATGGTCGTTGTATATCCGTATGAATATATTTATGCGTTTCCTGCGAGCGAGAAAGAGATGCACCGTGTACGAGCCATGGACTTACGTGTGTACTGCTTTGGGAAACAGCCCTTGTGATTGAAGTCGTCCTTCGTTCGTTCGTGATAGAACTGCTGGCACTGCTGAATTCCACGCTTAACCAAACTCACGCTGCCTCATTTCGAGGATAATTAAACTCCTCCGAAAGCATCTTCATATCATCATAAAATGAAGCAAGTCGGCACTCCGGACGAGTTTGCATCAATCCACCCAATTCTCTGCTGGCCGTCATTCATACACGTAAATATTTTACATTAGAAATTCGACAGAAGCAGATTGTTTGCTGCATGCGGATAAATATTTTCATGCTCCTTGAAAGTCAACAGCCTTTGACTCTTCTCCCATTAATGTACACGTACATAAAAATAGTTGCTTGTTGTAGCCTCAACATGTACAGAGGCTCGACGGGTTATCTCTGATAAGCTAATTTGTTGCTATTTATTCCATCCAACAGTTATTGGGTGTGTAATTTGTGTTTGATCATTCTTGTTGGTTTACTGTAATATTGTAAGCCCAGTACAAACGGTTGGTTATTTTAAGGGAGAAAGCGTCATTAGAAAGCAATTTTCATTTTATTTTATACGGGACTCGACCAAGAACACATGTACATCTCAAAAGACAGACTCCGTTGGAGCGGAGGAATAATGGGGTCTCTATCCATTTGACTTTTCCAATTGCATTTCAACGTAAACACAATTTAGTTCTGCGTTGCAGTTGAAACATACAAAACAGTTTGTTGGGTGGCTGAGACGGAAGCCGAGACGAATGGGAGTGAAGGGAGAAAGAATTACAAATTGATAAACAATTTTGTATTCAGATCGAGTTTCCAGTGAGAGATGTGGCCAATAGTTTCAGATCCATTGTTCCATCTGCAAACTGCCACATTCCTCCTTCTCCTCTGTCTTTTGCTTTATCCAATGTCGTCGGCTGATAGGTTTTAAAATGTATCGGCTGCCTCTGATCTCACGCAACTATTCCTTGGTAGTTATGCATAAAATAAAATACACCCAGCCGCTTCTCCATAAAGGGAGTAACTTATTGGAAGAAGAACAAGTTGAACTCGTTGCGTAAGAATTAGCACTTTAACGCACAATGCACAAATCGATTTGTAACTGATGCCGGGAAGCGACAATAAAGTATCTGTTTTGTGCTCATATATTTATATGAATGCAATATGTACGTACAAGACACAGCATACACGGCAGAAGAGCGATTATTACAAATATGAACAGCAAGCTTTCACCGCCTCGATTATTATCATCATAACCACCACTTTGACTGTGGGTGTTGGATGGATGGGTAGATGGATGGATGGCAAATTGAAATAAATTTTGAGCCTACGACAATTGGCTTAGTGGGGGATACGCATTGGTGGATAGAAAGTATGCTTTGGTATCATCGGACTAGTGCGAGGACGACGACGACGAGTGGGAGATAATGCATCGGGCGAGATGGCAGGGAGGAGAAAGTGAAGAGAAAATAGTCAAGTTTGTTGTGTTATGGGATGCTGTACACTCGAGTATTATGCTTTGGAATGAAAGTCTCAAAGTACACTGGTTCTCATGCATGCATGGCGTTGGTTGCAGTGCAGTTTCGCGTGTTGCCACCCGTCCGTCCGTCTTTGTAGAAGAACAAGTCAAAGGCAGTCAGTCAACGGAGGTTGGTTGGGGTTGTTCACATGTAAAACTCGTTTTGTTCTTCTTGTGCTTCTGTCGGTGTTTGGCTGGAGGAAAACATCTGAGGAATGCAATAGATCTTGTTGGGAATGCATGCTTTCTCCTCCCCCTGCTGCTCCCGTGCCCAACTTGATGCAACTCAAGCAGAAAATTTCTGATCGACATGCCGACTTTGTAATTTCACCATGTGTGCATCTTTACATCCTTCCACCTTCTTCTCTTAACTTTACGGACAACATTTCTAATCGCTCACTGCTCTTTCCAGTCACCAGTGTAGTCTCCTTGTCAATTTTGGACCATCTTTTATTGCTCCTACGTAGAAGAAGTGCAGGAAGGCATATCCTCCAGTATTGCTATATAGAACCATATATGATGTTCTGGTGCAATATTTCCCTTGCCACTGAAACTGAAAGGGTGAAGCAAGAGAGAGAGAGAGAAAGAGGAAGAGAGTGCTTATAAGTTGAGTCGGCAATTCTTCAATCAACATCAACAAAGTTTTGTTTAGCTTTGAATTCGACCCTCCAGGCTTCGTGTATACTGTAAACTTGGATTCATTCCTCCTCCATCATCCCGGCACAGACGAAGCACTTATTCTTCCATCTGAATCTAATCTTCCTCCAGATCTGATCTAATTCCTTATCAGTTACGTTATCAGTGGAGAAAATTGTCCGGAAATAAATTCTATTCTGATGAAGGATTAGGCGATAGATATGCACTCTGCGCATGCATGCATTACATCGGGTAGTCGGGAACTGAACCAGGCTATCAATTTAATCGGATTATAACCACATTAATGCTTTCAATCATGTTGATGCATACAAATAAATCAATGAAAAAATACCACCAAAACGTTTAAATATAGCAATTTAAATTATGAACAAACAAACGTGACCATTTGATTACGGAGTCAGAATTTTTGAGGAAATCGATTTCAATTTGTTCCACCACAATTTTGAGTAATTTCAACAAACATTATTGTTAGACCTTCGCTCGACATAAGAAAACATTTCACCAAAGATTAGCCTGTCGCCACACTGTACAAACAAGGTTGATACATAAATAGAGTTTCCTCCTTGAAATAGTCCTTGTTTTATACGGATGTTTTATGATAAGACGGTCAAGAAGACTTCATGGGCGCGTTTTACGACTCGCCAAAGATCACCTTGCTTGCTGACCTTATATTATTTTTTCGTGTGGTGATAGGGGGATTTTTTGTGGGCGGATGGAAGGAAGGTCTAATAGCTCTTCAACTCTATACTCGTGGGGTTTGGTAATGTGGTGAAAATTATCTGGTTTATCCACCAATTAGGAGATAAATGCGGTTAAATGGGTCCTTGTGAGAACAAATAAAAGGTGGTCTGGTTGGCGAAGGAAGAGTTTGAGACCATCCATGACTTATCCACACAGAAATTGACCATGGGATGAGAGGCTGGATGAGTATAGAAATTAGTTTGAAGACGAAGAGGGAGGTAATCATTTCTGAATTAGGTTAGGTGGAATTGAGCTTTTTTTGGCATTTGTTTCAGCCTGGTTAGAGAATCATAATGGAGTGGTGAATGTTTTTCTTGCTCGCCCTCCACCCCAAGTGGTCTTGTATCCTTTGACAAAGAATGCTCCTGAAATCTCATTAGTTAGTTTCATCAAAAGCCTGCCTCAACAATGTGCTGCTCTGTCTGTGGTGGGGTCATCTCGCTCATTTGATCAGAGAACTGAGGAGCTGAGGAGTCCGCTGCTCCTCGTGCTCTGTGAAACATTGGATCGGAAACAGACTTTTCTCATCTTAACTCACTTTTACGCAACTTCGCCTCCGTCTGTTTTCCTTTCCTGTTGCCATTCCTTTGCTTGTTTAGCTTTCTTCCCCCATCGACTCAAGAGGCGAGAGCATTGTCAAAAGTCTCAAAGTAAGTACACACAGATAGGCAGCCTTGCAGACAGGCGGCTTTCTCTGTATTTTTGTAGACAGTGCTCTTAAAGTTGGGTAATATTCAGAGAGCTGCATATCTATGATGTCTACTACAAAAGTTGATATGTACATATATGTACATATGCATATAAATATGTACATATGCAGACATGATGTTCTTCTGCTTAAATAATGCTTCTGTTCATCTTGGGCTATAGGCAGAGTGTTGCAAGAGTATACAGAAAAATTTTCAATAATGACTGCAAAATATACGAATACATATGACTACATAGAACTTATGTATTTGCGCATTTGTCATTCTTCCAAGGTAGCTGAGCTACAAATGGATATTAATATTGTCCGCTTTTATCCTCAGCAAAAGCTAAAATAAAACTACGAGTCTGATCAAAATCCTGACGTCCGGATGATTCTGGAAAGACGTGCCTCCAAAGAGTATTTGAAATTCAAACTCTTATTTCATGATAATGCTAGACTTTCACTACAAAATCGGAGAAAGTTTGCCTTTGATTTTTGTGAAGGAGGAGGAGGAGTGACTTTCACCTTTCAGATCACGTTGACAAAAGGGGACAGCTTGTTTGATGATGTCTTGTGAAGTGCTAATGCTCCACAATCCTGTCTTAAGACATTACATGAACCTGAAATATGATGAATAAATACATTCGCAATGCTTGACGACAGGGTTGTTTTTAAATACGTAATAAAATTTGGGGAGGCAATTTATTCACAATTTTGTACACTGTAAAACTATTGATTGAAAATGGTTTTAGTGCGCTTAATATTATAGAATATAAATATTTTATTTTAGAACTCGTTTTAAGTAATTTTATGTCAATGAAAACCTAAAATCTAACTGGCTTTCTTTGTTCTTGCTTCCTCTTCCAGGTGAAATGGTAAATACTACATATAAAAAGTCTTCGGCAAATAAGCATTAATTTAAATTAGGTTTATTAATAATTGGGATTATCATGTATTTGACTAGATTATTTCAAATGAGAAGTACAACATGTCAGAAGATGGTGAGTACTGCTTTATATATTTCACTTTATCTAGGAAATAGGTATGTACAAATGTATACATGTGCATGTGCATAATAAAAATATTGTACCACATGCTAAATAAATATATACATGTATTCTCGATTTTTTTTACTGAAACTTAATTATGTATAGATGTTTAATAAAACCATATACGAAACCATATGATTTCAGCCATCTCTCAGTACGGAGTCCGCATGAGGCTGCAGATAAGAAATCTAAGCGATCGAGACTTTGGTGGGTTATCCAATTAATCTCGCGCTTTTGTAGTTCTTATAAATTTTTGACTTTGACTTTCAGCTGGGTACAAATGCATCAGTCAAAATTCCATGGGCTCTACTGAAGGAAACATTCATATTCACGGTAATAATTTGCACTAATCTAAAAAAAGACGCATACGAGTACATAGAAATTCACACCTTGATGAGGGAAATATGTACATTACTTTGGGGGAAACTAATGGAGGACATGATTCGCAGAGATCCCGTACTCGTCGTTGGACAAGGGAGGAGGTGGGGACAGGTTGCCCCCTCCAGCAGATTCCATGTATTCGAGTGGAGAAGACGACCCGGGCTCTCGTCACCACAACGATGGGCGAAGACGAGGAGAAAGCACGGCGTACACCACCCCGACCCCACAGCTGGACCCCTTCCAACCCATCCACACCCCAAACATCGTCACCTCCACCACCAACGAGGGCAGCAATTTCTCTCCCCTCTCCAACCTCGCCCTCTTCCTCCTCCTCCCCCTCCTCCTCTCCCACTTTTAAACCTCGCGCCACGATCACCCCCCCTCCAACACACCATAAAACGGCGATCTTTCCATTTTACAAACATATATTTATTATTCGCACGAATTGAAGTTTTTACCTTGTACAGGAGCAGAGCAGTGATAGGCAGATTGTAAAAAGGGTTGCTATTAATTGCTAACTTGGCCCAATATATGATATATTATTATTATTGTAATTATTGTTTACGGTGCGTGGAAATAATGGTGTAGTTTATGAATACGATTATATGATTTGAATTAAAAGTCTCTGGTAAAGACTTTGTTGGAGCGTGGGAGTAAGTACGTACCTCTGATGTATCTAGTTCATACAAATAAACGGGAAAGGGCGCATCTGTTACTAAATAATTTATTACATAACGTCAAAATTTTCGTATTCCCTCTGATGAAAAACACAAAGGTTACTGCAAAACATGTTAAGTTGATACACAGGTGTTATAGCTGTTTATCTTTAAATGATTTATTGTAAGGATCCAGTAATAAAATAAACGTATACGTATACATACAAAATATTTGCTCTTGTTTCATAATTATGTGTGTAAATATATATTAGCACTGTTTTATGAAGAAGTGGGTTGATTAATATTTGAGCAGTGGAAGGACGTGCATATCGTTTTCTACCTGATTGATTAAACTGATAATATGAAGTCCTTTGACATCCAAAAATGACTATATTGACGTAATCCTATAATTAATTGGAGGAGGAGATAGTCACGACTTTATTGGTGCATTTATATGGTACGTTGAACTGCAGGGAGCTTACAGCTTCAGCACAAGACATGGAGAAATGAGATAGCCAATTTCCAGAAAAGTATGAGCATGCAGCTCAACAAGCAGGAGGGCTACTTGAAAACGGTCTTCTGATTAATCCACTATCTTAGCAGAACAGAGCGAGGTGAAGGAAATCGTGATTTGGTTAATAAAAGGTTACAAATTTGGAAATCAAGTAATCAATCCAAAGAACATATTTCTCTTTGAAATGTGTTTGCTTGCACTCTGAGTCTCAGAGACATTGTGAAACATGGTTCTCCTGATAAAATTTGGACAGACAAGAACAGGAGCATGTCGTTGTCATTCACAGAAGTGTGGCAGGAGGCAACCACCACCGACAGCCCGAAAAGCTAAAATCTCTCCCCATCCCAAGTATATAAATATAAGAAGAAGCGTGTAAATCTTGAAAAGAACTGGATTTCTCCCAGGTTAAGTTAGCAGTCAACTCGGTTATTTCATTCCCACACTCACCCCATAATAAATGGGGACAGAAAGATTTTTGCTTTGTGAAGACGGCTGGATACACATACGCTTGCTAACGAGAGTGATGGAAGTGTTGAAGACTTTTAGTCTGTCGGAGAGCTCCTCTGTTCGTACTGTTACTACAAGTAGTTGGGAAAATGCATGATGAGAATTCCTGATCAGAAATCGAGCTAACTGGGGAGAAAAAATTGTTTCATTACAGAAGGGGCACAGGAGTGAGGAGTTCCCTGGCAAATTGGTCTCTGTGGAGTTCGCCGAGAGATGTGAACATATTATCTGTGCACTGCACTGACAAAGATTCCTTGCTTTCCACTTTGTCTCTCTTTCTCCCCGCTGCCTCTCCATGCAGGGGAACGTAGAGAGAGAGAGTCAGTCGGACTAAATATGTGTGTGTGGTGATGGTGTGTAGGTAGGTAAATCTTCGACTTTGGCTGCTTTCTCCCTGCCAGCCAGCACCGACTGGAGCCTCACAATCCCCCTGTTTGCATGGTTGTTTGTTGGTGTTTGGTGGCCGTCAAGTCAGTTCAGCTCCAGTTCCTCTGCACTCACTTCCTGTTTGCCATGTCGGAGCTCATGTTCTGTTCTTGTTTCGCTCTGGGACAAGACATTCATTAATTGGTATTTATGGAATTAGTCCCAACCACCATCATCACCCACGCCATCATCAGAGTTCTAGTTTCCTCTCTTGTTTACACCCATTTAGGCATTAGTGCAGACTAACGAATTTATTTAAGTACTTTGCCCCTTGTTGTCCCAAACGAATTATTGAAACATGATGGATGATCACGCAACACTGATAACTGGAATATTTATAATGTATTCAAATATATATGGCTTTCTATGCATCCAGATACACATCAACACACATAATGTAGTTATCAGGATAAGTATTATGTAGATTTAGATTTGCCTTACCATATATATTAAAGGACGAAAACAATTAGTTACATGTATAGAGTTGGCGTCCATACATAATATTTAACCAAGCAAAAATACTAACCTATTTAAAATTGAATGTTAAAATAAATAACTTTGTTTAGATTATTAATTTTGTGCAATTGAGGTTCAATTTAATTTGCTTAGCTTAATTTAATTGTTCCTCTGCCTTCATTTTCTGTCATCTTTCCAGGAAGAATTCAAACCACGAACAAACTCGTTCGTCTTACAAATTAGATTTATATATCGAGTGTCAACAGAGAAGGAGCGAGAGAAGACCTCAACGGGACAGGAGGACAGAGTTGAGTTTGAGAAGAAAGACAAGTCCAGATCGGGCAGAAGAAGAGAAACTTAATTTAATTTCTAGCTGACACATATAGCGTTTGATTGTGGTCACAAGAAGGCGGAGGATAGATCTGCGAGACAATAATTCTGTCAGATAAATGACTTTCAATGAGCACTATTCAACACCTCAACATTATTATAGCCGACCAAAGTCAGAATTATTTCAAAGTCACCTAACCGCTCGCTCGCTCGAATATCTTATCTGTGGACATTCTAATTCGGGCGAGGAGTCCAATTTCTCGTTCCACATTCTAAATTAGATGCTCCCCCTTTTGACAAGGAGTCCTTGTTTGTCACTGATAATGGGAGAACAGAAGGAAGCTCGACCAAACAGTTAAATGGGTGTCTGAATGGGCGGCGGAGTATCTTCTTATCTTCTTACCAGCACAAATTTCATCATACTTATTCTGCTTTCAATCACATGATTGTTTATTTGCAACTGCTCTGAGGTCTTCTTTATCAAAAGAGAAAGTTTCCAATTACCCAATTCATTTTCTTTGTTATCTTTCCATTCAACAAGAACCTTATTTGGTCGTCATTCAACGCTATCACCGTGAACAAGAAGAACAGGCAAAGATTGATCAAAGGAAATTTGACAATGAAAAGATAATGTGACCACTGCTGAAGGCTTCAAATCGTCATAGAATAAATGGGTCGACAACAAAGTTACATATTATTTCATTTGAATTCTATGTCTCAATGCCCATCATAATTTTCATTACAAATTTTGTAACAGTTATCAAGAGCAAATTTTATAAATATACATTTTGGGTGGAATCAATTACATATTTACTAAGACATTTTTTAATAATTAAACAAAACATAATTTAATAACTATAAAGTTGTATGCATTTTCATCAAGCACATTTAACTTTATGGCGAGCATGTCCTCCAGATTTTTGCTACTTTTTTTGTTACATTAAAAAACTTTCGCCTTGATATAACTCGACAAGCAATCTTACACTTTTTTATTTGTAGTTCGATGCTTACACAAGTAAGCATCAATTGATATATATATTTGTTTTTTTGACCAGTTGAATATCAATTATATAAAAAACCTATCAGTACAGCTTTGCTTAGCCCGAACCAGGTTTAGGAAACCCATGTTTCTCAGTAGTTTTCTATAAAATTATGTGCTACTATTTTACACTAATTTTTGCATTAACTTGCATCAATCTTTCGTACTACTAGGCTCCAAATTCTAAAAATATTTACTATCCATTGCCCTTGACTACTTCCCAGTGGGGGTCGCCTCTACAGTCCATATGGTTATTTTGTGTTCATATTTAACTTCGTATTATTTCATGAGAAAGCAGTAAGGATCTCTGGTCCAAATTTCAGCTTTCTATGTTAATTTCTAAAAATCGGTATGGGTCACCCCATAGGGTCGCTCTAGATAAAAATTTTACCAATTTCATGTCATATTCTTCCATTAGGACCCATAAGCAACCTCTCCACCAAATTTCAGCTCGATATGACGATTTTGAAAAATCAGTATGGGTCACCCTCTAGGGACCCTCAAGATGAAAATTTTTCCAACTTTAACTCATTTTTATCTATTAGGAGTCATTAGTAACCTCTGTGCCAAATTTCAGCTTTCTACGACAATTTTGAAATTTTGGTGCATAATACCCCACCCACTCCGATGACCCCCACCGGTCCAAAACTTTTCTGATTGAACCCATCTTCGAAACTCGGTCGTTGCATTGCCCAGATACATGTCTGTACCAAATTTGGTTCAAATCGGTCAACTCGTTCGAGAGTTATCGAAAGACAGACGGACGGACAGACGGACGGACATGACGATTACATAAGCCCTGGTTCGGGCTAAAACTAGTGTGCAATCTGTATGCATCAAAATATCTCGCCAAGTTTGTCAACTGAATCTCAGTTCATCGCTAATATTTCATGAGGCAGAAAAAAATCCGTTAACGAGTTTTTGCCAATGTAACCCAATTCACGAAGTAAAAGCGAGAACACGTACATGCACACACATCGTAAATTGATACTGGGTGATAGAAATGGAGATAAAATGTTGATAACTTTGAGTTTGCAGTTTCATATCATTGCATAAAGAAATGAAAATAATGTGGAAATCCATAAAGATATGCACAGATGGGGAAAACTTTTCCTTTTTCTCTTGGAGTCAATTTCAGTAAGTCCAAAATCCAAATCCAAAAGCGCTTTGCCACAAAGCATTTACTGGCTTGGGCAGGGAGCGAGAGAGGCTGATAGATACGATAGGTCTCTGGTGACCTATCCAACTATATGGAATTTGTTGGAAAGAGAAAACACTGAAAACATTGCATTACTGATGTTGAACCAGGTTCCAACTTTCCCATGGCACGGGAAATCCTAACCGTAACAAAAATGGATTGGTAAAATCACTCCATCCGATTCGATTGAATTGAACTTCATTCAAAATCTGCTCCCTGCTCAGATATTGTGCATGGTTTGACAAAAAACTGCCCCCAAATCTAAACCCGTTCATTCTGTCATCGCCTCCCATTTCATCACAATCAATATGCAAAACACATTGCGACTAGCACATTTTAACCACTAAATATGTATGCAGGCTATCTATTAACCAATATAATCTTAATCCTACAATCACTTTCATTACATAATTCTTTTAAAAAAACTTGGAAAGAACAGAACGGATCGCTCTTCAATTAAATCTTGTTAAATCATTAAACTACAATTTATAACAGAATTTCGGTTTAGAAATTTTTTGCATATGACGATTTCAATTTAGAATTCACGAGTGCCCAGAAACAGAAACATCTCCCACATATATACTCACTGATGCACTCTGGAAGCTAGCAAAGGCCAAAAGGAGACAAGAGTAAAGAATGCCAACTCCAGTCCAATTCTCCCTTTTCACTATAACAAACTGTCAACATGAAGTCAAGTCGTAGTGTCGGAATAAAAATATTTTCCCATCTCATCTCATGCCCCGATCTTTCGAGTGTAATTTCCTCCAGCCTACATAATTCAGAAAGATCCGATTTCGGTCCACTACCACTTCAAGTTCACCTCAAAGAGCTGCTTCTGGCCCGTCTTCTCTTGAGGGGAAAGTAAGTTGGCGAGTGTCTGTTGAGTGAAAATGGGCGATACGACCACCATCGCCACCACCAACAACGCTCCTACTTATTCTTACCACCACCGCACCAACCCAATCTTTGGGTCCAGGGAAAAGTGGCTCTCTGGCAACTGGTGAATTGGTGATTTTCCCGTCCGTCTCGTATGCCCGACTATCTGACACGTCTTCTTGGCCTTTTTCTGACTATGTTCATTTTCATGAAATCGAAAAATAATGTTGGCAAAAGTGTCATGTTAAGATAACTTTGACGTAAAGTCACAAAGTTGCCCAATTTTTACACAATTTTTTAAAATTATAGACGCATCCAAATAACGGGATTTTCTTGACAGGAATCTCTCTCTGTCTGAATTACATTCTTCTATATTTTTGACCTCACGCTGTTAAAATTGCTTTGCTTTTTAACACTTTTATTATATTCCGAATCATATTTTGCTAGCAGACTTTGTCGGATGCAGAGGCAGAACTGAGTGAAAGTGGCGGCATGGAATGGCAATCGGAGATATGTATGTCTCACATTATGTGAAACCAACTGCTGCTGCTGGTTATGTGTGGAGCTGACAAAGAGGAACGGAAAAATCAGAGCTTATCTCAAAGTAACTGATGACAACTGGTAAAGAATGATGAATCGACATCAGTGTTGCTCCTGCTTGCCCCATCCGTATCTTTTTCTCTCCCTGTTCTCTTTAGTTAGTTTTTAGGGTGAAAGTGTAAATGCTCCTGCTCCTGGCATGATGGAGAATCCTTTATATTTTATACATTGGCAAGTCACATTTCATGCATTTGGCTTTTGAGTTCGCTTTCACTTTGCACAGTCTTATGCGGAGGATTGTGGCTTCGACTCCCGCTTTCACTTAATAAATTATACGCGACTATTCAGCATCAAAACCCATCAAAACCGCACCAGCTCTGTCGCCTCGTCCTTCGTATGTACCACCAACCTCACAAATGCTGAGCATAAGTACCCTGCAAAACAATCAAAAAACAAAAAAAAAACTTTAAAGATACGTCTTGTATAATATGTGAAACTATTTATAGTTGTTTTCATAAATATCACATTCCTTATTTATTTGGAACTGTTTCTGCCACTTTTATCACAATTTGTCAAGTAAAGACTACTTAAAATGGAGTTGTTTTCTACTCTAAAATCAACTTGGGCACTTGAGACAATAATTTATGTACATGGAGACTACTACCAACTTGCACATTTTTTAAAGGAGTCTATTATGTGTTACTATTTGTAAGCCACAATACATATTTACACATGAGTTCAAAAGCATTAAAGTCTTCTTCCCTAAAAAACCTATAAATTAATCCATCTGCTGGGATGATAATAAGTGGAAAACAGCGGAGTCAGAATTTGTTACCTACTTAATTAAATTTGAGATGAAAGCCATCCCATGAAACAAACAAAGAATGCTGTCCGTAGCTTTTGGCTCAGCTTTCTCTTTATTGAATTACTGGATTTATTTGTGGGAGACCTCATTCCCCAGCGTAGTTGGGAGAAGGCCGACCGCATCCCCATTTTTAATTTTGCATGACCAATACGAAAATAGCAACCGCTACACTGAAGACAAACACATGGGATTGAATTCATGAGTAATTTGAATGCTTTCTCCAATCGGTTTGTGTGTGGCTGACACAAAATGTATTAATGAAATCGATGACATAAGCACTGCTCGTCTCATGCTAATCGAAATTCCAGTGGCTGCCATTGGCTTCTACTATCCCGTTGGAATCACTTTCTTCCATTCTCGTCTCATTCTCGAAACCAGCTCCCAGTTAATATCCCAATCTCACATCCATCCATCTCACTATCTGGCTTTTGTATCATCCCCGCAATATTCTCATTGCTCCTCCAAACTGCATAACTTATACATTACATCAGTTGCGGTTGGTCTCTGGTAATGTAATCTCTCTAGATTAGATTCCCCGTAAAGGATAATAATGCAGCATCTGAACCAGCGTTATTATGCAAAAGCTGGATTTACAATTACTACAAAATAATTTCCTGTTGCATGAATGCGCGCCCACAATTTTTGAATCATTCTAGCTGAAAATATGACCAGCTAACACAAAGTATTAACACAGTTGTTGTGTCTTATAAATACATGAATGAAATGCTGTTCTATGGTTTAAATAAAATGGTATCATGCCCAACATAAACACAAACTGGTATTTACTTACAAGACAACGGCGTAACTTTTCACGGTGAAAGTGAAAGAAAAAAGAAAGAGGACCGAGCGTATTTTTACACTCACTGCCACCTATTCGACCAAAATCTCACAAACTTGATGCGAGATTTTGTGGATGAATTTACATGCAGGCAACAATCTGCAGTAATTAAGCTGTTTTAAAGCCGTTATAAAAATTTTGGCATGCATTCTTGACTGAATCACCTTCATCCAACTATATAAGTACCACCCGCACCCATCACGCATCCCAGATAAAAGTGCTTGACGTGTGTGTGTCATTGTTCAAACTTTGTGCATAGCATAGCAATACTACAACATGAATGAGTCATCATCTGCCCTGTGAAATACAGATAATGTTATGAACAGGATTTTGGCATTGCGAGTCTTGTGAGTGAGTGAGTAATGCTCCGTGAGATCATCTGTTGAGAGGCGAAACACAATAACAGCAAACCGTCACTTCATTTCTTAGTCCAAGAAAAGATAAAATACGAAATAAGCAGGCATCCAACCGACAATTGGTAACTATAAGGTTTGTCTCTTATTTTTTATCTTTTTCATATGTACACAATTAGTATCTTAATTGTAATCGTTGTATTTGTAAAATTTGCACTAATAAACAATACTGTCAAAGAGAAACAACACATAACAAATTGTTATTAACAACTTGTTTTCCATAGGTTGAAGATTGACTAGAAATTATTAGAATCTCGAGAAGGTTATTGTTAAAGAAAAAGCAACATGTTTTCCTCTGGCCCGAACTACGCCAAACTGAAAACAAATCTAAGGTTAGTGCAAATTTGAAGTGAAATATTAAATAAACAATGCGTACTTTACATAACTCTGATAATTATATTCTATGTGCTGGTTAAGGTTGGCTGTGAATCGCCTCAAATTACTGGAAAAGAAGAAAACAGAACTGGCCTTAAAAGCGCGGAAAGAAATTGCGGATTATATTGGGGATGGAAAAGCAGAGCGAGCTCGAATCCGGGTGGAGCATATTATTGTAAATTTTAAAAAATTGTCATACTTAAAGATTGAATTTAAATATAATATTTTTATTAATTATTTGTTTTTTGTTCTTGTTTAGCGTGAGGACTATTTGGTGGAGGCGTACGAAATAATTGAAATGTTGGCAGATCTGTTGTTGGCACGATTTGGGCTGCTCCAACAAATGAAGTAATAATCGCACAAACGATATGATACGTACTTTAATTTGCATCGGTTATAATATAATTCGTGATATTTAATTGGACAGAGATCCAGATGAAGGATTGAAGGAGGCGATTTCCAGCTTGATATGGATAGCACCAAGAATTCAGGTAGTAATTCTTAGTCTGCAAAATTTTAAATTTATAAACTAAAAGTTGTAATGTAATCTCTTGTGTAATCTAATTTCAGGCCGATGTTCCAGAACTGAAAATCATTGGCGATGCCTTGATTTCAAAATATGGAAAAGCTTATGGGCTAGCGTGCCATGATAACAGCGTTGGTACAGTGTCGCCCAAATTAATGCAGAAGATGAGCGTCCAGGTATGTATTTCTAGCTTAATCACGAAAAGTATAAAACGATACTAAAGGCATGAAATATTTAGGCTCCTCCCAAACTTTTGGTTGAAAAATATCTGATTGAGATTGCAAAGATTTATAACGTTGATTACGAGCCGGATCCGATGGTAATCTTGATTTAATAATGTTTTGTAATGTGGCAAATTTGCAAGCAACATAAACTTGAAATGTTTTTAAAGATAATGGAAGAAAGTGACGCAGTGTTAATGGATATGGGAAATGACGGAGCAAGCGGTGCTAATAACTTAGGAGGAAATCAAGCGTCTGGTGGGGGTCCTGGTCCCAGTGGACCTTCAGGAGGGAGTGGTGGCGGCGGCGGTGGCGGTGGAGGAGGAATGCATACAAGCCCGCCTGGTTTTATTGGTATGTATAATGATTGATCAACTCTTTTTTAAACTCCTCGATTGACAATAGTGGTTATGTATGCAATCTATTTTTTTCTTTCGTCACAGGATATCCTTATATGCCAGTTCCTGCTGCACCTCAACCCCCTCCTATGCATCCTCCAGCTTATCAGCCATTTCAATACCCAAGCATGCCCAACGGATCTGGAGAAGAAAAAAAGTATCCCTTGGGTGGTGGTTCAAATTCTCCTCCTCCAAAATTTCCGGGCTTCAACATCCCTCCTGGTGACGATTTTAAGGAACTCAACGTGAATTATCAGGTAACCAAATTTGATAAAGGGAGATTCTTTTTAGAAGGTAATACGGAAAGTATTGTAATAATTGTTGCTGTGATAATCCCAGGATGATGCAAAGCCGAAACCAGCACCGAGAGGAAAAGCTCCCCCAGGAGGAGGAGGACTTCCAGATTTGAATAGCTTGGACCTGCCTGATCTTCCGGATCTTCCAACCGTGCCATCTACTAGTCCAATGGATCCTAATATTTCGAGTAATGGCAGACCACAAGGACCTGATGAGAATGACATCAATTTTGATGACTTGACAAAAAGATTTGAAGAGCTGAAGAAACGGAAGTAATTATCCGTTATGATGATGATAATGAAAAACACTACTGCATAACTTCTTTTATAAATATACCTCCTGAATTTACCAACATTTACTTTACTTGTCTATTTGCCCGTAATAAATCCTTAATTGTTATTAATAATATAAGTGCGAGGAGATATAAGAATTGCGTAAATATTCACAACAATTTGTTTTATAATCGCTTCGTGCCTTATGATACGGTGATATGCAATAAATAAATGTTATCGAGTCCTTGGATTTATAAAATATGTACATAATATGTATGTAGTCCTGTTTAAGTCGCACCGAGAGACCATCATTTGGGGGTATTGGTGATGATATGAAAGCAACGGAAGAGAACTCGACTATGTACCAATCTAGCATTATCTTATCCAAATAATTTGATAATTTGGTCATCCCGTGCACATCAAAAAACCAATTTATTTAGCGTTGTACGCCCACCCTCGCATAACTATATCTGCAAACAATATGTATGTACGTCGGGAGGAAGGTGGCTTATTTTGATAGTGTGATTCATGATTCACGATGATGTCCATATGCAACTGCCTACATATGTATGCCATACCAACTACCAACTGCTTTCATTTTACCTAATAACTGTTCTTGTAAATCACAATGCATCGCTTCGTTGACTCATTCTTTGCTGAGTAACTTTTGTATGCCATCAGCGAAGCAAGCTTTGCTAAAAAAAAGAGTCAAGTAATATTCGTGGTGCATCCAATGTCGGTCGAGCTGCTAGTGTGCTCTTATACTTCATTTTAGTCTCACGTAATATTATTAGCACACAACTTTTTTGCAATTCCGTGCATAGTGTGTGAATTTCAGTGGTGCTCTTCTTCCGTTGTATGCAGTCTGTATTCTGTATGGCACCTGATTTTATTTCACTAATACTCCTATTTGTTTATAAGCTTCTCATTTAATTTCTTCCTCATCAGCTAATGACACGTCTTAAACCAAACAAACGCAACTTTCATAAGGAGGTGTTAACCAACTTGTCAAACTTCTTGCTAAAATCACCCTAAAAATAAATAATCAAGAAAGAGACCCACATTTACTCATCAGTGGAGTGCCTACTTATTATTATCTTTGAGACGAACATGGTCACTGTTTTTCATGGAAGTTGAAGTTTGTAATTAAATACTAAGAATTAAATATTGTTCAGTGGTTCCATACCAAATCAATTTAACCACAAAACCCAATATTGGAAGCCAATAATCTACCATCCTGTTCCTGATCAATATTTTACATCAGCCCACTCGTTCTGTTTTGTGTTGTACCAAAAGAGTCTCTTGGGTCTCCTGTATGCTTTATATCACATTATCAAACAAGAGTACTAAAAATTTGTGCATGTGATTAAATAAATAATTAAATACTGTGCTGAATATGCAATGCAACAGAGGGTAAAACTACTCGCTGGCTCTCTATAAATATCGTAATACTTAATATGAACACATGCATCCTTCCTTGTGCTATCGGTGAACTTAATCATAAATGAAAGTGAACAAACCTTGGTACACTATTAGCCTTGATTGGTGTATGTACAGTGGGATGTTGCAATTATGATACGTTGGCCTGCAGTTTAAATAGCGAACAACCTATTATTATCATTCGGTGGACTTTAATTAGAAATTTTCTAAGGAGTTTGCTGGACATGAGATTTTGTGGTTCATCTCATCTCCGTGCATGAGTGAGTTACGAAAACGGGTTCTCCTTCTTGGACAGTACAAAACAAAGTGAGACTTACTTAAAGTTAGATACATCCCAGCAAAAACTCAAAATGGTAAGATATCTAATGTCTAAAAAGGTTCTTAGAAAATGAGTTTACCTTGAGATATATATTCATTTATAGAGCTTTACCAATTACGACGGCACTTGTTATTACTAATATGTTTTTAGGTGTACCATTGGCAATCGCTCAACACGAAAGTGTCAGGGGTGGACGATATGACGCTATTGTCTAAGATCAATGATGATAGCATAGTGGAAAATTTGAAAAAACGGTTCATGGATGATTGGATATTTGTAAGTGCACAACCAAGCTTGAACCATATTAAATGAGGTGGCAAGACCTGGCAAAAGGATGCTGTTATACATTGTTAATAACAATTTGTTATGCAATTCTGTGTCTCACTTGTTTGTTTTTTTGCAGACATACATTGGCCCTGTTTTGATAAGCGTAAATCCTTTCAAGAATATGCCGTACTTTGGAGAAAATGAAATTTTCATGTACCAAGGAGCTGTATGTTACAGAATGACTTTTTGTACAATAATTTATTTGCACATTTCTGCTGAGCAATTTGACTATCATCTTTCTTGTTTGTTCTACTTTCATAATATCCTTTTTTAAATTTACGAAATATTTATTCAACCCAAAAAGTGAATTCTATAATCCCAGTTGAAATCTTCGCACTTTCCCAAATTTAAGGAGGCACTAGACCTTTAAATCAATTTATCACCCACAATTTAGCCATCAGGATTGCTGGCATTAACTTTACCTCAGAACTCACCCACCAACTGTGCCTTTGTTAATCGCATGTCAAATTATGACTACTGAGGGTTTGTTTAGTAGAGATGTATGTAAAATGAATTGAAGGTTCAATTCGATTCACTTTTCATAATGAACTTGTAAATATTTTTATGACTAAATCAGTCGATCGAATGCCTGCTTGAATACGCATTTATACATGTACTCACATTATATTATTGTTTAATTTAACGATTTTATTTTGAATTTAGGCACAGTATGAAAATCGTCCGCACATTTACTCTACGGCCGACAATATGTACAGAAATATGCTCATTGATTGCGAAAATCAATGTTTGATCATATCAGGCGAATCTGGCGCTGGGAAAACGGTCTGCGCTAAATATGTTATGAACTACATTTCCAAAGTGTCTGGAGGTGGGGCCTTGGTTCAGCATATCAAAGATGTCATTTTAGAATCCAATCCACTTCTTGAAGCATTCGGAAACGCGAAAACTGTCAGAAACAATAATTCGAGTCGATTTGTAAGATTTTACATCTGATAATTATTCAATAGTAAAATTCAATTGAGTTAAAATTGTTTAAAACTATCTGCTATTTGTAGGGAAAATATGTGGAAATTATCTTTGGGCTGGGTGGACAGCCAACGGGTGGAAAAATCTCAAACTTTCTTTTGGAAAAGTCTCGTGTGGTTTCAATAGGTTCTCAAGAACGCAGCTTTCATATCTTCTATCAGCTTTGTCTGGGGGCGAATGAGCCTCTTCGTTGTAAGGCTTTATATAAATTACTAAAAATATTCAGGCAGCGTATGACGGAATTAATAATAAAAAAACCACATGTCCGATTTAGCTGAACTAGGACTTTCCCAACCAAACAATTTTTTCTATTTAAACCAAAGCCCATGCATGACTGTCGAAGGAACAAACGATGCCAATGACTTTCGTGAAACTTTAAATGGTTTGTTTGAAAATTAAATTTACATGAATGTACCCCAAGAATTAATACTCATGGGCATATTTAGATTAAGGTAATAATTTTTTGTAGCAATGACTGTTGTCGGAATGCAAGAGGCTGAACAACGGGATATTTTTAGAGTAGTTGCCGCTATTTTGCTAATCGGAAATATTCAATTTCATGAATCCGAGAATTATGCAAGCATTACGAACAGGAGAGGTTGGTTATTAAATCCACAATAAAAGTAGTAGTTTTACTTTGACTATTCTCTTCTGTAACATGTAAATACAATATCATTTCATAGCGTTAGAGCGTCCTGCTGCTCTGCTGGAAATTGATTCTGAATTGTTGGGCACAAAATTGGTTAGCCGAGTCATTGATGGGAAATGGGGGAGACAAACGGACCGCATAGAAATGACCTTGGGAATCGAACAGTCACTCTACACTCGAGACGCACTCTCCAAGGCCTTGTATACGAGAATCTTTGATTTTCTAGTTCAAGTATGTGACTTGGTTTTTCGTGGGGTATTTCAGATTTAATTTACTACAATATTTTTACCCTGTGCAGAGAACCAATCAAGCTATGGTCACTCCCACCCAAGGTTATACGATGGGCATTCTGGACATTTATGGATTTGAAATTTTCCAGAATAATGGATTTCAGCAATTCTGTATCAATTTTGTCAATGAGAAACTCCAACAGATTTTCATCGAATTGACGCTTAAGGCTGAACAGGTTAGTACTGTAGTCAAAATCTATTTTATACAAGATATATTCGACCAAATAACCGGTAGTATTTTCTTCCTTTGGCTTTTTTTGTATTTTTTAAAATTTATTGGCGATTGGAGCAATGCTTTTATTAAACCAAACATGGACTAGAGATGTAGTAGAAATAAATTGGTTAAAACAAGGTCACCATGCAAAAAGTTATCTAAATATACGCTACTGCAAGAGGTCGAGTGAGTATTAACAGGAACTTGTTGAAGAATGCACGTGTGAGGAGTTGTACTAAGTAATTTCTGAAAGTGAACAGGTGGGGTAGGCAGACAGTTAGCAATACTAACTTTGGCAAGTACTAGATGAAAACAGCAATTTAAATGTCGCCAAAACCACCAAAGCCAGTGCTGCTCCCTCGAGTTCCAGAGCTACTTGGTCCGGAAGAAGGAGCAAATCCTTGATATCCACTGCTTGGTCCTCCTCCTGATGGGTTGCTTTCCCCTCCAAATCCACCAAATCTGGGAGGGCTGCCTGCCTGAAATCCACCACCACCTCCTGCACCTCCTGGTGATCCGGCGTAGTATTGTTCACCTCCACCTGCTGAGAAGAAAATGATTGTTTATTAGAAACTAGTTAATTACTTGGCTGCCACATATGCATTAGGAAGATAAGTAGGAAAATATTTTCATACCTCCACCATGTGGGCTGTGACCACCACCACCACCCCCATCACCCTGATATTCACCTCCTCCACCTCCACCTCCACTGTACTGTCCTTCTCCTCCTCCTCCACCACCTCCGAAATCAGCTCCGAAATCTCCGCCATCTCCCCCATCGTCGTTTCCACCGTCGTACCCCGCAAAATCACCGCCGCCCTGTCCACCACCCCCTTGTGGACCACCACCACCACCTCCGCCTCCTCCTCCAAAATCGCCTCCCCCGAAACCACCACCTTCATCCCCACCTCCGTATTGGGGCCTGGCGACGACGACCGCAGTAATACAAAGCTGTACAGTATAAATCAAGTACACCCTTGAGAATTTGCCTACTAATGATATAAGTAGCAACACGATTTTTTACACGAGGCACCATTGTGTACTTACCAAAATAATAGCACGTCTCATTTTGATGTGAGAAATTATCAACTATCGAGATCCAAACCTAGAATGCTCCGCGATCATGATTTGGAGTCGTCTTTTATACTTTCAAGGAGGCGTGTTGGGGGTAAAGGGTATCTAATGCGGTTTTCACCCTTGCTCGATCTCAAAGAATTGTGATCAGCCTACCAGAGCTACCGTGCCGATACCATCGTCATTGAAGGTAGGCAAAGGCATTGCAATCAAATTAATGTTTCCTCCATCACAAATGTTGCATGTCAGCAGCACAGCACGTATACGTACGTCCACACTTATCCAAAGATATCCCCACCAAGTTAAATAACGTTACATAAAGTTTGGTTACTGGTGGTTTCACTGGGATGGATGGGTCCCTAAAAATGCTCATTAGTCACTAGTAAGCAGTTGCATTCTCAATAGTGCATATGTCAAATTGGAGGGAGAATTTCATTTCTAATCTGAAATTGTGATCTGCAGTGCATATTGTACACGTACGTACGTAGTCTGATGGATAGCACAGATATAAATATAATATGATATTCTTGTGGTTGTTCTCTTCTCGCTTGACTAACTTTCACTTGATCTCATGCTATCAACTTGAGTTGATGGCTGCATCAGTGCGGAAGCCACACACAGTTAATAAGCAATAATAATAGTTGATCGTTGGCTATGTGTCGGGGGGTGTCCGACCGGCAAACCCTTCACGCAATTCCTGTGATTGTCCACGCATCATTTACACCTTTGCTTGTCAATAATTACCTTCAACTACACAAAATCCTGTCATTATGTCAACCACATAATGTACAACACGCCTGCCTCTCTGTAACCATTAGCTTTTATCGAGAACCATTTATACCACTCTTATTGTTATACAAGTCGCTTGCACTTTTGTTACATGTTCAACTCCACGAATCTAGTTTCATTTTTATTATTACATTCTGCAAGTCACTTTTTACACTTTTCTTTCATCTGGCCAGTCCATAGTATGGACTCCATACTCCTTTGAGCTTTTATCGATTCTTTGCCGATTTTCTTTTATTGCTTTGTTTTTAAGAAATAAAGCAAAGTGAGACGGTGCATAGCATGTGGAATTAATCAAATAGATCAGAAATAGGTATACAGATGAGCAAGTTATGGTTATCTAATAGTTTAAATTGATGATAGGTACATAGGTGAATGAACAAGTAATGCATATAAAAAGTAATGATGCGGCTAAATAAATGTTATTCCAATGAATTCCTATTGTTAAAAGGAAGTTTTTGGTGATCTCAATTCTGACAATTTGCTGACGCCCTGCTCAAATCGTGCAGATTTTAAATGCTTGTTGACTTTTGACTTGTGGAAGTGAGAGCTGCCAGGGCGGAAATAAATGTAGACTGCATAATGGATGTATTAAGTTAATACTGGTTCAATTTTAATTTATAACGATACTTCGTCACTCATGATCTCTTCATAATTGGGTTGGGTACTTCTTTAAACGAAAGTAGTCATTAATATGTAATAGTTATTGCTTTGCTAATACATGGTTATTAGTAGTTTGTGTTTTCATGTGACTTGCTCAATAACAATAATAAAAAATTGTCTTAATGGTCCATGTGAAAATTTCGAGAAAATCTTCAAAAGTTTTATTGCTTCCTTATACATACATAAGTAAATCAGTGCAATACTAAAGAACAATATTTACTCTACAATGCTCCTTTGCCTGAGAAAACAGTTTGTGAATTGAATAATTGGAATTCGACTTCACTAATCATGCATAAATAGTCGAAGGTTGCAGCTTTATTACGTTTTGCTAAAAATTTATAAAAAATATGCAGTTAGTTTGGTTACACATGAACACTGTAATAATTGGGCGAATGTCATTTTTTCTCAAAATTATCAGGAGGAATACGTTATCGAAGGTATACGATGGACCCCAGTCGATTATTTCAATAACCAAATTGTCTGTGAACTGATTGAGGAGACAAAACCACCAGGTCTGAAATTATCTAATGTTTGTGTTGTAAACTTCACATAGTTTTAACTTAATAATTTAATTTTCTAAAAAATAGGGGTATTTGCAATTCTTAACGATGTTTGTGCAACGTTACATAACGTCACTGCCAATGCGGACAATGATTTACAAAAGGTAAAATTATATATATACAGATGTATGTATTGTGTGTGTATATGATATATTGTGTCTCAATATTTGCCAAAAGTTCAATCCATTACTATTTAATTCCATGTGGTGTAACCTTAGCTAATTTCATAGCGTGGTGTAATAATTACACGGTAACAGAAGGTTCGTGTGATCTAATTCTATGCATGTACATAGATATGGCGTAGATGAGCATTTCAATAATTGGTAGACTTGGTTGGACCATTTCATAAAAATTCTTGTGGAATTAAATTTTCGTCATAAAAGGGGGCACAATTTGTTACGTTCTTGTTTCATTAAATATCATAAACTCAAGGCAATGATTTATTTTACACTTATTCGTTCACCAGTATTAGGCGCAGGTGACACGTGTTAATATTTTTTCCCCAATTTGTCAAACGCGTACCACTAATAAAATGCAATGAGATACAGTTTGACCTCTATCAATTTGATTAATTTTTCAGAAATTGGGTAAAGAAGTCAGCGGTCATCAACACTTTCAAACAACGGTTGAAGGATTTGTAATCCATCACTACGCAGGAATTGTTTCTTATAATGTCGAAGGATTTTGTGATCACAACAGAGATGTTTTATTTCCTGACCTGATTGTTATGATGCAGAGCAGTGGAAGGTAAGCAAAGCAGTAGAAGGTATAATTTCTTGCTTGCAAATATATTTTAGGATTAGATATTTGACTTTTTTCGTTTTTATTGTAGTAATTTTATACGAAGTTTATTCCCTGAGCAAATGGAAAATAAAAGTAGTACAAGACCCACAACAGTTGGAACAAAAATAAAATCCCAAGCCAGTCAACTGGTGGCTTCACTCATGAAGTGTTCTCCTCATTACATTAGGTTTGAATGAATTAAAATAATTGTCAGTATTACAAGAAACGTACCTAAATGTGCGAATTTATTTATTTATTTACTCTTTTGGTACATAAAACGACAGATGTATCAAACCCAATGAAACTAAACGACCTCGAGATTGGGAGGAAGAAAGAGTTCGACACCAAGTTGAATATTTGGGTTTAAAAGAAAACGTTCGAGTTCGCAGGGCAGGATTTGCGTATCGAAGGGTATTTCAAAAATTTCTGCAAAGGTACATTGGCTTATATTATCAATATGTTCACCTGCGCGTAATACACGTATGTACATATGTAAATGCATATAAAGTGTTTTTGTATCATTTATAGATATGCAATCTTGTGCAATGAAACGTGGCCGGCGTGGCGTGGTCAACCTCAAGAAGGAATTGAAAGGATTATGGCCGCGTCTTACATTGAGAGAGACCAGTACCAGCTTGGTAAGACAAAAATATTTATCAAAGCTCCGGAATCGCTGTTCCAACTCGAAGAACTACGCGAGAGAAAGTTTGACGGATACGCGAGAATAATACAGAGGGCTTTTCACAAGTATTTTGACAAGCGTCAACGACAGCGACAACAAGAACAGGCATCAGGTATGCATATTGTCTAGTTGCATAATTATGTATTTACTTGTTAAGCAAAAACGTGTAACATTTCGAATACTGATATCGCAGCAATTGTGTTTGGGAAAAAGCAAAGGAGAAAATATTCCATCAACAGAGTTTTTGTTGGAGATTACATTGGTTCGGACAACTTATGAGTGATATAAACCAAAGAAAATATTTGTGCCTAACATAAGAAATTCTATGAATGAACTTAGGTTTGGATCATCGTCCAGAATTATTGAGTTTGGTCGGAAGGAGAGAAAAAGTGGAATTTTGCGAAAGTGTAACAAAATATGATCGTCGATTTAAGGCAAGAAAGTCATTCGAAATTATGTAATGAACTTGTAGTCAATAAGTGCTTATAAATTTAGGGGGCTAAGCGTGATCTTTTTATTACCACTCACCGTGTTTTACTAATCGGAAGGGAAAAATTGAAACAAGGACCACAGAAAGGCTTAATCGTACCTGTCATCAAACGGGATATTCAGTATTCTGACATTATTAAAGTTTCTCTTAGTACTCGGCAGGTTGGTAAATTGTTAACTCCAAATTATTAAAATTTTATAGAAAAATTTGAGACATAAGATCTCAATAATTTTTATTGTTTAATAAATAGGACGACTTGTTAATTCTTCACATTAGAGGAACTTATGACAGCGTTGTGGAGTCAACTTTCAAAACAGAGTTCCTAACTGTTCTCAGCAAAAAATACAAAGCTGTGACACAACAAGACTTGCCTATAACTTTCAGCGACTCGTAAGAATTTGTTTTATGCAACAAACTTTAAGGCATTTAGATTTATTTAAATAAAAAAACCGCATCATAATTTCTAATGCGTAGAATGGAATTTACCGTAAAGAAGCAAGGATGGGGTGGGGGTGGCACAAGGAAAATTCGCGTGGTGGTGGGAAACTCTGATCTTGCCGTACTTAAAATCAGTGGAAAAATCCTAACAATGGAAATTGGCGAAGGACTTGCTAAAAATACTTGTGAGTTTGCATTTATTTTCTGAGCCGTGTTCAATTCGAATATTACCTAAACCTTTATTCTATTATGACTACGATAGACCCTAGAGCGCTAGACAACGATTTTGTTAGCCAAGCACAACGGCGACCTGTAAAACCTGCCCGAGGACCGGGTGTAATTCCCATTTCATCATCTCAAAATCGACCACCCCACCATCAGCAACAGTATAACATGCACAGCAACTCAAACGCCACTCACATTGGACAAAATTTCCAGAATCGTAACAGTAATTCGTCTGGGGGTGTGCGACCCCCAACGCTTCGCCAGCCTCCCCCACCACCAAGTGAACCTGCACCACCAAATCAACCTCGAATTCCCGCAGGAGCATTTAGGCTCCCAACAACAACGGCAAGTTCGAATTCAAACACGAATGGCAATAATGTTCAAAGATTCAACCCTGTCGTCAACAAAGCAAGCAATCCGTCAGTTCAAAATGGTTCCACAAACAATTTCCAAACGCGAAATGCGACAAGCACTGGGAATGGCATCGCTCAGAAAATGAATCAACTTCAAGCTAATTTTAACCCACAACAAACAATGGCAGATATTTTAAAAACTCCGAATGCAGGTTAGTAGGGGCATACGTTGACCATTGTTGTAGTACCATAACGAAATAAATCATTTAAATGCAGGAGCATCCGGCGCTAAACGAACAAGCTTAAGCAAACCAGCACCCGGTAAGTTTTTTATTAGTTATTTCTCAACATCTTTGACGGCATCGTTTACTTGGAATTTACTTTGATACAGGACAAATTGATAAGTAGAATCAAGTAAATCACGCTTGTATTTCATTTTTCAGGAGCAGGAAGGCCAAAACCGAAACCAAAGCCAGTGGTAAAATTGCCTAAATGTACTGCTTTGTATGACTATGAAGCGCGAGACATTGACGAATTGGGACTTAAGGAGGGCGATTTGTTGGAAATTGTTAAAGAACGTATGTACAAACAAGTTTTAACTCCAAATAGGAAGTTTGCATTTCCAACAATTTTCATATAACCTAAAAATTCATCATTTTATCTTAAACTAGATGACAGCGGATGGTGGCTTGGCAAGCTTCGCGGAAAAGAGGGCCTTTTTCCATCCAATTATGTGGAAAAACTATAATGCACCACTATAACTAGTCCTTCTTTATTTAATTAATTAATTTTTTACAATTATTTTATTGAGGTTGAACACATGCGCAAATAAAAATATTTCACACTAAGGGTTTTTTGGCGTTCATATTGTTGGAACTCTAAAGTTGGAGTTGTGTACAACGACAATAATATGCTTTTTACATTATCACATTATCTGGATTATTTGTATTAATGGGTGCTACAACGTGATAGCTTATATGCATATCTATAGGATTGCATATCTCCAATGCATGTTACATAGGCTCAAGTACTCCTAATAAACACTATGCGTATTTGTGTACAGGCCATACAATTTCTGGGTTTAATTTTTTTGTGTCGAGCAAATTAAAGTGTTCGATGGGAAGCTCTTATCTGATTATTTTCCTTGAATGCATGCAAGTGTATGTCAAGAAACCGCACCTCCCTCGCTGGCTGACTGATGTTGGCTAAATTATTAATCGGAGGCAGGAAATCAATATTTGCTTCTTTCAAAAGCAACAAAGCATATCTGAATATTGGCTTGACCTTACGAAAATTGACACATTTGTCAATAGTGACAAATAAATAAAAGTCCTGGGGAAAGTGTAGTAATTTCAGGAATTAGGAATGAGGCAGACCGATGCGATGGCAATTTTTGGAGCAAATAGAAACATTCTTGTTATGGACTCTGTCTGTGGTATCAGGAACACGAGTGAATAAATATAATAAATGACATATACGTCGACATAATATGTGCCACTAATAAAGACGCATTAGATGAATCCACGTTTTAGCCATACACCAGAATAATATAAACCCTCTGCGTCTCGGCATATTTTTTAACTGTGTAATAATATTGTTTATATTTATCTGTTTATTCATAAAGAAGTTGAGCAAATCCACGCACTACATATAACTTGCTCCTCATTGAAAAGCTCTCGGTCGTTAGTTCTCAGTAAATTTGTGCCTCTCGTGTCAAAACATATAACATACAAAAGCTACATATTTGTTACACAAGTTGTTGTTAGTTCAAATTTAACCTAGTGCAAGTGCACTGGAAAATATTGGTACTTTCGTAACTTAATACGAATTTGGTGTCTTGAGTTAAGATTATATACATTTCCATCCAAGGTATGCATAATTTAAATACATGATTTTTCGATATCTGTAAATCTCGAATTTCAGTTTAATTTCGACTATTGCGACTTTTGAGCTCTTTAAACTACCATTTATACATTTCATAACTATTCTCTAGGAACAAAGAAAAAATAATAAAAAATGTAGAACAAAAGTATACAATTGGTCGTATAATGTAAAGCATTTTGAATTGGATGGGATGACGAACGCGTAACAAAACATAACGTGTAGAAAATTAAAGCACAAATCTGACAGACCAATGCATCATGTCTCACACATTTGTTGCTTTGCAAATCTTATTTTTTAGCACCTCCAAAAAATCTCATTTTTACGGTTTACTTGATTTGTTGTACGGATTGCTTGGTTGTAAAGCAAGTCTATCTATCAGTGCAATCCGTCCATCCAGCAGCACTTGTAATAATGAGTGCATAAACCCCCTATCTGTTACCTGTCAAGTTCTTTGTCTGTCCAAACTACATACATACATACGAACTTCAAGTTTAGTGGATTTAGCAGTGGCATAATAAGTACGTAGGTAGCAGTTTTTCTTTCCTTCTCTTGCAAAAGTTAGCGTGGTTCATGTTGCAAAAAGTGCAAAATGATTTGCACTCTACCATTCAGCTAGCCTCATGGTTGCGCAGTTTAGTACATGCACTCCAGCATTATGATAGAGAAGTAATAGTGATTGGTATCATTTTGAACATATATCGAATGATATATTGCGACTCCATTGTTACCATTTCCGTCCGTTGTGGTACACAATTAACAATTATCAGAGATAAGCGATCATCTAGTTTTATATTCATTGTACGCAGTAACACTTTATATCTTACTAAAAAATATTAAACCTTTCTACGCCCGTTTAAGTTCCTTATCAAACAACGTGCCGAAGTGCTTGGAATTTTGGTTCTGTTCGTCTTATGACTCACAAATAGGTAAAAATTGTACAATAATTATTCAGCTTACAAAAATATAAACTAATTGATTTTGTAAACAGACACCAATTGTACATTTACATGATTTTTGGTACAGCACAAACTTTTTCATACGCAACCAGGCAAATACATGTAGGTTTATTGGTTAAAGTTTACATGAATTACTGGTCCCGTTTGTGTCGTCATATTTTTCAAGAAACTTCTTTGTGGATACCGTTCAGCTTTGAAATGAGGTTACTTTTCCTCAAAAGCAGTTATGTACAGAGGTTAAATTTATGCGAAACCACAACCAGCTGGCTTTTTTCAAACGAAAAGGTTGACTTATTTAGCCTGCGATGCAGAATATACGGAGTTTTGTACGTAGATGTTTACTACATGTTGGGTAGAAGAGAATTGTATCTTCGTCGAACGAATAATAATGGAATTCTTCAGTAATAAAGAGATTATTGTTGAATGCATTACTTTTATACATCGATTTTGATAATTACGTCCATCATTTAAAAGTCATTAAATCCTTGTTAAACTTGTGTCTACGATCCAAATAGCATTTTCAACATTAACATAGTACTCAAACTATCTTCGTGAAATTGCTAACAAAGGTTGTGATAAACATGGTAAAATATGGAAGGAAATAATGCCTTTGTGTCAATCGAAGGACGGAAAGTCGAGATCATAATGATAAGGTCCAAGTAAGTAAGTTGAATCATCACAAATACAAAATATCCAACTACACTAGAGTTCAATATTTTAGGTGAATGCGTAGAACAAAGTATTGCACATTTTCTTATTTAAACTCACTGTACTCAAACATTTTAGTTTGGAGTGTATTTAATCTAGCTGTATTAATATAGTCATAATACTTTCATATTAAGACTCATGACTAATGCAGAGACTGAAGGTTGAATTTTTGTACTCATGATGACAGTCAATTATTTATTATTGTCTGAGTTTGCACTATATTGTACCCCACATTTCGACGATATTGTAGCAGTATTAATCAAATAGAGTCAAAGTGCAACTATGTACATAGTTGGTACACCAGCTAAATCTAAACCTAATATGCTTAACAAAAATGGCAATGTTCGGGCGTCATGAACTACGCAACAACAATGAATAATAATTATTTTAATTAGTATTAAGACACACGCCGATGATTTACACAATAATAAATAGTACTTCGTAGTTGTCAATACTTGATAAATTTTATAAATTAGGATTTGTATAATTTCCGAAACTTGTAACTTTCAGATTCTGTGATCCATAATAATGTTGAAACCTGGCTCGAGTCCCGTTGACTGGTGTGAGAGTAATTATTTATACTCACCATTTATTGCAGAATATGTAAATACAGTGAGTTTGTGCAAGATAACATTATCATCTTCGCTTTGATTAGATAAAGCACCAGCATAAATTTTAATCTGTGTTTCAGTTCAGCAACGTCTTATTCTTTGCTCTTCCTCCAATACTAATGTGGTAATGCATAATTGTATTAATTAATTAGTTAAATGCATCTGCAGCTACATGAAATGAAATTGTATTCATGTGATAGGTTGTTTCGCCCTTATGGACAAGTATTCAATCAAGGAGTTCATATAATATGGGGAATGCTAATCGTCGTAGGTATGACAAATGCTTTCGTTAAATTAACAAAGGCTTGCAAGACAACGCTAGTGGTACTTGTACTACTTGGTGGATTGTATTAATGCTTTTAAATTTTAATGATTTCAGGCATTTGTAGTGCATACTTTCATGCTACGTTAAGTCTTCTTGGACAATTGTTGGATGAATTGGCTATCCTGTGGGTTGTAGCCACTGCATTTGCGGTAAATTTTTATTTGGATTTACTTAAATTTAAAGCCAACACATTTTTTGTACTAAAACTTGTCCTGAGAGTGAAAGTTAATGTTATTTGATTTTGTTTATTGATTAAATGTGCAGTTGTGGTTTCCGGCAAGATACCTCCCGAACTATTTTCGACGCAAAAGGTAAACATAGTAAATAAACTTGCACAATAACATTCTGACAGTTTTTGAGTGAGGGGTTTAAAAATTTTTTTGCATGCAACAATCAATTTTCCAGGTATGCCTTCCAGTGCCTTATTTTGAGCGCAGCAGTTGTGAGTTCTGGCTTGGCCCTCGTTCAGCCAGCGATGAACGCTTTTGTTTTGATGATTTTGGGTCTTCCGGCATTGTACTTGATGATTTCAGAGCTCAACCGGTAGGTCATTTGTGGTCATTAGTCATCCTTAGTCATCATTAGTCATTTGTGGTCATTATATTCATGATAAATCAAATGAAATTATAAAACAATTATCAGGTGCACAAACTCTCGAGTTTTACGTCTAGGTGCTAGATGTGGTAAGGAAACTCCATATTTATTAATTCCTTAAGATTCATACGTAGTTCATAAAAAATAACAAAAATCATAAAAAATCTCATTGTTTTTGTCCAGGTTCCATTTGGATCTTGGCAGTGTTTTGCTGGGTAAATGATAGAATGTTTTGTGATACGTGGTCGTACCTGGTAAGTGGAATTACATTTAAAAACATGTATTCATACTGTTTGAATATATGAAATTATAAATATTTTTTAGCATCTTAAATAAATTACTATTAACTTACAGAACTTTCCTTATCTTCACGCAATCTGGCATATACTCATTTTTATTGCCGCTTACACAGGTACGAATACAGTTTTTGAAAATGATTAAGATTCTTAAAATGACACCAATATTTAGCTTAGAATACAGTTTTACCTTTTCCAGAATTTTTGTTATTTCAATTTTTTCAATTACAGCATGTGTGCTCTTTGCCTTTTTCGATGCAGAAAATAAGGTATAAAACAGGATATAATATGGAAATCTTAATTTTTTCGCCTGAAGAGTTACATTTCAAGTTCCACAAGTTAACATATTTTTTTAAATTGTAGATCCCAGAGAAAAATCCTGAGCTTAAATTTTGGCCGAGCGACAACTATGAATTTTTGGGCGTTCCATACGTTGGTTTGTCGGGAATCTCTTGGGAAATGGATCATGTCATTAAAAAGCAACATTTAATTTGAATCTTCAACTGATACTGAACTGAATTTTTAAGCTTTAATTGTTTACGTCATAACAAACAATGATATACTTGTCTATGAATCCTGGTGCTTGCATAAATGTATCAACTTACGTCAATTATTAATTTTCAATCGCTTGCGTATTGTTCGTATAAAATGGATCATTACATTGCATTGTCTCAGAGTTTGAATCTACAAGGATATATATTTACGTAGTTCGTTCGGTTCGGGCTGCTCAGTTCCTTTTTGTTATTAGTTTTGTATTAAATTTGTTTACAAACATAATAAAACTGATTTATGAAACATGTTTTCAGTGTTCTCACAAGCTTTGCATATTGAATTCATGGTTTTCAATAGGACGGTGCCGGGTCCTAGAAGAGGGCGTGGATTAAATTCACTCATTAAACTCAAATAAGGAATAGCAAATCGCATTGGTGAAACCATAGATTGGAACCGTTTTTAATTCAATTTTATTATTGACGTCACTTCCAGCAAGCATAATAATTTTTATGGCAATACTTAATTATACGCAATACTTCATTTCCCCTCGAAATACATACATTAATCCTTTACTTTTTCAATAAAGTTGGACTCTTAGATCAGCTTTTGATCCATTAAATACGTAGAAATACCCCTCGCGTGTACATACATACATGTATCTACGAATTATTGCATGGTTTATATGGTGCAATTTTAACCAAAAAATTGCGCAATAACATACTCGTACATAAATATGTATGCATGTATATATATATACATATGTAATGTCGTACTTTACTCTTAGCTCGTTGATAAGCAGATCAAATGGTAGAAGTAGTTGCATACGGTGATGAAATCTCGGCTTACTTGTCCTCATAACATGTACAATAATCCCTATGAACATATTTACTGAAATCACTTAAGCTGGTAAATGAACTTTATTATATTCTGTATGTACATCTTTATAAATATGTGATACATCCTCTGTGGGCTATCCTCTGGAAATACTAAAATAATAATTGATGCTTAATATGCTACTTTAAAAAAATAAAACACTATAATTTGTGATCACTTTGCCATTTATTAAGAAGTTCACAAGTCTACAGCTTTGAGATTTATGAAAAAAACACATTATAAATAAGTTGTAGTATATTATGAGTTATTTTAGACAATAGCAATGATTTATTCAAAACCGTGCATGAGGAGTCAGAGTGATAAACACGCTCAAAACGGTTTAAAATAAAAATCATTGTTACACTAATCTTACATTTACATAAGTGTAAAGTAGAAACGATTGGCAATGGGCTTGAACCTGCTTTTATGAAGTCAAATTTAATTATCATGAACTGGATGGAGTATGCTTGAGCATTTTGGTCATCTCTGTAACACTAGGCCGACACACGGATGACTAGCGAATCCTGTTCAATTAGTCGTGTTGCCAATTAGAATCACGCCATATCATTGCTCTTTCGCTAACTGATCTCAAATCCCAACCACTCCCAGTCCTCCTGCAAATTTCGTCCTCCAGCACCGCCTCAACCATCTGCATTTTTTATGAAGTGGTGTGAGGTGATCCCAGCAAAATTGCATTAGGGTTGTTGTAACTGACATGTGCTAGCTAAATACATACTGTCGAGAAATGTCATGTCTTGAAGGTCATATTACAAAACTTGAAAAAGATGTGTAGTAAAAATAATTGCAGATAATGTGATCAATTCTTAAGATATGCTGACGTAATTTTGGCAAAAATTCGTAATGTAACGATTGCTTAATCATCTTGAGCGTATTTTATTTATACATATATTTTCCGGTGTTTAATTATTGCACAGGAGAGTTAGGCAAGTATGTATACAGAGCCATTTCCGAAACTGGTAAATTTATTTAATTATTCGTACACATATATGCATTATTGAAAATGAGCATACATGCAACTGCAACTCAATTGCAATAAAGCACATAAGCACAAGTGTATGCACATATATAGACAAGTACAGATACGCTTAATTTAACGAATGTATATTTAAATGTTGATGATATCAACGAGTGAGCACGAAAGTCAGTAACTTTCCCATTGCTTTTCATCAGCATTGAAACCATTATCCCATTCGATTCTGTCTCACTACATAAAACAAAGTCCAAATCAAAGTCCATCAAAGTACATTAAACGAATTACATATTTAGGTTGTTGAAACAAGAAATTGGTAGTTTGGAGCTGGCGAGACATAATGAATAAATTACTCTGATTATCAAATTTTAAGCAAAAAGATGTCATTCAATTCTTCCTCATCCTCATCCTCGCTGTCATTGATGACGAAGTTTATATACACTGCTAAAAATGTGGTACGCAATGCAAGGTTCAAATTCAACGGACATGCAGTTCAATGTGTCATTGTAAAGAGGAGCTCAAAGTCCAAGAGACAAAGCGCACATGGACTTACCTTGTGGATTTGTGTGTGTAAATTATTATTCAGATGTTGCTAGATTGTATATGGACTTTGTTGTAGGCATTTTTTTAAAAATAACTTTGCGAGTAAAGTGTTCTCTGCTAGTGGTTGATGAAGTACAGAATAATGATGAATAAACAACTTGATGGTTTTCCATTTCAAATGAATCCAACTTTGCAAAAACAATTAAATTCGGATTTGCACCCTGCTCATAATTAAATAGTCCAGAGTTTATGCAATATTGCTAAGCAAACAACAATATCGATCGAGTTTCCTCTTCAACGGATGAGAATAACCGGTTTTATCCTGTCGTGTTTGTTCACATTTGCATTATTAGAGATTAGAGTGGAACACTGGAACAAAGTGGAACAGACTTTTAAAAATTTCCAAAATTTATCTGTTAATAACGTAAGATTTACACCATTTCATTAAAGGAACCAAAACTGATTCTAAACCTTAAATCATTAGCATACATACTACATAGTAAATACACGTTTATATATATGTAAAGCTAAACCTTTCTGTTCTGCTTCTCTCCTCAAGTGAGTTAACGTATGCAAGTGCTTAGGATCAAATTATGTTAAAGTTAAATATCTATATTGAGATGACCATCCATCCACACGGGCAATATGTAGGGCTTTGCATCTGCAGTATCTAATGGAATGGGAAGAATTGGACAAGTCCATAATACAATGATTAGAGGATGGATGGATGGATGGTAGAATTGGTCCTCGTGTATTTATTCTACAGGTTTCAGACTTCACAATTACCACATCGTCTTCAGCCTTTGACGCACAAACATAAAATGAGCTATCGGTCTCAATTACTTCACTTTTCTCTACTCCACCAATTGTGCTGGTGCCACATACTTCCTGCGAGGTGATTTTGGGGGCCGGTCGTTCAAAAGAACACATTTATATTTCCTCTTCCTCTAGTTTAAGTGTCCAATTATTAATAGACCAGAAAGTAGGTCAGAGCTCCGCCAATAAGTAATTATAAATCGCACTTTTTTAAGGGTAAGTTATCAAATACTCTTCATTGGAGTTGTTATATTGTAAAACTGACTGAGTTCAAATCAAGTTCATGGTTTGCATTTAAAGGTATCAGTTACAAGGACGTTCATATAAAGACGCAATGTCTGAAGGATTCGAAAAACTGTCAATTCCTGTGAAACTGCTGACGGCTGGATCCGCAGCATGTTTCGCAGATTTCATTTCATTTCGTAAGAAAATTTGATTTAAAAAATTCAATTTGAACTTTTTCTAATTACACACTTTGTATTAACCATTTATACAGCGCTGGACACGGCAAAAGTCCGTTTGCAAGTAAGTATTAGTTCTTGCATGTAAATGGATGTATAAGCTTATGCATGTACTACGTACTTAATTGATGCTGATGTTTGTGGACCATTCTTCTTCTGCGCATTATTTTTCTTGGTAGTATTATAGCAAATTGTTTACATGAATGGATATTAACGCCCCTTCTGGCATGAGTTTTTTATCGTAGCAAATTGCAAAGTCAGATTAAACGTGCCTACTTGGTTTTGCAATGGTTGAGAGTCTGCAATGTTATGAAATGCGTTTTTTATGTTCGTATTTTTATAGCATTCTGAGATTCCAGCTTCATTACATTAAACAAGTTGCGCTTACACACCGAAATATCAGTAATGTGGTCAGTTGTCAGAAAAGATGTGCAAATGAATGACAAATTCATAAAATGTATGGTCCAGTTGCGCTGAAGCTGTCATTGTCCGATTTATATTTAAATAATAATTACACCATCTGTATCTGGATTATATGACTAATAAAATTTTGAATGTCACTCTGTAGATCCAAGGTCAAGAAGGACAATCTTTGCGGCAACTACGAGCCCACACTGGAGAGCTGTATGCATTTTCAGACCCTGCCCACTACCGAGGCATTCTCGGCACGATATCAACAATATCTCGAGAAGAAGGTTTCAGGTCAGTTTATTTTAAACCTGGTCGAGGCTGATTTCACAATGCGGACCTTTCCTTGAAGTTGTTTACCACTCGAACAACTCTCTCTGTTCATGAGATTCAGCTTGATCCTTATGAAATCTTTGCAAAAGTAAACCAAATGTTTTTCATGCTCTATTATTGAATGAATTGCAGGAGTTTGTACAATGGACTTAATGCAGGGCTTCAGAGACAAATGTGCTTTGCTTCTGTTCGATTGGGGATGTACGAACCTGTGAAAACCAAATATCAAAAATGGTTAAATGGTACATACATAAAACCTGCTCTATTCTGATGCCCTTAATATGCAACAAAATGTATGTATGCGAATAACATATTTTGAAAAGTTTTTTACTGAAATTTTTAGTGGGAGAAAGTAAAGGGGGAGTGGTGGATGTCACGGCTCGTATCATGGCAGGTCAGTTTATTTTAAGCACCACTAAAATTTATTACGATGATTAATTTACATTTTATGGTAATTCAATTATAATTATAATCATAACAGGACTTACGACGGGGGCAATGGCTGTGATGGTTGCACAACCAACTGACATTGTCAAGGTTAGATTTCAAGCCCAGGTTAAACCCGATATTCAGCTCTGCCCACCTGCTCAACATGGCACCTGGAAGACTTATAAAACTATTTTTAGTCAAGAAGGATTGGCTGGACTTTGGCGAGGTGTGAGATTGCAGTATTTTTAACTTCTGTTTTATATGCATGCAAATTTTATATTTAACTGATTGTTTAACCTTTGAGCAGGAGCACTCCCTAACATGGGTCGTAATGCAATTGTAAACGTGGCAGAAATTGTATGCTATGACGTGGTCAAGGAGAAAATAATTAAGTCAGGACTGCTCGATGACAATATTCCATGCCATTTTACTTCTGCCGTTATTTCTGGTAATATAATTGATCCAGAGACTAATTTACAAGTATGAAACATTGGATTTAAAAGTCGTTAATTTATTTGTGCAGGATTTTGCGCTACCTTATGCGCATCGCCGATTGATGTGATAAAAACTCGGTACGTGAAATTAAAAATTCAGTTATCTACTTGTAGTTTAGTAAAAAAAATAGCTTATCAATGTCATCCTCAGAAAGGCGGAATAGAGTTTTTTTTAAATTCAGTGAAGGATGCATTCCGTTTCATACGGATAAGCGGAAAATGCAGTCCAACTTTTGGATTTCATTCGTCCACTATTTATCGTATTCAGTTCCAACTATTGGAATAAATTTTAACATACTTTATTTTATTGCATTTATTAACTACCATTATAACTTTTGAGTATATTTAAAATTTGGCTTATATATTATTTTTTAGGTATATGAACTCTGCCCCTGGAACCTACAAGGGAGCAATTGACTGTGGAATTCAGACCGTTATGCGAGAAGGACCTGCTGCATTTTACAAAGGGTTTATACCTTCTTTTTCGAGATTAGTATCATGGAATATTGTCATGTGGGTAACCTTTGAGCAAATTAAGATTCTAGTTGTGCAGAATTATCCGAAGAAAGACGAGTAAATTCTAGTCAGATTTCGGTACCTATTCGATTTAAATGGACACTTGTTAGTTACAAACGGATGACAGTGACTCGAACTCGGATTTCTTTTTTTATAACTTTAAGAAAGTAACTAATATATTTTGTACTGAGTGAGTGCGTGTATTTTTTGTCTTTGTCAATTAATCTTAAAATTCTACTGATCTGCTTCCAGATTTCCAATTTATGTTCTCATTAAAGCTGAGTTTATTTTCAAATATCTAAATAAAATAAATCTCATTCGCAAAAAACTGAACGTTTCAAAGTCTGTTTTTGCTGTTGTTACGTGTATGTGTTGTGTTTGGCAGTATATTTTTCAAGTTCAAGATCATTATGTCATTCAAAATCATTTGGAATCCATCAGGGCACATCTTTACGAAGATTTACTTTAGAAAAGAATTGGTTTGGTGACATGGAATTTCGACAGCAACATTTATGTGCACTCTCGCCAATCTGGAACGAGTCCAATTTTCACTGATACATACTATTTAAATGATGAAACAATGATGGGCTTATGCAAGCACAAATGGTCATCTTTATTTTTTATTGTTTATAATTCTAGACATGACTTGCACAAATCTTTGCCTATTTCTAATAAATGATTGGTCCCAAATGCTATTCCCTGTGACATAAAGAAAACCCAGTCAAAATAATTTGAAACTAATAATACGAGGAAAATATCACCTTAAATTGTCCTCGATCGAATCCGCAATATGAGCATTCTAAAGTGTAAGAGCGTGGTATTCGGTAATCTCTCCAAACCGCAACTCTAGAATCGTTTTTTTTATAAATATAATATAAAAGTTTAAAAATTGTAATAAATTAATTCGACAAACCTTGCCGTCGTTTCACGACTTTTTCTCACGTCATAGTTGCAATAGCTTAAGCAAAATGCTGAGGATATACGATCCATACTTTCTGGCAAAGACTTCAGACACGAAGAAAAGCAAGAGCATATTTCAACATATAATAATGACGATATTCAAATACATGAATGCATGTTTTTACCAATAAACATTTGCTGTCATCCAACTCCAACTTATCTTTATTCTGCCAAGACTTTGAAAAAGAGCAACCATAAAAGAAGCAGTTTTTTCTTCTGGAATGACCATGCAAATCACCTATAAGACAAAGCATGCACTTTTAAAGTCAAATCATTTAGGGTGATTTTAATAAATCTTTATTGTTTGTTAATGAGATATTAATGTTTAACTTACAGTATAAGGCTGGAGTCAGGTTCAAAATTTTGCAGCAATACTCAATCAGCATCTGCAACAATTCAGCTTAATACAATATGAAAACATGTGCAAAATAGAATATCTCGACATTAAAATAAGCACTTTTGTATGAAAAATTGTTGGGTGTAGAATTTCTGAAGGCATTTTCCAGCATCGATTCAGATCTTCAGAGGTCAATCCACACCGATGGCTACAAATTGTTTTTAATTATTAGTAATCATACATTTTGTTAGAAACAAATTTTCGAAACAAATTTTCAGCGAATAAATATATTTCCCACCATCCATTAATCACTCCTTCCACGTTAAGCATCGGTACGATTTTAAAAACATATTTCTTTAATAGAGCTTGTACATGAGACGTCTTGCCAAATAGAAGAAACTCCAAAATTCCTTTCATCACCCAATTTGCGTTAGATTCGCCAGGGTGTACTCGGGAAGTCAAGAAAATGATTTCACGGGTCTGAAAGTCAAATACATGTAAACTACAAAAATTCACCAAGTTGTTTTTTATGGAGCAGTTGAATCCTCACATTGACAGATCTTTCATCAAGCTGAGAAGTTATTGTTAATAATGGAACTTCATTCTTGTTTAGCGATTGACACAACGTGTCATATTTGACAATAATATCGTCCCTCGATTCAGAAGCTTTTAGCATGGCATTGAGCTCAACCTGTATAAAAAAACTTGTGAAGAATGCTTTAATGCATGGCACAAACCGTTAGACATTTAAGAATATGTACCATGAGACGAGTGTATGGGTAGGGCAAATGATAAGCGATATAAACAATGTCACCTTGTCAAAATTAAAAATAAATATTTTTATATTATGTAATAAAGTTGCCAGCAATAAATAATTTTCATAAACTTTTTAAAAAATGTCATGTCATACCTTTATGAGCAAAGCTTAAGCTGAAGGAGAGCGTGTGATACACTTTACTGCAATTTCTTTTTTTAGATGTCGCACATTTGTAACCGTTTTTGTAGTAGCAGATTGAGTGGCCGGATCTTTGCCAGCCTGCTTTTCCCTTTGTAGCATCCGTAACGGAATAATAAAGAGGCTGCATTCCTGCGTTGTGTAAATACGGAAACGTATGCATATTTACAAGATTAATGGATTGCATATGTGGTTTTTTGCTGGTCTAATTCCAATTAGTGATGTTATCAAAAAAAGACTTGCCGTAGTTGAAAAGTGAGTTGGTCTTTGTGCAATTTATTATGTTGAATGTGTACATCTTGTCATTGACGGTGTTGCTCACTTGGAAGTAGAACCACTGATTGTGATGACGGGAATTTACGTCAGACGTAATCAGTAGATCGTAGTCACGCTCTCCGACCTGAAAATTTTTAGTCGCCCAAAAAATTTCTAATTTGGAAAATTAATCTATGTATGAAATATGGAACCTTTCAAAAATTACCTGGATCGCTTTCCTTAAATTTCCACTTTCAAACCTGGATTCAAATTCTAAACCGAGTCTTTTGTTATAGTTGCCAATTTCTTTTTCATCTCTGTTTCGAAGAGGTTTTTGTTTCGCTGACGAATTTTCTTCCGTATTAGTGAGAAGACTATCCAATGAGTAAATCACTTTGGGCTTGAAAGATTCTCCTCCAACGGTCCGAGAAATGTATGATATTATTTTACTTCTGCGTTTGAAACATTCATTTACATACGTTTCTATAATACATTTCCATGCAGAAAATATGCTGGTACATGAAATCACGAACCTGAGCAATGCACGATCTGTAGTGGGGAGCATGTTCTCTACTGATTTTTGACTATACGCGAAAGCAAAATCTGGGTAAGGGATTTTGACAAATGGAGCCACGTGATTGATAGAGTTGGCCACAATGGAATATTGTCGTCGAAGTTCTGTGATTGATGTCCAGTAAACATATTCGCAGTCTTTATTGTCAGTAATCCAAGAGTATTTGTGTTCACTCCTTGGGATTCCTTTGGGTTTTGAAGTTTCATTCAAATTTTCATCAACCAACGACGCTAAAGACATTGCCATTGGAGTGCTCTTTGTTTCAGTGACCTTTCGGTGAAATAACCCATTTTTCGTCACTTCGAATTCAGTAAAAAATTTCTTATAACTGTCAAGTTTGCTATCCTGGGATGATATTGATTGTCTTTGCATGTTTGACGGCAGTGATTGCTGATGATCTCCAGTGGAGGATCTTCTCGTGGAGAGCTTCAATTTGCTTCGTACTTTTAGAGGTTCCATATCATCGTCGCTGCTTTGATTATCGTTATTTTTATCCTTGTCTCCTGAGTCATCTGAACTTGCAACATCGTCGTCAGACCCATTGTCGTCGGATTTGTCATCATCTTCATCGCCATCATCACTCCCTTCGTCATCACTACTGCTTCCACAATCTTGAACCTTCATAACTGCGTCGGGTACTTGAAAAACAATGGGACTCTCAACCTTATCCAAGGGAAGAATGTCTTTGTGATAGCAAGTTGCAACAAGTCCCGAAATCCGCATCAAAACCTCATCAAAACTTCGTTCGGACGGACAGGCATCACAAAACTTGCGAATTTGTAAAATTGCATCACATTTAATTATAGCTTTTCTCCCCGAGGGTGTTCGTGCGACGTGATTATAAGTGGAAATCAGAAACTTGCTCAGTCTTAAAAGTCCTTGACCTCTCCATAATTCCCAGTTGGAAAAAACTTGCATTACTTTGACCAATAGTCCCGCTTTTTGGAATCGTGTGGAATTCGTTTCTGATTAGGAAATATGAAAAAAGTAAATATTTAGTTGGATTTGTGTAGTATATTTTAAAGATCATACTTGCATACTTTTCTTGGTCAATTGAGAAAGAATGTCCATAATTATCAACAATTTCCCACCAGGAGTAGTTCCTACCAACGAAAATGATTTTCTTATCGTGGTCATCACACCTTCCTTGCCCAGTATTGATGCGGTATCATCTGACGATTACATAAGAATAAACTCTTTAATTTATTTAGACATTCAAAGGTCGCTAAGTTAAGACGGCGATTGACTGGGACAAAATCTTACCATTTTTTGAGAGTTGGCGTAGAATTTTTAAAAGCGGATAGTGAGATGCCGATTTGGCAAAGAAAATCTTCTTGTAGACCTCGCTATGAAAAAACTTGACCTTCAACATGTCTCGAACATGTCGAGCGAAACTGGAGTCTAAACCATGAAAAAAATACGTTATCAGGTTTTAAATCGTCTTTACAATTGCGTAAACCATTAATTTATAAATTAAATGACTCAAATCTTTTCATGGCACCTAGTAGGCAAACATACACAAAAACTATCATAAATCATAATGATGATGGTGCATATGTGCATACATACATGTTGATGTTTCAAAAGAGAATATACCGTTTGTAGCAATAGCAGAAAGGAACCACAGAAAATTGACGATTGTTGATTCTACGATTTCCATTTCTTCTGGAATTTTGCAGTTTGAACTATGGCGAAGTAAATCTTTCAAGATTTTGATGCTCTTGGGAAGATAATTCAATTCAATTCCTTGATTTATGATGGTCGCTCTTAGTTTACCTAGTCAAAAGTTTATTTATTTATCACTGATACGTATATAAATACGTGTGCATTATTATAAATCATGAGGACATTAAAGATGAGTAAATCCATCTTACCATGTTTCGGATTAACTAATTCTCTTAAGACTTTACTAATGGATTCTCGTTTTTTAGTCCCGATATTATTACCTTCCTGAAAAATATGTGTAAAATATATATGTATGTACATATTATAGCTGGAACAGTGTTAATTACCAAGAATAAATATGTATGCACATATTATTATAAAAATATATATGCTTATTCATATGTATTACCTCCATGTTTTGCAAGAGTATTTGAAGTCCTAATAAATCGTCAGCCACGTATCGCATCACTTGGTCCCGACATTTACCATCTTTTAGAAAATACCAAGAGCAAAATGCCATGAAATCCTCAAATGCATGTAAATTGAGAAATTCTTGAGGTTACATAAGAATTAAGAATAACAAATTCCTACCACCACTGGCAAGAATATCTGCAGTAGAGGACACGGTCCACATTATAATACTTTCCGAGTCTTGTTTGGGCACTTCCAAGTCCACTCGAGTCGTTGTAAAACAACTTTTCAGCAGCACGGACAACGAATCCCACCATTTAATTATGTCATCCATTCCCGTAGTTGAGTTAATTTCTGAAACACCATCTTCACAACTAATGACTGGCGAAGTGGAAAATTCCATTCCTCCAAATCAATTGTCTCAGTTGACGTTTTACTGAAATGATGCTACTTGAAACGTGACCAAAACAACACTGGCATTGACAGCAACCAGTGACAAGCTTTAGCCGTATTTACTTGCTCGCGTTGTTTGTATGTGTAGCAAACTGTAGTTGCATGAAAATCTTTCGAGTCCGGCGTGGGAGGAGGAGGATGTATTTTTCGAGATCTAAGAGTTAAGAGAACATAGATATCGTGCATATCTAGATACATACGAACACATGCATATGCATAATACCCACCAACACTGGAAGGTCAGTTAGTCGATACACACATTTGCACATATGCACCACAACACTTACCAGAAACTAGACGAAACCAGAACCAGGCCAAAGGGAAAAAGATTTGGCATCGGTACAATCCCCCAAAACAAAGAGTTTCCTGGTAAGAAGGATATCACTTGATCACACCAAATGAACTGCATGCATAAGAAAATATCCCCTAAGTCAACAAAATTTCTCTTTATTTGCATAACCACGACTAGTATGACCGAAATAGTATCGAAATACTTGCATGGTAAACTAAACAATACATGGAAATCTATCCTATGCTAAATCGGGATAACGTTGGCTTGAATATTTGCACCATCAAGAGTGGAAGCGTCTTGGTGACCAAACTGACCAGTTTAAAGTATTAAAACTGCTGCATAATTATATAAGCTCTAACAATGTGCGGAACAAGTAGGTTTTTCTACACAAAATCTATATAGCATCGCATCATCCGATGATGGAGAAAGGAAGTCCGAGTGTTTATTCAATAACAGAACTTTAGTCAGGCCCAGGCCACATCGTGATGACATATGGGAAACTCGCTCATTTATTCATGCCAAGTCCCCTAAACGACTCTATCCTTGCTCAATCAATATCAAACGTCTAAATATGCAATGCCTGAGCTGAACCAGCCCAACCGTTTCACAAACGCAGTTTCCATTATTTAGCGAAAGGCAGAGTGAGACTCGGATTCTGGTGGGTATCCACCACCACCGCTGACTGTCGTTGCCAGTGCCGTATGGTGGTCCGTCTCACTTCTCACTCTCTTCAAATTGTTTACCGGGATTATGAACCAACTCGTGTTGAGATGCTTTTCATCTCTTACACGAGTTGGTTCAGTTGATAAATCGTTGAGCTTAAGTTTTAAATTTGGGGCGAATTGGACAAACTGAATTTGCTTATCTTAAAAACTGATAAGCGCAGTGATAAGCCCGATAGCGTTTATTTTCGAGTGGATACTACCATTATATATTCAGATAAGCTTAAGTTTTAAATTTGGGGAGATTTGGACAAACTAAATTTGCTTATCTTAAAAACTGATAAGCGCAGTGATAAGCCCGATAGCGTTAATTTTCGAATGCATATCATCATTATAAATTCAGAAAAGCTTAAGTTTTAAGTTTGGGGCGATTTGGATAAACTAAATTTGCTTATCTGAAAAATTGATAACTTCGTTGATAAGCCTCATAGCGTTAATTTTCGAATGCATATCATCATTATAAATTCAGAAAAGCTTAAGTTTTAAATTTGGGGCGATTTGAGGCTGTTTTAATAGCTTCTATGTAATTACCTTTATGTATATCATAAATACCTATACATTGTTACGGCTCCTGCCGTATAAGCCCCTCCCTCAGAAACTTTGACCCCAAAAAAGTCATGGTAGCGGTCATTTCGCAGCGGACAACAAAAGCGGAAAATGTGGCACTTCTGACGAAGAAAAATCTGGCATCAGGTTGTCAGCCGCGAAATGACCGCTAAGGTCACTTTTTTAACGATTTATATGTAGGTCGAAAAACCGCCAATTTTCGAATTTTGAAAGTCTTGATGCATCAAAATGTTCATATTCATGAGGGAAGTCAAATGTCAAATGCAAGTTGGTATCTACTTCTTTCTGTACCGAGTGTACATTGACCTTCTCATTTTTCCCAATTTTCTTCCCCAATTTTTGAAGGGGGTGTGGTTGAATATAATTCAAAAACAGCTATGCTATATTAATCCCCCCACCCAAAACTGAATTTGTAATTTTTTATGTGCAATTTGGTGAAATCGATGCGAAAAAGACTTGCACTTTTGGCTCATTTTGTACCGCCTATGTATCAGCTAAAAAGCATATTTGCATATTGTGCATCCAGTAAAATATTCATGTCCGTCAAATTATTCGCTAAATTTACTTTATTTAGTCATATTTTGTATTCATAAGTTGACAATAGCATTATGTGGAAAATGTGTAATTTTGAAAAATATAAAATGATGAATCACACCCCCACCAAATTGCCCACTTTTTGAAAGAGCGTCTCTTTCTTTGTCATGGTCTCTTTGTTGACGGAAATTCCTCGGAGGAATATGAGCGGGATTCACACAGTCAGATGGGCCACCAAACAACATCAGCCAGCCAGCTTATTTTCTACTCTCGTCGTTCTTTAAATTAATTATTTATTACTTTGGTAAGTATTATCGCTAATTATATCCGACCTGTAATCCCGTAAACTTGACTTGATTTAATTTTTGTGAAGATGATTGTTCCGTTTGATAAATCTCGATTTACAAATGCTGTAGAACTCGTTTGACAAAAGAATGCGTTGACGTCAAGTTGAAACAAATAATAAAATTTGAAATTGTCGTGTAGATCGTATGTGGAGATGGCTAAAAGGAGAAATTCTGAGATGGACAATTTGGAAGGGGTGTCCGCTACCACGGTAAAGCAAGTAAAATTGGAGCAAAGGGAGGGAGGAGAAAGGCAGGCCTGCTTCGTGGGGGCTAGCGGAAATGTCCTCGTAATGGATTCTAGCAAGAGTGACGAAGATGAAGCCTATGTCCTGGGAGGTAGTCAGATTGAAACGGAAAGCAGAGAGACGACAGCAGTGGAGTCAAGGAGATTATTAGAGAGTAGGCCAGGTAATTCCTACTTAGTTCTACTACACGTGGAAAAAACGTGGTTCAATCCGTGTGAAAGTTTTGAATTGAAACATCATTTGTGCATTTTCAGGGTTAGTTGTTGCTGGACCAACAAACCCATTGATGCCAAAAAGAGTGCAAATGTTAAAGCCTAAAAAATTTCGAGATGAACCCTTAACTTTACAATGTGAGTGGCAGGATTGCACATTTACTACTCAAGTCATGGATGTGTTTATGGACCATGTTGGAGCCCACGTTCCTTCAGTTGAAGTCGTGCTGAGGGAAGATTTTGCTACCATGACAGGTAGATACTTTGGGGATTGATTTGCATTTAGCTTTGCCATTAATATTGACAACTGCCTAACCTTCCGGTTTAATATCGTAGTGATATTCGGTTGTAATTGGAGACACTGTCCCTGGACAACCGACAAGACTGAAGATCTACAACGGCATCTTTTTCTTCATGCTTATCATACAAAGCTGAAATGTATTGGGCTAAATACGTCAACAAGAAGCAATCTGAACGTATGTAAACTGCAAGAATTTATTTATGATTATGTGTTTAATTATTAATTCCATAATTATGATTTTAATTGTAGCAATGTGCAGCAGATTCAAGCAATAGAAACATTTTACCAGATTTGTCAGCAGATTTAACCTGCGTGTGGGGAAGCTGTTGCCAGATATTTACAAATATTCAATTGTACTACAATCATATTGGTGATCATATTGATAGCACACCTCGTGGGAAAACCGTTCATGGAGGAATAAAGTGCGTCTGGCGAGGTAAAAATATTTAGTTTGTATTTCTTTAGCTATAAATATGAAAATCCATAAAAAAATATTTAAACTCGCGTCTAATTAATTACATAATTGTTTGACGTTGTTCTGATTAGGTTGTGCCTGTTCATTTCCAAATGCTGTGAAATTACGGGACCACATGAGAAGTCATACTCAGGAAAAATTGCTGGCGTGTCCAACGTGTGGAGGACTTTTTGCTAATCGAACCAGATTTTTTGACCACTGTCAGCGGCAACAACTTAATATGGGTACCATCAGATTAATATTATTATAATTTATTTTTCTTGTACACTGTGGCCCGAATTTGTATTTAATTGTTATTTTATCGCTCCATACATTTTAGAAGAAGAAGGCTTTGCTTGCGATGTCTGTATGAAATTCTTCTCTACGGCGCGTCTATTGCGAGATCACATCCGGTCTCACGTTAACACGTACAAGTGCCTTAAATGTGAAATGTCCTGCTCGTCGCCATCCGCTTTAAATTTACATATGCGATACAAACACTCGGACGAGAAACCATATGCTTGTCAACATTGTGCTTATACGTAAGTTGACCATGTATCTGTTGTAATGTTTCAAGTTCTAATTTCATGAACTATATGCTCTTATTTCTTACTCCAGCTGTAAATCATACAACGATTTAAATCGGCACACAAAAATCCATGGAGGTCTGTCCTATGAATGTGACGAAGAGGGGTGCAATTTCAATTGTAAATCAATGTCTAGCTTAAAGACGCACTGGTTGAAACAACATGGTGATGGCAAATCAAAATACGCCTGTCATGTGTGCGAAAAGATGTTTTTGAAAGGGTATTATTTGACCAAACATCTTACTTCGATTCATAAATTACAATGGCCAGCTGGACATTCACGGTTTAGGTATGTTCTTGATTACAGAGGGTGTTTACAGATTTTGTGGAAAGACAATTTTATGGGTAAACTGCGAACCCTTTATAAGTTTTGGCGCCAAATTTCTAACACGCAATCCCCAAGATCACGGTCACACATGTACCAAGTTTCAAATTTCTATCTTCAAAAATGAGCGCAAAAAGTGACATCAAAGTGGAGGAATCGGTGAAAGGGGTTTCCAAACAACAGACATTTTTTATCTCTTCCATTGAAAAAGCTTTGTTCTAAGCATCCAAACCCAAAAAATTCCATCGGACTGGTGTCAGGTTACTTAAAGTGTACCACGGAAAAAGATATCGAGGTGATTCCGGGGTTTGCCTTTAAATCTTGGGCGTCCGGTTGGGTAAATACGGTCGTATATGAAAATGTCGCGTCGTGATGGATGCAAACCTTGTCAGGCTCCCCAAATTGCTTCTTTGCAATTTTGACCTTCAACAACTTATGTAAAACACTGTCCATAAAGTACTTCAAGTTTATTTTTGCATTAGACCCAACAGGTATCAATGTTCGCACTCCACGGTCCGTCATTGCACCTGCCACCAGGAATCAGTCAGACAACTTTTCCTTCTTTTCAGACCCATGCTTTGAAATCTGCTTTCGGTCGGTTTTGCAGCAAATTATTTTTGTCCTGTTGAAGTTTTGAAGGCAGCAGAGTGTCCCGTCCAATGTGACGACAAATTCGGAATTTTTATTCCCAACATGACCTTCAAACAGCCTCCGGCTGTTAGTTTTTTTGTTTACCATATGGGTAAATTTAAGTGCGCGGACTTTCGCCTTCCTCTGCAAGGCTTTTTTAAAATTGTGCTATAAAATATGATTAACGTGTCCAGGAGACACCTGGGATTGCATTGTGACCTGTCTTTTGGTTGCAGGATTCTGATTGCCATCGTGGCGATCAATGTTCTTCAGGGTGGCAGAATTCATCGTTTTGAGGGGTATGCATTTCGTCGCATACGTTTGTCGGATGAAACTAGTTACTGTCGTTTTCTTAAAAAATTGATACAATTATATGTGGGGGACACGATAAGATGGGTTCCAAATTTTTGGATTATCGTTTGGGCACTTTTCGCGGCCAAATTAGCTTCGGAAACCGCTTTTACGGTTCGTCCACTTTGGGGTAACTTTTGGGGGCCATCTTTGAAGATAGAAATTTGAAACTTTGGGCAGGTGTGGTCGTGACCTTCGAGATTGTGTGTGCCAAATTTGGTGCAAATTGTATTACGCGTTCAAAAGTAATACATGTAATTGTTTTTCTACAAAATCTGTAAACATCCTGTATAATGTAAGATGCCTTTCATAACTTGAATAAAATACTAACACGCTGGTTATATGTATTTATTTCGTAGGTACAAATTATGCGACGACGGATTCTACCGTCTACTGACAGTACGATACGAAAGTGTCGAAGAACAAGACCCTTCGAGTTAAAAAGTCACAAGTTTGTTATCTCACGACGAATATTAATGTTTTGTATGTTAACTTTAGTAATCTAGTTCTTTTCTCTTTTTGTTGCATTGTAGTTTAATAAAATCGTTAAAGACATAATTTGGAGCTAGCGCCATTCTTTAGTAAATTTCAGTGTAATTAATTGGTTCAATTGGCATGGGTAATTATCAAATTGATTTAAAACTTGGTTGAAAGTGAGTTTTACGAGTTGTTGTGGGACATTTTAACCGGTTCTGGTAAAGCAGCTAAACAGCTTTCAATCAACTCTTTCACTCTCACATGTCACATTGTATATTAATAAATGAGCATCCCAGCACTGTGATTTATATTGAAAGGAAAATTGCATAATTACATTTAATAAAAAATAAAATAGCTCGTCGACCTGTTTTTTTAAAATGTTTTCTAGATAGAGTGCATTCCATTGAAACTGAGAATTGCAGATTATAACTTGTATAGCCAAACACGTAGTACTTGGTTTTATACACACGGTTGTAATGCATTTTTGTGGACCATATATGTGCATACATAGTTTTTGTGTCAATAATCCTGACTTTTCTCTTTGATGAATCAATTCAACATTTGTTGTCGCTATCAATTAGTGGCCTTTGTTGCAAGTAAGTATTTGCATACTTGAGCTTGCCTGCATCCTAAAGTACTTTATGCATCTTTATATTTATGCAGCCGGCCGGAGGTGAGAAAAATCTCGAGTTTGTTTAATGTGTTTCTGAGCATGAAATATTTTTCGTTCGTAAAATATCTTTACTTATGTACGAGTGATTTGAATCCGTTGAAAATGATGGTGCATCTTCTTTCTGGGTGGAAGTTCTTCTATCAGTACTGCAACCCCTTCAAATATAAGTATTTAGCCCCACATCTGACTGACTCCATTTCTATTATTGATGCTATGCAATGATACAGAAGTGTAATAAGGAGATGATATGAGACTGAGGATGACGGTGCGAGTATGAAAGGAGACTATTTCACTGCCGTGTCAATGATGATTGTTAAAAAGATTCTGTTTGTTGTAAAAGACTAAACGCTATTATTCTATGTTGAGATGGATGCCTTTGGCACAGTGACCCACATCCAATAAGCATTGACGATATCTTCCTCAGTCGACTGAATGTGTTCCCCGTGGACGGAGGGCTCAACCAATCTTGTTCATTTCCGTTGACACGCTGCATTTCCTTCAACTTTGACGTCCCTGACCATCACCTCCAAAATAACAAGGTTCACCTCAAGTCAGACGTGAGTACATATTTTCTCATTTTCTCTGTCACATATTTTTATCTTCCCATTTGAGTACTTCCCCCCCCTCTACCACATAATTTGTAAACCCATATTCCTGAAATCTTTATCGATACTGACCCATCGAGTGGAGTTCATATTTTTTAGTTACTATTTTTCTAAATATGATAACAGTACTTATGTATTTCATGATTAATTGAGTTAATTCACAATTACATACGTTCTTGAATTTTGAAATATTTGGGCAAGTTCAACTCTTTTCGAACAATTTCATAAAGATTTGCCTTCTTAAAGTACAAACGAATTGACGGAAAAGTGAATTTAAAGTACAATTTCACTCTTGTTCTTGTTGCTACTCTTCCTTTTAATGTGTAGTTTGCATCTTTTTGAATTGTAATGAAAAGGAAGCGGAGCATAATTTGAGTTGAGCATTCTTCAGAAATCAGGGTCATCATTACTACAAGCAGAAGATGACCGACCCCCTGCCGCCACTGCCATTCACAGATTTTCTCGCTGTATATTCACCACTGTCGCACATACTTATGAACAGTTTCTGCCGTTGCAACTCAATTGGTTTCATGATGCATTTGCGAATTATTTGCATATATTGACAGACCATGTATGCATACTTGCCGTGAATCAACGGCTACTGAAATGAAACATTTTATACTCGCATAAACACTCTCAGTATGTAGTTCCTATCATGAAAAAATATGCGATCGTCTCACTATGCCAGCCAGACTTGGTGTGTTGTGGTTTGTCAAGTGTGACTCGTCGAGCTAGATTTCTCCCAACATTTTTGACGGTCAGTGGAATAATATTGCAGTGCAGTTTCACTTTTAGTTGTTTCCCATCATGCCGTAACTTTTAATGTTATGTATTCCTGTGCGAGACTTATGTCATGAATTGAATCCAATAAGGGCAAAGACCTCCTCATTCTGCATTTCATTACACTGTGCAGGCTTTGAGTACCCCCATAAAATTTAAATATGTACGTATATGATGCATTTATAGATTCAATTCCCACAAGAAAATCAGTCTCCTTCTAAAGTGTCCAATAATCGGTTTATAATTAAAATTGTTCGCCGGTAATTTACTTTTTGTAACCGACAGTCATCCTTTGAGCATCCTACCTGAAATGGATTTAGAAAGATTTACGAATGCTATTTATATGTATATGTGTTTATTAAGAGTAGGATACCCTAACTTTATGTGCATTTGCATCATGAAAATTTTTGTCGCAATTTCTATCGACTGAACGCGTCGATTCAGCTCGATTAAAAATTGCAGGGCTTTACGCTCATCATGAATGAAAAGGATGCATTATGTGAGTGAACGTATGGGAAATCCCTGATGATAACGTGCATACCTAAATACAACTCATCTGCACTACATGCGAGTTCCTCCTTCTGCTGCTTTATTATTCATGTCATTTTATTCATTAAGATGTGGGCAGAATTATTCGGTTTGACACAGATTGGAAATAGCCCTTGATCAGTGTCACACTCACTCACGGGGCTTTTCAACAAATTGAGATCATCGCTGCTCACGCCACCGTCTAATAATTGGATTTAATTAAAGATTCCAATTATAATTTCATCAATCCATTGCTCGATGTTCATTGTCATAGCCGCTGTAGTATACTGAAGGCATGAATGGTAGATACGGATGGACGATGTCGTGTGTAACAGGCAAAAGTGTACCCCAAGATATCCTCATTCCCTTCCACCTTATGCAGTTGTCTAGTAATTAGTCACTGGTTAGTTGTGCACATTTAACTTTCTCTACTCACTTTGCATCCGGTATATGATCCCTTCCTCGAATATAAATTGGTTGCAAACTAATCATTCTATTTCCTCTATTTATATAGGTGTCGAGCCGCCAAGTAAAGAAAAATCTGTAGCGTTGTTGAAGGAGAGCACAAAGCGATTCATTCGTGAATAGTGGTCGCTGATTGTTTCACCCTACAATTCAAGTTGTGTGGATTATGAGATTGAGATTATCTCATCCAACTTCCTCCTGAAAATTGTTACGTGTCACATCTAAAAGGTTGTCTCAAATTGTTACGCGAGTAAACAAACTAATCGCGTCCAAGGCTAGTTTTCGGTGAACCATTGTTAACCAAGATGAAGACGCATCAAAGTTTCTCTGTCCTCGCAACCCTAGTTCTGCTGGGTATGATCTCACTCTGGAGTACCACGGCTGCTGAAAATTCGTTCAGAACTAAAAGGAATGCATTGCAAAATTTTGCAATTGAAAGAGCCCTAAAAGACAAGGGATTTGTGCGTCAACTCATCAACTGCGTTCTGGACAGAGGGCCGTGCGACGGACATGGACGCCAATTGAGACTCATGGCACCCGAAATTGTTCGAGGTATGTACATAAAAACCATGGTTTAATGGATATCTGCATATTTATCATTAAAGCTTAAAAAATTACTCTAAGCCTAAATATATTTAATGCCATGTAATACTTTAAATCATAGGTCAATGTCCGGGATGCTCAAAGAAGCTTCATGGACAAATCAGACGTGTCATTTCTCACGTTCAGAGGAATTTCCCTCAGGAGTGGTCAGAAGTTGTCCGGAGGTTTCTGCAGTACCCACAGCAGCAATTTCAAAATGTGTTTGGGTACCACTGAATGAATACACGTCAAAAACCAGAGGTTCATTCGTGTTCACTAACAACTCTGCTCATGTGTTGGATTATTACCAATAAATAAGTGATGGCATGTCAAAAGCAGTATAACAACTCTCAGCCCATCACTGCTACACACTGATTACTTGTACAAATCTTTACTGGATGATGAATTATCACTTATGAACACCTGTCAAATGTCTTCCTTAAAAAAAGCAGGAGTAGAACATTTGATGTTAGCGTTTAATATTGACACTTCCTGTTTCCACTCAGAAGCCACATAATAGATACTATTTCTGTGTTTATACAACTTATCTGAATTCAGAAGCCACCGGATCTACAACTTTGAATATTTGTTTAAAGAATCAACCTTTTTATATGCTCTGTTATCCAGCTGCTTGACTGACTGTTAAACTTGGTACTTTTATACGATTTTAACAGAGTTATCCATGTTGTTGAGTTATTCTACTTTCGTTGTTTTTAATTTAGTTGTTTCTACTTTAGTTGTTTACTTTTATAATAAAAAATAGTAGACATTAAATAATTGGTTAAAGAAAGGTTGGCATTTATGCATTATTGGGCAATATTGTATATACCCATTCATACATATATTTCTGTCCTTTTGTGAATGGAAATTTATTCCCTGCATGTTTTATTACTTGTTAATTTTCTTGTGAAGTAAAAATACATAATGCAAAAGAAAAGGTTTAGAAGCCGGAAATAAATATTTATCCGCAACCAAAAAATTCGTTGTGCATATTGGTTTCGTATCGGTGCATTTATTATATGCGCAATAAAATGTTTATGCGGAAACTGTTAATCAAGTCAACAACTCGAAATATCAATCTCTTGTCCGTGCTACCTGCTAGAAGGGTTGAATACCCCACAGCAGTATTACTTATATAGCTGATGATGGTCCGATTTATTCAGTTGTCAATATTGTATTGACAACAAGTTCAGTGATTGTATCCCGATCCAGGTACGGCGTATGTCATACGCCATACCAGAAATTGGAACTTATATGCGAATGTATGTACGTAGTAAAATATTGATCTTTTGTTGCACTTTCATTCATAAAAGTGATGAGCATCATGAAAGGTGATAACATTTTGATTGCAAATAGTGAATGCATCGCTGATATGTTCCATATCACAATAACGTATGTGTTGTACAAACTTGACATTTAACGAAATCGTGTTGTGTAGCTTATTGCGTTTGATTATTGCAAATTTTCCTCATATATATTTAAACTGCACCAAGTTCATTCCACTTAAAATATATAGGTACAAATGAAGCCCATATAGATTCGTACGCTCACTAAACTAATGACTTTTGCGACTCAAAATATTGACTCTGAACATAGTGAGATTGTGGAATTTTATGCGGAATTGAAAATTTGCTTGCACCTTATCAACACCAGTGACAAACAATGGCATCGCACTATAAAAAGCGAGTAATCGAGACGGATATGCTCAACTTCTGCTTCAACTTCTGTTCCTGTACTCAACTTCTCAGAGATATCAACATTGAAACTAAATGTCTCATTAATTTGACAAAGCTACATTTTTTGATATATGTATAAAGTGTCAATTAAAAAGAATAAAATTGATATATACGTCACATGATGCTACCTCAACTTACCAGCAGTTTAATTTTACTACTAATTTCTTCCCCAAATTGGAACGGTACGTACATGGATTGAAAATTGAAATGATTTAAAAATAGTCGCACTAACTTCCTTTGTTAATTTGGACTGAACAGTGCAATCAAAAAATGTTCCGGTCGACTGGTCCACGCTAATAGTTGGAGGTGTTGAAGCGGAGAAAGGGGAATTTCCGTTCATGGTTGGAATTCGAAAAGCAAGTCACCACTGCGGAGGGTCGATTATAAATTCAGAATGGATTGTTTCTGCTGCACATTGTTTAACTGGGGACGAGTCCGTCTACACGGTTGTTGCTGGGGATCATATCAACAATGAGTTTGAAGGAACCGAGCAAAATAGGACCGTGACTAGAATTGTCATTCATCCTGATTATGATCTGTGAGCATATATGTACATATTTATTTACTGAATAAGACAGTTTGTCTCCTTATTTATGGTTAATTGGCTAGCCAAATTTTAATTGTAATTTTCTGGTTATTTTCTTCAGACTGACTCACGAAAGTGACATTGCACTCGTGAAAATTTCACCTCCGTTTGTGTTTAACGCGAATGTTAGACCAATTTCCTTAGCTCCGAACGGATTTATTCCACCATCGAGAGAAGTAGTGGTTGGATGGGGTCGGTTGGCCGAGGGGGGCAATTATGCAAATGTTTTGATGAAAGTTGAGGTGCCTTTCGTGTCAGATGAGGATTGTAAAACTGCGTATGGTGCTGACAGGATTACGGAGTCCATGACTTGCGCAGGAGAAGAAGGCAAAGACGCGTGCCAGGCGGACTCAGGTATGGACGCTTGATGATTAATTTTAGCGACCGATTTCAAATTTAAGTATTAATTATCTATTTGTGGTTAAGGCGGTCCTCTATTGTGCAAGGTCAGAAACAGGCAAATATTATGCGGGGTTGTTTCTTGGGGCACTGGGTGCGCAAGACCAGATAAGCCTGGAATTTATGCGAAAGTTTCGTATTTCGAATCGTGGATCTCTTCAGTGTTGAAATAAGCAAATGTTTCTGGCACTTAAATCATTATTTAATATTTTTTTATTTTTATATTTTGTTAAAAGACCTCTTGATACCAGTAAACGTAATGATATCTTGATTATGGAGTAATATGAAATATAGTTGCTAATAAAGAATAAATTTGTGAGAAATGATAAAGCTTCGATTTGTGATCACTTTCTACTTTACTCAACAGATGGAATTTAGGATGGGTTCTCGGAAGAAAGGTTTTATTGCTACATAAATAAAGTACAAATATAATCAAGAGTCTGATGTCGTGTCATTAAGAACACTGCATTGTTAATTCGTAATTAGCACTTGTAACCAGAAGCCAAGTGAAAGCTTACAATTACGGTGGTGTAAAGTTACCACAGAACAATATGCATGGGACATGCATCATATTACACTGTGGAAATTTACAACGAACCCATCCCCTTCTAAACATGCTCTATTTCATGACACATTTGTCATTTAAATCATAACTTGTGGCTCCATCGGGATTGGATTAATAATTAAATAACGAGGTTCATAATGGAGTAACGTAACCAACACCAACTCCACGATGCGAGGAATCTGTTATATAAATACATAGACTGCCCTCCTAAAAAGCAACTGGAATTTCCCTAGCTTGTTTTACGAGCCAGTTTCGTATGCACCCAGACCTATAAAGAATTTGGTTCAGGTGTGTCATCTCAGATGCTGGCATGATTATTTCAGATTTACGAGATGACTTTGCGTTAAGGAAGAACTTAATGTCATGAGATGGTAATTGTACGCTGGCCTAGCTTGCGAACCCATGTTACACTAAGCAAATTACCAAATGCATTAAATTCGTCCTCGGATCGGGTACACTTTCTTTTGTGGTACAAGAGTCACATTATGGGGCATTCATTCGCACCACAAGTCGCAAATCTAGTCAATATTGTCTAAAACCTAGACACGGCTAACTAACAACCCATTGCGACAGTATATCTTGACACGAAGTCACATTACTCGTCCTCTCCTTCTCCTCAGCCAGTAGCCAACGTTAGAACGTTAACACTGACCGTCACACTGTCCTCCCCTTGGGAAAGAGCAGCATTATCCTGGCCTCTCTTGCTTGATTGCAATTTACATTGGAAAACTAAAAGTGCATTTTCACAAATCCAAATACAAAAGTAAACGTAGTAAAAAGATCATTCACGCTGCAAGCTTTAGCGCTTTACAGAGTGCAACACTGATAAAGCGCTGTTTGTTTTTTGAATGCAATTCTGACGATCACGTTAAGTATGGCACGATTGCCAGGAAGAAGAGGACGGATGCACAACATGGTTTGACTCAAAATGGAACCAAAATAGAATAAAAGACAACTATTTGGTGGACTTTGGTAGAGAACGTAGTGTTACCGTTTGGCATGCAATTTCACGCTGGTGAGCTGGTGAATCAGCTTCCCTTGGGATACTGAGCTGCGCTCTCATACTTTCACTTAGCTACGTGTCAAGCCAAGTATACGGTAAGTTTGGTTGGTAGTGTCCCCCCTACATTTGCATACTCTCGCTGTGATCATTTCTTTCTTCAGGACACACTTTCTCTATCCAACACCTTTGGTTTATCTCCTTGATAGGGCAGGTTTCGCCGTAATACTGATACTGCAACCCAATCAAGCTTGTAGGAATATATGTATAATGCAGCCTGCGTGTATTTTTTGTTGCGTCGTTAGGTTTGTTACTGGATTTTGAGACTTGTTTTCATTGTCAAGTTTGACAACGACGCCAACCAAGAATTATCATGAGAAACATTTATTTTATCCTTCGCATCTGGCTATATGCGCTTTCCCAATTACTTTTAATACGTGGTAGATTATTCCATTATTCTAGAGAGAAAGTGACAAGGAAAAAACAGAATAAGAGAATTTCGAGTAGTGGGCAATTTATAAGCCGAAAATGTCGCTTTAGAATCTCCCACGTGTATTAACACAATTGAATCTTTTCATGCATTCACGGCGATTGAAGAGAGCGAGTGAGAGAGGAATGCTTCGACTTCATTTAGATTTCCGCGTCGTAACTACTTGTTCCCCCTTTCAAAGGGGAAGGACGGCGAAGAGCTCTATTTTAAAATCAGTTGAAATTAATAAATGCGAGATTTGTGATTTCATTTCCCAAAAGATTTGAAAGTGACAGCGATTGAGCATCTTCAAACACGGAGGGAATATGGATATTCAGACGCCCGTTGTTCTGATGATTTCATGGTGGAAATGCAATTGGCCAAAATCCAAGAAAAATGCAGAAATGTGCAAGAGTGAATATTCAGTAAAGGTTGCACGCATATTAATACATAGATTTCACTTGCATGAACCCATTTCAAGATCAACTTGGAAATGAAGCAAAATTATAGGTCTGAAAATGGGATGAATAAAATAAAAAGTGTGCGTGATGTGGTGGCGATAGTTACACATTAGACATCGCAAACACAGTCCTTGTGCACTTTTCACTTGAGCTGGAGGATTCCCAGTTGCGTTTTCTAAACTAAAAGGGGAAGGATGAGAACAAGCAGAGTTTTGAAATCATCGTTTGGAAACAATAAGTGCAACTGCGATGAAATATGAGACACGTTATTACCTTCCACCCAATTTACTTCTATATATACTTACAACATGTCTACCTCTACGTTCCTTGTGCTCCCAAGTTCTCCATCCTACAGATTTCCAATACTTCTTCTCCAACCACTCACACAATCGCACGAGTCATCTTTCCCCCATATTTAGACAATAAGGAAAACCTGTATTTATGTTTGTGGTGAAAGGTAGTCTTACATAATTCTTCAAGTGTAAAATTACTACTTTTCCCATTCCAGATGTATTTGTATTTCATAAATTGAGAAACTTGAATTGCAGGAAAACACATTCTATTTATACCCGATGAATTTCTTTAATGTCTGGCAAAGCAATATATGTGCTTAGCAATAAGTGGTCGAGAAACAAGGACACGACTCCCGCAAAGTTGAAACTGAAGACCAAAAGGGGAGAAATAGAGAGAGAGAGGATGAGAAAAGAAACAAAAGAAAATCGGCAAAGACGTTGGATGCATTGTTCCCCTGAGATTTTGATGGATTTATCTGACAAAGTTGTGTACTTATCGAGGAGTCGAGTCCGGCAGAATCAGACACAACAACATGGTCATAATTCCTTCGTAATGAAATGTTGATTTCTTTCGATAACACTTCACTCTCATTCAACTAAGCTACAAATACGGAAGCTTTGCCGTTTCTATACTTTGTGCAACCAAGTGGGGATGTTGATCGGCATCAAGTGGTGTTCATCACTCAAGCTGCTGCTTTCTCCTCTGCGTGGAATGAATGACTCGTATTTAGTTATAAATAAATAAATAAGTACAACGCTGGCAATAAAGGAAAGTATTTACAAGTAACCACAATTGAACAACGAACGTCTCGATGACAGCCCCTAATAAACTATTGAATTGTAGAGAGACCCATTTAGAAATTCGGCAAATATTTTCTGTTTCCTAATGCTTCGTCTTATCTGCTTCGGCCAGAACTCTTTATTTCAATCGCAATTTTGCCAATAATACAAATATAAAACCTACTTAATTATAAATAAGAATTGATCTACTAGCTCTTATTATCAGAATGCAGTAGTCTTTAATATCACAATTAAACCCACTTGCCTTACTTATCTCAAACCCCTTCATTAACTTAACACAGACTTAACCTAAAATAGAGAGGATGATTAGTTGATGTTAAAACTCATTCGACCTTGTTAATGAAATTAATTTTGGGAGATAAATTAAAACTCGTTCATTCACTTCACTCATTCAATCAGAACTATGAAGCAACAACTCAACTCATTTCTGCAGTTGGTAGATTGGGACACTTTACTTTACTTATCAACATAATTTAATTCATTTAATTCTCGGATTCAACCAGGAAAACAATTATACAACTTCCACAAAATTTCTTGAAAGATTTGCTCCCGAGCCTTAAAAATTATTTCTACACAAAGTTCAATTGAATAGAAAGTTTTCGATTTGGGTGAGAGAGCATAATTCTTGGTTTTGAACAACCACTGAGTTCATTTTGAACCCTTTATTTCCAGCGAAGGATACCATCAGCTGAAGATTCAAAGGAATGCTTTTGATGTCGAGTGTGAAGAAAGGGAGATGAACAGAGATGCTTTTCCAGGTGTCTTGGTGAAAAGGGAAAATTATGATGCACTTCATACCTAATGATCATGATGATGAAGATGATGATGATGTAGCAAACACAATTTGATGGGGTGCGTAAGTTGTATGTACATAGAAATAAGGAAGGTGAATAAAAATGGCACATCTCGAAAAGTTTTGATGCGGTTTTCGAGCTAGAATGAATCTTGAAATGTATTTTTCAAATTATTTGAAAATGTTGTTCCCTAGACTGTCGATTCTTTCGGTAAATTCGATCATTCTTGCACATGGAAGTTTATTGCCGCCGGTGAACAAAGAGCGAAACCTAATTCTTTATAGGAAGTATCAATTTGCCAAAATGAATGTAATTTTTTTCCTCCGCGTTGTTATATAAGTCGCGGTAAGATACTGCTGTTTGGGGTCTCTCCTTCCTGGATAGATTGGAGTTGTTATCATCCTGACAGCAGAAAAATTTCACCTTTCTTTGAACTAAGAATCCGCAAATCCCGTTCGTTTATACTGTTCTATTCTGCAGTCACTGTGACAATGGATATGCGGTCTTGTAAATGTTCCAAGTTTCTTTTCGAAGCAATTTATTCGACGGCACTTGCTTTAAAGCTCTAGATCATGTTGTACCTACGTTGTGTAGGGTTGCAGTTTTTGTGGGGTAATCATGAGAAAGCGAAAAAAAACATAACATATGTATGTATGTAAATTGCTATAGATCAAAGGCATAGTGTATATGTATACTAGCAAAAATGTGGTTTTATTTATAAAATATAAATTAAATGGAATCGAATACATACGCTATTTAAAATGCAAAATTGTTAGAAAAGATGGAACAAATGTATCCACTCCCATTCAAGACTAATAAACGCAATTAGTAAATTCAATAGACGCACACAATTTTCTATGCAAGTTAAAAACTTATTGCAATTTAATGGAATTCAAAATTTTACCTAGAACCACACCCCCAAGGTCAAAGAAATTTCACCGACGTCAAATTTGTTATTTTGGAGCTCATCGAAAGCAGAATTAAAAAATGTTGGTCCGTTTCAGAGTTACATAAATCCTGTCCAGAGACGGACGGACACGATTGCTTAAAGTATATACTTACCAATCCCTACTTGAAGAAAACCGATTCATATTTCGCAAGCAAAAAATTTGATTATCAAATGGGTCGTCAAAATGATGTCAATAGAGGCGCCTTGGATGCCAAGAAACAAATTTATCTCCCAAACAAAGGGTGTAAGAGAGAGAGAATCAGAGTTTGGCGTATATCGCAAATAAGCATGTGATTTGTGAATATTGGAACAATATGCAGGGACACATGGATCTGGGAGTAAGGCAAACATCGAGGGTGACGAGGGTTGATATGTACGAAAGCCGATCCTTTCTCCTTGTGTTGTATGTATCTTGCAGTCAATGTGTGAACACCTTCCACTTTTCACCACTTGTACCTGGACTTGCACTACACGCGGATGTTTCACCTCGCCTGGGAGGGAAAGGGTAAATGTGTAAATGTGGAGTGGCAAGAGTGATAAAAACTGCACAAAGTTCGCTGATAAATCAGTCGACTCTCGTAATCTTGTCAAGTACACCTACTTTGAATACATCCACACAAGAAATATGAGTGGAAATTTCATATCACCTCCTCCTCAAGCTTGCACTTGGTGTATATCACTGCAAAAATACTGTAAGCACCAGCTGCTGCTGCTACATCATCATGCATATTATATTTTATAGTTCCACATCCATAATATTATTTTATGTCGCCGCACTCGCTCCTTTTTCTTCCTTAATTTTTAACTATCCAATATGAATAGTTTTTCCACCAACTTTTGTTTCCCTCTTTCCTTGGTCAATGTGACCCGGCGAAATGAAATGAAAGGAAATAAAGCAGTGCCGCAAGCAGTGTAAAGTGAGCTCGTTGTAATAAGTAGTTCGGTGGCTTATGCTTCCACAATTTATTAGTTTACATAATTCAAAAATCTGAAATATTTCAAGAGGTGGAATTCCATCCGCAAAAACTTGGATTTCAATTTATTTTACCAGTGTATCGCTGTAATACAAAGGCTTCAGAAGACTTTCCACTTCTTGAGAAGGGAGAAAGCAGACATCGTCTCACCTTACCCACGTCTTCAATTCCACCAATTGAACATTGAAATGAACGGCTTCCTCACCAGATCCTCGCTGATTCTATTGTGAGGGAACATTCCAAAATCCGATTCCTCAATAAAAAGCAGTGACCATACCATAACCCGAGGTTTATGTTGAGAGCTGAAGTTGGACCTGCCTATGCTTCGCTCCTCGTCAAGCTGCTCAACGACAACGTGGATCTTCGTCGATCAGGAAGCTATTATGCGGAACAGGAAGATCCCTTTGTACCACGAAGAAAGTATAGCAAGCGATTGAGATAAAGGCAGATCTTCACAGCGTGATAATTGTTTTGACAATAAAAATAATTGTGGACAATGACTGGGATGTCAATCGCTTGCAAATCAGTATGCCCATTATAAATATTGCAACCATATAAATAATCCGACCTGCAAAGTATTCGTAAAAAAAATTAAACATGGTTCGGATTTCATTTAATAATCATTTGAATCACTGAAAATGCAAAATTTCCAATTGTGAACTATTCCGGCAATTCTTACTAAGTAAGGCCAATTTATACAGAATATTACCAGAAAACACTTACTTATCTTCTGGTAATGTAATACACGTATGCAACGTGTCGTGTGTAAGTAACCTGCCTTCTGTCTTTTTTGCCTGCACCCTTCATCCAAATTCTGTCAGATAGGAGTGCAACAGCGGAATGGAATTGCGTACGATGGGTGGACGATGTGATGGTGGAGAGGCAGGCAAGGCAGGGGAAAGTACGAGGAAGAAAAGGGTTGCTTTCCCCTGTTCTTTCTCCAAATATATCTTTCCACCCAGCATCCTCCATCCTCCATCCCATCCCATCCCACCACCACCACCACCACGAACCAAGAATATACAAGTCGCATGAATCTCGCTTCCTCCTCTCCTCCTGTTTGGTTTTGGTTGAGCAGTTTCACAGTCCAAGTCGTTTGTTGAGCATTTCGACATTAAGCACAGCTTCAGATTCGGAGCTGGATGCCGACACACTCACTTCCTTCGCACTTTCCAGTCATCCCAATTACTCATCGCTTTTCTCAACTCATTCGATAGCTAGAGTTAAGACAAACCAGAACGCCGCTTCCAATTCTGTCAAAAATAGAAACATTCCCAAAAAAGTGATCTGTAAAAGATCGCACACTTCTGATACTTACACCACCTACGCTCCTATTGAGTTGGATCTGACTTGACCATTTTGTTGGCTACGCTACCACCACTGGGGAAGAATATACACGTCCTTCAGACAGAATTTCTTGATCAATAAACTTGAAATGTGATATTTGGAGAAAAGTTTACCAAAGAAAAAAAAACACTGGTCAACAGATCTCTGATTTGGAAATTGTGGAACTGCAAACAACTCCCGATTTGCCCCAAGCGTTTTCTCAGCAAGAAGAGAGTGAGAATGAGAAGAAGGAGCAGAATTGGTGAAAGCCACCCTATTCCGTCTCCCCATCCACGTCTTGGTCTCGTGTGAGCTAGACTTTCTCCCAAGAAAAAGAAGGATTTCTTGGATCGTCTCAAGTTTTGACATGGTTTGACTTGACGTTTGCACTGGTGAAACTTGTAATATTCTTGAAAGTAAAATCTAATATTTTATTTGAAAACGTCAAACGTGTTTTGACAAGTGACAAGTGAGTATCTTCAGTCTGACTAGGCTCAAATAATCATCCACCCCTCTTATCCAGTCTACTTTTATTGCAATAAAAAATGAACTTATTGCAAATAAATCATTCCCAAAGTTGAATTATTGACACTGCATCAGGTCTTGAATTGTTGTTATCAGAACAGTTTTTTGTTGAACGTCTCACATGCGACCTGAATATTACTTCGTTGGGATTGCATATGTAGGCTTGCTCAAGTCGAGATTACTTAAAATGTACGAGTAGCAGATTCTACAACAACGAATGAATACATGTCACGCAGTTTCTGTAAATATTAAATTTTAATCTTTTCCCATCATCCATCACCGGTCGTAACAACAATTGAATTTTCCGTCGGCGTGACTGGTGGACGGACAGGACCACTGAACTAAACACTATAATAAAAGTAATAATACTGAAAAAACTTTCTTAACCTATTCACCTATTCAACTCATCCTGACTCGAAGCTCCTGCTGGTCAACGGGACACTTTTCACAGAAAGTCAGACACGATTTATTTATGGTGACACTTTCTAGCTATAAACAGCCGCTTGATTTTGCGGGTCATCGAGTTGCAAATGCAATTTCCAGTTAATTAATTCAAGCTCACAAATAATCCATCACGATGAATCTCCTAATTACTAATGTCGCATTCGTCTTACTCACCGTTTGGAATTCAATTCTTTTGGGGTCACATGCCACAGCATTGTTTTCAGGTAAGTCCGTACTACTAGCAGACGTAAATATGTACATATTTATGAAAATTAAATTCAAATTTATGTCAGTTAATTATCTGTCTATAATAAAAATATGCTTTCTCCAATTCGAATATCAATCAGACTTAGAAAACTATCCATGACTAAATATACCAAGTCTAAGCTAGCAATTGTCTTAGAGAATGGTAGTAAACAAATCATTCAAAATTCACAATCAGATAAATCGAGGAAAGTGAGTTTTTGGTCAAATAGAGATGGACACCGTGGGCTTAGGACGAGCCTTAAGACAAAGGAAGATTGAACAAAAATCCTCTCGAGTTTTGGATCCCATTAGAATTGGAGTCCGGTCCTTCTTGGTTGGTTGTGTCTGCTACAGCTTTGGGAAATCTGCCTGTGTAAGTCTTGTTGTCTTCCGCTCCGCTGGTCTCACTTGGTATAAACTGGACCAACGAATGGGGGGTGATTTCATCATACTACATCTTCTTCCTCTCTCCGCAACTGGACAACCACCAGCAGCACTTGGTCTGCTTTCTCCCCACTTCTTACGGCCAAAGGGCCACTGCTGCTTTGTTTTCTTCCACCACTCTCCCTATAACAGAGACAGAAATTGAAATGGAAACTTAAATTCAAGCAAACCCAGCGGAAGTTCCCTGGGTCAAGAAATTCATTTGAGCTCACTGCCCACATGCACACGTGGTATTAAGTTGCTCCTCTGCTTTTTCTTCGGAATTCCGAAATTCTATTTCTGCAACGACTATCTTTTCTCTGATGTATGAAAAGTGAGATACAATTGTGCACTGATAAAATTCAGCTTCGTTTTAATGGGCAATTGTAGACCCGATCAATCATGTGATATTACTGGTACGATTTAATAGTCGTTTGAAAACTATTGTCAAACGCAGTGGTTAAAAATTTCGGAATGCTACGATTGCAGTAAAATGAATCGGAATTATCGAGCCGTTGTTGGTGAAGGTCCCTTCTCTGTGCTGTCATTCTTTCTATTGCAGACACGAGAATTTATCTTTCATTATGTGGGAAAGTTGATGGTCACACAATTAGAAAATCACCAATGATATCCTCAATTACACTACGTAGACCATGGTCATTGCACAATGAGAGTAGTTTCACTGCCACCATTCATTCCCGGTTCACATTTCATTGCTAGAGTTGAATTACTGCATGGACATATATATCCCAATCTCGGACGAGTTTCCAGACTCACTACGTGACCGAAAAAGTTTTATTGAAGAGAAAGAACTTTCTTCCACTCGGCTAAACTGCGAACAATACAAATAAAAAGGAGAAAAAGGTGATCCAATCGTTTAATAATGTTCGGCTTTGTGTGACGAGACTACAGACAATCGTCCAAGCCAACATAAGTATTTCTAACATTTTGGTCCTCCGTATAGCCTCACGTGGAAGGAACACAAACCCCCGAGTAATTTCACTTAATTGATTTTGTTGGGAAAATAATACCAGTTTTGTAGAATTATTAGCAACCATCGAGCTGTAAGAAAAACTTCCGGGTAGGCTCCTTTAATACATTTTAATGATATTACACCGCAATGGGATGTCAAAGTGCAAATGTATTTACAAAACACTTGAATTTCTCCCCTTCCACTTGAATCGTCGAGTTGAATACTTGAATGGCGAGTGCTGCTTGAGGAGCACGAGGATGTGGGGACGAGCGGAGAAAATGCGGAGAGGGACGAAAGGGACACTTCTTCTTCTTGAGTGAGACCACCCTCAGCTTCGTGTTTCTTGATTTTGTTGAGTTCAATGTGATGCTCCATTTCAGTAGAAAATCTTTCGTGGCTGAGTTTTGAGCACTTGAACTTTTGTAAATGAGGACAAAAGTGAAGTGAAACAAAAGGCAGAAATGAGACAGAGTCAATCTTTGTTAGTTAATCACTGTGAGTTTACTTTATTAGCTCCACTCGGCACATTCTTCCCATCTCACTTCGTGCCAACTTGTTTGAGAAGAAGAAACTGAATAGTGCAACAAACTGCAGGACAGAATAGAGCAACAAAATAAACTTGACTTTCTCATTTTCGAGTGTGGGAAGATGCGTCGCTTTCTCTCGAAATGACAAAATCCAGACTTGTTTTCATTATGAAGGATTCAAACAAGAAAGACACAACAAACCTACTCAAATAAATAAAGTCTCTCCTTCATGATAATATGTAAGTTCCTTCGTGGCCTTCTGCCCGGTGCATCTTATTTTCACGTCTGCCAAAATGTAGAAATGAAAATTGCACACTTTCACCAGTAATATGTTCGTATTATGTAAAAGTTGTGCATGTCATAGATCAGTGAATTACTGAGATTGATTACACAGCAACTGAATGAATGAATACAAACAAATACTCCAGTATGATGTACTTGACCACCACTTTCTCCAAGTTTCCCTTACTTGATCACCCGCAATATTGGATGATAAAATTTGTCAAGACGTGGCGGTATGTCGTGGTATATTTATGACTGGACCACCAGCATCGTGGGGTGCAGCAGTACTGCTGCTGTCTTTCACTGTCAGTGTGTAAGAGATCCGCACTGAATAGATGTACGACGTAAGAGGGGGAACTTTCATTATCATGATGACCCCATCGACCCCTCAAGTCCTCAAGAAGTACATATGTACGTGGATATGTACGCATTATAAGACATTCACGCTATTTCATTCACTTCACAATCTTAACTTGTATTTATTCCCATCCACCAATTCAATCTTGAGAGGAGCATGAATGGTATGGCTCACCACCACCGCTTGCAATCATTACGAGACTCCCGGTTTCACTTTCACTCTTCTCATCTGTGAAAACTCATTTCCGACTCGCCCTTCCAGACCTAATTACATTTCCTCTCCTCATATCCCATGCCCTTTGGTCCATGATTGCAATTGCCTCCACTCGTCAATATGTTTGGTTTCATTTGTGGAGAGAGTGAAATGTCCCATTAGGGTTAATTAGGACTATGAATCATCATAAAACGAGCGATGCTGCATTATTTGTTGTTGACAATTATTTACAAAGACTGCCATCATTCGCAACCTCTCGAATATTTTCGCTACGAGAGATACAAATATTTGCGACAAACCCCCTTAACTTCATTATACACATATTTTATGAACTTCATATTTGAATGTCATTTTCATTCAGGTTTTTTTAAACAAAGACCTCCGTGTGCATAGACAGGGACAGGTTAAGCATACGTACATATCGTCTGGCATCCATCCTGTGTAGATGCAGTGCAGATGGAATCAGGGGGTATTGTAAATTGCTGTGTGGTGCCACGTATGTCAGTGCAGCAAAGTATCCCCAAAGGATCTCTCCAAAGGAAAGGCACACCTGAACCGATTTCTCCTTAGAGTAAAAGACTACAGTTGGGCATTCCCACAGTGTCCGCGTTGGCTGGGACAATGTCTGCCTGTGCCGTGTCTTTGTTATCCTCCTGATGTTTCACAGATGTTAAGCTGAAAATAAGAAATGTGAACCTAAAGATCAGCCAGGCTAAAGTTTGTTCGTGTCCTTGGCTGTCTTCGTACAGAATAATTTGACAGATACATAGCTGCAATGAATGCAACATTGCGTATAAGTCATTCCTTGGTTATTTTTTATTGTACGCAGTATTTTTTATATTCAATGACTAATGACGTAGTTTATTTGCGTTTTTAAATCATCTTTAATGAAGAAATCCTACGTTCAGCTCGCAAGGGTGACAAACATGCAAGAGAAACTTTCTCCAACCTGATTGGGAAGTGCATACACAGACGCTGTTGGATGCATACATGAATATTCTGGCATGGAGCATGTGATTTACTTGCTTCAATGGTCTGTACGTTGTTCTTATCCTGATTTATTGCCTTCTCCGTTCCTCCGGTGGTGTCCAACTTGGACCACTAACCAGTCACCCTTAACCCTGGCTGTTTTTTATGCACGTGGGTTCGGTCATAGTGCAACCATGAGTAAGCGATGGGATGATGAAATAAGAAAGCCGAACGGAATCAAGGGTCAAGTTTTCTAGGCAGCTCAATTTTTCTTGGTCTATTATCATCACTACTACATTTGAGAACTGACATGATTCACGTTCTTTAATAAATTGCTCGGATATATATTTGTCGTTTTAGTACTTGGTATTGCTCAAACAAATACCAACAAATTTGTAAAAGTAATTTCTGTTGTCATCAAAGTTTGATTAATAGTCACATTTAGTATAAAGACAATTTCAATTTTGGGAGAATTGCTGATGATGCAGGATTAGAATCGAGTCGCAAATACAAATTCTTGCAAGGCACCCAAGTTTTGGTGGGATGAGTGAAAGAAGAGAGAAGAGATATGAAATGTAAGATTGCGGACCTGAAATCTAGTGTTGTGATTTTTGGCTGAATGCCCGGCCAAATAGGACAAGGCTGAGTGCCTTCTTCTTACATCGGCCATCGAAATCAATGACCATTTATAAATTATTGCTGTAAATGTACACTGCAAATTACACGTGTTTCTCTTTCCACTATCTCCTTAAGCATTCCACAGTTGACACTGTGCTAGCATATCTAGTTTAGAGCTTGGTTGTCGTAAGTATGCCGGAACGTCGCCGATTATTGCTATTTGGGTTTGGATTTGGACATTTGCACGGCAGATATCCCTTCGCTATACCGCAAGAATGGTGGACGACGGACAAAAGTGAGATTGGTTGGACAAAGACTTGAGAAGCTCGGACAGAGATTCATGACATAGGAATGCAATGAATGGCTCATAAATTTTATCCGTGGCGTATTGTCTGTCAAATAGCAAAAACTCATTGAGTCACTTGAGAGGCTGAGGAGGAGAAAACCAATATTGTCACATTTACAAGCTGGATACAACATTTAATGTGTAATTTGTAGTGAGGTACATGTCACAAAAGTGCCCCTATTTGTTTGTTTTTTGTGTTTAATAGCATGCACTTTATAATGAAATCTAGTGAAAGTTCATTTTCAATCCCAATTCCCAAAGATTTTCTTCAGGTTGGTTAGTTAACAGAATTACGTTGGGAGAAAGTGTATGTGCAGCAGACACTTGGGAAGGTTGAGGTTAGACATCGCAAAGGTCCCAGCGTTCAGATATCTTGGGAAGGTTTATTCGACTGCTCTTCTTCTGGGTGAGACCGAGACGAGCACATGCCTAACTTCCATTGTCATCTCAATCCCCTCCAAGATTTATGGATTGTCTTCCAACTTGAGCATTGAAATAAATTGAAAGGATTCTCTGTCACGGGAAACCAAACCGTTCGAGTTCCGTTGCTCTTTATTTTGTGACCCAACCAAAACTCCCAATCCAATTTTTGAATATTTCTGTGTATCCACAAACACATGCAATTTGTTGTTTCATACAACAATATATAACAACTTTCTCCATTTATTTTAACATAGCATCATTATATACGATACAAAAAAACATAAATGTAATTTGATTCGAGTATATTCAACAAGGTAAAAAGAGCAACTTGAACCCAAAGTCTTGAACCCTGAGTAAAGAATGGTGAAAGTGAATTAAAGTGACGTGGTCATTAACACAATAAAATATTTAAATTCACTCTCTTCACAGTCTCACACTCGCATAAAGTTTGAGTGCATCAGACCAGCGGAATCTTAGCGCAAAGGAGGAGGACCAAAACACTGGCAAAGAATTGACTACTACTTTCGCATTTAATTACACAAACGAACAACGAACAAACATAAAAGAAGAAGCTGTGCCTGCGGGGCTCGTAGAATGAAGATTACAGCCTGTTAATTACCCTGGCGTGGTCTAACTAATGTAATGGATCTTGTAGCATAGGACGGAAAATTCTCACCCACTCGCCACACACACACCATCGATGCTACGTACATAAAACTGGCAGAGCTGAAGAAACTGCAGCACTCTCCGTCCAAAAAACATCAGGGCACTCGCATCCTGCAACGGAGACTGCGAGGGAGAGAAAGACGGCAATAAAGTCCAACACCGTGTCGACCTTTCTCCATTTCAAACACTTAAGCAAACCATTCAAGTGCACTGCTATTGACACTTTGCCACGCTACACCACAACACATAATCGGCAGGGCTTGTTTCGGCCGAAAAGAATGAGTTGCAGTATGACCGTAATAAAGGTTAGAAATAAAAACAATGATTGTGAGGGGAAGTAAAACCATGGGAAGTACATGCAGAGAAGAACCCTCGATTGTCGCCTGATTTAACAAAAAGGCCCACCTGCAAATAAAAAACATCGTTGTAGAAGCTGTAAAATATAGTGTTTGGAGAATGATGTTCTCCTTCTGAGCATAAGACTGGGAGTTGGACAGCTATTTATACACCAAGCTACAGATCTATGTACGTACGTCAGGGTGAGAAAAAGTGCTGAAATGTCCAGGAATGAGGTGTTTAATGCTAATGGGGAAAACCCAGGGAAAACAGTTGCAGCTTATGTTTTCTCACGCACAAAAACCTCATGTTGCCTGAGGAATGATTATTCCCCTGGATTATCTACACTCCTGGTTTGGACCAAAATAATACATATGCACGTTGTGGTCAACGAGGTGAGATTGTAGGTCTATAAAATCAACACTCATCGTTGTAAGTAAACACATGCCGCAAAATCTCATCCAATATTATTAAATGGATTAAACACATTTCATTCCATTACCACAAATATATACGTGACACAAACATTTAAAATATGAATACTAAATATTTAAGAATAACAAATATAATTTTGTAAACACTGCGCAATTTCCAGAATTTGACATTATGCAACCACCCTGAAATTGTTCTAGAGACGATAATGGTCCTTGACAGATAATCTATTGTTGGGTCGGAATAGCAAACACGAAAAATGAGCAATCACTGTATAATCGGGTTAAAATGCATCACCCTCGAACCTTCCGCCTGACGTGATTGTGATTAGGAGGAGAGTTGAGTTGAATTTGGTTGACTGGTTCGTTTGCTCAGTATTTTTATCCCTATTTGTAATGGGAGAGAGAGGGAGAAAGTAAATAAAAGCTCGAGGTATGTAGACTCGGAGATAGCCAAAAAGCTCTGAGGAGTGAGGCGTCCAACGTTAACGGCTGAACCCAGCAGAAGAGTGCATCAGTTTGGGAGGAGTGAATGGTATAAATACGTGGTACAAGTGAACTTTAGTGTTCACACAACTCAACACATTGATATGTGATCTTAGTTGAAGTTGATATTTGAGAAATATTATTGAGGCTGTTCGTCAACCTGGCATATTTGTTGTCGGTGTCGACGTTTGGCTCTCCCTTTCTCCTCCCCACATACTCCACACCCTAACTTCACATACGTACGTACGTACTCTCAACCCACTCACTCTTCTGAACAACTCATTGAAGACCTCTGTGTGAAAGAATGGCCATGAGCACAATCACGTTCTTGTAGACAAGTACAACATAAGAGGAGGATTGACGATGATGCCTTCCATCACATCAATTACAGTCAGGCGAAATAATCACACTCTCAACACTCTCGATACCACCTCGTCACTACCCCACTCAATCCCTCACCCTTTGTGTTTTTACGGCCAGAGAAATGGGTTTGAGTTCCCATTCATGTGGTGAAAGTAAAAGTGGAAAACATGTAATTCGTTTCATCCCTCATCGCTTTACCCAAATCCGATGAAAGGTGGCCACTTGATAAGTGAATTCCCATGCTGCTGGTCAACCCACATCAAAAATGGAAAATTTGATCTCTGTCACAGTCAATAATATTTCAAACAAATGAACTTTGTCTGTAAAAGTGGATAAAGTGAAAGTGGGTTCTGGTGGTTAGGTTGATCCACTACTTAATCCAAACATGTTTTTGTACTCTACTTTTGGAAATCAAGTAAAACTCTGGGCTTGTATAATTTACATGGTAAATATGTAACATAAAACTGACAGATACATGGTTAAACTTTTCACAGTAAATGAAACTGAATTACAAAATTGTATAAATATATTATTCGCGCACAAAGTGTATGACCAACTTTTGAAAATTTGTTTCCAGTTGATAGGAAGAAAGTGCTAACTGGCCCGGAAGGAGTGCACTCATTTTTTTAGCACTAATAAGAAAGCTATTTAAAAGATGTGTGTGTGTGTGTGGATGAGAAATATCGACCACAACTCTGAAATCTGTCTTGTGGAACCACTTAGTTGGTGGAAAACTTTTCTCTAAGAATGTCATGGTTTAGAAAAGTGGGAAGCAGTGGGACAAATTGCGGTAGCAGGGGCTGATTGAATGCCTGAAACAGAAAAGCAATCTAACCACACCGAAGGAAAGAGCTCCACAAACCGACCAAACTTACTTATTTTTGAAAAGCCGAGGGATATGTATGCTGCCAAAAGTATATAAAACGCAAGTTCCTTACCCTGCTCGCAGTAAATTCATCCCAATTCCTCCGTTCTCTGCCCAATTTCCATTTGTTATTAGTTAAATTTGGATAACGTCTCCGATTCAAGAGAAACTTTTTCTACAGAGATTTCTATTTTCTTAATTTGAACCTGGAAGTTAAAGAAAAATCGCTTGGTTAAATTAGCATGCATGAATCAGCATCGGTCGGTCGGCTGGTGGGGACTGTGTGGATACAAATAAAATTGCACTCTCAAAACTCAAGTAATCAAGTAGCGGAGACTCGCGACATTTGTTTGGTTGGTTCCAAGACTTTCTTTCTAATGGCGGTATAAGCATTTGGAAATAAATGATTCTGCTCCGTCGTGCATCCAGCGACGCTCTCCACTTAAAGTGGGACCAGAGAGCAGAGGGTGGCAAACTATGTGCATGAACTTTTGAACCCGCCACGAAGAATGGCTTGGATGGGGTGACGGAGAAGGGGACAGAAGGAACGAAATTAGTAATTGACGGGTCGGAATGGATGCTGTAGCGATGGATGTGTTGGAAAGAAATCTAATTGTTCTCGTCCTCTCTGCAGATACGTTCCTGGAAAGAGTCAGCAACGAGCCAGACTTTGTGGGAAACATCAAGAATGTCACAGTTCCTGCTGGACGTGAGGCCATACTTTCCTGCAGTGTCTCCAATCTGGGAAAATTTAAGGTAATTGGTAGGATTAAGCTTAACAATTACGGTGCACCTCAATAATATGTAGCTCGACTGCTTTCTCGGAACTATTTTGCAATTGAGACATCTCGGAGCCTATGTACATATGCCTCACTTGTTTATTATCACAGTCTCACAAATTTCAATAAGCCTTTCATAATACGATTACAAAGAAACTGAGTAATGTGTGAACAGATTACATCAACATACATAAATTCACTCAACGACGTTCTTGCTTTGGCTATTTAATGGTTATATTCGATGTCTTAAATATATCATTCAGCAACAAAAAGAAATTTTTGCATGAAGCTTTTTTCATCGTGGCAGGTTTTATGGTTTCTTATTCCAACGATGCTAACTCACGAAGTACTCCTGATCTTGATCGGGATTATTAGTCCCATCAAATCGTACAAAATTAAGAATATGCACATTTTTAAAGTGGATCCAGGAAATGTTAAGTGGCAAGAAGAATGGTTGCATTTGTTACACTTTTGTCAAGGAACACCTGGAATCAAGAGAAAATGGGTGGCACATGGAAAATGAGAGAAAGCGTGAGGTGGTCGAGCATCGTGGGAAGATTATTCACACTTGGAATTGTTCGAAGAGGGTGTGAGAATGCCCCTGGAACCATTTTACGACAATGTCTCAAGCGGAGAAGGAGGACACAAATGAATATAGGTTCCCAAATATGACGACGATACTTTCCATTTACGACCTTCCTAAATGGATGGATAAAGCATCGTCGGTCTTTACACGACGACCCTCTCGCATTCACTCCCCTGCTTTCTCATCTTTCTGCCACACACACATTTCATTTCTCTCATGAGCCCATGCTTTCACTGCGCCCAAATCCCCCTTCCTCCCTTTGTGGCTGAATCTCGGTTTAAAATCATCATAAAAATTTATGGAATTGTGTATCGTCCCTTGGGCGCCTATATATGGTCATAGTGGTGCCAGATGAGGATGCTGGTGTTGATGCGGGTTGTTGTCTTGCATATGCACAATCCTCAACCACTCAAGTGTCGGACGTCCCCTCTCACTCACGCCAAACTCGGCTTCTGACTTTTACCACGGCAGAAGAGAGATAGAAAAGCGCATAACATGAAACATCAATTTTAATACCAGTGTCATTAAATTGTCACTAATCCCTCCTCCTCACCTACACTCAGTCAGCAGACATACGCATATTTGCACTATTTCTTGGGGTGATGCTTCCTTCCGTATTAAAAATTCGCATCATTTAGAATTGTAGAAAATAAAATTATTAACGATCCCACTGATGTAGACGATGCACGAATTGATTTTAAAATGTTAATGTCCATTCAGGTGGGATTCTTACGAGCAGAAGATCAGACGATTTTGACCTTGGATACTAAAGTGGTTACTCACAGCGGTAAGAATATCTGTGAAATTGTCAATTATTTATAAGAAGGAAAATCTTTACGCTGAGCATTTTAGGTCGAGTCACCGTGACCCACGACGGCGTACAGTGGAATCTTCACATACGTCCAGTGAAACCACAAGATGAAGGGTGAATATTACATCATAATCATTAATCACATAATAATACACGATGCGATACTAAACTTTGTCGGGTATTTTACAGGTGCTACATGTGTCAACGTGAGATTAAATCATTTATGCCTTACAATCCTACCTCATCAAAGTATCATGCACAATGACGCCATAATCATATATAATTTTATTTAATTAACAGTGAACACGGCAGTAATGAAGAAGCAAGTCGGCTGTTTGTCGGTGAATGGTAAGTTTGCATTCTGAAATAATTTACGTAAACTTAAGCTTAAACTTAACTGGCCTTTAATTAGCAATTTCTGCCTGGGTTAAGAGTACTTAAAAATCATTCAACGTGCAAAGCCTTTATATTTTATTCAAGATATTTGATAATAGTAGATTGAGTTTCATCACTGATACCACAATAATACGAGCCCAGTTGTATGCATGTAAATACGTATGTATGCATGAGTAGCAATGTACAAGAGAAGAGTAACAATGGTGGGATTGTGCCAATTGTCACATTGTGAGTGAACAGCGGGTTTGTTGGTCTCGTTGATTAGAACAATGTAGCTCGACCGAACGTGAGGTTTGGTGGTGGAATCCATTTAATTTCTCGTGATTCATAGCCTCTCCTGAGTAAAGATTTTAGTTGTTGTAACAGAGCAGATTTCTGTCACTTTAACTTTACTGTCTCACCCTTTGATCACAGTCCAAAAGTTTTGCTCTCTCCTTTCCCAGACATTAACTCTCTCCTCCTGCTCATAAATAGTCAGATGGCACAGTGCTCATGTTGACTTTCACCACTCGTCATATTCCTTCCTCCTCCAAACCCAGTAATTAATTAAACAAGCAAGCAGCGGAAGGCACGAACCAAGTCCCAACACACACATCCATCCATCCACCACCACTGCAGTCTCCTCTGTCGGTCGGGTGGTCGCTTGGTTGGCTGGTGCAATGATCTGTGCCCATCTTCCCAACCAACGCATACTAATTACAAACGCTAAAGTAGTCACTCAAATCTGTCTCTATTTACTCAGCCTCCAGTCCAACACCCTCACACACACCCCCTCTTCTCCTGCTTAGCTTAACACACTTCTGTCAGTTTAACAGCAATATATAGCCAGCTCCTATCATTATGTAATATCACCAATCCGATTGCATCCCATCCCACAAACTATTTGCTCAACGGTGACAGGTAAAGTTGATATGAATTGCAAATTTTCCTGCATCCGTGTTGTTTAACTTTGATGCACCACTGCGCTTCCGTCTGAAATTGATTTGAAATTCAGTGTAAACGTACTTTCGTAGGTGTGTTGAGTGTTTGGCGGTGTATTTTCAATTCTTTTTACGTTATTAAAGTTCAGATTTATGAAGAAACATAAATACCTCATTTCATTTTTATACGCCAAGTTGATGATAACCCTCGAGTGTGTAAGTTGTAAAGGACTCTTCATCCAATGCACTCCTAATAAAGTTCTGATCGCCTCTGAGAGGAGAGCACTTCACAACTTTTTCATTTCATCTCGAGCAGCCCTTACTTTGACTTGGTCGCGTTATGAAAATATATTCGAGACGAGAGAAAACTCGTAACGCATTGCACATTTCCTTATTAACGTATGTATGGAGTTGGTGTATGTAATAGTACATGCTTGTATTAGTGCAGGCCTGCTTGTATCCTGTGCTTGCTGCTGCTACTGCTGGCAGTGCTGTTGACTTTCCCAATTTCTCCAAACTTTTAACTTTTAATGTCTCCTATAGTTTTCCTCATTCACGTGAAGCCAGTCATAAATGTAATATTCTCACTGAACAGAATTTATGTCATCATTAACTTGTCATTTACGATGCTATTAAGTAGAAGTCATATTTTACTTTGCACTAACAATGATTCAGGCCACAGAAAAATATAGATGTAGAACTACACGAAAAAGTATAAAGTGATTATTAATTCTCATTTTTCTAGTGTCTCCTACAATCATTGATGAAGAAACAAGTACGGATTTAACCGTTAGGGAAGGGGAAAATGTTACACTGGTCTGCAAGTAAGTAACACTTTCTGATTCTGCACATTGTGCCCTTTCTGACCTCTTTAACCTTACAGGGCTACGGGACGTCCTCCCCCCAAAGTTACTTGGAGGTATTTTTAAACTTCTCCTTATCATGAAAATCTTTTCTATATATTTCTAACTAAATACTAGTTATACATAGCTAAAAATTTTCATAGGTTTTTGTTTTTCATTTCATTCCATTTAAAAATATGTAATGTTTAAGGAGTGCTAAAAATGTAGAAAGATCCACGCTATACACGAGCGTACCTTAAACTACCTTACAAAATGAACTCTTAAAATTACTGAAGATGTCCTAATTAGAACATTTTAATTAGTGGCTTGATTATATTTGAACGCTGGATAAAAATAAGTGACAAATTGTGTGTGTTGTTTGACTGTGTAAAAACTGCGTAGGAGAGAGGACGGAGAAAGCATCATGGTGCGGAGAGGGCTGCGAGACGTGTACAAAGGTGAGTACGTTATTGTGGTCTATTGAATTGAATTTGTCTGCTGAGAAAGGGTGAAGGAGGTTTTCGTGGGAAGTGCACCCCACACACTCGGAAATATCTTCTTCCTCCTTCGTGATCACCACCTTCCTCACTCATGCACTCTTCCCATTCTTACCACTACTGGCTCGTAAATACTAATAAAATGCTACTTAGTTCATGATTACACTCATTTTATTCCCATCTTCTTTCATATTAAGCAACCTCCAGCCTTTATTAAATTCTTGGCCTTTTTATTGCTCTGTGGCTCTGTTAGTTCCCTCGATTATTAAAATCATCCTGCATTTGTTGATTTCTGTTTATAGAAAATTTCAAATTTACCCGACGAGATGCAATGAATATTTTCAAGTTGACTACTTGAATTATGTAAATTTCCTCTATCATGCATTGCAAAGAATAGAATAAAATTTTGAATGTTTCCATTTTAATGTATTTATTATGGGTGTACGCTAAAAAGTAAATGGTTCGTTGAAGTCGGGACAAATGCAAATATTTATTTTGAATGCAGTATTGTGAACGGTTGTGATCTGATCTGATGGGGTTGAATTAAGTGAATATGTGGCATTTTCGGAGTTGGGATTGACAATCTGTGGGATTTTGTCGCCCTAGTCGCGGCGGTGCTCCCGTTTCTACACTCGTTTATTATTCTCCGGATGGATTTGGGGCTTGGTTGGTGCGGAGGAGGTGTGATGGAGAGAAAGTCATAAAGCCGAAATCCAAAAGTATGATGTGATGAAATGGAATGAGTTTTTGAAGCGTGCTCTGGTTACCACAGGTTATGATAAAATCGTTGGAACTGAACTACAATTCGTGAGGGTGGACCGTCGACAAATGGGAACCTTTTTGTGTATCGCTTCCAACGAGGTGTCTCCAGGTACGGAATTTAACATATCTAAACAAACTTGTAGCAGCCCGAGCCAGAATTGTTGAAGTAATTCAAATTATTTTCTAGTTGCAAAATTGTCATATATGACAATTTTATATAATAAATATATTCGCCACCTTAATTGAAGATTTACAAAGTGCGAAATGACCTACATTGATAGTCCAGAATTTATCACTTTTGATGCAAGAGTTCTAATGCCTACATACTACCTGCGTATGTCTTGATAAATATGTCCACATGCGTGAATACTTTGTGAGAATTGATTTTACAAACACTTACCAATGTATCTTAGTCATATATTATGTAAGTGTGTCCAAAATTGAATGTCGATCGACGAGTTTATAAATAGTTTAGACGGACTGTCTTCGTGACGACATAAGCCCCGGCTCGGACTGAAAACCCAATTTTTTTGATGATTCTCAATCTAACTGCGTTCTTTTTCTTTCTTTTGCAGCGAAATCAAAACGGATTTCTTTGGAGGTTTTGTGTAAGGGGGTTTATTTCTTATTTCTCCAGCTTATGTCAAATTTACATTTAAATTGCTGATCTTCTTTGGTCAAAGCACTCTTTACGAGCTAAATATGTGGATATTCAACGACTGAAACAACGTTTTGCTCAATTTTTAGAGGATGAGTCCTTGATTAGGTCTTGATCAGATGTTTGGAAAATATTTACCCAGTTGAAATAATATTTTTGGGTGTGTTCGGAAGATCATGCACTAACACATACATTCTCATGCATGCATACCTACGTATATGTTTGTATTTATGTGTACACACAAATGATAATTATATTACCAGCAAAATTAGCTAATTTGTTGATTTGTATTACAGTTGCACCCTTGGTGAAAGTACAGAATCAGTTACTGGGGGCTCCTTACGGATCAAATCTCACATTGGTGTGCGAGATCCAGGCGATGCCAAAAGTAAGTTTTACAGTCCTTCTTGTTGCTTATATCCATCAGTTGGCCTGGCTGCCTTGACTCGGCTCAAAATCTCCTCTCGTGGGCGAAGTGAGCGATTAATCTTGACAAAAAATTTCTTTGTCTAATTTCTTATAGCCGTTCGTTTACTGGAAAATAGTAAATCGCGGCCCGATGCTCTTAGCGGACTTGGGGCTAAAAAATAGGTTATTTTTTACCAACAATTTATCATAATCATCTTTTCTCGGGATTTGCTTTCACCAAGGCTCCCACTTCCTTGCCGCTGCCACTTTAACTGCAAAAAGTTATGCTTATCAACGTACCAAAATCATTTAAGCAGATTGCTCTGTTTGGTGGTTTAAGAAGTGTCAGATTTCACCTCCTGGCACATCTTTTTTCGTTGTCATCCGTGATGACTCTCTAATTCTCCGGTGAAAGCAGAGCCCTACTACGTTGGGCTTAAAAGCTAGAGAAAATTTGGATTTTATAAGAGGCTTAGTTGACGAAATACGCTTGGAGTAAATCCTCGTTGACTCTCATGCTTCTATTTGTTATTTTAGCTCCAAGTACACCATCGAAGAAAAGAGATTGTCCTACAAAGTATCAACCAGTCTTACAATAAGAAATTTTGGCAGTAAAGGTAATCAATTAAGATTTGGATTAAGTAAGAAATAGTAATTAATTTCAAATTGACACTTTGTTTAAATAATAAAATGATCGATTAATAACACTATTAATAATTGAGTAGCGATAATAAATTAAGTTGATAGATTTAACTTTTAAAATTATGTTGGCAGATGTCGGAATATATCAATGTATTTCGACCAACAGCATCGGCAAATCAGAGGGAAACATCAGACTTCACGGTAAGTACTAAACATATTTACTCTTTTTCATCGTCTGAATATATTGTAAAAAAAGAAATCATAAACATAAGTTTTTGCGGACTGCATTTCAATTTTTTCCTTCTGTTTGTTTGAATTTACGAATGGTTACGTTATCTGGTTGGATGTGTGGCAGAATGATGCGTGTGATGGTTTAAGGATTACGATGCATAAAGATGTAAAAAAAACGTGGAATATACCCACGAAATTGGGGAGAAGAGACTGGCAGTAATGCACACATACGTGCATACTCTGTCTGTCAGAGGCATGTATAAATATGGGGTTTGGGTGGTGGAAATATGAGAAGATGATCATCATATTTGACAAGTCATGGGATATCCCTACAGAGAGGAATGACAAGGGATGTTTATTCGGTGTTGTCTGGGAAGGATGATTGTCACCCGAGGGAAAGTGTGCGTCTCTGAGCTAGGAGAGAGAAGTGAGACTTCTACGTCAGTAATAATGTCAGAAATGTGGGGTCCTCTCCTGGTCCTACTTCTTCTTGGCCAAATTTACTCGTCGCTTCCCTCGTCGTCATCATTGATGGTGGTTTTGTGGGATGGATGATTCTGCTTCGGCGGGGCCATTATTTATCATCGCAGCATGGTTTTTGCGAGCTTTCACGTTTGATACATGTTTTGCGAGCTTTCACTTTCATGGTCCCACCATCCCCACTGTTCCTGAAATTTAGAACTCAGCCGAGGATAGATACGCACTACTGCTGCACTTTGAAATTTCTGGACGAAACTCATCCTCCTTTGCAGTTTATAGTGTAGGAGGAGGTTGCTTCAAGTTATTTAGCATAAAATCGATGTACACAGCACCCCTGTGGTGTGCAAAGATATGGAGAAAGTATGAATACAACCATCGGCACCACGACTAGTGCGTCCATTTCACATCAGGCATCAGGGTGGCTCTTGTTGTCCCGTCCTATCGTCGTCAACAATCTAACGCAATATCAATATCTATCAGATGCGTATTAATGGGCTTCAAATTCTTTGGGACCATCTGCTCCTTATACATTACATCAGCTCCCTGCTGCCTTCCACACAACAAAGCTTTCACCACCAGCCAGCCCTACACACCAACCCTCGTCGTCATGGCACATGATGAGACGCCGTTTGCTGGTCTGCTTACTGAAAATCTTGACTCAATTTTGGTATAATGATGCCATTATGCTGCAATGACACTGTCGTATAAATAGTGTCATCCCTGCAACGTCATCACTGCCTCTTTATGATTTTAATATGAAATGCAATGTTAATGTGCGCAGTGTGCACACATCTGCTGCTTGCAAAGAATGGAGTTGAAGTGCAATACTCTAAAAAATTCTGACAATACAAAACGATCAGATAAATATCTATGTATGCATTTTTCATAAATTGTCTTGCTTGTTGGATGCATCGTGCACATTAACTCTGCATATTTTACGCCGATAATATAATGTCTAAAATGAAAGAATTGATGCTTTACTTGAGGTTCGTTCGTAATTCTTCATGTCAATCTGACACGTTCCATTTTCAAATTGCAAAAGTAATTCAATTTGTTGCTTTGCACGTATTACGTCAATGTCAGAATTTTTGTGGGATACTAGTTCACGGTAGACTAGCATTGCTGGTGAAGTTGTAAAGTGTATTTATATTTGACAGGGCTTGTCAATTGAAATTTGGCAGCCCATAGTCTTTAAATTAAATTTTTAGTTCAGAAAGAATTTTTTAGACGCGTACTCCCAGAAAATAAACTGTATTCCCATCTGTAACACAGTTTCCACTCGACTACATTTTGCGTCTATCATGTTTGTTTTAAATGTCGAAAAATAAAGCTGAGAGACTATGTATATATATATTTTTTTTTTTAGTTTGCCTTGGTTTGTGGTGGCTGCAGCTGTCACATTGCTTGAAAACCTGTCTGCTATTAGGGTCACATCCGTCTCGTTGATACAACAGAAGTTATTTTTTATATAACTCTTGGATTATTTTTGTTTGAGCTAAATTCGTTTTGTGCTCTGCCATAGATATAGTTCGTGGATGATCATTGTTTAGATAAAGTCGTTTTTGAAGACGAGAATTCGGGAGTAGGTTTGAGTCTAGGTTAATTTAAACATTGTTTAGACCCAAAAGTTTTGCAACACATCAAAAATCAATCACTCGTCGTGGACTGGGAAACCAAATCAGCTCTATTCCAAAGATAACTTTGTGCTTTTGTCTGCCTTCTGTGGCTTATATTCGAAATGGGGCAGTCTCATCTCAATTGTTCTTGGAAGGAAGGGTATTATTACCTCACTTGCGATGGTGGTGGTGAGTGGCATATCATGCACGAGACACCCCTTGCTTTCTCTTGGTTGGCAGGATGGATGAATGGATGGATGGATGAAGTAATATGTAGTTTCCGTTGGCCTGGAGAATGAGGGACTCGCATTCTCACCCATCCATTCATATGGCCCACTCTTCTTGCCACGCCATGCAGCATGATCATCATGGGATGGAGGATGCAATGATGGAAACGGATACTTTCCATGCGATTCTTGGATCTTCTTTAGTTTAATATGAATTAGACTTTTATCGTCGAGGATATTTTCCACGCACAGAAATTGAAGGGGAACATGGCGAGACGGACACATAAGCGTCTTGGTCTTTGCAGATCTCGACTCAACATACTTTTAATGCATTATTTATGATTATCCTCTCCCCTTATTTCGACCCTCTGAAACAAACCTCGTCTCTGATCCTTTTCCTCATATTATATATTCTATTCTATTCCAACTAATCTGGAAAACTACCCACATAAACCGCTTTTCAAATCTATCCACTTTCTTGTTTTTAGACTCGACGTGTCCTTTGTGCAGTCTCAGCCTTTTAAAATCCTTAGATCACGTCCTTTTGTGGGAATGCCCTTTTTAAATTTTGCATAATTCTCTGCAAATACCTGATTTGGCATATTTGTACATAAGGCTGAGCAATTTGGCTCGGTACTGAGCCTTAGTGGAAATTGATTTTATCTATGGAAAGCCATTATTGGCCATTGGTTTTATACAGTTTTTCGGATATAAGTTTTTTTAGATCCCGCCTGCCTAATGTCAGGCGTTTTTCGCTGGATTAGTAGTTCAGAGTTAAATAAAAGATGCTTAGGCGAGGAAATTTAATTAATAAGGTTTATCTTTTTTTGCAATTTCAGAAATTAAATTGAACAGGGGCACTTCTGCAGCGACAGAGCATCATCCAGTCACTCTTCCAGGTAAGATTTTTTAAGAAAGATACTTTCGTTTGACTTTTATTTTCCAAATTTAAGCTGATTAAGTAAATATATAATTCCATTTACGCAGTCAAATGATAGGGAATTTGGAATGACACTATTACAAATAAGCTTTACTCGAACCAATTAATTTGATAAAGATACAAATAGGTTTGGGTTTGTAGATGAAACTTACGTATGTACATAAATTATATTCAGGATATGCAACCCCTCCAATTAGCACAGAGGGAAGAATTCATCACACCAATAATCGCGACTTATGGACTTCTTACGGTAAGTATGGTGCGGTATTTATATAATTTTGAGATTCTCTTGCGACAACATTGATTTTGCACATCATGATAATTCTACTCAACTGTGCCTTGAATATTCAAATTTATTCCACAAGCAGACTAGTCAAACTTACGGAATTCATAGTAATATCTTATTTAAACAACGAGATGTACGTACGTCCTCAGAATTATGTTTGTTAAAAATAGATTTAGATAAAGACAAATTGTGAATAAGACAGCGAAAAAACTCTTCTTCGCATGTCCCGTAGGACCCTTTGATAAACTACATATTTTATTATTAGGCATATAATGGCAGAGGTTAAATAGCATGTGGACTTGTGTCTTAAAGTCCAAAATGTATGAGCTCCTGCCCAAATTGCATGTTTACCTTGGGACTGATCACGGATGAATTACCATTGTTTCCTCTCAATTGGGAGAGCAGCGCAGAGTTTGAGCTTCCCATCTAACAACCCGTACCTTTTGTCCTCCAGGAGAAAGTATGATTCAGTAGTACGGAATTTGATGAAGAGGGAAGCACGGATGCGTTTGGCAGTACTTTACGGAGACGGAGTGATATCAGAAGGAGTGGAAATATGTATTTGTGAATATTCATGAGATGACAAAGTGGAAGACTGCAGTGTCACTTGGCTCGTATTCTCTTATTTTTTTTGGAAAATGTGATGACGATGACTGATTGTGTGATGAAGATGCTATCGAGTGTAAGGAATTGAAAGATTTGCTCGGATGAGCATCAATCCCACTACTCGTCCGTTTGTCTTCTTCTCCTTGTGTGTGCCACCACTGAAATTACGTTATACGGCTATTCTTCCTAGGTTCGACCTACCACTTCCTTCCTTCCGAGGTCCATCTCCACTCGCTTTTCCGTTCGCTATCCTTATACTACGCTTATCAGAACAAACCCTTATTCCGACGGGGACAAGAATCTCTTTTCCTCGTGGGCATCCGTATATGCAGACTGTCAGACCGTATAGACTTTCACCAGCTCAGTTGGTTTCCTATTATCTCCATTCACTGAATCGCTCCCCGCATTTTTCCAATAGTCATAAAACCTATTGGAATTTCGCCACCGTTTGAACCCTGCCATTATTAGATGAGCGAGGACGAGGAGCTTCCGTGTCGGCATGCAAAGATTGAGCTTTTTTGACAAAATGCTGATGCTAGATTTCTGACTAATTTTCAAACTTTCAAAACTCAACCAATATCTCTGCTGGATGAACTCTACTCTACTCTGGATGAAAGTGAAATGAACATTGTTCATAAACACGTAAAATTTTCTAAGACGTCATAAATCTAAGAGTGTAGGTTATAAAACGACGAGGCACAAATTGTGAAAATGGGAGAATTACTAGGACCTACATATCTGTACACACATATTCACTATATCTTTACGTATGTATGTAGACACGAAGGGAAAGTGATTTTCTCGAGAATTTTTAAAATTCAAAGTTACGTTTTATCGTAAAATAAAGGAGATATTATGGATGCATATTGATCGAAGTAATTGAGGGAAAGTCGTGGTGGGGAAAGAAAGCGGAGAGAAAAGAGATTTGTTATGGCTCACCGTGGTCTCACGTGTTATATATGTATTAGCACCTCCACCTCCTTTCTTCTCTCCACATTTATGGGGCGAGCATAATGGAGGCTCTTGGACCTTCAGAAGCAATAAACTGCATAAGCAATAAACTGATGGCTTCATTTTTGCAGATGTGGCGCCCAACCCGGTCATGACACCTCATGACACCAAGTCGGAAGTCAACAGGAATGACATCTCTGCCATTTCCTCGTCAGTCGCCACCACGACTTCTTGGAGAACTCATCTGCCACCCTCTTCCCACACAATCATCCCTCTTTTCCTCGTCCTCGCCGCCGCTCTCCCCAACCTCGTCCAAAGGTGACTGTCTCTGTAATGGATTACACCATCTTCTTTTTAATGAAAGCCAAGTTGGTTCTTATCGGATGAACTCGACATTGATTTCCTCCTTTCTTACTTTCACCCCTCGCACCCAACCTTTATTCTCGTCGCTGATGCACATCTGCATACCCTTCATTTGTCACCCGACCCACTCGTTCGTGTTTTCATTCGTTTCAATATTCAATATTTTTTGTAATTCCACTATCCTACTCGTACTTAGCAGAGGTTATTTAATTGGCCCCTTATGTACTTATTGTTTTTGGAGTACGTCAACTGTACAGAAGCTCACATGACCATATCTTCTACAGCTACATAAGGATGTAAGACTAAAATTAACATTGTTAAATATCCGTATTAATCATGATGGATGTATCAAAAACACAGTTGTATAATTTACTATTTGCTACGTTGTTTACAAGCTACAACAAGCTCGTAAATGTATAAAACGATGCTTTTTAGTCTCTCGTTACCCAATCACTAGTTTATTATAAAAATATGACAAAAGATAGGAGAAAAATTCGAAAAGTGCATTGGTTCGACACGCGAATATGCTGTTAGTTATCACGTGTAACAAATATTAGACAGATCATTTATTTAATTATTGTATCACATCTCTCATCCATCGTTATGTAGCAATACAACATAATGTATGATATCGTGTATGTACTGTAATAAGTAAGAGGAATTAGGCGAATAGGAAGCATTTATATATCATTCACCAAAGTATATATGAAAATATCCCACTTGCAACTTTACAAAAATAAAGTAAATTTAATGCAAAAACCTTCAGATTTCTCCAGAGTCTAAACAATAAATGATATCAGATGCGAAAGGATAATCCCACCAACCAAGGAACTTCGACAGTTGGTTATACACATGTTTGAAAGAGCATCGTGCATGTAAAATTTCAGCTTTTGGAACCTTTTGTTCGTTTCATTTCGCCCCTACCAACCAAATGACCCCCACAGGTCAACAAAGTGACCAATTTCTTTGAACTTGACTCTTCATTACCAGTGCCGCGAATGAACCACTTTCCAATTCAATCGGATAAGCGTGGAGAAAGTTATCGCGCATATATGCAGATAGACGGATCAATAAGATTATTGTTCCGTATGTACGCCCCGACTCATCCTCAGGCTAATAATAAGTAATTAGACTTTCTACTACATTTCATGAGTCTACGTTGTAGTATTTATTGACGGACACGAAAGTCTTTGGGTTACCAACTCACGGTCAAAAGTGCTTTTGAGCAACTATCCATGTGATAATGATAAGTTGAATCCGATGAAAGGGCGACACTCCTGTCACTGACAGTAATGATATGATGAGCGAATTTAAATATGTTTGAATAGTTGGTAGATAAACAAGGGGAGCCAGTACGGGCTTCATACTCAAGTGGGTGAGTGACTGCATGGTCTGGTAGTAGTTCAAAGTTGATCTTGCCTGCCAGATCATCACGGGGAAAATCTAGTCAAGTTTTGTGTCATGTTGTGAAATAACGAGTCATCTCATTTCACTCCAATCGCTTATGTGCCACCATCTCATCCATCCTGGTGGCCACTGCTTTCACTGCTACACACCAGAGAAATAATCATCTTCTTAAAATCTAAAGTTGGATCGTCTTTGCAACTCAAACTTATGAAGCCGAGCATGACAAACCATCCACATTTAAGTTTCTCCCTGTCCCGCTATCCCACTTTCAAGTAGGATAACTCTAGCTTTTTAGCAAGATTTTAGATTAAATGCAAATTTGTAGAAGTTGCAAATCAAGAAGATTTCAGATTCTCCACTAAATCACATCTCTAGATTTGTCATGTTTTAGTCTGGGTAGCTGCGGTGTTACCAGCACGTTACGTGGACCTGAACTAAATACCAAAGTCGAGTTGTAAACTCGTCAGCGATACTTTTTGATAGTTGGAAAAGTACATAATTTATCATCCTCAATACACAGTACGAGATAAGTAACTCGCTCGAGAACATGCACTGCACGTTTACGTGAACGTACGCGTACACGTATTTATACAATCTAGATACCCCTTGTAAACTTTTTCTCGGCAATATTATTAGCGTTATTTTTAAAAGTAGAAAATTGAAAAACAAGATAAACTGGACGTTAATGGATGATGAATTTGACTTAAAAATACTGACAACCCAAGTCTCATGTAGAGAGAGAAGACGACAACAAGATTATATATTCCTGCATGCATATACCTTGTCGAGCGAAATACTTGAAATTACACTTGATATTTGCTGTAGATTCATGAAACTAGTCAAGTTTTGCTGTTGAAAGTCTCATCCAAAGTTTCAAATCAGCAATCAGGACTCCCCAAAGTGGGGAAAGTACACGAAATTAAATGTATTCCATGTCGAAAAAGAAAATCCACTGCCAAATGAAACCAGGCGGTTTGAATTGCTTTTGGGTTTGGTTTTATATTTCTTCTAAATGAAAGAATCAAGTGGAGTTGGGAGTTTTGAGTGAGCATGTATCCATCCGATTGCGAGTATAATAAGTGTGCAGCGGGTGACAAAATAACACGGGCGACGACAAATGTATAATACGACGACGATGACGACGAAAGCAAGGGACACAGGACGAATTTAGCTGGTGGTGCTACAGAGAGAGAAACATCCACAGGAGGACACCTCGGATTACATTATGCCATTCCAGTTGGAAATGACCCAATAAAATCCCCAGCTCTCAACAAAATATTTACATTTACTCATCCCACAAACTTTTACAATAATACTCGAATACTACTAACCCATCCACACCAAACAGCTCTCCAGCCCTCTCGTTGTCTTTCCCCTCCGACAGTCCGCAGACACATGGAGACAAATGCTGCTTGGAAATGAAATACAATACGCACGGCTTCATCCACGTTCTTCCACGTTGGGAAAAAGGCTGAGCTTTCTCCCAGAACAACTGGGGGTGCAAGTGGAGTGAAGGTGTATTAAGTTCACCAAATTCAGAGAACAAGAGTTTCCCCGAGAATGATGATGATGTAAAGAGCGTTCAGTATGTATGTATTTCGTGTATTTGTTCACATTCATACGTGCAGATGCAGATAACTACGGATGTAGTACACACATAGGTACATATGAAATTCATAAGGTTAAAAAGTTTTTCATATTACACTTTCAAAAAACACACGGGCACGGTACACATACACATTCGTCTCACACAGGGAAACGTATGCGGAAAAACCGTGCTTATTGTTTCTTTGTACGTACATGCGAGAAAAGTTTAACCAGTATAAACTTGAATAAAAATCTTTCAACGACATTTGTTGTATTTTTATTTGTTGCACTACGAATACATCTCCAGTTTAGTTGTTTACTTGATTGCTTGTTGTACATTCCCCAAATATTTGATCCCCCTCTCTATTTATAGTTCAATAAATAGCTAGACAAATCAATGATGAGCAATTTGTAGCTCGACTTAACGAGTTTTAATACAGGCGTGGGTGGTGGAACATTGTATTGCGGGGTTGAAAGTTTGGAGTCCTTTAGATGCGTTTATTGACTTTGAAGTCACGGCGCATGAATGAGTCACATTGTATTAGATGAAAAAGGTTTTATGCAATAATGATCAGATCTCTACCGTGAGATGAACGAGGACTGACAGCAAGGAATTCAAAAGAAAGTCCACAAATCAACCAACCATCTACAAATTCAACAAGCTAGAAACAGGAGGAAACATCAACTCAAAGGGTAGTTGTTGGCTCTGCTTGGAAGGATGAAACTCGTGAGCCACGAGTAAAACCACCTTTTACATACTTCTTTGTGTTCAGATTCGTATCGTATCATGAAAACAGCCAGTCGAGATAGAATCACTTCTGTAAAGATCTGATACCAATATGGATGATTTGTAAAAAAAATCACAATAAAAAACGGGAATAAAGTACAAAGTAGGGTTCGGTAATGACGCACCATTAACAGACAATAACGGTGGCTCCATTTAAGACGATAAGGAAAGCAGCTAGGGTATTCGCGATACAAATTATTAGTGCAGAGCTGTAAAATCTAGCAGAATATTCTTATTTCTACCATCCGTTTAATAAAGTTGATTTCTAGTCGTCGCCTATGGCTTGTTGAACGAAGCTAATCTCGAGTCTCACTCAATAAGCTAGTATTTGAGCTGCTGGGAAAAGATGTACATTTGAGCACCATCCTCGCTCTCTCTCTCTCTCTTAAAGCGGCATTAATTCTATCAAAAGCCTATTATTTACTTTTATCTAGAGCTTAATAGGTTGATTTCGCTCTTATTGCGTTATACTGCGAGTGCTTTGTGCTTTCCCCGTGCCATCCACTCCAGCCTGAACTTTTAGACATTTGCATTTATACACAGATCCATATAATAAATAGGTAGGTATCCAAAGTCCTTGCTCTTGTGGAGTTTATTATCAGAGGAAGGAATGTGGTGATCTACGAGTTTATTATTTTGGTTTTCTCTTTCCAATAAATTGAGAGAGCAGCAGACAAATCCCAAACTGCCAGTAGTTTGTTTGTTCTCGAGAAAATATGTTTATGTCGTAGTGGAGAAAGTCTCAATGGATGGCGGAGGAGGTCGGCCGGTCTCTGGACAGCAACATTGTATCCTCCTTTGTAACCATTTGCGTAACTTTACAAGTTTTCTCTCCTCCCGTGCATATGCCCAGCCATCATCAAATGGGAAAGTTATCAAGGAAATGAGCTCCTATCGCGCTATTCATCCTTGTTGTAATTTAACAGGGCAACAGGAAGGAAACATGTATACAAATGAGTCAAATGTGAAAATAAACTTGGTTAATCCTGACACATGGATGGCATCATGGTCGCATCTTCTCCAGATGTATGTACGTAGCACGCTGGAATTGTTGGTGTGGGAGGGGGACCTAAATATATATCAAATGCATGCACATTGTCCTGGCTGTGCTTACTTACTACGTACTTACTGGCGATGTGCGTACCTCCAGTGCTGGAGGAACGGAGGATGTGAAGCGGACCGAAAAGTTTCTTAGGTCCAAGTGGCGAAATTATATGGGTGTGGAACAGGCTGCAAATCGCAAAGTTCGGTATGCTCCGACAGTGCCATTCATTAAGTTAGCCCCCCCATAGACCTAGACACATCAGATGGTTGCCACGAATAATGTTTCTATATTTTATTGTTGCGTCCTCCTCCCCGTTTGCTCGCGTCTTGTTGATATAGGTTCCTGCGGACGTCCTATAAGCGAAACTTATTATGCTGGTCCTCCTCGTTTGGCCCAAATTTACCTTCTCCAACGGCATTTTAACAGTTTTTATCATTGCTTTATATCACCAAACGTATCAACACATAAGCGAGTAGAAGAGCACAAATTTATAGTATTCCTATTTAATTCTGGTACAATGGAGGGGTCTTTTTAGCTTATCCCTCAATTAAAAATTAATCATAAGTGTAATGCTAACATGGGAGCGTGTCGTTTATCTTCCGGCGCTGGCACCAAAGTACAGAGTTGGGAGCCATATTATAAGATAATGGCACTTATCTTTTTGACTCGTACATGCCTCTTAAATAATTGTGAATTGGACAAACGCTATGCCGAAGAAGCCGACCACAAATCAAGTCAAAGTTACGCTTGTCACGAGGAGATTGCAAGTTTTTCATGATACAGCAGGCTTTTACCGTTCGGGTAATATTGAGACTACAGAAAGCTGTGTGCCTGTCCATGGTGGTTATTACGTAAGACGGTCAAAGGCAACCGTTAACAAGAATCAGTTGGAGGTCGGTCTGAGAAGGAGTTTCTTGGTCATGTCATTAACTGCCAGCAAGATTTCAAAGCATGAAGCATGAATGTCACGAATTTGATTAGTTGTCTGAAACATAATTAAAATCGACCTCTTAGATAGAATTACTTTAAGTTATTGACCATATCCTGCCAATGACAAGTTATCGTCTCATATTTTAAATGTTTGATTGTTCCAATGAAAAGGGAATAAATTGAGACACTTGCTTTTTGTTATAAAAACATGTGAATTTTTGGACCCCAGGCCCACATCTTTTGCTATTCCATTATATGGACATAGTCTAAAGAGTGGTATAGAGTGTGAGAAAGCAGCATGTGGGCCATAAAACATGTGTGTTGTACTTTTGGATGCTTTGTAGGTTTTAGTAATTCCTTTGTCTTGTGAACCAAACTGGGTGGTCAGGCAGTTAATCAAAATGAAACGATAAATCCTAACATTCTGCTGCAGCCCAGTTGGATTATGACAGTAATTTTGGGAAGTGGTAATGCCAAAAGGACACTCGAGTAGAAAATGCTTTATTTGACACTGTTTAAAATAGAAAAGTACGTATAGAATTCCAGAAACACATCTAGGTAATTAAATTCGCCAGAGATCATCATGTCGTCGTCGTATTGAGCGAAGGACCCAGTCTGGACATGGCGTGAACAAGATGCTCGTTGGTAACACAAGTGGAGCTCATGTTATCACATAACGCCAGGAGACCAGCCTAAGAAAACACGAAAAATATATATTACAATGCATTTGACACCCATGATCGATAACCACAAGCGCAGTTATGTAAGTTATATAAATGGATGTAATATAATATAATATCTGAAATAAATAGCGTTCGCACCTCTCTACACAGGTTAACCAAGTCTGCGCCAGAGTAATATTCAGTCTTGGTTGCAATTTCTTCAAAATTCACGTCAGGACTGAACGGTGTCGTTTTCGCACAGATCTGCAATAGCTCAAATCTGCCCTCTGCTTCCAAAGGAGGCAGATAAATCAACTTATCAAAACGCCCAGGTCGAATGAGAGCGGAATCAATCATATCGATGCGATTTGTAGCAGCAACAACGAGAACTAAGGGACCCAAGGATTTTGGATCTGTCTGAAAATTTGAAGGTTGTAGGTAATTGATAGACATTGGTTGCAATAATTGCCTGCTCAGCCTTATTCGAAACTCATCTCCAGTAATGATAATTACACGTATTCTTATTACTACCAACCTCCGAAATCGTTCTATCCGTTGAACATTGACTCAGCGTTCCTATTCCATCCATTTCCGTCAGCAGCATGGACAGAATGGACTCATTTGTCGTTTTCTCCTTTTTCTGTGACATTTGACGGCTTCCCACAATTGCCTCTGTGCGGTGAAATGCAAAAGAGTGATTTTAATAGAAAACGAAAAGTACCTAAAAATAAAGTTTCCTTCGAGGCTTCTCTCTCACACTCTCACTCGCTGTACCAGATGTGAAATGTGAAAATGTGATTTAATGAGAAATGTAAAATCTTTCGTTCAGCATCTGTTTCTTCTTTCATCAAGAGGAGAGGAGGAAATCAATAGGGGAAGAGAAAGTAGAGGCCTAATTAGTTTAGCAAATGTGTACCCACCCAATTCGTCAATGAAGAGAATACACGGGGACGCCATTCTCGCCCTGGGAAACAATGCAAGGTGGATTTAGGGAACATATTTAGTGCATACGACTCAAATTCTCTAATAATAAAATATATTCATAAAGGTTGATTAATAATTTTTTGTTCTAAATAATTATGAATTTAACGCTCAAGTGTACAAATCCTTACCGATGGAATAAGTCAGCCACAATTTTTTCACTTTCTCCCACAGCCGAGGAGAAAAGCTCAGCAGCGGAGACGGATAGGAAATTAGTCTGGTGTGATGCTGCGACGGCACGAACCAGCGTTGTTTTCGCACAACCAGGTGGCGAGTGAAGCAAAATCCCTGTCAACATATCACACATCTCAGGTTTGATCCTACGGGGATAAGCCACACACCGTCACCTTGCTCGTGTAATAATAACCCACACACACACACGCAAAAGTGGTATTTCCCATAACAATATCTACATTCGTGCATACGTACCCCATGCATACGCTAAATAACGGGATAAGCGTTTATGTGCATGCTGTGATCCAGCCAGAAAGAGAGCGAGAGACGTAATACACATGGCTTAAAAGCTGGCTGAGTGAATACGTATCATAAAACAAAGTGACTGTGGGGGGACGACGATGGCGACAACGGAGCATATAGTTTCAGCTTTCTTTGCTTTCTCCTCCTCGTTTCTTCCTCTACTTTATCTTTCTTTACCAAATTCATAAATCCACTCTCGATTTAAGAAGACTAGGAAGACGTATAAATTCTAACCGTTCCCTCCGACAGGTATTACCGACTCTCTATTCTATCTTTCGCTTTAAATTAACTAACTGAAAAATATGCCTGCTTGTCTCAGTGTCACTTTCATAATCTTCCGGAGAAAGTGACAAAGTGAACACGGGATAATAGAAGCAAACACACAAATCCAAGCTGCGGTTGTGTGGCTGCATTCATTACTTATACATACACGGTTGGCTGCTTGACTCTCACTCTTTCTGGCTGGGAAACGGGCAAGTACGTATATACACATAGATATTTGGGTGCGTTCTGTGGAAGCATTTTGCTGGCGTTTACATACGTTCAGTCGCGACATGTACGACTGCACGGCTTTGCTAATGTAACAGAGCTGCATGGAAATTAAAGGAAACACAGGTTGAAATCTGTATAACACTATTTGTTCAAATTCTTAATGGAAGGGGAAGAAAGGGAGAAAATTGAGAGGATTACAAAACCGGATGAATTTTGTACAAGGAAGGAAAAGGAGGAAGGATGGCAGGAAGCAGAAGGAAGAAGAACTGACAAAAAGTCAAGTTGATCCAACAGAGTCGAGGAGTATTTACAAGAGAATTACTAGAAGATTATAAGATTCGTCCAAACTATATATAGTTACCTTTTGGAGGCGTGATACCCATTGTTCGAAAAGCATGAGGATATTTGAGCGGCCATACAATTGCTTTAATTAAATCGTGCTTAACAGAATGTAATCCGGCGATATGATCTAGTAAAGTGGTCCGTTGAATATCAACCACCCCCAGACTTCCTTGAAGAACGGAGGGTAAAATCCGAGATAATGCGTATTTTATATGAGGCTCAGCCACTTTGGTGCAATGTTCCTCCTAGAATCAATTAACAAACCAGATCAGAACCTTAACTTCGTCAAATGAAGCGAATTGAGAATACGATTATCTATCTCTCATCCATCCAACCGATAATCCAACCCCCCAAAAAAAACTGTGTGCTGCTTCATTCATTCGTTCATTTTGAGATCACTTGGCTGGGTCGCTTAACAGTAGATCTTAAATGGTCTCTTATTCTCTACTATGTCCATACGTACATATATCTACTGCATATTTATATCTATACCATCAGGCATCCACTTTTTTCTGAGGGGAGAAAAAAAGAAAGCTTCTGTGCAAAAATGATTCTAACAACGGGGGAAAAGCTCAAGGAGGAAGAAGGCACATGATGTTGCTGGAGAGAAAGTCTAATTTTTATTCTTGGGAAGCCACCACTCTCATCACAACCCAAAAACACGATCAAGTATTGCTCTAGCTGCTGCTTCCCGGAATACTTGACTCAATTGCTTCCAACATTCAAAGTGGAACCTTCTTTTCTTTTTCTCTTGGATATATTTGCTTACGAACGACGACCCAGCAGCAACAAGGACTTTAGCCAGAAAGAATAGGAAAGGTTGACGAAGAGACCAAGACGCGTTCTGCTGCTGCTGTGTGGTCTGAACCGTAGCACGACTCCTTTTAATCTACTTCACAACATTTAACTTGCTCAACTTACGTAGGATTTTAGAATTGCCAGATGAGCAAGTCGAATTAAATCTTGTCCCACATATCCTGGTGTTCGCCTTGCAACTGAGTCCAAGTCCAATTTGCTCAATGAGGGTACCTTTTTGCTTAACGACTTGAGAATGAGAAGTCTCTCTTGTTCCGTTGGAGCTCCGACGTATACCTGCGACGAACAAATTCAACCAAAGCAATTTAATGTGTCGAGTCACAATGTACAACGATTGAACCCGGAATATTAAGTGGAATGAAAATGAGATTTTCCAAGAAAAAAAATTAGAAATGTGAACAAACTTTTAATCGTACTACTCTCTATCTATACTACATAGATAAATACTACTGCGGTATAGCAGCACATTTATGTAAATTATCACTGTTCGTGTAGCACAAACTGACAGCGAGTGTATAGAAATTCCTTTGTGAAATTGATCTTTGAATCGTGAAGCAGACTCATTAAACGAGTAAATTAATAAATATATAATTCTTCCTGTACCTCTCTTTCTAATCTTCCAGCCCTTCTCAATTTGGCCGGTATGAGGAAAGGTTTGCTCGTGGTGGCGACCACAATCAACTTTGTATTCGAAGGAGGAATAGCATCAAACAAAGTGCAGATATAGTTGAGCAACTTTTTTGTAGGATTATTCCCCTTGTTTTGATCATTAATTTGAAAAAATTCGTCTATCCTCGGAATAAGAAGAACAGTAGGGGAGAGGGTTGCACTGAGCAGGGAATCATTCCAAATTTGCCCCCAACTCTCCCCGATTGAATCGAGGTCACTATTGCTCCCAGTTAACTTTTTGTGGACTAGCAAGTTTGCACGTAGCTTTTTGACAGTTTCATGCACGACCAGCGACTTTCCGCAACCAGAAGGTCCAGCTAAAAGTAAACAAACCAACAAAGTAAACTTTCCGCCTGAAATCAGTCACACTCATTCTTTTCTCATCACATCACCACATCACATTCTCATCTCATCATTTTCTATATTTTATGATAACCCTAACCTAACATTGCTTTGATTTTAATTAGATAAGGGTGTTGATAGAATCAAGCAGACGTTTTACTCATTGGCACGACCAACCGAGGAAGATGAAAATGCAAATTCCGACCCATTTTTATGTACCCCACTTACTCCAGAGTTCATGAAGAAGAAAGAAGAAACACCCCTGACAAATGAAGAAAGGTCCCTTGCACTACAAACTATCAAAGCGTCTAAGGATGGGATTGCCGTTGAAGGGAAAGAAGGATGGAAGCTGGTGTGGAAAACAGCAGGGAAAAGCAAGAATGGGAAAGAGTGGAAGCATAGTAGTTTGGTTTTGCAAACAGTTAACGGCAAACGTGAATTTGATAACAAGCAACCACAGTACAGGACATACACCATTTGCACTGCTCCAGGTAACTGAATAGGAACTCTTGACATGTTTGGGGTTTTACAAGATTTTGATAACACTTGTTCTGTCTTTGATTTGATTTGTTCGATATTATCCTTAGAGTGTTATAATTACACTGGACTGACTACCTCCGTCTCCAGTCCGAAATGCCACCACCACCAGGGTGATAAAACCGGATTTGCTGTTGCGGAAATGACAGATTTAGGGAATAAGAAGATGCTGGTCATCCACCAAATCATTGTGTCATTCAAGTATGCCGACGAAGAGAAAAAAGAAGAGAGAGCTAGAAGAGAGTGCTACAGATGCAATTAACAGGAGGATTTCTCCGAGTAAGGGTGTAGACGATTGCACTTCATGGAGAAAATATTGCAACGCCAGAGAAACGGTCTCCCCCATTGAAATTCGTCGGGAATACTTTGAGACAGAAGAGGCAGCAACAAGGTGTTACGCAGTCTGGCAGGTGAATCACTTGTTCTCATTCACCCAACTATAAATTGTTGCAATTTCCCTTATCTATTTGCTCATACTCAATTATATCTTTGCAGACCGTCACTTTGCTTAAACGTCTCATGGAGCCATCAACAACTGTGAAAATCCTTCACATAAATAACATGATTACTTTTCCCAATGGTGCGGAGAAGGAGATGAAAGAGGAGCTGGAAAAGGAAGGGATAGAGTTGTCAGTGTCGTCGTGGATCGATCCAAAGAAAAGGAATAATTTGGAATACCCGTTTGAAAAAGAAGCAGTTGGGAATGCAGCAATCACAACAATTACTAAAGACAAAGATTTAGGTGCTTTGTACGTAGTGTCAAATCCCCATATAAACTACTTCGGCAAAACTGAAAAAGGAGACATGTTACATATTAGCAGTAAGGACACTGTCGTCACCTACTCAACCATGGATGGCGCGCTCCCCTGGGAATTGATTCCCCTCGGAACTTGTCCCCTAAAGGATCTTGAGAAAAATGAAGCCCACCTCCATATCTGCAATTTATTTGCGTACCTTTTGAAGCTACGACAGTGCTTTATGTCGAAGAAACCACCATACAAGGCCCTTAACCATACTAAGAAGGATGCTCACCCAGTTTACTTGAATAAGCAAACAAACCAAACTTTTTTCGACGAGGATTCTCTTTCTAAAATTCAAATGTTTATGAAAAAATACTACGGTGTTGGAATATATTTGGGCCCGAAGTAGATGTTTTAACTTTGTAATTTTCTAATTAAATTTGATGTTTTTATATGTTACTTACCGATGAGTAAACCGTGCGAGTGAAAGTTGTTCATGAGAGGAAAACATTTTCCATTTTCCGAGTCCGATTCACTCTTGTTCCTTTGCTGCATCTCAATTAAAGATGTGAGCACTTTCTGTGCATTCTCAACTCCAAACACTTGATCCTCGTTGTGAGCAGGTCCACTTTCGGTTGTGGTTGCGACTTCCTCTTGACGCTTGTAATGACTAATGTGATGAACATGGTTAATTAAGATTTCCGTTTTTGAAGCAACTTTCCCAATGTCATTTTCAGCATCTTCTTCTTCTCCTCGGAAATTACACTCTTCCACAAATACAAATGAGAAGGATGGACAGCCCAGAGATCCCTTCTTCCCTGCAAGAGGACAACCCCTCAAGTCCACAAGGACATTTGACCTGACGTGAATCTCATATGACTGAAATATTTGCCGAATCTTTTCTCGTAATAATTTCCAAGTACAAAACGTGCCAGTGGCGGAGGGAGTGTGGAATTTAGACATTCCTTCAGCTGTGGTTTCCTCCCCTTCTTGTTGATGAAATGTTTTAGTCATCGAAAAAGAAGATGACTTTTCCTCCGTCGTCCTACTCGTCATTTTGTGATTTGTCTCATAAAGGAAATCAGAGAGTGGAGCGTCAGATATCACTGTCAATCTCATCTTCTTAATTGTAGACGACTTGAGCATTCGGATATCTTTTGATGTGCAGCAAAGTGCATCATTGAATCTCACGCTTGACTCGGGCTCGTCCTCATCTACATCAAAACCAGAATTTGCCTTGGACCCATTCATCTTCAGCCTCCATCCCAAATGACGGGCCAACTCTAGCTCTTCCCAACAAACTTTCCCATATTTTCCGTCAGCTTCCTCATCTGAAATACAAAATCCACATAAATGTACCACGAGCAAAAACCCAAGTGCATGCATTCAGCCAGGAATTCGTTTGCAAACTCAGTCTCATTTTCTGATGAATTTGAGTTTGTCTGAACTGAGCCACTACAAAATGCAAGTCTCAATTCGTCCCCATAAACAAGTATTCTATAAACGTACCATGGGCGTTGTTGGACGAGAACATCAGCTCCTCCACTCTCGAGTCGCACTGGATGAGGCTGAAGCCATCTAAGAGCCTCGATTTGCAACATCTTCCCAAAACTCGACTACCGCGGGAGGAGAGTCCAATGCTGACAAATGTCTCAAAAAATTCCTCACCATTTTTGCACTCCAACTCTTTCACGAGCGACTCTGTCAAAATGCAGGATTGGAAATTCAAAATTGACGGATGAAGCAAATTCACGGCGAACGTTGTCGCCATTTTTGCAGAACAGAGTAAAACGAACGAATGGAGGAACACTACAAACTACGCGAAACTTCACAGATTCACTTTCCGTCGGAATAAAAACATGTTACTGCAACTATCAGTGCGTAATCAAGCTGGTTGGGGTAGATTGAGACAATGAGACTCCGTGGTCCTGCTAACGGCGTCTCATCATGAGTAAAAATGTATTATGCAATCACTCACTGAATTCGTCCTCCTAAATGTAATAATAATGAGATGATAGAGATGGATGTGCATTTTAGTTGAATTTTATTTATTTGAACACTCTTGTAAATAATATTACAGCATACCTTACATATTATGTAAAATATCAAGTTCTTAATTAATTAAAGTGTGACATCTAATTTTTACAGATTTATGGCCCAGAAACAAGTTATAGTATTAACAACTTATATAAAAACTATACAAAACGATTTCCTATTTTGTTAATTTTCTAGAAACTAGATTTGTAGTGGGACGAATAGAGTTTTAAGCCGACTCGGATACATTAAGTTTTTCGGTGACTTCTTTTGGCTCATCTGTGCCCCGGCCACGACAAAAGTTGAGAAAGGTTCGATAGCCTGTGTCTCCCACGCCAAAGTGCTCACCCTCCTCCACCGTTTGGGGCATTTGCTTGTTCAAGGTTTCAGGTAAAAACAAGGTCAACATTGCAGATAATATTGCAAATGTTCCGAATATAACGGTGGGCAATTGCTTGTCAACAGAATCCTATGGCAAGAAAAGAAAGGAAATCGGTTTATGTCTGATTCACAGGCAGTGAAAATAACGTTTCATATGATCCGGAAAATGGAAATTCGAAAGATTAGATATGGAGAAAACATTACCAGGAGGGACAAAAGTGGGGTTAGCATTCCACTGAAACGAGCAGCCATTGCACCAACGCCAACTGTAAATGTACCAACATATTTGAAATTAATACGCTTTATATACATAAATTTCAATAGTTATAGACGGACCTGCCGAATTTCGAACTACTGTAGGAAATAATTCTGCAGTGTAATTATAGATAATGGCAAATGATCCGGCAATTGACATCTTTCCGAGCATGACTATTGTTGTTATCACAGTGCCTACATTTAATTTACGATATTAGTGCTGATACAAAGAAGAATTCACACTGATGTTTTTTTTTTGTAAAGCGAAGAATATGTGTGTACCATTTGAAATGAATGCAACAATGATGCATGCAAATCCACCAAGTAGCATGAGGGTGGAGCACAAGCTGCGCCGCCCAGTCTTGTCCACAATACAAACGACAAGTATGTAGCCTGGAATTTCCGCGAGTCCGCTGAAGAACAACAAGAGGTACGGGTTTCCGTGCAAATTTCCAGTGTTGAGTGAAAGTCCGTAATACACAATGCTATTCGCAAACCAATTGAAGGCGACATTGATGGCGCGTGACATCAGGACAGGTTTCTTAAATAAATCCCCTGTTGTACATGTCATAATATCATAAATTACATTTTTCATAACCCAGAATTATTATGTATCACAAATAATAAAAGTAATTGATTGTGTAGACATGATATTTTCTAACCAATTCCGTATGACTTTCCCTCTGTCGAGGGTAAAACTATTTTTCCATCAAATTTGCCATCAAAGGGTTTCCCATTCATTTCCGTTGCTTTCTTTACAATTTGCACAGCTTCAGCAGTTCGACCTTGGCCCCATAACCAGCGGACAGATTCATCAATTAGCCTGAAATATACCACTATGATTGTGTAAATGAGCAGATGCATTGGTGGAGAAAGTCACTTTCATATTTATCTTATAACTGAACATGGTTTGCAGATAGGTATTAATGTATTGATTACTCACCACCAATGAGCAAATAGGGTCAAGCTATGCAAACTATAAACAATTTGCAAGATTGTGATGTCTACAATTAAATAGCCCCAAATTGCGACGACCATTACCCCCAAGGCGAAGCTGGAAGACAGAGAAGTGTGTCATTACGTTATTTAACTTGATTGTCTGAAATAATAGGTTGAGAAGAACTTACTATAAAGAAAATAATGTCCCACAAATGGTACGTTTACTTGGTCCCACAAGTTCCATTGCTATTTCCAACAAGCACAATTTCTTATAAATATTACAGTAATTGAGATTGTCAAACAAGTAATATTATTTTTATACTCACTCAGACAGAATCCACTTATATAACTTCCTGCACTAGCAAATGCTCCCTTAAAATACAAAAGTCATTAAATTAAATTAAGACCATAAATATTTAATCAATTTAATCTTACATAGAAGAATAAAACAGTGCAGTAGAGAGGATAATACGAAATAAAGGCTGATGCAAGTCCTGCAAAGAGCTGTAACACTCCAGATATACAGAAAATCGTTTTTCGGCCATATCTAACAATTACGAATGTAAGGTAAGAATTATAATTATAACAATCTAGAAAATTACTCTAGAAAATAATCGACACTTGCTTATCTGCCATTGGTCCAAGAACAATTGCTCCCACCAGAACGCCAAAAATATAAATTGCTTGAATTATGGCTCGTTCCCATCGCTGGTCACAGACCAAGTTCCACTGTTTTTTTCGAAGGGGTCATATTAAGAACAATTATTACGTTATGTACAATTCTATATATTACCGAGATGACTCTGGACTCTTTGTAATAAGTTCCATCATACACGAATTGTTCACATCCAATTGTTTCGTTAGTCAATGCATCAAACTTTTTGCAAGTTTCATAGTTTCCATCTTTGAAGGGAATGTACGGTTTCAACTCGGACAAGTTAAAGGTGGGAGTGGACACATCGGCATCAAGTTCTTGAATGTAGCATCTATCCCAGAGGTAAAAGTCACCCAAAGCTTTAGTTTTCATTTTGCATTACCGTCATGCCGTCCGCATTGTTCACAATGAGAATTTCAAGAATACGATGTGTCAGCAAAACTCACCGTCCATGAAAGTATTGCTATACCAAAATGTTGCATTGCAATAAGACATTATAATTGTAGTGAAAATGATGCCGTTAATTATATTATTATTCGATATGATTATCCTCTGGTGTGATGGCAAAGAATTAGAGTTAACGAGAGCAAAATTTTTGTAAGCTAAATAAAAAAACTTGGATAGACATAAACACATGCAATTGCTTAGCTCCAACAGTAGATCAAATTTCAAAGAAGCATGGAAATTTGATCATGGTCGTCATATTTTACTACCTTGCAAGCAATCAGTTAGGTTATGTCATGTAATAATATTTCGGTAAGATGGTGGGCATGACATATATACAAATGTATGAAAATGAATTTAGTAATTGCGTCTTGTATGAATAAAGAAGTGAGACCTGTGGGAAGGGGTGGGAGCAATCGCCACGATGGAGAGCATGTGAAGGCCTGCGAGGAATCCTCCGAGGAGATGGAGCATATGCTGTCGGTATTGATACTTGCCCCAGTCTCCTGAAAATAATGAAAGCAGTTACATCCGGTTCTCTCCGGTTCTCATATCTTTCACACTCCATGCACTTTTCCGCCTGTGATCTTCTGTGTATGCAACACACTACCAAATCCAGAGCACAGTGCGAATCTTGAGATTGGCTGGTATTTCCGTAACTCCAAGGAATGTACATCCAACAAATGGCATACAAGTGACATATGGCAATCTTTCTGCGCTCTACTTGTGCACCTACTCATTTTTCTCTTAATTTATGTATTTAGAATGTTACTACGCTTAAAAAAATGGTGATGACGATAACTAGGCTTAAGTTATGAGATGCTTAAAGAAAATATTTAGTACCAATCTGGGAGAGGAGTTCTTCCAATAATGGGTCACTGTCCATTATTCTCCTGTCGGTTTTCTTCCTCCAATTGTATTATTAGACTGAAGAATATTCACCAACAAGTCAAAAAAATATGAGTTCAAGAGACACGGAATTCTTTTCTCCGATTCTGCACGTGTAGTTAGGCCTTACGTCAGTCAACCCGATTACTCACTAGAGCTGCATTTACCACCGACCGGAAAATGAGACACGTCTGCTGTTCGGTCTGTTCGGTGAATACTACTGAACCACGAGAATAAGGCTCCTCACCAGCCAACCAAAACTTCACCGGATCGATAGTCGCACATGCCCTCCTCTCGCCTTTTCATGGAAAGTTAATTGTAAGTACAATCCTAACTTCTGGCCGTTTGCCAATTCTGTAATTATGGTTTAGTAGCTAGTTAGTGGTTTACATAGTGCATTGTGCATAATATGTACACATAGCAGGATACTTATGGTTAGGGGTACAAGAGTCGATGAATGACGAGGAAAATATAATAATTTAGTGCTATGATTTAGTGCAATATAAAATAATATCCAGCCAGTCGTCACGAATCATAACTCTTTATTGTCCTCACGAAACGCTGCTGTCATCAAATTCTCGATATATGAGCAGTATAAGGATTCTTTTGTGATAATGAGAAGTCAGAAGGAACGCTCTAAATAATTACGGGTTTTATGTATGACTGAACTTTCCTTAGCTGAGCATCAAGTATCCAATTCATACTATGTACAGGAAGTTTTAGTGACATTAGTGAGTGATAATATTATCAACAAGTTTGTCTCTTGAGGTTCAGGTTATCGCATCATGTAAATGACTCTTAGAAAATCACTCGTCAAATATTAGTATGCCCTTTAATTTCAATAAGAATTGAGTATAAGAATACTTTTGGTTTAATGCATTTATTCATTTTGTTACCAGTATTTATTTTGATAAGGATAAATATTTAGTTAGGTACAAAAATGCATAATCAGTAAACCCTAAATTAATAAAATTTAATGTTTTCCTACACAGTCAACAGTGACGTGTTTTTTCGTTCTTGTCAGTTTGTTTCTTTGTTCGTTTGCTGCATTTGATATATAATAGCGGGATTCTGATGCATGGTTTTTAGAGATTAAGCCATCTGAGCTCGGTTGTTTTATGATTTAGCGAACCTTTAGAGCGTTTTATAAGGGCAGTAAATAATTTGCAGGGATTAGACTAAATATCTTTGTGCATCTACTTGGTTGGAGAAGCGTCTGCTAAAATACAGACAAATGGACAACAAAAGTGAAGGAAATAACGTTGATGACCAACCTAATATTCCCAAAGACGAGTCTTCTATTTACGGAAATGGGAATATTGACCCATGTCAACCAGCTTCATCGCCCAGGTCAGAAGAGCGTGACGTCAATCAAAAACGGGAGGATTACCTGAGTTGGTCGGATTACTTTATGGCCGTCGCTTTCCTCTCAGCGATGAGGTCAAAGGATCCAAGTTCACAGGTCAGTCAGTTAATTTATAAACAAACTTCATGCACTGATTTTTGATATGCATAGGTGTAGTGCATGCACTCTAGCATGTGATTCATATTATTAGGTTGGAGCATGTATTGTTAACGACGAGAACAAAATTGTTGGGATCGGGTACAATGGAATGCCAATTGGTTGCAGTGATGATGAATTTCCTTGGTGCAAAAATTCCCCTTTGGCAATTGGAAATAAGTATATGTATGGTGAGGTGATTTTCATATTAATTAAATTATTAGCAATTTTGTTTAAATAAATATATAAAAGTTGACCCATATTTGCAGTTTGTCACGCGGAAATGAATGCCATTCTAAATAAAATTGTTGGACAATTAAAAAACTGTAAAATTTACGTGGCATTATTTCCTTGCAATGAATGTGCCAAATTAATAATTCAATCTGGAATCAAGCAGGTAACTGTAAAATATTTAGTATTGCATTTGATCGTTTTAGGCTTAACTTAAATTTCTGTCTCTGGTCAGGTTTTTTACTTCTCTGACAAAAATTGGACAAAGGAAGAGTGCATTGCTTCGAGAAAAATGTTTGACGCTTCTGGAGTTACCTACACGTATGAGAAACTTAAATGTGCACTGTTGATTTAGCCCGAGTCAAGGTCACAGTCCGCTTTTAAATTTTTGCCAGATGACCCGAGTACTATTTGAAATCGTTAAAAATATTCTCATGATTTAGAATCCACATGATTTCAGCTTTTTTCGACCGACTTCAAAAACAAGTATGGGTCGCCCTGCTGGGTCCATCTCTCAAAAGTATTCCTCGTATTCTTTAGTCTGATTTGCCCTTGCCCCTTGATACCTAGTTTCAAATTTCAAGTCGATAGAATGAGCTTAGCGAGAGTTATCATGAGACAGACAGACGGCAAACGGACATGATATTTCCATAAGCCCTGACTCGGGTTAAGAACTACAACCATGCTTTAAATTGCAAGTGCTTCAAGTTTTTTCTAACCATTAAAAAATTAATTTGTGTAGGAAACATATACCAGAGAGCAAAAAGATTGTAATTGACTTTGAAGCAATTAACTGGAATAAAGATCCACAAATGCCACAAACGCCAAATAAAAATTAAATGATTTTAATTTTTTTCTAAAGTGCTTGCAGAAATATTAGTTTATTTCAGGGCTTTCTTAATGTTCCTGATTTTCCCTCATGGAAAAATGTGGAACTAAAGAGTCATTATTGTTGCGAATTTTGCATTATTAAAAAACACTTCGTTGATGATATAGTTTTACTTGATGTCTGTTTTATTGTAAATTGTTATAACCATTCTTGTTGCATTTTTATCATTAATAAATAAAAGTTTTTACGATTGATTACCAAATGCACGTGGTATGTACTAAAAGCTAGCGTGATAAAGTGAAGGTAGAGCGGATAAAGGCTGAGCGGAGCAAGAGCAAGCAAAAGATGTGATGTGAATTTCACATTGAAATCTGCTGAGCGAGAGAACTACGCCCAGTTTTGCTAAACCTCATCCCTGTCTAGTAAATAAATTATTTCTGTGGAGCAGTAGTAATTAGAATCGTCATTTAACAGGTAAATTGTAATTACGATAGTATTTGCTCTGTTTTAAACAATTTGTAAAAAGAAATTCAATCTCACATCAAAATTACACAAATTTTAATAATTAAACAATAGGTGCTGTATTTCTCTTGTGATTGAAAATAGTCTAAGAAGAAATTAATCAAAATGGCTTTGAGCGATGCAGATGTTGCGAAACAGGTACAAAATCTCTGAAAGATATTTAAAAACATTGTTGTGAATATGAAGATGAAACGTACTATAATATAATATGACTTTTTGTATTTTTTTCAGATTAAACACATGATGGCTTTCATTGAGCAGGTATGTGCATTTCTCAGCGCCTTGTGATCTCTAACCACGTCCACAATACGCCCCCTTTCTGTTTCTGAACCACACTCGTTGTTATCATTCTCAACCTGCGTAATTGTTATCATAATATTTTTTCTCTGTCTAAACAGGAAGCCAATGAAAAAGCCGAAGAGATTGACGCAAAGGCCGAAGAAGAGTTCAACATCGAAAAGGGTCGCTTGGTTCAACAACAGCGCATCAAAATTATGGAGTACTATGAAAGAAAAGAAAAACAAGTCGAACTTCAAAAGAAAATGTAAATAATTTTATATCATCAAGTAGTGAAAGCAAAGAGAGAAAGTTTAAATACAGTTTGCATTGTTGTCTGTGTTTTACAGTCAACAGTCTAACATGTTGAATGCAGCTCGACTCAAGGTGTTGAAAGCAAGGGAAGATCACGTCGGAACAGTTTTAGACGAGGCTAAAAAGCGTCTGGGTGAGATAACCAAGGATCAAGCGACATACACGAGGCTGATGCAGGCTCTTATTACTCAAGGACTTTTGCAGGTACTTATATGTATCAATATCGGAAAGCTAAATAATATCCAGGCAATGCTGTAAAAGCTAACGCTAGATTAATAACGACTGGTTTGGTTTGCAGCTTTTGGAAATCAATGTCTTACTGCGTTGTCGTCAAGCGGACCTTGGGATCGTTGAATCAGTCATGGCCGCAGCTGCAGCTGCATACAAGGACAAAACTGGAAAGGATGTTAATTTAAAAGTTGACCAGGAGTCGTTCTTAAATCCCAACGTGTAAGTTTAGTAATGAATTTGTTCATGGGATTATTCTAATTACATTACAATTACTGTATGTGTTATTATATTTATTTACACAGGGGAGGTGGAATTGACCTCCTAGCTCAAAGGGGAAAAATTAAGATTTCAAATACCTTAGATGCTCGATTGGACATGCTTGCTAAACAAATGATTCCAGAGATTCGTACTAATTTGTTTGGGCGCAATAACAATCGACGATTCACGGACTAAGATCGTCGTAATGCATTCAAAAATAATAAAGGATCGTACAAGTCTTTTCCGTAGTCAGTTGCTGAAATTTTGCATTTCCAATGCAGTTTTCAAATAGTGCAAGTAAAAATAGAATATTTTTCTGAATACAAAAGATCTGCATACTACTACTATATATATCACAATGATATCACATTTCATTTTAGATGTTTTTTCTAGTCGGTATTAATTATTTGTTTCTTTCTATTAATAATTGGTGTTGGGGTATTAATTAAATTGTTTACATTAAGTAGTTACTTGTGAAATGATACGCGTGAACCAAATTTTGTGATAGTCAATAAACATTCCAAATATATTGCTTAGGCGAAAAGTCTTTATTGGGATTATGATTGTGTAAATTCCTGGTGACGAGACGATCACCCGCATCCGTCATCCACTGAAAAAAATGCAATTTAGTACACATTAAAAATATTATTGTTACGAATCAACACAAAATCAAATACTGATAGCCTGATATCTTATCTTGCGTGACATCCTTCCTCCGTATTCGTCACCCTCCGGGGCGGCTTACATATGTATGTACTTGTGCACATGCTGTACTTGCAGTATATTCGCCATAAACTATTTTTCTTAAAATGGCAAATTATAATAAATTGTGGTGGTTACTTTTTGAAATTTCAATCTTCAACGTATTCACAATTAGTGGTTTCAATATTGATACACGATATCCCATTATAATCAAAAACTCTGCCGATGGTACTGATAGTCACTTTGGAACCACCGTGGTCTTGATTAATGAAAAAGACCCAGGGTAAAATTGTACACAATTGTTCAAGAAAGAAATTTAGCTTCAGAAAATTATACCAAGCTTTTGTAATAGCGTCATTGTGGGGTCACCACGATCAAATTCAACACATCCTGGACATTCTCAAATATCTGAACCTGGGGTAGTTTGGCAATGCTCATTTCAAAAATCTGGAAACAATTGTCGTGTGGTAGTGATGGATCCAACGGGTACGGGAACATTGATTTTAAATAGAACATAATTTATTTACTTTTGAGCAAAAAAATGTGTACAAAACAAAAGTGGACCACTTACATACATATATTTTGTACCACTTAAAGTGGTATCTGTCACCATTTTATGATTTATGATCCAGAATTTTAACCTTGGAGTAAGCATTATGGATATGATGGCACAAGACTTGGTCTTATAAATAATTTTAACTTAGTGTAATTATTATGTATTTATGAATATATCAGGTAATGTCCGGGATCCATTCCACACTAACGTGATTGATAGAAAAGACGGAGGATGGCTGGGTGGGGCTTTGGCGGAGGACGCGGATTATTTCATTGCGTGTGGAAGTCGCTGGCAAAATCAGTTTTCAGCCGCAACCACGGACTATTACATGAACGGTATATGCTATACGCGACCAAAAAGCGACATATTTCGTGACCCACTTCCCCCAGTTTCTCCAGAGTCAAGACTGCTTACAATTACCGATCCAAGTACGACTTGCCCAAATATTTATAAGTTAATCTTATATTTGCAATAACACAGTCTATTTTAAGCATGTCTTATACATATACCCATAATAGTCAATCAACACAAGAACATTTGGGTATCTGGTCAGGCTGGATTTTCGGTTCATTCCCCTCCACAGGGTCACGAGGTGCTACTAGGGTCGCCTGGAGTACAAAACTGGAAAGGTTTAAATTGAAGATATCCTTACCGTAAAAGTTATGCAGTGAATTATTTCCGTATGAATGATTTGGGCATCTAGGAAGTGTCATTAGATTGTCGAAAGATGTCAATAATGGAAACAAACTGGTTAACCCTCATGTTTTTAACGACGAATTGACCACTCTAAACTTACAGAACGACAGTTATTTCGGTAACTTAAACCACGCATTTATGCATACTTATATCGATATGTACATAGATATATATATATGTATGTGACATTCCCCAATTATATTATGCAAATAGGATTTGCTGTAGCTTCTGGAAAGTTTCGGAAGAACAACAACGAAAATACAGAGATTCAGTACGTTTCAGGTATGTATCGCTATCTCTTTAACAAGTTTGCTATTACCTCACAAGAACAAATTATGTATCGATCAAGAGTATGGAAAGTAATTTCTTGTCAGGTGCGCCACGAGGGCATGATTTGAGAGGACGTGTTGTCCTGTTCCGAATCCCTCTTGTCACGTCTTCTGATATCCTCGGTAAATTAAGCACACAAAATATGACTGAAATTGAATATGTGGCAAATAGATAGCTAACGTTCCATGCATTCCTTGACCTTATAGCTGACTTGCAAGGAACTCAAATAGGATCTTATTTCGGATCTGCTTTATGCGTAGCAGACTTAAATGCTGACGGGTAATATGTATATTCATTTGCACATATGTACAACATAGTATATGTATATGCTTATGGTGTCATCCCTTGCTCTTTTTCGTATTTTTTTTAAATTTTACCCAGCTTAAGGGGTCATTGTGGTTTGACTTGGTTAAAAAGAAATAGATATATGTATAAAGTTAACTTTCATAATTTATTAATATATTTATTATTGGTCATAGTTGGGACGATCTTTTAGTGGGGGCCCCGCTTTACAGTGTTGAGTATAAAAGCCCGAGAGGTAACCAAAAAAAGTTAGAAATGAGATCCATCGGAGGCAAGGGTGACGAGGGGACAGTTTTTGTTTACCTTAACAATAAAGGGGTGCGTGCGCACTGTTACAAAATGTCATTCTACCTTGCATAATATGTCGGGATTAAATTGACATGTTCTACTTTCAGCTAGATTTTCAAACTCCTACAAGAATTAACGGACCTCTCTCATGGTCACATTTTGGAACTGCAATAGCAAAACTTGGCGATATTAACAATGATGGATATGATGGTAGATAGATAAACTTGCTCATTTAACTAATTAGTACAAGTTGATCTAGCGTGCTTAAAACTATTCTTTGGCTCTCTAGATATTGCTGTCGGGTAATACTCAACCAATTAACAATTTGCCAATATTTAGTCACTCGTCGATTGGTTGCTGGATTGGCTTAGTATTTTTAATAGAAATAGAAATTCACTTGCTGATTAAATCAATGTCAAATTGGTGTCAACATTTTACCTTAGTGCCCCCTATGCAAGGGATGGTTCCGGAGTAGTTTACATCTATCATGGAGCATCAACTGGCATACTGAAGGACCACGCTCAAGAAATTGAGGGCAAGTCACTGGACACCTGGGTTAAAGGTTTTGGCTATAGCCTTTCTTCAGGGAAGGATATTGATCTTAATGGATATAATGGTGAGCTTAAACTTACGATTTCTGGATGAATATGGACTTAATTTATTGCACTTTTGCATGGTACGGAAATTTTTAGACTTGGCCATCGGAGCATACGATTCTGGACATGTTGTAGTTTTGAGATCCCGACCTGTCGTTTCAGTGTTTGGTGAGGTGCGTTCAACAGAAAAAAAGATATCCTTTGATGCAACTACATTTGAGATAGAGTCATGTATTCAGTACACTGGCACCGCTGCCCCATCAAAACTTGGTATGCAAAATATAGTTAAGTACATACAGACATATTAGTATGTGTATAAATGGGAAGAGCACCTCATTGAACGATGTGTGAAAATTGTATTTTTTTGGTTCAGAGTTTACGGTGAAAATTATGATTGATGTCCAATCATTTCCAAAAAGGGTATTTCTTAAATTCCCAGAAGAAAGCACCCATGCGTCCGAACATACGTACCAGGAAGAAATTTATGCAGGACAAGAAAGTTGCACAAAGTTAATCGCCGTCGTTGTAAATGTTCGTAATTTTGGTAATGGAGTTGTACAAAGTTGGGCCTAGGGCATGCGATGCTATATTATTTGCCTTATTTAGCAAAGTCAGACATTATTATTGTCATGCCTTGGGCATTGTACAACTTAAATTATTTATACTCATTTCATATTCTGTACTTTTCCATTGGCATAAAATATCAATAATTACAGGACCTCGAATCTACTGGCAAACCTATCGAAATAAAGCAAACTCTAATTTCTATTCCGGGAGACGTTTCGGAAAATGACGATGACATTACTAGGTTTCCTACATTCTATGAAATCACACGCTTTGGTGGGCAAGTAAATACTCGTATTTCTGGACCAGGTTATTTCTTGTATTTGTCTTAAATTTAAGTTTAATTTTATAAAATGCAATGTAATTATTGAAAATGCAGGATACTCGGCTTTTTGCAAAAGTTGTCCACTAATTGATGCAGCGTCTTCGAAGACTAAGGAACTCGTTCTACCCTTGGCAGTACTTTGTGGGGATGACGATATTTGTAATTCAGATTTGCGAATTGAAGCTACATTTTTGGAAATAAGGTATTCGTCTTGCTAGCTTAATTTTTGTCAGAGTCTAATTTTTGTATTTTTTTAAGACCCGGCGAATCTTTTATCCTTGGATCCTCCCCTGTGCTAACAATGATAGTGAAAATTGACAATTTTAAAGAAACTGCGATTTCACCTGTGGTCAAGGTGGTATGGAATTGTAAGTGTACATTTTGAAATGTATTTTTTAACCAAATAAATATATATAACTCGGTTGGGATATATGTACGTAGACAATTTTTAAATCCTGGTAATGCACTCATTTTGAATTGCAGCTAAAACTCTCAAGAAAACCCCACCAGAATGCCATACGCCGTGGTCTAATGACTCGTTTACAGAAGTGACATGTCCCTTGGGAAGAACACTTGATCAAGATAAATTCAGAACAATTTCTTTAGAATTTGATGTCGGAGAAATTGACGCAGGGAGCATGGATGAGCTATTGATACAAATTAGCGTGTCAACTGCATCTGAAGTTGCAGATGTCAATACATTGACAAAAAACATTACAATTCCTTTCATTTCTCGAGCTGACTTATATATTGAAGGGTCGAACTCGAGTGCAAAATTCAATCTGGAAACACTAAGCGTGAAGACAAGCTTTTTACACACGTATGAGGTGTGCAGTAATATTTATATTTTTGAAATTATAGGAACACCATGTTGAATACGAATATGCGAATAATAATTGGAACAACAATTTAAAATTTTGCTACGCAGATAAGATTGGATGGTCCGACTCCCATTGCAGGAGCAATTGTTAATTTTCAAATTCCAACTAGTGTAGAACATCCTTCAACTCCAAGGACAAAATTCGATATTGCGGAGCCAGTGGTACAAACTAAGACTCGAAATATAGTATCATCATAATTTGGAAGTCATTAATTTATTGATAGTTGAGCACATTATTTATCCAACAGACGACAATAACTTCAAGAAGAACAACGATATCATGTTATCCTGAGTCAGGAGCTTTCAAAAAATTCACCAGGCTCACCGTTTCAAGAAGCATGGACATTGATGACTCTGAATCGAACCCTGAGATGACCGAAGACTATGTTGTAGATCAAGAAACATTAATTGAGGATCAGGAGGATGAGGACTTTACGTTGACGAATTCCTCGGACCCTGCGGACATCAAGTTGGGAGGTTCATTATGGAGAAAGGCGGGGGGCGAACTAGAAATTGGTTGCAATTCTTCAAAATCTACCGTTATATGCATGAGTGTGAGGTGTCGCATCGTTAGCATGAGTCCTGGCACAAGCGTCACGATAATGTTTCCAATTCGGGTGGAATCGAGCAGCTTAAGTATTTATAAAAATCAAAATTTGTGGGCACATGTATGTGAATGTTGAAATATCTCGTTTTTGTTGTTTCTTTTTTCAGAAAATTTATTCAAGAAAAGTAAATTCTCATCGGTAAAATATATCAGCACAGGGGCGACTGTGATTTTGGGGGTAGATAAAAACATTCAGCCAATTTCACACAAGCCCGATACAGCGATTTCGGTTTCCGTAATAGAAGAGGAAGTTGCTAAACCAGTTTCCCATTTAATTTACTTGTTGGGAATATTCATTGGTTTTTTGATATTGGCTCTTATCATTTACTGCTTGTACAAGGTATGGTGTACAGCGAAGCGGTTAACCTCTTTTGTGGTGATTTTCCAAGTCTTGATTATTTTATTTCCACGCTTTTTAGTCGGGACTATTCAACCGGAAGAAGGCCAAACTTATCAATAATCAGGCAGAATCGGAATCATTACAAAAGAAGGAATCACAAGTGGGCAAGGATGAAGATGATAACGATGACGAATAATGAACTCGTCGGTGTTTTATAAATGCATTATATTTTAATTTTTTGTGTATCAAATTTCAACATGTGTGATTAAATGTATGTACTCGAAAGATATCTAATAATATGTAGAAGGCAACTTTTCGACTTTCTTTCTCAATCCTGTTGATTTGGGTAGCCCCTGCTTCGTTTGCCTTGCTTCTGTTTTCTCAATGTGTGTCTCCCGTCGTATACGTCAAGGTTTGTCGTCGGGTCTGCATTTCATTTCAACATTCCATTTCAACTTATGAATATATTTTCATTAAACAGTATTTTTCAGGTTAAAGTGAATTATTACCTCGATTAACAGAAACGACTTGGTATGGATGTGCATAATCGTGTGAACAAATGTCTTCCACGGAATATTCGTTTGGATTTGAGACTCGTCGAAGGTTACGAATTGCTTGCAAATTCAACGAATCATGGGCATTATGGCCGGGTGCATTGAACCCTAGATGAAATAGTACATGGGTCAATCATGGCTAAATTAATTAACTTTGCAGTGTTTTTGTATATTAAGGGTCACCTTCTTGCATCACCAATTCTTCGTGAGATATCGACGAGCTAAAGTTCCCTCGTGGTCTTCCGAAGCACGGTTGATGCGGGAGTGGCGGCGCGTCATAATTCTCAACCTGACCAAATGTTTGAAATCGCACCGTCGAATCACGTATTGTCATTGGCATTGATTGCCGTGAGTTCAGTGTGGCATAGATGGACATCCCACTGCTATTTCCTGGTGCTTCTATAACAATGAGTTACTAACTTCATAAAGATTACTGACTAAATATGAAACGAATTAAATCTTGGACGCTCATCTGTCACATCGCACCTTCAATTTTGCTCTTATCCAGAGGTTTCTCTATTCTAAAATCGTCTGAGCTTAACCACGTCTGCTGACTAGAACTGTTACCCATTTTCCATCCATTCCCATTTGCAGTTCTGTTATTTTTATGAAAATATGTTAGTGAGTAGTATAATAATGTAAAATTAATTTTGCATTTCTAAATACATACTTGCGTTTAACAACTATAAAAATGCAAATTATCACAGCCACCGTGCATATGCACGCTGATATGATGGGCACCTGTTCATAAATTAATGTGAAAACAATTTTACATAGTTCTTGGCCAAATTTTTACTCGTATGTATGTATTTGTATCTTACAATAATGTGGGGATCGCTTAAAAGTGCGCTTCCACTAACCACGGACTGATCTCCATTATTTTGCATCAATTTTTCATAGTTGGTGAAGAATTCTATTTAAAAAAACATGAAAAATGTTTGTAATCTGTCAATGCTGTAAAGTTATTAATTTTGAGTGGAATTTTTACCAGGAGAAGATTCCACAGAGAAAATTTTGCTCACAAGCCCAGCTTAACAATAATCATTAGAAAGTCAATATTTTGCATACATATCTTACGAGCAAAAATACTAACCCAAAACTCACCTTCATTCTCTAAACTAATTCTAAGGTCATACTTGGTTCCCATCGTGGTATTCAAAATGAAAACTCTGCTAAAGTTTGTCCTTTGAACAGTGTTCCATTCGCCAATATTTTTGTTTTTAAATTCCAAGTGAAATTTTTTAATCCGACAGCCTCCCTGCATGAGAGAAAGAGAAAAACATTTTGTGACTATTTGTAAATCAACTTACGTTGACAGAGGCACTTAAATTTCTAACAAATACTAATTTCTCCATCCTATCGAGTTTAAGACTTAAAAACAATTGACATTTTCTTACATTTGGCCATCGGTTCAAGTCAATTCGAATCATGGTTCCGTTTCCATCAATGACTTCAGTCAGCTTGGGATGTTGCTCTGGGGGAGACCCAGTCGTTTTTGTTCGCAGCATTTGGCTAAATTCTCCCATCCCTATCGAGTTTTCCCCTGCTAATCGTATCTGATAAGCCGTTCCGCAGAGGAGATTATCCAGAACGAAGGAGGTGAGTCGTGACCCAAGTGGGTGAAAACTCCATTCCGTCAAAGAACTGGATCTATATTGAAGAATGTAACCTGGGAGTATATGAAACATTTTGGTTATACATTTTTGTCCTTTTTTCGTAGACAAATTCAAGCAGATCGATCCCCATTTTCAGGCCGTATTGTAAAAAAACAAGGAGCCTTACAAAACCTTACATAAACGTACAGAAAAAGTGGCGTTTCTTCAATTGCATGCTTACATAGCAAAAAAAGCTTGCTCTACGGTCAGTGGGATCGTATTTGGTAGAAGGTGTGCATAAAAAAGTAAATCTTCCCCTCCATGTAAAATGTATGAGAGTCGAACAACAAGAAACATGATAAAGGGTTGGAGAAAGCACACATAAGGTCGGCGGAACTGGTAAAGGTTGTAAAAAAGAGGCTGAGAAAAAAGTGTGGGGAATAAATACCAACCAGAAAGCTGAGGATCTGAGATAGGTGAATCCCAATGGACTTGAATAGAGTTGGTAGTAATATAACCCAGAACAAGTGAAACTGAAGACGGTGGTCTGCTGATGGATATGGTATGTTGAATTTCATCTGAGCCAATGGTGTTGTGAGCTGTGCAAAAATATGTGCCTTCGTCCTGATCCTGTGAATGGAGTGTATAAAAACAAGAAAAATTATAAACAGTCAAATACCATATCCCCAGAAAGAGCAGCAGCTTACCACCAGCACGACTTTGCACTACTTGTTCCTCCTTACACTTTCACTTGGGTGAAAGGTGGCATGAGGATTTATTTTGTGCAATGAAACTTCATTGAGTGCAGAACGTACCTTAACACGTGGAATAAACAGCGTTCCGTTTCTCATAACATGCTTCGTTGTTGTGTAGGGCGAAGAACCAGAAGATTTTAACCACGTAACTTCAGGATTGGGAAACCCAACACTAAGACATGGCAAAGTAGTCGATTGGCCCAGCTTGGGACGACGAGTTACAGGAAATGAAGCAATTTTTGCTGGAGCTGTGAAAAATTACACAAAGTATTCCCACGGGTGAGAAAATCTATACCAAGTGCATACAAGCTAGAAGAGATGAACGAGTAGACGAAAATTTTGGGAATTTAATTTCATGGGGATATTTTTAAGAAACATTTGGCTGGCACGGGGCTTTAGCTATGGCATATGTTAAAGTTTCAAAAGAAACCATCAGCAGAATTACGAAGGAGAAAATCCTCCACTTTCTGCAACACTCTTCTCAGTCCGCATCATCCCCATGAGCAAACGTGAGTAACGCATGAAGGAGAAGAAATAAAATAGTACATACCTTTCGCCATCACAACGACATCCACGCTTTCACTGGGCTTTCCCTGTCCCAAACTTGTTGCAGCCGTAACTGAAAACGTGTACCGCTTATTATCTCGCAACCTTCGCACCTCCATGAGCATTTGATCTTCATTTCCAGAAGCCATGTAATATCTTTCCTTCTCCGTTTCCAAATCTTCAGACTTCCAAGCGATTTTGTACTTGGTGATGATTCCATTTGGGAAGCGAGGAGGCAACCAACTCACTGAAATTGATAAAATTCATGACTCGCATATTACTAGCGAGAGTAGTAATAATAGCGTAAACGAATATGTAGCATGTCTATCAATCTTAGAGCATGGCGATTAGGATCATGAAGAACTTTCAACGTACCGCTTATGGAATTTGGGCCACTTGATAAAACTTTGACGAGGGAAGGCTCTTCTGGAACTAAGCATAACACGCACAAAAATACGGTTGAGATAATAAACCATAGACTCGAGAGGATAGATAATGTTCTTTTACGAATAACACAGAGTCATTAAAGCAAGCATGCCAAATTAAGGACGAGCCCATGTGCGTAGTAGTTGATGCACTTACGGTCTTCGTCTGTTGTGCAAAAAACGGGATGTGATGGCAAGCTTTCACCACCTAATCATTAGGAGAAAGTGGTCATATTTATACCGCAGAATACAACCGAATTCTCACTCTGCCTCGCTGGAAGAGAAAAATGAGGCCCACACGATGCCACTCACTCACCTCCAGTATACGCCAGCGTCCGCACCGAGTAATTCGTGTAGCTGAGAAGACCGTGCAGAGTTGTCTCCCGGTTCCCCGTTTTCTTAATCTCTGGTTTCTCTCCTAGAAGAGAAAGCACATTCCCACACTCGAAATCAGATTGCGTTTAATCCACTTGGAAGGATGTGAAGTGGTTGAGTGTGCATAGATAAAAAAAAGTCTGGTAGTGGTGGTGAGTGGTTTGTTCAGGGAAAGTGGTGGTGGTAATCCCATGAGCTAACCACAAAGCTAATTCTACATCACTGCACCGTACACATAGGCAACAAACCAAGAAGGGTGCGGTGGTGGTGTAGTAGGAAATCTCTTTTCAAGTCTCCATTTCACACAATAAAATGCTCTCCACTCACCCCTTTAAAACTTTCGAGAATTGCTTTTGCATAATACAGAGATAAACCTTACTTTTTTTATCGTCAACATTTATAGCTACAAAATACTGCAAAATGACGTAACCGTTCCCAACGGCTGCTAAATTAACCTACATATAGCGACCATACTTTAGTGAAAGTGCGTCAATACTTTTAATAGCATTGCAACTATTCTTCAATAAATTCAACAAAAAATATTGATGAAACTACGATTGATGAAACAGAGACTTCTACTAACGTCAAAATTGTGATGGAAGAGTATGCTAAACGATGTCTACCTTGTAATTCGTATTCCGCTGGTGAATAAATCACCTTGTATCCTTGAATAATTCCATTGGCCAAATGAGGTGGTGGGGGTTCCCACATAACCTATAAATAGATTTATACGAGTATAATGTATATGGAGATGAATACCGTAAGTGTAAAATTTAATGGAGCTTCCATAACCTGGAAGCTTTTTGGAGAAAGTGGTTCACACATCACATTAACCGGAGGAGATTCTGGTGCTGCGTAAAAAAGAGAGTTTGATTTGATAGGAATATGATTGACGTTTAATTTACTGGTATCGACACTTTATCAAATCCACATTTATGTACGAGTATTATGCATAACTGTACGCAGACCAAAACGAAAACCCCTTTATCTTACATACCTCCTTCAGGAGTCGTGACGGATATAAAGGGCGACTCCGGACCGACGCCTGCACTATTGTAAGCTCTTATTGAAATGCGATATCTTGAGTTTGGTCTCAGCTCATTTACTTCAGTCTGGTAGCCCCATTTTTCATCGATAAGTTTGCTACTACTATTGGAGAGCGTTGAAGTGATTGGCACAGGAGAGACGAGGACATGGTAGCCTAGAATGACACCGTTTATAAGATTCGGGTGCGGTTGTTCCCATTGAACTAGAATTGTCCTAGAACTGGTGTGAATAGCAGTAACATTCAACGGCGGTCCTGAAGGGGCTAAACACGTGCATGCAATAGAAAAATTCAGGATTGGCTATGTCAGTTAAATTCTGAAAAATGCTCAAGACTTATTTTCATAAAACACCTTCAGGAAGAGTGAGGACAGAAATCGGTTGAGTCGGGAGACTTTGTCCAATTTCATTCATGGCCAAAATTCGGATCTCATAGTTGGTCACTGGGTTTAGAGATCGAAGAACGGCTGTGGTCGTAGGTGAGTGAATAGTGATGTTGCTAACTTGATCGGTGTCCCAAGATATCTCACTTGATTTTTTGTACTGGAGTACAAAATGGGTGACAGGGTCATTCTCACTGTTCAAAGACCAGTTAAGCTGGAGTTGGATGACTCGAGATCCAATTTCCGTCACAATCGGTTCTTTTGGTGGACGTGGCCGTGCTGTTTCAATAAAAAGTCATTGGTTTTTATGAAAACAGTCTTTTGCATAGTCTACTACTTATGAGGCAAGTTGGCCGATGTACGATGTGGGTTGTGCTAAAGATCCTCATAAAAGGAAAGTGAGTGGCGAAATCATTTAAGGGGCAGAGAGAAAGTGGTCTAGAATCTGAATTGGTATTAGTGTTTGTGGGCGTGGAGTAAAAAGTCAGCGAGACCGAGAGCAGGCAGTGATCGTTTGAGGTGATGATGGTGAAACCATAAGTTTGTCATATAAGATGATAACGTAATAGAGAGATTGGGTTATAAAAGGTGCAAGAAATGAGTGACGAACCCTTCATACTTGTAGGAACGTAGGAAAAAAACTCACCCTTCACGAGGAGCGAGATTGTGTCTTCGTCTCGTCCATACTGATTAAATCCTATGCAGTGATATTGGGCTGAATCACTTTTTTCACTGAAATTTATTCTTAATTCAGCAGAAAACTCGAGCGGCGAGCTGGTGTCAAGAACCGTTTGAAGGACTCGTGGACTTTGTTCCAGTCCGATGGCGTTTTTTCTCCAAACGACTTGAACCGGCCCATCACCATGAACCCGACAACGGAGAAGGACTGGCAGCCCTTCAGCCACCACCACCGATGTCATTGGGGCAGAAATCTGAGCAGGAACTACACATAGACAACCAAGCGTGTAATTTTAATGACTCTTTCTCCTTTTTCTCACTTTATGTACCAGATAGCAGTATGTCCTGGAGGCATTGTAATTTAATCCTCTCATGTCATGGGCATGGGTAAGTTACCAATGCCCAGAAAGATTCGCGGAGGAGTCGGTCACTGTCAATCTTCTGCTACCGCAGCAAGTTTCCGACTCATCATCTCTCCGTTTATCTTATTCCAGACTGCTGCTGCTGTCATGTAATCGCAACTTCTCTTTGCTTTGCTTTGCTTTACATTCAACAACAACGGGGAAAACACAACTTCAAACTTCTTTACTGTACCTATGACGGTGACGTGAATCGATTTAGAAATTCCGATCCCAACTCCGTTGGTCGCCTCGCATGTTAAATTGCTGCTCGTCTCAATACCCAATATGAGAAGACTCCCGTTCTCGGATATTTGGAATTTATGGTCCGGTCTAATTGCGGTTCTCGTCATGGGAAATTCTACGTACAAATAATTTTGCCCATATTAAACCTTTCATCTTACTTGATGCCGGAACCTGCGAGCATCGAAATTTCATTCATAATTCCAAGGGCTGCTGTTCTTTGCATGCATATTCATGTCGAAATTAGTCAACATTAATTCATTAAGCGCTCGCTTTGCGTGTTGGTATGAATAAATAAAACTATTAGTATACAGTACATAACTATTTTGCATACCTCGAAACCACTGTACGTTTGGTCGAGGCATGCCAATTGCGAGACAGGGGAGCATGAGATCGGATTTTAGCAACGCCCTCGAGTCCATGGGTTCTTGAGACCAGGAAGGTGGTACTGCAGATAGTACACACATAAATATTATTGAAGGAAGTCAGGGTCTAAATTATTACCACGTATTTATAACGTATAAAGATTATTAAAGATTATTTTTCAATGCAATGATTGTACGCAACATTTAATTTTTCATCAACAATAAGCAACCTCAACGCTGTTAAGACTTGCTTAGTGATTTGCAGCAGGAGTTTTTGTTGTAACGAGTAAATGAAAACAAAGTAGTGGGTATCTTAACTTTCTAGTTGAGTATAATTGAAACAAATTACGGGAAATTTATACCAACCTTTCACAACAAGATGTGCCGAAAAGTTCACAGTTGCGGCGGCGTTGGAGGCTGAGCAGGTGTAAATCTAAAACAACCAGAAACATCAAACACGTTTGTTTATGCAGATACTTATCCTGGCATGACCAACAAATATGCTGCTCAGGAGGTAAAATCGAAATACTGATTGATTGTTATTAATGCAAATACCCCACTGTGTGACCCCCTCAGTTCCTCGAAGATGAGATTGCTGAGAAATTTGACTCGCATCGGGGTTACGTTGAGAGTAGGTGGAATTGGCTGGGAGTCCTTAAGCCAACTGATGTCAATTGGCAGATCTCCTGACATCACATTACATGATATGGAAGTTCGTTGACCCTCCTGAAGATTGTCATCAAAATTAAATGACGAAATCACCGGAGGACCTGGCAGACAATCAGACATTATATTATCACAGGAATACCATCAGTGCTTTCCTATAATTTCAAAGAAATCGACTCCAACGTGTTTCACTATTTTAACGACCTCATCTACTTCTGTGTGTGGCAAATGTCAACAGCACAAGCATGCCCAGTGATGTGTCCCAAATAAACATCACACGAGTTCCATGGTCGTGGTACGAATAGATTGGCAAGTGTAAAGTGATGTTCGACAACTTACGTAAAATATTTACTGAAACTGATGCAGAAGCCGATTCCCCATTCCTGTTGGAAACTGAGCAAGAGTATTGTTCCGCTCCCGGTTTGATGTTTTCGATTTCCAGACTTCCATTCGCCAAAGTACGAAATCGACTTATCTAAAATTTATTTAAGTGTATAATATTAAATAAAAAATTATTTTAATTTCCGACGAGTATGGGACACTTTCAAATTTCTCCAATTTTTCTTGATTTTCAACTCCAGAACCTTTACAACACAATGCAACATCCAATCCCTCCAGAGATGTACCTGACATTACATTTTTATGACACTTTTCGGAAAAATTACCCAAGGACTATATCGCAATTTCTGTATTTCAAATTGATATTTTATTATTAATGCATGTTTTAATCTTACAAAATTTAAAACAGGCTGCGGGTTGAATATGGGCTTCCTACCCACGCTACGAAATTGGATGAAAACGCATTGCTCAAGTGGCTGGAACTTCACCCCGACATTGGACTTTTGCACGCTGGAGTGTGAGTTACACTAATTTTTATAATTAATACTTTGTATTTCTTGAGAAATAATTCGCTATAATTAACTACAGGTCCTTCGAAGAGTACGTCAAGTCATTGTCAATGAAGGATCTTCAGAAAGAATTTCCAGAATTTGTTTCAGATAAATTTCTTCAGAAAAAGGACTTTTGTGTCTACATAAACACTTTCTTCGACTGGGAGGAAGTCAAAGGGAAGAAGTTGGGAGAAATTGAAAAAATTGTCCGTGCTGCAGCAGGTGACAACACGAAAAAAATGGGAATTTACGTTGGAAAGTATGGCGGAGGACAGAAGTCGAGGCCCGGACACATGTATGAAGGAGCTTGTTTTGATTTCCTGGAGGAAAATGAAGGATCAGTTGGCTTCACGACTTTTGTGATAAATTGCAACAGCCCGTCGGGATGTATTGCAACATCAACTGGAGCGGACCTGCGAAAATTGGTCACAGAGTCCGAGGCCATTGCTTCAAAACTGGAGGCCTTTATAATTGTTAGTTTTTTTATCTTTCTACAGAAATATTAATTAAGAATACTGATTACACTAATATTTATTTTATTATGATGTGTAGGAATTTGGCTTTTCTCGAGAAAAACTTCCCTTTAACGGAATGCGCCAGTTCCTCATCAACAAGAAGAGGGAACCCGTGGACGATAAATCAAAAGAGAAGGCTCAACGGTTGGCGAAACAGGCATCGATTTTTGATTTTTCCGTAAATAAGGGATACTGTGCTGATGGAGATCAGGAATTTCTTTGGAAAGGCAACGCCCCCCTCTTCTTTAAAGAAAGGATTGTGACCTCAGCAGAGAAGAAGATAGATGTTGTTGTTATTTCTTAAGAAAGTTATTTACCATCGACTTACTTTATTAATCACAATCGTTAATTATTATTTAGCTGCGTTTGTTATTACATCGTGTAGCAATAAAAAAAAGGTTTCCTTATTTGATGTTGATTGTTGATTCGACGTGTAAATCTACTTACACCTCGCTCCAGGCATTACGTAGGCAGAGGGAAAGCGTTCGATTTGGCCCCACTGTGACAGCAAGTACAGACTAGACAAAGATATGCATCGAGATCCATTTCGTTCGTTAGCTGCGTTAAAGTAAGTAATCATGATGCTTTTACTACTAAACTTCCGTTCCACTATCAGCATCAAGTATTCAAACTATTTACAACAATGTGATGCAGTCGAAGGTCTTTGTGGAAACTCTTTGGACTCGGTGTCCCTGTCTATAGGGCCCTATTATAACACTTTGAAGAGGGATGTTGTTGGTATTTCTTAAGAAAATTTAATTATTTTATTCTGTGGTTCACTTTATAACTTGACCTACCGTGTCAATTTCAGACCCGTTTTTTCGCCAAACGATTTTATCAATCGGATATCCCCCGTATTTGCAAGGAATAATCGCCACGCTTCCAGCTGATAAAGTCATGGGCTCCATCTCCTTCACGAATGGCCTCCCTGTGGAATACCATATTTGCATCTTTATTTTATCAGGGAACAAATTCACACCGTCAGTCACATTTACACAAATCAACACAATTGCACGTGCATAATAATATATGTACCACACAATAACCCAAGAAACACACTCTGAGCGAGTGGTGCCTGCATATGCAGAGCCAATGATAAAGGTGTCAATAGGAATAAAGTATTATTATTATTATTCGGGTGAAGGGACATACCGTAGACGTTGAGCCTTGCTGAATGGGCTGCCGAAGACAAAAGATTAGAGGCAACGCATTTCCACTCCCCAGAGTCTTCGACACGGATGCTGGATATGTTTACATGACTAACGATTTCATTCATGTGAACATAGCTTCCTGATGCGTAAGGGTGATTGGAGGACTTTCTCCACGGCCCTTGGTCGTCTTCAGCGGTGGGAGAAAGCACCAGATCTCCATCATTGTAGAAAGTGATTGTAGGTCGTGGATTACCAAAGGCAGAACATTTTAGAGAAACCATTGGGCCCGGTTGCAAAGTTTGGGAGATGAATGTGTGTAGAAGCTCAGGTTCAGATGCTAAATTGGAAAACGAAGGGACAGGAAGATTTATGAGTGGTGATAATTAAGACAAAATTACAGTGGAAATGGACAAGCTGATTGTGGTGGGGTTGCTGCCTTCCACACGTTTACTCTTTATACTCACCGGGAAACAACAGATTGCTGCTGGCTCCAACGTGGTGCATTCCGATCTGGAGAAAGCACTGAAATACTCCCTGGTCTTCGTATCGCATGTTTAAAATGGAGAGTCGCGTTGAACTAATTCTCATTCTCGCCCCAGCGCCACCACTTTCATCATCGCCACCAAGTCCAAGACTTTTGCCATTGTGAAACCATCTAAAGGAGAAATGCAAGTTGTAGGTGAAAGTGATTGCGTTAAATTTATTACTGTGAATTGCTCATTTTATTTTATTCTGGTCTTCTCAGGGTAGAAAACCAGGTAATGGCGCTATGATCACTATATGTTCCTATCTATGTGCATATATCTCTGGATGCAGGTACAGTTTTTGATGGTCTGAAGTATGAATTGGCATGGAGAGTGCTACACTCACGTAATTTCCGCATGGTTGGCAACGTCTGGAGTTTCACCTCGACAGTTCAGATCGACATTTTGACCAGTCACTGCAGTTCTTTTTTGTGGCAGCAGTTCCACGCGGGGTGGAGGAGAAGAGACGATGAGGTCCACCCAAAGAGAGAATCCACCGAAACTATTCATTACTTCTACACGATATGTTCCATTGGTAGCTGCGGTCACTCCTCCATCAAAACTGAGCATTGGACCCACAATCCTCGCTTTTGGGTGGACAGAGACCACAGGTACAAACTTATTTCCTGAGACTCGCTTCTCCCATCTACTCAATCAAAGAAGTTCCACGGATTAGATTTACGGCCACTTCACACAACGATTTCACGAATTTACGATATAAAAATGTGGTGCAGGGAGCAGGGATGATATGTGGAACTGATTTTCCCAGCAGCAGTTCCATCAAATATGTCATTTCTGTTATCTCCTTTCGAGCACTTCGCCAATGATTTACACTAACATTTCAAGGCATTCCTTTAATGCGATTTCAAAGCACTGCACAGGAACGGTTCATATTATTGATAGAAACTGCAATGTATGTATGCAGACTACTCCTAAAAAGATTGTAAGAAGATCATAGCTACCTATTTCATATTTAGTCTAGAAAATCAAAACCAGTGAGAATTAGGGGATTGGTATTTGACTTAAATAATAAATATCTATATTGCGATGATGGACTACTTTTCAACCTGCAATGCGTATTTTTGAAACTGCTTCAATTGTGCCTACAGACGCATGATATCATTGGAAATGGAGTTCTGTTCAAAGTCATTTATTTATAACGGGGATGAATGATGGATGGAACCATATTTGACACAATTTGAATGCAGGAAAGAAATGTGTCTACAGTTATACATATGCCAGCGAGATAACATTATTTGCATACGTGTATGAAAGAGATTTCAAGTTCAAGTAGTGGTAAAAGTTATTCTGTGCATCTTGAGAAGAAATGACATTACAAGACTCTGAAACTCACCTAAAATTTGGCAAAGGATTTCCCATTGAGAGTGAAAGCAAGTCGAGGTTCTTGCCAATCTCAGTGAAAATCACTTCCTGCCACTTCCCCACACTCGTCGGTGGTATATTTGGTACGCCAGCTGCAACACATCAATAAATATTTTATTAAAACTTTCTCCAGATGTGAAAGGTGGTAAGTCTTATCGGCTCTTTGTGGGCTGAATATCATCCTTGTTCAAAAGGACAATTTATTTTTCGGGTGCTGCAATCTCAACCAACCCGCCATTCTCACTCGCAAGGATTGCAGTCGGTAACAGATACTTTGTTTGCTGGCTATGGCCTTACATTGGCTAAAAAGTGTTGTCGGTTGTGCAACACCATTGTAGTTTCGACCTCACGAAGCAGCAGAGAATCCATGTGCCCAAAAAGTTAACAATACACTTTACTAAAATTAACTTTCACTTTCCGCTGGTATAACTTTCACTCAACGACACCACCGATGCCTTGTCGTACTAACCAGGCCAAGTAGATAGCTACATGCGTACATATGTATTTATATGGTGAGCGCAACACAAAGCAGAAACTAATCCTAACTTGAACACGGTGCAAACTTGAGCTGCTGACAAAGTTTCCTCATTTGCACCCGAGTTGGCAACAACTTTGGATTAGAAATTGAGTAGGTGGCATTCATCATTGCTACAATATCTCATTAAAATAAGAAGTTGACTTATCTAAAGCAATGGATCAAGATTGACGGATCAAGTTGGTCTTCATTCGCAACGAATTGTACATAAATATGCATGGTTTTATATGTAGGCATTGTACATTGTATTTTATGTTGTGAGTGCCAATGGCTATGCAAAAGTTTGAAGATGTTGGTCTTATTTACCCGAGGAATTGAGACATATAAAATTTCATAGCTATATTTACGGTTGTGAAAGTATTGCTCTCTGACACATTTGGAAATAAATTGAGTGAAAGCTGAAAAAGGTCAAAGCTGAATGTAAATAAGATTTAGATAGAAAAATGGACAATTGTTCCAAAGAAGAGGGGATTTACTCAGAAATGAAGAGCAATAAGTGAGTTGACTGGAGAAATTGAAACAAAAGAGTGGACAATTACCTCTGGATTGGAGCGTTCTGAGCATAAATGGAGCACTGGATTGAATCTTATTGTTGAGTAGGTTGAGACCTGCACATATAAATAGTTGTTGGTGCTTGGCACCTACAACGATTAGGAGTAACCCCACCGAGCTGATTTGATACCTGGAAAAAGAGAGAGGGAACAGAAAATAAATCGAATTGCCAAACTCTCATCTCGAGGGAGGCGGAAGATGTCTATCCTTTTGACACTCTAATATTCTTTCATCAGGTTGGAGATGGATTCGGGTGAGGAATGGAACAAAACTCAAACTGGGAGGTGATGGGATGCAATGTGCAAAGAGCCGAACGTGCTCTTCCCTCAATAACAGACGAGAGAGGGAAATAAAAATGTCGCACTTTCTCTTGATGGGGGAAGTGAAAGGCGTTGTTTGAGAAATTCTCTCAGTTCTCACTCAATATCTCCAGAAATGCTTTCTTCCCATTCTTTTATACTCACACGAGGCCAAAACTAGGCTGAAGAGGTGCGTGTACCTTCATCTGTATGTAGTAGCCTAAATATACCTCTGCCCTACCACCACCATGCACCATCTCATTACATCTTCACGAAATTTTGAGAGATGCAACACCATTTGCTTCCTACTTGCTTCATTCACTCTTCTTCTTCCAGCCGACTTGAGCTCCGTGGCTTAACTTGCTTTTCACGCAACATTATTTGAGCTGGACTTCTCAAGATTGCAGTTTAGCAGCAGTTGCGTTGAGATAAAAGTTTAATAAAGGAATCAAAGGGGAACGTGCACGGGGAAATAAATCATATTTCTAACGAGTGGCTTGTAACTCGACTCAACTTTTAAACTTTTTTTACCTTCTTCTTCTTTCTGTTCTTTACATTAAATGAAAAAGAAAAAGGATTAAAAGTTTCCAAAGGGTTGTTGGTAAGAAAACGCTAAAACGCTCAGCCAGCCCGAGCCAGTCGCTAACTCACATTCATGAAGCTGAACAGAGGCGAGGCAAGGCGATGAATAGCTGGATTTTGTGCGATGATTGATGAATCCATTGTTCACGCCATGAAACACCACCACACCGGAACCACCATCACCACATGCACCCGGCGGATTCCTCACAGATCCAATTGAACGGACTTGATAAAATTCTACGCCTTGGATCGTGCCATTTGAGATGAACGAGAAGGTGCGTGATGATGCAATGTGTATGTCCGAGCCATGGCCAGCGAATGGTCTTATATATATTTATATATGCGTGCAGATGAATTGGTATAAATTAAGCAAAGTAGACAGACTTACTTTTCATCAGACTCGATTTCAGTCTCGTGCCCATATTGGTCTATCCGAAGGTGAAGAATATTAGTTGATAAATGTCCAAACTAGACTAGAATCCGGGTTATTCTTACCGACAGATTTCCAATGAATAATTTTCACAAAGTCCTTATAGACAGACGGTTTGACATCACAATTAAGCACAGCAGGGTTCCCTTCGATTATCTCGCCACTGTCGACAGCACTGGAGATTTCAAATTTAAATGGCTCGTCGATAACTGTAAAAACACAGGTGAAATTGATTATAGAAATATATTTCAACATAATCTACATCAAAGGGTTAGAAAATCGAGGGTCATACTTGTACGAATGGCGAAGATGGGGCTAAGCGTCGTCCCGATGGGATTCGTCACGGAACACCTGTACCTCGAATCGTGGTGAATCGAGGAGAGGAAATCTTCCCTCCGAAACGGCAGAAAATGCAGGGAGTTGTTCTTTGTAATTTCTCTGTCAAGATTTTAGCTTAGTTATTTTGAGAGAACAATGAGGCATGAACTTGTGTGAAAGTTCTTGGTTTTTTGTGCATATAGAGTAACAAACCGTCTAAAGTGATACGTATTTACGGCTTAATCTCTATCAAATTTTGTGTCGTGACTTGTTACAAAATATATCAACACACCGGCCGCGACCCACCCAGCACTTGTACAGATTTGTTGTGCGGTGGGTGAAAGGCGGCGTTCACACAAGTGTCACAAGTGAAAGTGACATGTTCATATATTGAGTTTCGTTATGCGTTCTGGAAATACGGCTCAACAACTTTTTCCTCATTTTTTGCCTACCCTCTTCTTCTTCTCACTTTCACGGAGACAACACCGCACGGAAATATTTGGGGAGGCAGCGGGGATTGTGCTCATATCTGGATGCGACACTTTTGGATTGGATGCAGTTAAAGTGCTTATGCTGTAGCCCCACTTGTCATTTTATGTTATTTATTATCCATAATATGCAGCTCGTCCTACGCTGTGCGTATCTCTATTGATTGGTTTTATCACACAATATATCGAGTCAAGGGGGAATTTTTGAAAATCAAGCAATCTGAATGCCAGAGTCGTTTGCGAATGAAAATATATGTTGATGTGATGCGACACATAAACTCATTTCGCACCGCGTTTTCTTGGAACTTTTATTATTATTAATAGAATGGGGCACAGCTTTAATAGCGGCGCTCCCTTATCATATCTCACTGCGGTTGCGGAGTATAAAATTTCTATATTGCTCCAGTTTGACAATAACGATGGCTCCTTCATCCATAAACATGCGTTTGCGATGTTCGTGTGTGAACAGATTTCTCTTGTTGTGTATTATACATTCGACAGTAATGTTGGCCCATTTCCTGTGTGGAAAGTGGAAAACTCGAACGTGTGGAGACCTAGTGAAGAATTAGTGGACGGAGAAAGCACATTTGTTTGCGATTCATTTCTACACTTGCTTTTGGGAACACGCTGCTAGGATATTCTGAGTCGTATAAATTGAAGCCTTGGTAGAATACACCTCATTTATCTTCCCCATTAGGTTCCTGACATTTCGTAACAAATCAGTTAGAGCAGAATTCATTATCGATACGGGAACGTATAAATATTTCACCCCAAAATGTACAAACTTGCAAATGACAATTTTTAGCACAAACAACTCGCTGTAATGAAATTGGGAAAAATAAGGATTCATTTTTCTTTAGCAAGAAGTTCTCCGCTGATTATTTACTTTTCATGTACTTCGCAACCAGGTTAAACTACTGGGGTTTCCAAAATATCTGGAAAGAAAAATAAGAGAGGAGAGAAAATAGTCGCCATTCTTACCAAGTCTAATAAGAAAAGGAGAAAAACAAAAAAAAAATCAGGTTTTTCTAAGAATTAAAATCTGTCTTTTGTTGAACACAATTCGATTCAACCCAGTTTTAGTTACCAAACTTTTTGCTCAAAAGCCATAAAAGTTTTCAGCATTAGTTTGGTCCATAAACCATTAAGCAATCCCAGCTAAATTATTTCCAATTCCATTAAAAAAGACGCAAACCATTAGCATCCCGCTAGAAAAATATAAAAATTCGTTCTAAATCTGAGAAACTGGAACGTCGTCGGTGAAAGACGAAAATAATTTCAATCTAATTTTGTCACCAAATATGACAGCTCAACCGTCAACCGGAATCTAAAAAATAGCGGGGAATGGCAATCTGGCATGAAAAAGTCGGGGGAGGAAACGGAAATTAATCTGCTGACTGCGGCGTGGGTAGGAAAGGAGAAAGGCGAAAAAATCTTAATAGATCTGCACACATAAAAGTTCAGCACAAACTCGAGACGTCATGTTATATGATGCAAGCCTCCTTTCCCCGCTAAAGCCAATCCGCTTTTATAATAATGTGGGCCATTCCTGAATTCATTTCCCGAACTCCGAGTTGGACAAACCGGAAGACCTTTCTTAGACTTTGTCTTCACTTATTAGCATTGAAGGCTATTCGAATCTCACACCTTTACGTGAAAATAAAATGTCTCATGCATATAGTCCGCGTATTACAGTTCTTGTACATTTAGCTCAAATCTGATAATAAAAGCGCGTCATTTCATTAGCCCCGATATTTTTTATTCCTAACGAGATTTCGTTTACATAATATCGAATTTGCATTTCAAATGAGTCCAAAAATCTATCGTTTCTTAAATTTGGAAATATCACATTTGAGACTTCCGAAATGTTGATAAAAATCGCTATAAGTACGAACCTTATTCCTGGGATTTCTGTGAGATGATTTCCATCCGCTGTTAACCATTTCGTGCTGAGAGGGGGATGACCAGCTCCCGTGCATTTCAAAGTGACTCCAACACTATTAGAAAAGTATGTTACCGGTGGTGGATGTTGTCTCAATTCAGGGCCCTCAAGATTCAATGATAATGATCCTGCACAGTCTGGAACCAATATAAAGAAATTACTGATACATGCAAAGCTTAGGATTAGTTGGAAATAAATGGATTATTAAAATATGTAAACATATTCGATACTATTTATTTCTGCTTAATTAAATTATGCGCATTAAAAGCAATTTTGTTAATTTCTTCAAACCAGAAGATGCAATTGGTCCATTGGTCTATCACTCCTTGTTGATCTCCAAATTAATGATTACTTAAATCAATTGAACGTTAGTTTCCCCATTGGGTGTCGTTATGATGTTCGTTACCGAAGAAGTGCTGTGGGGTGCAGGTATTGACGTCAACCAGTTCATACGTAGATAGTCAGCAAGGGTTGCGTATAGACGAAGGAACTTCCGTTCAAGTATGGAAATATGCCTTATGCTAAAGACGCTATATGGATTGAAGCTCGCAGTCTACATACATAAATTCAAGAGAAGGATGGGAAGGGTTAGGTCAAATTTTGAAAACATGTACATTTATACTTTCTACTTTACGAGGGTATTCATAGGTGTGCCTGCCTGCTGGTGTCGTGCTGGGAGAAAAGGGGAAGGTGGGATCGATATAAACACAATGCGCAATTTGCATGCAAAGACATCTTCCTAAGAAGAATTATATTCCCGCGAGAACAATACTCACGGCACAAAGTTTCCAGTAAAAATGATGAGGTGCAATTTGTCGAATGGTAGTATAAATTTGATCTTTCACAGAATACAAGCAAGATGAGTGGTTAGCTAATACTGAAAACCACTTCCGAACCCAGCAGCAGCCTGCTCCTACGTTGTACGTACTTGCCACTATTTACTACTTGCAACAGCACTCAGGCTTTCCGCAAACTACACCGTTATCTACCCACAACTACCTATTTCTGTATAATCCTTGTATCGGAGGAAGTGAGATAAGCACGACAGAAGTGCGGCGGCCAAGCAAGGTACTCAGGAAGGACAAGGAGCTTTCCCTTTGCCACCACCGGAAACGAGTATCCTCCTTCCTGTGCAGTCCAATTGTCACCTTCTTCAGTTCCAACAAGCTGTTTCCATCATAATAAAGGAATTGTCACAAATTATTCCCCCTTGACATTCCAGTTGTAAAATATTCCATGGATGTCAACATGGTATGAAATAATGCGAATTGCTGTTCTGTCTCGTGTACAAAGCGTTTCTTGTACGTTGAGCAGTGAGAGGATCCCGTTTGTCTGCAAATGCAGAGGAATATGTAAGCTACGCGTAACAAAGGTCGGCTGGGGCTTTGGGGTTTGAGGACTTTATCCCTCTCCCTCTTCATTCTCCTGTATTATTAAAAACGGTGATTTAGCTTTCTCCGCGACTTTCTCTTCGTGTGAGAGAGCCGAATCAAATTATATTAGATGCTACAATTATATGTCAAGTATAATACTAAAATTGTAATGACTTTTTTTATGCCCTTTGTTTGAATAAGCAGCCTGCCATCAGCTAAATGATTAATTGTGACTGTGGTCCTCTCCTGTCTCCCGTAATCTTCTCCTGCGGTGGTGTGAGCATCATTTTCTTCAGATTACCAACGCTCGCAGTCTTTTCTGCTCCGCTCCCGGAGACTTTTCTTTGTCGAGCAAAATTCCTCTTGACTTTCATCTTTATCAAAATCTCCTCAGCCTCAGATTTCATATTTTTTATCATTACAATTCTTATTTACTCGCGCTCTGTTGCAATCTTTGCATATCTAAATTTCAACAATGTGTCAAGTTCAATCTTGTGTGGTACATTTTAAAACTTCTTTCAATACAGTTTTACATAACAGACAGATGCAATTGCATAACTCCTGTCTCAGGCTGTAAAGATGCCGTAAAAATGCACAAACTCATGGTCTAAATTCATATAAAATGTTATGACATTATGTTACATAATAACCTAATTACATGGAAAAGAGATAGTATTGAAAAATAAATTACGTATAAATTGCATAATAAAATAAACGTCAAATTATAGTCTAAATCATTTCATATATGTATCAATAATACCATAAAATCAGACAACGACTGGACAAATGGCGCTCTATTGTTTTATTATACGAGACGGAAGACGGGAAGGTTCAGATATCTGCGGAGGAATGGGAAATGAGAAGTACGTATAATGGGAACATCTTATCTAGATTTGACTGGCCCGTAATATGTCAGGGAGCAGACTGCCAACCAACACGGCCTCTCGTCAAGGAAATAAATTGCATCCTTTGCTTTTTCTGTTGGCTTCATTTTCTCCTGAAGACGCATCATTATCATCATCGTAGTGCTGGCAGGAAGAGCAACGTCTGGTGAAAATGATACCCTGAGCAACACCTTCCACTCCAAGATTACCCATTTGGCCAGATTGCCGCATGTTGCGCGTCATGGAATAACCTTATTCTTCCCATAATAATAATGCAATATAATATAATGCTTCCATCACTACAATCACCTTCTCTGGAGAAAGACTTGTCATGAAAAGAAGTAGCTTCAGCCTGTGCGCGTCAGCTGCGAAGAATTTGATACGCATTTTTGGCACGTTGATGCGAATCACTTGATTGTGTAACAGCTCATATCGGAATAATGTGCTCATAAAGTGTCTTTCCACATTACTTTGGAAATAAATATGAAATTTTGTGAGATGAAAGAACCCGAGCAGTCGACCAGCAGACCAAATGCTCAACGTATGAAGTTATTCTTAAGAAGATAAATAATTTGAAGGATTTAGATTGTCATATTGGTGTGTGCAAGCGACTGCGTTTTAACAGACGAAATAAGTAATCCATATCAAAGAGGAAAGAAAAGATGTGTGTAGTCGTAGTCCCGATGTTCATATGCAGTACACATGCACATCTGCATAATGGCCTAATAGCAATAGTCAGTAATGGAGTGTGTAGAGATTCTAAAGATTTTATTATCCTTAAATTCCAATCGATTTTATCAAAGAGTGGAGTGATACCAAGCGTAAAATTGAGGATCAAGCCTGATTTATTGCTCCTTGCACAATTTTGTAGACTAATAATTTGATATATGCCAAAATGCCAAATGTTCCCCGACGGGAACATACGCATGTATTTGTATGTATGCATTTGTGAAAATCTAACAACTAAACTTACTTCTTACTCGTACCTACAATGTTCCAACGGATTTAGAAATACAAAAAAAATAACTTACGACATGTTAGGAGAAGGGCTGGCACACTCCAAATCCAAATTGCGTGTGCTGAAACACAAATTTGTTTACAATTAGAATTCTGTATCATCCCGTTCCACATTTTAATTTTTGTCTGAGCATGAAATTGTATTTACAAAGTGGGGAGACCACCATCTCATGAAATGGCATTAGCAGAGGGAAGATATCAAATTTAGCAAACGTTGGCGAGGAAGCGAGTCGAGTGTGTGAAAATTTTCTCAATCTGGAAACTAAATTCCGTCCGACAGTCAGCGGATAAGTGTTAAGCTTTTCCGGAGGAGAGAAAGCTCGCGAGTTTATGTGAGGAGGCGATGGGCGAAGAAGAAGCCGTCCGCTCACTCCCATTTCCTCCAACTCACAGCCATTTCACTTATGCAGCCAACCGAATTCCGAGCTCTACTAAATAAATTCGAACCTCTTGCCCCTCCACGAAACTAAATGAATACATACATATCTAGGAAATGTATATGACACGACACCTTCTTGGAATTTCATGGTTTTTGTCGCGAAATGAGCGTAAAAATATATTTCTGAAATAAACTTCAAAAAGAAAGCAAGAAAATAATGAGGGATGACAATAGTTTGTATCAAACAAATTAATTAGTGGTATCGAAAGTGCGCAAGACTTTAGAGAATTATATTTACATATTATTTTACTGTACTGAATGAGATTCTCTATACGCTAACTAACCAGGAAATGCATATCATATGTACGTACATGTTTGCAAGGAATGTGTGAACGACATGGAAATTGAACTGAAAATCATATTAAACTTTCTTAAATCGACGATTGCTGTAGGCCGCGAAGTCCATTGATTCTTATTCTTCCATGAATGCGACAATGTGAGTTGGTGGTTCGTGCCTTCATGTAAAATGGTTTCATATCATTATATTTTATTGTGTTGAAAATTGAATTGAAGTCAAGGAGTTGCTGATGTCAATTTTCCTAATGTGATACGTCCAAATTTCTTTTTATGCGTTTATATATATAGGAGAAAGGGTACTGCCTTGGAAATCTAGTTCTTGTACAGCTTTGCGCCCGAACACAATTGAATAATGGCTGGGTTTGGATTCCAGTCACTTCCATCCAGAAAAATTGAAATAACTTTGCTCAAGGAATTTGCATTTTGCAAACTGAGCAAATCTTAAAAGCTGAATTTGTATACGCACAAAAAAATTCGTAATCTCAGAACTTGGTTAAAAGTAGTGAAAACTTCTGCAATTATGCCAGTAGACATCTCCAACATAATAAAATCAATGGCCCAACTTAGTGAAAGAACTGCTATTCTCTCTCTTGAAATAATTCCAGAAGAATCAGACTCCCATAAAACGAGCGCCTCGATAAATTACATTCAGTCCTTAATTCATGCAAAATGTGGTGGCTGGTGGCCCATAATTTGAAAGAAATCTAGAGCATGACGGATTGGGGACATGCATATAGACATTTTGCGAATGATTGTCTTCTTATAATATATCTCGCATATCCATTCTTCTCCCCTTCGTGATTGAATATCGACATGCTTACGAACTGAGGTTTCGCCCATTCGCAACGAACTTGGGTTCTGTTGTACTTTCTCCAGGATCTCTTTAAATTAAGAACCGTCTGGTTATAGGATACGTAGCAAGTAATTGAAAAAGTTTGAGCTTTTTATACAATAAATACTGGAATACTCAAGACCCCTGAAAAAATTAATTGTAAAATTTGAGCCGAGGAGGTAGGCGAATAAACTTATCTAAAAGTGTAGTGACGTATTTATACTCAAATTGCACATTAACTTTTTTCAATAAAGTCTTTTACCATTTTTACAGTTCAAAAGTATGTATATGTAACGCGATTCTACATATATTCCAATTTCAGCTTTCTTTACCCAATGTCGAAATTACAAATGCAATGCATACAATGTAACCTATGCATACATGGCACTTTAGGTCACCTTACTACGTCGTTCTGTTTACTTATTTTTTTATCGAGTATTAAATTTAAGATACTCGCTCTACTAAAATAAATCGACCAGTTTGTGGGAGTGTTGTTTCCGACTCGATCGACACCGACGAGCTATTAGGCTTTGCTTAGTGGTTTCTTGTTTAAACAAAATCTCGAGCCAGAGAGAAATCAACTAGGTCAATGGGGAGATGGATTGCTTTACAATGACATCCGGGCAGCGGAGTATGCAAAAAGTCAACAATGTAAATACTTTCTCTTCTGACAGTGATTGTTACTTTCGATGGTCTAATGCTCATCCTGCCATGCTTCATTTCTCCTCCCTTTCCGTGTAATGTGTCTATTGTGCAAAATCTTACAAGCATAATCTCCCATAAGGCGATGGGGTTTTAAAATAAGTGGGTGACATTTTATAGGCAAATTTAAGAATTCCATTCATATTGGAACAATTCAAATACATAGATTGAAACTATGAACTATGAAGCGAAACTGAGACTTACCCTTCATGATGTAACTTTCTCCAGTAATTTTGATCCCGCTGAGACGTATGAAGCTCTTACGAATACCACTGATCTGATATTAAATCACGTGTCAAGCTTCCATGTCATGAATCAACTTTGCAGTGCTCATATATTCATGTGATTAACTTGTAGATAAAAAATGGATAGGGTTGCTTTGGCTGGTGATGCATGGATTTTCCTCTCGTCGGTTAAGTAAACTTGCCGGGCATCCAATTTACTAAACGTTAAGAGTTTTTTTCTTCTTTTACTTCACTTGACATAATGTCTCATCGTTCTCCTCCATCCAACAAAGATCCTTCAGCCCTCATCCCATTAAAACTGATAATCCCGAGATTTCCTGCAGAGATTTCTCTATGGCCAATATTTCATCACTTCACTCCCAACCAACATATCCATCCACTCGGAGCTGACAAACTGTTCGCTTTTTCTCACTTCAACGCTGATTAAGACTGAAGAATGTGTCACTTTTTGGCGTTTCCCATTGTGCACATTTCAGCCTACTTGAATTTCTGTTCACTTTCTATAAACAATTCTTTGTTCTCCTCTTTTTGTTGGTTACACGAGAACTATTTTTGTCTCTGTGATGGAATTGAAAGGTCACGTCAACCTGGGAAAGTATTACCTCTTCTGGAAGGTGCAAAAAGGAAGTTTCACTCGTCCTGTCTTCTTGTCCCTCATCATCACCAAGAATGTAATGCTCACGCTGTGATTATGCGATGTGTTCCGTTTTGCAGTTGTGTAGGTAGTTTCCGTGGGGGAAGGAGATGAGCTTTAGGTATCTTTCAACCGATTATCACTTCTATTCTAGTCCTTATCCAGTTCTCTCCAAACCAGCAAAAGCGATGTATCAAGGGGGACTAGAATAAATGATCTGGATGATAAGGAGCGAATTGATGATATGGCTTGATTATTAGGAGATAATGGAATTGTTGCCAGACAGGCACATGCACCTCGAGCTCTGGTTCCGCAGCTCTCTTTCTCTCTCTGCATCCTCTCACAGCCAATGTGAGACTGGGAGAAAGCGAGCAAGGAGCGAGTGGATTTCTACCCAGAAAAGCTCAACTTTTACCATGAAATTCAACCTCCGAGTTGGTGTATAAGAAGTGGTGATGTGAATTCTGTGTCTTGCGACTGACATTTTGTTTCCCCCACCACCACCACCAACAAACACATGAAGGAACTTGTGCCTTTCGCTGCGAAGTAAGGTTGTGACTCCAGTAAATCTCGTAGGTTAAGGGTTGGAATGGAGAAAGCAATCCGAAAATGAGCAAAGTTTAGCAGGAACTAAGGCAAGTCTTTTGCAGCATGGATAAAGGATCTAAGGTCGCCAACATTACCCAAGTTTATGTGAATTTAAGTTGTAGTTTATACCAAACTCAGTCACTGGCAAAGCGACTCTCAGGAAGTTGAACTCCAACTGAACAAATTTGACTGATTTATAATTTTCGACCAGTTGTTAAGTGCGTTGAAAGTATTTGGTAGCATCAATTAGATATCAAATAAGGCTCCCGCTTTTATGAGAGATGATTGGATAGGGAAGTGGCGGATGAAGCGATGAGCACTCTGAGTCTCCAAGGAATTTCCAAGAAGAAGTAGAGTGGACGACACCGCAGCAGATCGAGGAGGCCGACGACGAGAGAATTGGGCACCACCACCACATAGTTTCTCAACTCGTTACTTTCTCTCCGGAGAAATCCCTCTCGTATTCCGCTGCTCAAGTTTGTTTGGATTAATAATGTCTCGTCATTAAATCTTCCTATATAATCTATCCGAGGTAATTTATTTCTTGATCAGAGACACATGGAACCCATCGCCACAAAACAAATGAGATTCTACTCTGATGCTGATGCGACTGGCATATTGTATTCTACAAAATTATGTTTCGGCCATGAAAAACTATAAATACAGAGAGTGTATGCTTATGGCCATTATAGTTTTTATATCGATTGTTAAATTCTGCAGACGTGACAAGTGTAGGATTAGTAAATATGTGCTACGTAATGTTTGATTTTCTAAAATAATTACTTGAGCCAGGCATAAGCATGTTTACCTCTCATTTAATTACACCTATTCACTATAGATCAGACACGCCCAGGTAGAAATTGCACACTCGCTCCATGGTCATTGTTCTTTTGTTCTCCTCGGAAGAAAAAGGAAATAAGGACATGAATTATCAGCAAAATGGGCCGTTTGGTTCCTCTGAAAGTCTCAAATTTGTAAGTGTGCAGTAAACGCAAACAAGACCGGACGAGGGGTGGCAGCATCGAATTTCTGTGAACTAGTGTCTAGCAGGGAGGCAACAGGAATGGGATTAGATGAGAAAAGTCATTTCATTAAAAGAAAAACATTGTGCTCTTTAAGCAAGTACGTTAGAAAGAAGACACTGCATTTCAGCCCTACTTCTTAATAATAGAAATAGGGCTGAGAACGAAGTAGACGTAGAATCGACTGAGCCGAGAGTTGATACGCTGCTGACGGTAAGTTGGCTGGTGGGTTGTTAGTGTTAGAGATGAGATGAGACAGAGATGTAACAGCAGGCAGAGGCGTCCTCCCCGTAAATAAGTATGTTCGTACGTATATTCGAGGCCCTACAACTCTGAAAGGCTTGTTTTGCTAACTGAGAGAAAGTGGATGTAATTAGAAAAGTCATTCTACCAAAAATACCATTTCCACCAGCACAACTAGCTCGGCTGAGGAGGATATTTAAGCAAGAAAAATTTCCAAGATCTGCTTTCTCTTCCACAATACAACTTAGGTTTCGCAGATCTGGCTTCGGTTACCCTCATTCATTGAGGTCTCCCCTAGGTTGTGGTACATGATGGTGGATTAGATGAGATCCACGGGGTGGAACAATTTTATTCGACAATTGGTTTGATCCGTGTTGTACATCTAGTAATATATATTTCAATTTCTAGAACTGATGTAAATTATGTACTCGCATAAAATTTCATGAGCTAAAGTTTTTCGGAATATGCATACATACATTTGTATATAGGTGTTGGTTATATAACTGCAGGAGATGAAATATGCACGTAGTTTTGTCAAATAGTGTTCTGTCAACAGGCCATGTCTCAACTTTCGAGGATAAACAATTTCACATGAGATGAGCGTGCGGTGGACGCGACATAACAAAAACGACGGAATTAGGCTCATCGAGATAATGAAATGAGTAATTCATGTAATTTGTTGGCCACGATAGCAGCAGACAATTTCTCAAATGATCCAATGACACGAGTGGCCACGCTCGCTCAAGCCGAATTCCGCTCTTCCTAAATACTTATTATTATTATTCCGGGAATATAATGTGCAGAAACACACACTTCATCATTCGAAATACAAACATGGATTAGAACGCTGCACATTCGGTCATAAATATTAATATGAATGACGAGTGTACTGTTGAATCTGCAAGCTTCGCTGATTATCACCACTTATAATAATAACTCATTTCATTGCCCCCAGCATTCAGTTCTCACACGTTCCACTCGACTACGAGTATAATTTCCGCCTCTCTACTCCCAACCAATTAAATTCTCGTATCAATCTTGCTCCATATTTGTACAAATGACGACTAATTTAATTGAGCGATCTGCCATGTCGAAAGTAGGTTATGTATTACCCGCAACTTTCACCAAATATTCCGACACGTTGAAGTAGGGCTTACACAACAGCGTCGTCTTGTAAAGACGGCGTGTGTTTGTTGTGCACATGGAAAGATTAATATGTCAGCCATCCAGAGGACCAGGATGGACAACATATTTGCCATTTGAATTAACAAAGCGTTCTATATTGCCCCCCAGGCGATCTTGCCTTCCCGTCCATTACATCACATCATCCTGTTCCAAATTGACGGAGCTACCACTTCCACTCTATCCTCAAGCCTTTCTGCAGTTTATATTTGCCAAGTCGTCGTCAGTGGAAGAAGATGAAGTAGCCCACATCTCTCGTCTGCTGGAACAAATTCATCTCGCCGAATGACGGTGAAAACTTAACTTTGAAGTGGCACGTTCGCAAGCAAATGCATGTAGTACTCCAGCCAACCACAAGTAGAGTGTTAATGCAGCTAAATTTAAAGTTTTCGCCTGCCTTACCTCGTCCCTTTCGTGTAGTCGTAAAGAATCTATTTCCTCGAGGAATTCAACAACGTACAGTAAATAAATGTGTTTCGGCCGATCGTATATATCTTGTGTATCTATACAGTCACACACCATGTATAGCATAAGCTCTTCAATTAGTGTGAAATAAAAAAAACTTACCCAGGTGGATACAAAATGGCGATTCAGTTTTCATAGGGCAGGAAAAATATATGAGATTTGAAATAACAATGATTTTTCTGAGGTATATCTCAAAAACATGGTGGAGAAACTACAAATAAGTACATACATGGCACTCCAAAGCATAACATGAGCTAAATTAAGCAGACAAGGGTAGCCTTTTAGAAAACTTTTAACTCAGGGTCACTCTAATTGGATATTGATTAGTTACATACCTATGTATTTATCTTGGGGTAGAAGTGATTAGTGGGATTTGTATTCCATTCTGGTTACTCCATCCCAGACAAGCTCTTGTACACACATTGTGAGAGGGGTTGTTGGTGTAGAAGAGGAAAATTCGGGGGGAAATAAGCTGGATAGACGTGAATGGCATCCAGATTTCGGTTTTTTGGGTGCAAAGAAAAACATTTTTCATTCTGAATCGGATCCATTGGATTACAGTACCTCTTTATCCCCCCACGAGCCATTACATTCCTGTTTTCATGCTACGAAGAAAACCCAAACAGCAACACTTTCCCCAAACACCAATGCAAACTTGCTCCTCCAACTCCTCCGCTGCCCATATCGAAGGGCTGCGTAGGTAGAGTCGGTATAGCAGATACTACGAACAAAATTATTAATGGCTTACTCTGTTTAATAAGACAAGATGGGTTTATAAACCGTACCAATGCCGCCCTTTCCGTCGAAATTGCTTGTTGCATGAAAAAAAGACATTACAAGAAAATTTGCCCTGGTGCATGACCTGTGACCACTGAAAGCCAGCTACATTTTATATCATTGTAATTATGTATGATGACATGAAGCACCTCATTCCCATTCAACGGAATAAGGGCAGAAACGGGTTGGTTACGATATGCCTGTGCACTTACGTAAGAAGAGATGTGAGATGAGACAGGTGACTTTATGGGTTTGACTACAAAGAGGAATATCCATGCAAAAGACCCACCGGCGACCCCGAATTCCAGATGCTTTCTTCTCCAATGAACAATTCATTAGGAAGGAGCGGGAGAAAGGTGCATGAAAGTGATGCCACGAATCAAGAGTGGGTTTCATATTGACGTAAAGTGCGAATTTGTATTGCCACAAGCATGTTTCACCGTTCTTCCATATGGACCAAAGGTGACAAAGAGGTAGCAGAGTCAGAGTCGCAGAAGAGTCGTTCTTCTCAGACCTCAAGGAAGACATTAGGAGGCCCACCATCCAAAGAATTGATTTGAGTGGGATGGGTTTGTTGGTGGTGGTGGTGATCTAAAAGAATTCATGAGATGGGTTGACGAGGATGATGTGATGTGATGTGATCTGAGAGAAAAGATCCAAAAAGGCGAAGAAAAGGCACTCTCGTCCCTTATCCAAAATCGATGGGAAAGTCAGTCAGAAAGATTTCATCTCCACCACGCCAACTATGTAATTCCAGGTCCAAGGAATGGTGGAACATGTACATATGTACTTATCTTCTCAAATCCATCCGCTTTCTCTCTTGGTGGGCTTCGGCATTTGGCTCCACTGCACCAAGTTCAATCTCCAAACAACCAATTCCACGTTGGTATAGTATAAGGGTCAGTCGCAGAGGTGAAGTACAAATCTATTGAAAGTACAGCAGCCCAGGTGATGTGAGGCTACATGCTAAAAAGATGGCGTGTACGCTGTACGCACCTTTATAATGTCTACCCAGTGGAATTACCGATTTTGCGGTAAAATGATTGATACCTTGTTAACATATTATACAGGATAAAAACTAATTGCCGGTTATATATAGCAGTTGGCCGGATGAAGGTTTAAGGATAGCTAGTTTATTATGTGACAACTCGGGGGGTATTATATTGTACAATTTTATGTAAATTAGAGGAAAGTCTATAGGAATATAAAATACTAAAATTATTTCCTTGAACAATAGTAGAAATTAACTGCACTGAACTTAATACTAATATTATGCATGTATCATTCATATAACACTTAGCCATAAATAACATCCCGTATTCACAACAGTAATATACTTATTTTGAATCAAATAATTAAAATTAGTCATACTGTGGAACAAGCCCAATCTGCCCAATTAATAATAAGTAAATAATAAATGCTTGCTTGATCATGTACGGACCACTCCTTTAATTCAAATTATTATGTTTCCATTGGAGGGTCTGAGGCGGTTTCTTCACCTTGAGTTTCGATCATTAATGGCCCTGGATCCTGGGATTCATTATTTTCTCCCAGGTGTGGCTCACTCTCTTCTAGGGTTTTCGGTAATTCCTCGGTTGGTGGTGGTGCTGGGGCAAGAATAGAGGGGGCCTCTATATCGGTAATAGGAAGAGGTTCAGGTTCAGGGGCACCTTCAATTTGCTGGGTGGCTTCTAAGGTATGATCAGGGAAATTTTGTTCGGAAGGTTCAGATTGACTTGCAAAAGGCATAGCCACTTCATTACTCCCACTAACGGTGTCAGCAATAGGCTCCGATTCTGGTTCAGTATAATGTACATCTGAAGGAACATTATCATCAGATGAAGTTGCATCCTTGTAAACAGACTCTTGAACTTCAGACGGTAGAGTGAATGCTGGTGCTGGTTGTTGTTGCTGCTCCACAGGCGGTGAGGCTGGGGGCGGTTGACCTGCCGCGATTGAGTTCGAATAAGAATCCACAATCACTAGAGAGATACCATAAATTAGATATATATATCTCTCCTGATACATAAATTTAATTAGTTTGTAATCATTTACATTCAGTAGGTGGTGGACATTCATCATGCAAAACCGGGACATTAGTGGGTGAGTGTTTCAACTGATCCACATCCATACCCTCTGGTTCAACTGCAGCGGGGGCTTGAGCAGTACTCATCGCTTCCTCCATGTTAGATACATCTGTCGTATTTTCTAATACATGTTCAGCAACAGTCTCATTCTGAGGTGAATGTTTAGGCTGATTTTCTTGTGTTGAGAAAACTGAACCCTCTGCACCCGCTGGTGCTTCAACGTGTTCGTGGGATGTTATGAGTTGAGTTTGGTTATGAGTTTCCACCTAATCATACAAACCACTTTATAAGCATTTTTCAAAAATTTTAATAATACATACTAACAGTACTAACTTGATAAATCTCCGTGGTGTTTTCTTGACCATCAACTAGATCTGAATCTGTAGTATCTGTAGTGTTTGTAACACTTGCTGGTTCTGCGTTAGGTTGATGTTGTTCAACATGCAGATGCTCAACTTCCTCAATGACAGGAATCTCGGATGATGCAGAATCATCATCATGGAGTGCTCTAGTAATTGAAGATAATTGTTCATTTTGAATTTCTGGCACGACTGCAGAATCTTGAACTAGCTCGGACCCAGAAGTGGTTGTTGTAGATTCATCAACCTCCATTCGCTCGGATTCTTCCTCTTCTCCCTCCTCTTCCTCTGGTGATTTTTCTGGCAAATGATTCAATTGGCCAGCTGAAATTTCTACAACGCTACTCGTCTCCTCTTCTACATCGTGTTTATCTTGTGAAACTATAGCATGGTTCTGACTTATCATTGTAGTCTCATTAGAAGCTGAGCTATCTGAAATATTATTTAGTGCCCCAGATTCCATTGGAGTAGTATGCTCCGCATTGTCCGGTACGGCAGTCACGCCATTCTGTTTTGCCATAGGAATCGAGTGCCCTGATGAACATGTTGCAAAAACGACTGATAAATATCTTACCCTTCTAAGTGTACCACTCTGGTCATTAAAGAAAAGAAATGAATACATACCATCTCCATCTTCTTTTGGGACAGGAGCTGCAGCTGCTTGAGATGATGTTGCGTTTTTGTTTCTTTCCTCTAGTTCTTTACGAGCTATTTCGAACTGTTTCTCAACTAGTTTTTGAAATGTTTCTTCGTCAACAGCTTTTTTGCAATGTTTTGTTAATTCTTCTTGAAATGCTTCACTAAAATTTGAGTAAAGTCATGTATAGTCATGTAAATAGTTATGTAAATAATTATAATAATTTAGCCCTGAATGACGATAATCATTTATTTAATTTGCATATTTATAATACCTAGATTCCATGAATCGTTGCTTTTTGGCTTTAAATTTTCCTTCAATTTGCTCCAATTCATTCTCTAACTTTTTCTAAAATAATGCAAAACAATAAATAGGCTAAACCTTTTAAAAGTAAAGTTTAGGAAAATGTCTAGTCTACCTGATGCATCGTGAGAGACTCCACTTGTCGCTTAAGAACTTGCATTCGGGCAGTGGTAACAACGGAACGTATATCTGGAACCATTGTGTCAGAAAACACCTCATTGATCAACTTGTGATTCCTAACATATCGTGAATGAGCCTTGTGTTTTTCACTGAATCCATCATCCAGATCTATAGCAAAGATATGTTTGTTATTATTTTTACTTTAAAACTAAGCTATTTAATCTGTTGCATTTCATATGAATAAGTTTGCATTTATACCATCCTCGTCCTCCGCTGGCTGAATTTCTATTCTTCGTTCAGCAGCAGCCGTGGCTTTAGTCGATAGTGGCTTTTCATTAATTTCACTCAGTTCTTGTTGAGCTAGTAATTAGATACATTCGCATTAATTAATCATACTAACTTCAAATGAAAAGGAAATAATCCAAATTTATCTTACCTCGAGTTTTTGCGGCAATGTAAGACTGATATTGTGGAGAATTGTGGAAAGTTTTTAAAGCCTTTTCGTAGTCGACCTTTTTGAAAAGGAGCAGATAAGTACGTAGATCAATAAAATTATTATCTTTTCTAAAAAAAATAATATTAGTTATGTGCTTAAATACTATAACTAACTCACTTTATCAGCTTCATAGCTTTCAATAAATTCTTGTTTGTCACATTCAGGAAGATCTCTCCACATTTGTCCAATAATTTTACCAATCTCCCACAATTTCAAATCTGGGTGATCGGATTTCACCTGATCCCAAACTTTTCTACTGTACCGCATATATGGCATAAGTGGTTTCTCGGGTGCTTTCGGCGCTTTTGGTATTTTTCCATCCTGAAAAGTAAAATCCATTCACTCAAATACTGATTTCACATGTATGGACTGGAATGACGAATAAGAAATTTATAAAATAATTACCGCAAATCCCTTCGTTCCTAGTTTTTGTGGATTAAAAGCAGGATGACTATGTGAAGTTTGGACGAAGGGGCTAGAGGCAGCATCCTTAGAACTGCCAACCATGCCACCAGATGCTCTGAGACGTTCTGAAATTGTAAAATGCGAAAACTATAAACTTTCTAAAAAACGCTGAATTTTTATGATGAATAAATGGAGAAATAAAACTGGCAAAGGCTAATTGAAAATGGGTTTGAAAACTTAAGTTACCTTTCAAAATGTTGAACGCAGGCATATTATGAGAAGGCGTTCCATCTACAAGTAATTAAATCATATATGGCAAAATCATAAAAGGAACAGACCAACATGCCGCAGGATGAAACATATAATATATTTTGGTATATACATAATATTTACTCCCATCCATTATGCAATATTGGATGTTTTATAAAATAAAATAAATCAGTGTTGGTTATCGGTTTTCGATATACAGAGAGATATAAGCAGAATTCAGTATGCAAATGCTTTTAAAAATTATAATTAACCACATTTCAGTACACTTAAATAATATGTTGCAAGTCTTGGCGAATCAAAGCTTTGATTTAAAGGCTGAAGGATTAGATTGATACGTTAGATATTATTAAAAATTTTGTAATAAAGTCGTATATCAAAGTGCAAACAAAATCTGAGCAATACATAAGCAAAAGTTTGGAATAATAATTCTACACTCCGTTTCAGGTCTTAAACTTCTCACTAATAATTGGTGAATAATTGCTTACGTTGAGATTGTGCAGCAGCGTGACGATAATTTGGAGGAAGTGACATTTTCAGAGTTTGAGATCAGTGTCACACTTTGATTGCCAGTTAAGACAATTAGTTAGAGTTAACAATTAATTGTGAATTAAAGAAATAATTTCTAATGAACAAGGCTCGATAATAATAAGAGCCCTGTGTTATATCATATCATATCATTGTTATATCATACTCTGTGTAAGAGCCGAAGCCAACACAAAAACGCGACGTCCCGCAAATCCAGTCTGACTCGCTTTCTATGTCTGTAAAAATTCTCAATCCATTCATGTGCCTTTCCTACATAGCTACATTTTCATTTCAATTGTGTCAAACTCAAATGCAAAATGAAACTTATTCAAGTTTCAGAAACTTTAACTTTGATGTTATAAATTAACTCAATTACCAAGAAGCAGATTTTATTTTTGAAAGAATGAAACAGCACATTTTATAGTAAAAAAAATGTTTTCCCAGCAAAAGAAGCAATTAGTCGTAATTCAAAAATTGTCCCAAAGTTAACCATACTTTATTTAACTCATAATTAGTAAGTGAAAACTAATCTTGTAAGTGCATAAGGATGACAAAAATTTCATATCAAATGTGGAGGTATGACATGGCTATTGTGCACCTTTGTCCATGCCACGTGATGCTGTTGAGAGGGACGATTCAACTTTTCTTGCCAGGAAGGAAGACTCACCAACTGATTCATCATCAACTCACCAACATCACCAACTGATTCATCATTCACTCTCTTTCATCACAGTCATTATTATTCCTCGTTCTGCGCCACACAGACAGTTTCCTCGTCTCGCACAATTTTATCTACTGCAATTATTTACCAACCATTTTTTATAAAACTGGGTCATTATAAAGTGTTAGGCCCCTCGTGCGAATTAGATGAGGTGGTGATTCTGGAAAAAATTGAGGAGGAGTAAAACGTAAGTAAAATTGAAACAGTTAACTAAAGTTCAAATATATTTCAGTATTTTTATTATTATTCATTTGTGATGAACACGTGTCTCTCCTCTGTCGATATCGACTCTTTATGAATTGAATTTATTTCGTTATCACGTCATCGATTGCTTTCGTCCAGTTATCACTATAAGTTCACGATAATCAATTATAATTGGTACGTGGCATAATAGGTACTAATAAATATATTTTACCAATTATTTCAGAATCTCCTGAATCTCGTGATTCCAAATGTCCGAAAGAGGATACTTGGAAGGTGTGCCTTTACGACTAAATTCAAAATTCTACCCTCTACCTCGTCCACAATTTAAGGAAATTGATATTCATATCCCAGTTGACGCACTGCAGGATGAGGTAAGAAGGAGTTTCACTAAAGAAGAACCAACACATTCTGAAATTATGAATTTATTCAATTGTTATAACCAATGACTTGTTTTTGGTTTGTTACAGTATGATTTCTCACTAGAGAGAGGAACACTGATGCAGGTGAAAACATGGGAAGAAGAATACAGGTTAGAGCAACAGAGAAGAGCATTAAGAGCAAAACAGGAGGAAGAAGCAAGACTGCAGGCAGAGGAGGAAAGGAAACGATTGGAAGAAGAAGAACGTATTCGTCGTGCTGAGGAAGACCGAATCCGTCGTATTGAGGAAGAGAAAGCTCGTCTTATTGAAGAAGAGAGATCTCGTCTTGCAGAGGAAGAATTAGCACATCTTGCAGAATTAGAAAGGGTTCGTCTTGCGGAAGAAACCAGAGTTCGACTTGCCGAAGAAGAAAGGACTCGTGTTCTAGAGTTAGAAAGGATCCGCCTTGCCGATGAAGAAAGAGCACATATTGCAGAATTAGAAAATGTGCGTATTGAAGAAGAAACAAGAGTCAGACTAGCAGAAGAAGCAAGAGTGAGTCTTTCGAAAGTAGGTAAAGTTGGCCCCCTAGAGGATAGTGGAAGGGTTAGACTTGCGGAACAAGATAAATTCCCAGGTCCAACTCCTCCTGCTCCTGCTCCTCCTGTTCCACAACCACCACCGACCAATTGTTATCCAATCAGTCAACCCCCTTTGAATGCATACCCTCAGCAGCAGCAGCAGCCGCCGCCGCCACTTCCATCTCAATGGAACCCAAACTATTATGTTCCTGTGTCACCGTCCGCACCCGACATCATCAGCGGTCGGACCGATAATAGTACCGTCACTCCTACCACGACATGTCAGACCAACGCTCCATTAAGTTCTGGAAACTCATTTAAAAAATACTATTTTCCACTGTTAACAAGTATGGCCGACTCGAGATCAATGCGAGATCAGCAGAACCAATTTTCGTCTAATTTAAATATAACCTACAATTCAATACATTCGAGTACGAATCATCAAGTTTCAAGCTCAAATCCCCATCCCTATTTATGCGCAAACCCTCCACCTGCCGTGGCTACCGTTCAGCAACAACAGTTCCCAATCCTAGGATCTTTATCTCATCCACCAGCATCAAATCACTTATGGCCTGGCGGAACTGGAATACGATCTCCAATGTGTTATAACAACTCGGTTAATAATTCTGCTGTTTTAAACGGACCATTAGTACCACACGATTCTGTTCTCAAACCTAACGGCAGTCACTTGTCTTCACCTGATAATTTGTCTGGTACTTCCCCGAACGGAACCCATCACACACTTCGATAATGAAGATCATTGAAGAATAAGATGAATTTCATCAGTGTTATTGTTTAGTCACTAGTTTTTCCTGTGCTGTATCGTGGTTGCATGTCGTACTTGCTGTTTATAAATATTGCTTCAATATATCGTTTATCGCATATTTTTAATGAATCGTATATGGGGAGCATAAAATAAACAAGAAAACTGTTTCCAACAAATCATTTATTCTGTAATACTTTAACGTGTATACTTTTGTGCGCTTGCTTAGAAATTCAGGTACTCACCACTACCAGGCACATAAATCCCGAGTCTTCCTCATTTTTTGAGCCCACCATTTCTCCACCGGGCATTACACCAGAGCATTTCCTCGACTTTAGCCAGTCTTTGTTCAGAGGCGTTCCCGTTTCGACTCATCAGCAAGCACCGACCAGATCCCAGACAGCAACCAACCTGAAAAAGCCTCCCAAGTACTCCCCGTTGCGACGTCGTACTCACTCACATGAGCTTATCTGCCAACTTTGTCAAAAATGTGATGTTACTGAAGGAGAGAAAAATACTAAGAGATAATCATCATGTTAATTTCCATTAGAAGTGGGACGTTGATTCATCAAATCGCAGTCGCTATAACTTTGTTTGGAGTCATCAGCACAAGTGGCTCTTCCCATTTGGGTGAGTATACTATTTACATTTTAAAGTTTACACATTTTTGAGTGCTAAGAAGCATTTTGCAATTTAATCATCAAATTAATTATCCTCGTCGAGCCCCGTCAGCAACTGGCGAGAGTCAGAGCACTTTTACAATAATGAAAAGAGAAAGTCCATATTTCACACATCAAATCAAAATCTAATCAACCTGTAGAACTCGAGACACCAAATTGTATTATAAAATGTGGCTCTTCGCAACTCCATGCTCCTCGTGTGAATAATAAGTCTTTGTTGCGGGTGCGAGATGCGGTGGTGGTGAAAGTCATAATGAAAAATATCCACTTTCACGCGTATGTATCTCCACTCACACCCACACTTTCTGTTCCATAGCACCACTGGTTTCGATATTGGGTTGTCAATCAGTGGAACCACCATCACCATGAAAATATATGAGATTAATGCAATATCCTCCTGTACATACATTCAATTCACCGGACTAGAAAATTCGTAATATCATGTATTCCACAAAACGAAAATTGAATTGTGCATACAAACGTGTGTATGTGCATATGTATGTACATACATGCCATATTCAAATCTCGATCAAAATTAGATTAAAATAGAAAGCTGCGCCGATATCCCTTTGTAGAATTTTGTTTTATTGTGAACAATTAATTGGATTAGTTTGGATGTGAGTGAGTGGGAACTAGTGGGAAGAGTACATATATTATATTTTACTTACATGTTGGCCAGATAAGTCGGGCATGCGAGTTTAGTAAAATATTAAATCAGAGAACTGGATTCTCTATAGTCTTTTGTAACTGGATGCTTTTAAAGATAATTGAGCGTGGGCAAGGAATGGAAACCTTTGTGAAAGTAAATTAATGAAAGCTATCTGAATTGGCGCTGAGAAAGGAAGAAACCAATAAATGTGATTAAATATTTACAATGTTATCCATTGCAGGAAACGGATTAAATATCATAACGTTTTCTGGGTTATTAGATAGCTGGTTAAATTTTCGTATGTATTTTCATTTCTTCTACAATTTCTACTTCCACTATACCCACTACCCACAGGATCTGTTCTGTATGTTCGTGTGTATATAATATGTATGATGGATTTGAAGACATGAGACAACTCAGAGTAGTATGTATAAATACATATATACTTAAATATAAGGGTACTCCAATATGTTTAAGACCTCATGTTGGGTACTGCTTGAGTCAATTGCAAAATATTTTATAGGTGCATACAACTTTAGACTCCATAATGAAAGACACATTACATTCATATACAAGTACAGCTAACTAATGGTGTGTCATGCCGTTGTATATACATACATTCATACCCACCAAAGCCAACAAGTAAGTAATTACTTTTGACAGATACTAACAGATAGTTTCAACTGTAATTGATTTACATATACTACGCACTGATCAAGCCTTATTAGTATCGAACCCAGAGTAGTACATTATGTTTATAGTGTATATGCAGGCAATGCATAGGTACTTCCCTACCAGCAAAAAAGTGACGATTTCTTAACGAACCGGTGCTGGCAACACAGGCGAAGGTAAAACGCCGATGTGCCCCTTTTACCACTACCGATCCTATGCCGATATTCGGTGGAGTTTTGGTACCGATATGCCATCACGTAACCAACGCCGGTGCGCTGGTACCTACTCGGCACTCTACTCTAGCACCAAATATGCACCCATTTATCGGCATTGTAACGGTACAATACGGATAAAAATAATGTTATACTGTACAATTTTTTGTATTTTACAGCATTTATTATATTCAAGAACATAATAATATTCGATAATTTATTATTGTAAATTAATAATCTACTTGCTCAAATCTTCTTCCTCGTCGGACCTCGGACCATTATTGGTTTTGATGGATTCTCCTGGAAATGATTTAGTTATTAATTTATATTATGTGGGACTTTTAGAAAATCTACTTAATGCTTAAATTATAGATTGTTGATAGGACTTACCTAAATTTGACTCTGGTTCAATTATTTCTTCTCTGAGTAATTGAGACATAACTTTGCGTCGAGACTTCCTGACCTTCTCAATGTCACTACATAGTTTCGAATCCTTTGACTACGTTTCTGATTTTCGTGTTGGCTCGCTCGAAGGTATCTGCGTATAAAAAATAAAATATTAAACATCAAAAATTATCGGATTATGTAGGTTTATGATTTATGTACCATAAGATTTGATCATCCACAATGGCCAAGCGTAGATTGAGGTTTTTGTTGTCCTTTCGGTTTATTAGAGGAAAAACAACCAAGCGTTTGATCCGGTGTTATCCAATTGGAAGGGGTAACTTCATAACTATTTTCCTCTATGAAATGGACAACTGAAAACAATTTTAAATCCATATTTGCTATTTTTTATTCACCACGTGTAATCTAACTCACCGCGACTGAGAAATGAAAACACCCGACATTGCAGTCTCACCAATACCGAATCGGTAACTGGCCGGTACCGTTGTTTTCTTTACCCAAATTTAGGTGCCGATCCAGTACCGATTGGATGGCTTAAACATCGGTACCGATATTTACCTCCACCAAACTTGTATAATTTGAACGGTGCTGGGTGTGTAACGATCAACCGGTACAGATTTTATACCGAATTTGTGCCAAAAGTACTGGTACAACAAAATTAGCACTAATTCTGTACAGGTGTGGTGCCAGTTTTACTGTACCTATAACATCGGAACAAAATCGGCATTTGCCAACAGTTTTGCCTTCATGAAATCGTCACTTGTGCTGGTAGGGTTATTTAGTGTAAATAAACCGCATCTGTTACGAGTCTTGGGGAGCACAAGCAGTCGAAATGGTTTCTTGTCTACGAGTTTTGTCTTTTTTTGAAACACATCGGCCATCGTAGTTAATCTCTCTAGAAAAGATGATTGTTTTTGTCAAGCCCCAAGATGGTAATTTTCCCATGAGATGAAACTGCTATTCGTAATTGCTTTGCTGGTTTTCAGATGGAAAGCCTGGCCGGAGAGAGGTAAAGTATTTATTTGAAATGGTTCGAAGACCAGCAGAGCCAAAGTCGTCTTCGTCATCATCATCTTCTTCGTCTGAAGAGTCTAGCTCATCTGATGTAACTCTGGCATACGAAGGTCGGAGAAAAGATCCACTACCACCACCATTTCCGCTAAAGCTACCACAGCCATCGCCCACTCCTCGCTTTCAAAATGAGTTTGAACATGACACGAAAACAAAATCATCGTTATTTGACCTTGGCAGTGATTTGGATGATGAGGATATAATTGATAATATAATTGATAATTACAATGACAAGAGCAAGGAGACGTATCTTGGTGATGAGCCACTCTTGTCACCCTCCATCGCCAGACTCCCTGCCAAATCCTCATACCCAACAACAATAGATCACTCGACAGGCATATTGGAAGAGCAGTCTGATAACAAAGCTGACGTTCGTGGGAATAACGAGAATATCATAAATCGTTCCACCTTATCGCGAAAACTACAACCACCGCCGAACGCTATTGGCAGCAGTGACGGGGACGAACACCGGAAGAGTGAAAATGTTTCGCCTGTGAAGGAACCTTCGTTATCCAGCAACAAGGACGATGACGGAGGTGTCCGAGGTGGAACCTCAGCCGGTGATGGAACGGTGGAGGTTCAAAATCACGAGGAAAAATTGCTGCTGCATAAACTTATGCAGGGCTACGAAAGAGATGTGCGACCAGTTTTAAACGCTTCAAAGCCAGTCTTAGTAAGAGTGGGGATAACCCTCACTCAAATATTTGATATGGTAAGCAGTATTGTGCGTTGAGCGAATGTACAAGCCTAAGTTCCGGTGCAGCATTATTGTACGTTGACATTTGACGCTAGATAGTTGACACTAGCTGACAGTAGTCGTCATGATGGTGAGGGTACATGTACGTTATGTACAATGGTACAGAATAAATACCGTACAGGATGAAGAACAGCCTGACTGACACGTTGCCTTTTCGAATATATTATTACGGTTGTGTGCATTTGACCTACATAATCCCAAATTCACTTTACATACAAAATATTGACTTTTAATACTATCATCCGATTTATCACCTGTAGGCGGAATCTTCACAGTTCTCGTACATCTATATAAATCGCTCGGCCATTAGTATGCTAACAAGGAGGAGATTATAGGGAAGAAAATCAAATTCGCATAATATTATACAAAATGGAGGAGAAAATGTATGCATCCAGAGAATTTATTGCTGTCAACTTCATCTTACTTCATGCGACCATGTCATACACAGACGCCTATTTAAAATTTAATCGAAAGAATATGAGATGCTATGTATGCCACCTCCATGCACAAAGATACCCATTTTCTTCTACGCAGATACTCGTGTGTATGCTATGCTCTCCAAGTAGCTAATCCTCCTACAGCCACATTTATACGTCTGTGTAGCCCCCAAAGAACGTAAATTAACCCGATCTGTCCGATTTGTTCTGTCAAATTTTGTATATTCATTGCATTGAATTTTTATTCCTCAGCAATAGTTGAATGAATGCGTGGATTTATACAATGTATTTATGTATAAATGCCAGACTGCCAGAGTACATTTATTCCATAATAAGATCTCGGTGGATAAAATCACCCTGATGCAGTCATGCTTAATATTGGTTGTCATCATGTACTTGAGAAACTCTCAAATCTTACAGAAAGAACAGACCATCATCTCATGAATTTGCTTATAGAATCTTTGAGCTTCAATGCCCATTACACTTGCTACATGTAGAAAAGATTGTTACATGTACAATATGGAATGGCGAGCAATAGACCCATCAACAAATCAACCAAAGGTTTGGATAAATAGTCGAAAAAATGATTTGTGTTTCGACCTGAAAACGAATATTTATTGTTCTTAGAATGGGTATTTTGTTGCAAAATGGCGATATTTGTACACTTTTAGGGTTTTCATCCCATCAATGAAGTACATACATACATGTAAATATTCATATACATATATTCATATTAATACATAAATATATTCCATATACATAAACATGCACAAGCGGTTCGTTAATATGTCATTCATCCGATGAAAGTGGTGCCGATAATTGACATCCCGAAGAATTTATAGTTTTTACTTTGAGGAAAACAATACTGATGTTATACTCTCATACGATTCTCAAAAACCTTGAGCTGCTTGAAACCGTTCCGTTTCTGCGTGGATTTTTTATGATGAAAAACTTACAAATATATAATGCATTAATTTTAAAACTCTGCTGTTTGAATAACTACATACGTCGAGTACTTCAAGGTTCGATTTGACTCTTTCTCATAATAAGGTTCGAATCATAAATGGCAACAGTAGAGTCGGTTATTTGAGTTTAGGTTTCTGCAAACGTATAAATAATTTTCGCAATTTCACGTGAAATGAAATGCATTGAGAGGACTCTAGATACGATCCACAAAGAAAATGTTTAAATTCGGTCCAAGCATCTTGATATTTCAATGTAAACAGGATAGATTTAGCACATTCGCATTCGCACCTTGAATGTTGTTTAGAATCTCAATAAAGTTTGGGGATTCAATTCATCTCGTCTCGGCTATGCTTTCTCGAGGACGTTGCCAGTATTGTCCCAAGAAAAGCTTTCCTTTTCTCATTTACAGATTTTAGGATTAGCTGGGAATCTAGAGCCATAAATAAAACCATAGAAATGATGCAAGATACACTCCATCCGTACTTCATGCACAGCTCAATACTACGTCGTCTATCACTTTCTTATTCACGCTCGTAACCTACACCTAAAGTTTAACCCAGTAAAAACTGGTCAAAAACTTGGTCACAATAATACTTACCAGTCTAACTGTGGGTTACATATTTTTGTGTGCGTGCAGCAAAAACAATTTACCCAAGTTATGCTAGTTTTATGTTGCTAATAAAACTAAATGGAACAACAATTAAGGAATCCAAAGTGCAATAACTTAGTCTATGTAGCTGCAGTCCTTTCATGTCGTTGTTGTTTTGTGTTCTAAAGATTGGTTCAGATAAGACTTAACGTCGGAGAGATTGAGAAAGTTTTTTTCCCTTCCTTTGTCCAAGCATTGCACGGTTTTCTGAACCAATTGTCTGTTGAATTTGATTGTTGTTCGTCTTATGTGTTAACATATAATTAGATCTTTGAACACCAAGGGAAATTCGGGTGCCTGTTACGTACATATCTACAAAAAGGAGCTTCAGTCCAATGACATACTAGAAAAATAGTTAATTTGATTTGAGTAGCCTTTAGAATTTCAAATCCAACAACCTTCCTCCATGCACACTGTATTTATTAGGATGAGCAAGGCAGAGTTTCTCGGATGAGACGCTGATGAAATTCTCGGCGTCTCAGTAATTTCAGAGGCTTCACTCAACCGTGTTTGTGTGTAGGCACTAAAAGTGTCCATTGAGGAGAAAGGGAGAAAAAGTTGAGATTTCAGTTATACCTGTTTCACAGCCTTAATAGATATTGTCCAAAGGAAGGGTGTTTGTTCACCTGTCTTGAAATAAAACCCATTCTCCTTCATCCTGTCCACCTACGCACGTACGACTCCAATCTCTCAGGAAATATGTACCCTGATGCTATCCTCCCTCAACAACAGTACGTACCTAATATCAGGAACGAAATGCGTGCTATACGTGCAAACTAATAATAAGTAGGTAAAACGAAATGACAACAAAAGTTGCACTGGTTGACAAAGGTAGAGAATGAGGATGTGAGATTCTGAGATCCATGTATCACGTCTATGGCTGCAGATTTGCTGAATCCTTCCGTATATTATATTTCTCAAGTAAACCAAATTGAATCCTAGACAAGTTTCTCAAGTCATGAAGGGCTGCATGAATACATGGCTGGGTCACAGAGACGGGCGTTTTGAGGTTTGTGGATAAGTTTAAATAACTTTGCCAAGCAGGATAGTCTACTGACTGCAGAGAAAACCCCACAGGAATTTGGATTCTATGCCGATGCATGTCTCTATTGGCTTGGCATTTGTATCTCGGCTAAAACTGCGACTAGTTTTCATATTCCTTCAAGTGCCAATCGTCCAGTTCCCGTGAGAGTGTATGGTATACATATTATATCCAGTATAGTATATCACGGTTCATCGAATAGTCCTGTGTGTGCAAGACAATACTAAAATCTTTCTCAAGTTGAATAGACAGTAATGGAGAACAAATTGAGAGAAGGCTGGTCCACCATTTCTTGTCGCACACGAGGAGAAAGTGTATAGAAATACTTTTGCTTTCCATCCACCCAATCTTTCATTGAATGTGGGTCCTATGGCCAACGGGGTTGTTTTAAGCATGAACTGACGACTGAGCTTGACACCCGGTGCCAAATGTCAAATGTGATATACGGACTAAAAACTTGCTTCACTTGTATATGCATGGACATATCTGCTTTGATGAAAGAAAACCTGGCGGAATTAAAGTTCCGTCTCAATTAATTTTCCGAGTTTTAATAAAAGTTGTAAAACTATATTTTATGTCGCAGGATGAAAAAAATCAAGTCCTTACAACATCTGTCTGGCTCGATCAAGGTGATTTTTACATGTTTATAGCGTTTTGACCTCTGCTTGATTAAATTATGCCGAACATGTTCAAGCTGTAACAAACAATACATTTATAAATGCTCATCATCGTCTAATTAAAGTCTCGGCTTTCTAAGTTATTCAAAAAGACTTTCACTTGCAATAACGTAATTGTCAATGCATCCGTAAACTAAGACATCATGGATGTAGGAAAATCCGTAAATTCGAATGCTCAAAACGTGTATGGATTTATAGCAATTATAATTATAATCACGTCAACTGGAGTTCTGTTTGAGATTCATTATCATTGTACACTTGTTTAATTCTGATATTTAGCAAATGCGCATTGTACACAAAGTATATAATGCTAGAAATCAACGAACTTGAACGATTTCACTCCAAAGAATTCAAACCAAATTGTTGAGTTTGCACTGCTTGCATGAATATAGGGAATGTGTTTGTTCCACTTGACTACATATGCACGGTTGACACGATTTTAATTTTAATGCAATACCTTTGGGTCAACAGTTATGTAGTGCACTTGTAGGCTAAACTAACCTATGTATACACATGCAAAATATATATTCGAAGCTCTTGCACCTTTAATTTTTTAGGAATCATTGTATACATATATGCGACATCGCATATATGCGATGTCCATAGGTAGATATCGAGTCTCACATTTTTTACATATGTATATGTTCTTAATCCATGAGACATACATGCATTTCAGTTTAGGGCACATTGCCCTGAATTTTGTATACGTCATAAATTCAAATTTGTTAATACAATACGCATATTCAGTTTGTGAGGCTTATATGTTGTGTGAACAACACATCGTTATTTCGAGAAACAATCTCTCTTCTAAATCTCTTTCAATCCCTGCTTTGCTTGCTTTAAGAAGATCGCTGACTTGACAGTCCTGAGTTGACACTAGGCAAAGCTAAGATGTTTTGTTAAGCAATTTAAACATTTATTTGTTGCAGAATGGAAGGACGATCTGCTAACCTGGGACCCAAAGGACTTTGGTGGTCTGGAGATGATTCGAATTCCATGTGAAAGAATTTGGCTTCCGGACATTGTTTTGTATAACAAGTAATCCTGTTCTTATCAATTTCTACCTTCCCCAAATACAATTTATAGATATTTGCTTACAACTTTGAAGATTTTAATGCAATCTATGCAATGATGATTATGTATAGACGGTTCAGAATGTTAAAATTAAGTAATTGTAAAATGAGTGATATGTATGAAATATGAAAGCTGAAACATGGGTTACTGCCGCATGTGTTCTAACCTTTTGTGTGCACTCAGCTTTTTTCCTAAGCTTGGTAAAACTGATTTGATTTATTTGCCCGACTATCCAGACGTGAATTTATTTTAAATTGTTTGTTTAAGTGCGGATGATTACACGCGAGGCTACATGCAGTCGAAGGCGATGGTAAGCTACCATTAGTCTACATCAGACTCTATCTGAGATTTTGATCTATTACTAGGTGAGCTACGATGGAAACGTTTTCTGGCCCCCCCCAACGAAATTTAGGTATTAACCCCCCCCCTCCCCCTCAAATAAAACCCCGTCTTCATACTAATGAAGTCGGGGTGAAGGGAAGAATATTAAAAAAAATACACATCAGCCAAGTATGTACGAGAATAACACGCTTCCCATTATTGTGGGGATGTGGGGACGTGGTAACGCGGTAGTGTACAGAACGAAAGGTTGTCGGTTCAGAGCTCACAGTTTTTGCTCGTACTTGGTTTAATTGGCTTTTAAAAATTTTTTTCTAATACTCATTACTGCATTTTTGTATTCAAACTTTTTTTTCAAACTCTAACCAAATTTAGGTCGACCTGTGTTGTGGATGTAACCTTTTTCCCCTTCGACCTGCAGACATGCTCCTTAAAATTAGGGAGCTGGACATACAACGGATTCCAGGTACATTGATGCGTACAATTATATTGCTTGATTTACAAATAGGAAAACTATGTATGTAAATCCTGCAGGTATGAGTAGAAAATAAGCGTGTAGCGAATTGTGGTCCAAGCTGTGCCTAAACTTACCCACATCCAAGGGTGGGCAAACTTTGCGAGTGCCCCTGATTGCTCGCGAATTCTTCCTTCCAAAAGCGTCACTTAACAATATAGAACTTACAGCTACTCGCTAATAAACACAGAGGTCGATGCCAGGTTGGGTTATTTTCACACCTAAATTTTCATACATGCGATTCATATTTGCTGTAAAAATGACCGTTATTCGGATAATTCGGATAATTCATATGACACATACTTATATATATTCAATTGAAGTATGGAATTCTGACAACTAGAAGAGAAATATTTTATGTTTTCTAACCGCTTTACTTTCACTTTGTATTTCATCAATAAGTTTCAGCTCATGATATCGCCCAAGATACTTGTTAATTCCTAACTTTCTGGCTGATTGTTTTTCATATTTTCATAGGTTGATTAAAACTTTTAATTTAAAAGTGTGGAAATTTACATATATCACGCGTGGCACAAGCAAAAAATAAACAAGAAGACTTTCACTCTAGCTATTTGTATGCCAAATTGTGGCGCAGAATGACTTTAGCTCATAAATCGTAGCAGGAATGATACGCGATGATTTAAATGTTCTATTTTAAATGATTCTATTGGTCATTGGTAATTTTCAATCTTTACTTTATCGATACTAGGTCGATGTTACTAACCGAACTTCCGGTGTAGACCTTTCTAACTACATTTCGAACGGGGAGTGGGAGCTTTTGCAGGCAGTACAACAACGAAATGTTGTCCATTACAGTTGTTGCCCTGAATTTTTCCCTGATGTGACTATTACAATTGTCATTAAAAGAAAGACTCTGTAAGTGGAAAACAAATGCTAAGTGTATATAATCTACAGATATGCACCTCTGCAGATGAGGAACAACATCTTAAATGACAGGATGATTCAAGAAAATTGTTAAATTTACAGATATTACATCCATAATGTCATCTTGCCCTGCATTATGCTCTCATCCCTGACACTGTTAGTGTTTTGTCTCCCCCCCGACTCTGGAGAAAAGATTGGGTAAACAGAAATTTGAATATTTAAAATATATATCCATGTATATATTGAGCATTTCACGTGCTCATCACGATGTACAGGCTTGGGATAACCGTGCTTTTGTCCTTCTCCGTATTTATGCTGGCCATCAACGAGTAAGTCTTTAATAATCAGTCTTAATTTCTTATGCAAATGCATCGTTACTTCATCATCTTTGATGTCTAAGGAGGCAAGTGTATCCTTGCATGTAGTTGCCTATGTACTGCTCGTTCCTTTATGATGCCTCGTTCGATATGATACATATTCCTGCATAATATTTCCGAGTCAGAGTTAATTTTACTTTCACCGTCCACAACTGCCCCTGGCTGAGGAAGAGAGAGAATTGGATTATGAATGAATCACGCTCTTGATTAATATCCATATATACGTTTTCAGAAACTCTTGTGGAAATTTATACCATTGATTAATGCCTACCGTTTAAATTAGAAGAGTTAAGATGTCAAACTAATAAATATCTCCATTAATAAGTATTTAGTTATTCCAAGATAGTTAAATAATTTACAAAATTAGAAATAATACATCTCGTTTGATGTATATAGTAGTTTTAACTCGTGTTCAAGTCGTGCACTGTGCTTCCAATCTTCGTAAAAAATACTGGTCACCTAGATTGCCAGTAAAAGAAAGTGACATGTAATCGCGTGCACAATGTTTATGGTGGCAATGAGCAACAATAATGAATACGCATAAGTAGGTATAGCTAAAACTGCCCTTTTCCAAGTGAATATTAGCCAAGTGAAGAAAGTTGAGACGAAGGTAGGTTTTTTGAGTGAGCATACAAATTCGTATGCGAATCAGAGTGCGTATGTACATAGCTAGCCGAACTGGGTTTGAGCCCACATCATTGAAGGGCGGAATAAGTGAAAGTCAGTGAATGTCAGCTCGGATATTATACGGTATCACTGATCTGGAGAAAGTGGGGCAATTTGATATTACAAAATATGCCTATATAATCTCTCCAAGTTAACTAAAATTACAACTAAAATGGGGATACTTGAGAATTGAATTTCTGTGATCAACAGGAGCCTCCCTGAAACTTCAGAATCAATCCCACTAATTGGTAAGGTTATGAGATTTTACAGAATTGCATTCCAGAATTCCCGAACTTTCTCCATGTAATAATACATATCTTTTGTCTCAATAAATTAGGAGTGTACCTGACCATCGTGATGGTAAATTGAGATACGCAAATTAGTAAAGAGATTATCAGAATATATATTCATTGCGACTTTATAAAAATTATTACACTATATGATCTGCACTGACTTAATTTTAACTGTGTACACAAAATTAGGCCATAACATCAGTGTCCGTCATGATGACTGTGGTCGTGCTCAATTTGCACTATTTGGGACCTAAAGTTCGACCAGTTCCGCGCTGGCTCATGTTAGTACATATGTCTTAAAGTTAACCCTTAAAATATTCATGTTAAAAGTGTAATTACCCGATTTGCCTGTGCCGAAAGTAAAGAGTTTCTCTTGGAGGGAGGGTAGTGCGTGACATAATATAAGTGTCATGCACTGCACCCCATATAATATACTATGTATCTCATGTCTGTCTAACACATTTATTTTGGGTTTATTTTGGGTATCTTGACCTTGACAGGCACCTTCTTCCCAAGGATACAGGACATTACAAAATTCGCCAAAAAAGTTTGATGATCCCAGTAGGACACAGAGAACCGAGAAGTGGAAGCCTGAAAAGAGCTCATGTATTTTTTACTCAATCTCGACGAACAGGATCACAAGGTTACTCTACTGAAGTACCACGAGAGAAAGTGGAGGATAATATGGCGACGACAATGGAAGCCGCCTCGGAGGATTCAGAGACTTTAACAAATGACAACTCAGGAAACTGTTCGCACAACGTGAGGCGACGAGTAACTCTGAGCGGAGATATGAAAGTTCCTCATCCGGGAAATATTTTGGAAACCCAACCACAACGCCATTCTGGCAGTGATTATGGGAGAGAAGATGACGACAAGGTTGTTGTGGCTTCACCCAGTACCACAAAGCTTTTTGAAGAACTTCTCATCTCGCTTAGACTCCTAATCAGTAAACAGGAAGAAGTTGAAGCTCAAAACAATCTGGTTGCTGAATGGCGACTTGTTGCCCAAGTTGTGGACCGAATTCTTTTTTGGTTGTTCTTTACTTTCACTTTTGTTTCATCCATGCTAATACTTGTGGTGCTTCCAGTCTACAATCAAAAATCACCATTGCTGGATGTGAATGATACGAATATTATGTAATCCTCTGCAGTTTTCGTTCATAAGTATATCAGCAGTGGATAAAATCAATGGGCGACAAATCTTGTTTTATACTATGCATAAAGAACCTGGCCCTAAAATCATGTTAAGATATAAATTGAGATATATATATATACGTATATATTTACAAATTGATGAAGAGATTATCAGAATAAATATTTATTGTGAAACTTTATAAAAATTATTACACTCTACATGATCTACACGAACTTTTAATCATGATTTTAACTGCACACAAAATGAGGACTAATAATATCATCAACATCAAGAAGCATCAACATCCATTGGTTCTATTAATTCATCCATTTTTCGTATCAGTTTTGGCTGTAAAGTAATGTCAGCAAAAGCATCCTGGAGTGCTCTTCGGCATGCAATACTTGAATGAAAACCTCCAGCTACTTCTGGGGTCGTGGCTGCTTTAACATGGTTGAGGTATTTTGAGTGTGTGGATTTTAATTCGTCAATCGTTGGGGGGTGTAGCCCTCCAAAGTCTAATTTAAGTTCTTCGTATGAAAACAAGGGAACCTCCTCCGATTTAGGCACAGGAAGAAATGATGTTCTTCCAGAACCAAATCCAATCCCTGAAGTGAAAGCAACAGGTGCAGGGACCACCTTCGGTACATCTATTTGAACATCATACTCAAAATTCGCTTTGGAACTTTTATGTGATGCCAGGATGGATTTTGCATCAGTCTCAGAAAACATGAGATCATCAATTAGAGCTTCGTGGGATTTTAATTTTCTTAGTTTCTCTTGTCGTTCTACTCTTAAGGCCTCGAGTCGCATCATTTCAGAGCGCATCTTTTCTTCTTCGAGTATAGCGTCCAACTCTAACAATTCTTCATTAAACTTCGATTGCGTCCTTACTTTAGCTAATGATTCCTTGTTGTCTCTTTTGTATTGCTCAATTCTCTTGTTAGTGTCGATTATATCAATATTATTCACTAAGTTAAACACAACTGTTTCTACCTGTAACCAATAATAGGTGCATCGTTTTTAGTTAAAAATTTGATAATACATCTGCAGAATATGTATTTATGTCTTATATTAATATTACACCTACTTCTTCCAAGTAGTCGTTGTACTCTCTTAAACTGGTAAAATCGCTTTCTCTTTTACAATAATCACGAAGAATTCGTCTCCTAATATCGACTTCCTTCTCAACAATAGGATCTTCGAAAAGCTGAATGCGAAAACCAGATCTTCTCAACGCCACGCCACATTCTGGACAAGCCCCCGATCCTGCATTCATTACATACAATAATATAACACCCATAAACCGGTGATTAAATTTACGTCAGGTCACGTACCTTTTACAAACAATAGCTCAACACAACTCTCGCACAAGGCATGACCACAAACGTTTACCAGCAATTTTAGTGACGGATTTCTGTACTTTGTCGTCTTGCACCGAGGACAAACCAAATCATCCATGTTTGATTGACCTAAATCGATAAACAAATACCTTTATCAAACAAGTTGTCGTCAACATTGAACATCGTGGCTATTATTCGTGAATTACAGGTGACTCTAAAATTTAAAACGATAATTTGCGGTTGGTGAAAATTAAAATATTTTCTTACAAACGTTCTCAAAAATGCTTCCTTAATTAATCCTTATGGCGAAGACCCGTTCTCAATTATTGAAATGACTTTGCCTTGTCCTGTCTGACTACGACGAGGACAATATTATCATCATTTTACAACTTTTACTAATTTATCTACACGTTTACAAATCAAATTAATAGCAAGGTAGAAAAACCTTTCAAAATTAGAATTCAAGCTGAATCAAGAGAGCCTGCCTGAAAACTGTAAACTGAAAAGTCGGTTGGTGGAATGGAATGCAAAGTAAAAGCGAACTTGATTCCCGGGGTCTCAAAACACAAAAGAGAAGAAATCGTTAAAAGCACGTTTACCGGCTGATCAATAATTGGATAAATTAAGAACAAATAAATAAATTCATTAGTTGTTCTTCGAAATTCTCTGGAAGCAAACTAAAATGAACTCCATGATGCCCAACCTCGGCAAGAAAGCTACCGGTGGACAACCCTCGGTACGGGTTTTAATATTCATTTTTTAAATTTACTTATCCATTCATATGTTTTTTTGTACAGGATACCGACGTCAACATTACCAAAGAAAACCAAAAGAAAATCAACCAGTTTGCAATACGCAACGGCTGGTTAGATGAACTGAAGGACGAGTTGAAGGCGAAACAGGTACAATCAACTACATGTGTAACTTGACAGATTTCAAAATTGTTCCTTATAATTCATAATTTATAATGGATATTTTTGTTTCTTGAAGAATCTCCTTAAAAATTTGGAGGATGCTAGTGACGAGGTTACTCTTCTCGATGATGATGTCCCTGTCCCAATCCTAATTGGAGAAAGTTTTGTTCACTTTGACCAAGAACGAGGACTGGTAACAAATGTTTCTTAAAAATATATGAGCTATCGTGTCTCAAATTTGTGTAACTTTTAGGAGCAAATTTCCATCTTACAATCAACCATCCGAAGCCAAATCTCAACCATCGAAGCAAAGATTGCTACAATCAAATCGGAAATGTCAGGATTGAAGCAACAATTATATTCCCAATTTGGTGACTCCATAAATCTTGAATGTGAAGAAGAGCTGTAAATAGCTTTCAACTAACCTCATCATTTAATCATTTTATTCCGTAATTTTTATTTCTATCTAATACTCGGTTATTATGATTTCGATATAATTGATAATAATTGCTAATAATAAACATTTACTGAAAAATTAGACTGTCAGAATTACTTTGCAACTTATTTCCTCGAGCAATTTAATGTGATTTTTAAATGTATACAAGTTCAATTTTATATCTTAATGGTTGTAATGTCTTTTAATAAGGCCACAACTAAGTTTCCACACTATTGTGGAAATGATTGAGAACTACTTAAATTACTTATTGTCATGCATGGGCAGGGACAATTTATATTGTGAATTGCGATATTGGGTCAAATGGTAACATGAGCAGTAGTCTCGTTTGAACATGCCATGCAAACTTACCGTTCATGTTTCATTCGTATGCATGCCATTCTTAGAAATTTCGATTAATAATAGTGCAACCACTCTCTGAATAATGATTTTAACGAAAGTGTCACTTGCCCATAAACATAATTTACGAGACGAGGAGTCAGGAAGGAGGGCGAAGATGAGAAGAAATAAATAAGTAGATCATCCATCTATGCATCTACCTACCGACTGTAGGCTACAGTCCTGTTTTGTAACTGCTGTACTGCATTTTTAATGGAGTAATTAACAAGTGACCAGCACAATGCGAGCTAATTAATAAATCTGTCCCACCCCTACGTTTCCGCTGCCCAAAGAAAAATTGTAACCAGCTTTGTTTTAAATGTTTCATTCTATAATATTCAAAAATGATTGACAGTGACGAGCTGTAATCTCTGCATGTTGACATAAATAGGTTTTTCTTTTCATGAGCTGAAAATTCTAATGAAATCGAAAGTGCAAACAATTTCTGGTTTGCATTGTCATCTCGCATGTGCTAATCAATATTTGACGTGAAGATTAAATCTGTGGGCGGCGATAGATATTGTACGGATCAAATGATTGAAATATTTTTCTTGCATTGCGTGATTGGAGGACGAACTAATTAATCTCCAATAATTATTATGAGCACAATGTTCCAGGAAATTTTTTAATGTGAATGAAATTTGTACCTCAAAGTAAATTCTTACACAGAATTTATGTATTCTGACCTGTTGAACAGAATTTAAGCCACGTGAAGTCGATTTTGAAAAAAAAAATCGTGCAAAGCTGATATTCTGATATGGGATCAATTTTATTGGTTTACTTTGTCAAATTTATAAATTTTAAGTATTTGTTTTGAGACATTTGCTTTAATACAACGCTGGCGACAGTTGGAGGAAGCAGTATCAATTTCTTGCAGCTCCAAAAATTATTACTAGTGTCAATGAAAATTGTAAATAACCAAGACCTTACGATACATCTTCATTCAGTGTTTTCTCAACTTATCACATACATTTTCGAGTCTAACTTTTCCAGTGTTTTACTAAAAATATCTACCACAATATGAAGTTGTTTACTGTGGAAGAGTATGGAACTTTATATGCGTCAGGTTACAAAGAAAAGCATCTCATAGTACGTAATTTGTTGTGAACTAATGACTCATCATGTAATATTTCCAGAATATTCACACGTACATATTTAATTGTTTAACCAATCGTAAGTAGCATATACCCGAACAATAAGTGGTCCCATGCAGTTATCAAGGAAATTGGGATTTCCAAGATTTCCAACCAATCCCAAGTTTTACTATCTTTATTTTTCATCGGAACTTGGAATCATTCTTCCCTCTGCGGTTTTTACCAATTTACATTAAATAAACAATGCTAATCAGGTTACTTGAATGGAATATATACTTTTATGGTTCTGGTACAGAGGAAAACGTGCATGCATTTAATAATCTGACCATGGTGGAATTTTACAAGTTTTACCCCAGTCACCAGTGCAGTAGTATCAGATCTAAGGATAAGAAAGGGAAGGAAGCGTCGTCTTCTTCATAAATGTGCCTGCTAGTAAAGTAAGTAAATACATAGCCATTTAATTTAGTGCTTTTAGTGGTTATAATAATTACTAGCAAAGGAGAATTGAGTGTGGGAATTAAGCAACAACAATTGGAAGACTTGAAGCTCGAATCTCACAGATGATGGTGCGAACTAATTACACCAAAATCCTTGGCCGGGATTAAATGCTTTGTTAATAAACCTGGAAAGCTAGAGTACCATGTTGGTACATACGTTCATTTCTTTAGAAAAATCATAAGTAAATATATGTTTCTGTCAGAATTCGCTTTAATCATGTTAGCAGGGTCTACAGTTTACTTTAAGAATTTGCAGATTGCAATCAGAGAAATTGACGCACGGAAAGATGTGATGTGAAGAGTAGTGAAGACAAGCCATTCCTTCTTCATAAAACAGAACGATGAATCGTACTCGGATTCTGCTTAATTAATTTTCTACAAAATCATGAAACTGATATAAAACGCCAGTAATGAAGAGGCATATAATGATAAGCTGATAAATACACGCAAACTAAATTAATTACATAGTCACGCCACAAGTTCACAAAATATTATGCATACATATGTACATATTTACATGTACATACATATACAGTGAAATAAGTGCATATGTACATGAGCTAGACAAAATATGGGACTGCATATATGGTTTATTTTATGTTAAACAAATGGAATTTGATATTTTTTCTCTTGCGAATATGCTTTTATTTTATGTGCATAACATAGCACAAATAGAATTACATGTTATTATGAGTTGTGAATGTAAAAATTTATGACAAGATTATGAATCTAGCACAAATGATTCATCGTCTAATATTACGACTGTGTATTATTGCATGCAGGTAGTTGCACTGATGATCATTACGAATGTACATATAGCCTAGTGCGAAATTGAAGTAATCAGAATTTGCAACCACGAGGGGCGATGATGCGGACGGACGGGATGTACATATGACGCAAAGTCTTAACGCTATTGTGAGGGAGAGTGACCACTTTATGTGTATTTGCTCACCTTCGCTCTCATGCAGTTTGTATGACCAGCAAAGAATATAATAATATTGTTATGCTGTCTGTAGTATTATGTATGTATGAACATTAATTAGAACATTATTATAATAGCTTCTTTAATCGTCCCAAGTAGCTGGAGTTCCCATCCAAACCATTTCTATAGGAGACTTCAAGTGAAGACTCAAGAGCTTGCAATTCTGTTTGGAGATATAAAAGCATCAGGATTTATTTCAAATCCATTTGCCAGCTTGGTGTGGTGTGTCTCTGTATAACTTTAACGCCTAACGTATTTCCCCCGTACTTTGTGATATTTAATTTAATTTCCTAAATAAAACAGACATAATTCGATCTGAAATGAAAACGATTTCGCTCGCTGTGTGCTCCCTGGTCCTTTTTTTCATTGCCCATTGTGAGGCAGCGTCCCTGAGAAGACATAAACGACAACTTGTTCCAAAGGAATTTGCAAATATTAATATTGAAAATTATTTAAAGGTATGTTGTAGTTTTTTCTCGTTTTTTGAACTTACATAACAAACTTGAAATGTCTCTGATAATGGTGTGTTTTCTTTAACCTGACGCAGAATGACAGGGCTGTGCAATTTCAATTGAAATGCATAGTGTACGATGGGCCGTGCGACCGAATCGGTATGAATTCTCATTAGCACTGACTAACTGGCTAATACATAACAAATAGTTTTTCTCTATTAATACCATTTATTACCATTTATTTATTCAGGGAAATATCTCAAGGTGACCATTCCCGAGTTACTGACAAATCAGTGTCAAAATTGTGATCCAGCCCAGAGACAAAGAGCAGGACGTCTTGTCCAGCACATTCAGCAAAAGTTTCCTAAAGAATGGTCCGTTACAAAAATGTTTTGCAATTTAATTTAGCATTTATTTTCGCATTTGCATATTTAATGTTGCGATTCTTTATTCAGGTCGGATGCTGTGCAAAAATTCCAAGTGAGCATAAAATTATTCCATTTGACTTTAACATAAACCAGTTCAGAGAATGGTGCATTATTATTGTTGCTCATGTTTACTTTCCAATTCATGAACTCATTCACAAAAACTGAAGTAATCGTTACTGCCCATGCTATTATGCAACCTCTGAATTAGTTTACGCCAATTTCTAAGTAGTTCACATCGCTTGTTTGAACTAATTTTGGTTGGACGCTTTATGCTTGTTCTTTATGCAAATGCAAGCATCATCACAAGCCGGATAGCAACTTCGTTTTAATTGTTTGTTATAATTGTTGCATTATTGAGAATTGGTGTGATAGCATATCATTATTTTCTTATTGATGAAATATTGCTTATTTAATTAAAAGGGGGGACAAGTAAAGAAGGAAGACGCAGACAAGTTGGAAACCCTGCTCGGGGTTAAACTGGACTCGAAGCTGGTCGCCGACGCTACGACGACAATTGCTCCGATAACAACAACCACCACCACGACAACTACTGCCCCTCCAGTTTCCTCCTCCACGGAAGCTAGTGCAACTTCAGCTCCGTCGTCAACGACCACGACTACAGCCCAAAGTACCACTTCTGCAGCACCAGAGGCCACATCGGCCACTCCAGTATCTTCCAGCAGCGCGGCTCCGGAAGTGACCTCAAGTTCTGCGATTCCTTTGAGTTCTAGCGAATCACCAATCATATCATCAAGCACCCCTGCCACCATCGCAAGCAGCAGTGCGTCTCCAGTCCAAGTCTCATCTAGCAGCACAGCCCCAGAAGTGTCCACGTCAGCAGCCCCCTCCAGCACGACAACCACGGTGGCCCCCACATCAGCGGCAACTTCTCCCACTCCAACCCCCGTCATCTCAACGGAAGCCAGTTCCTCCAGTTCAACCACCACCACGGTTCCAGTCGTTTAAATTCTAGCGTAAAACATATTTTCCAATAATAATGCGTCTTCATATTTGCATTTCACGAGCAACAAAGGTGATAATATCCAATGTTCAATACCCAACATATTAGCTAATGTTATAATAATATCCTCATGCTTGTATTTGAGATACATTTTTACCCCAATAATTAAATAATTAATACTGCAGTATTAATAATACTTAATAATTATTACTGCATGCTAAATGTATATATGCTTGTAGTGTATTTAGGAAGGTGTTCAATGACGCCACCTCGTTCTCTGTCTCTGATCACTGAATAAATAACAGAACCTTTCAAAATGATGAAATGACACGGGGTTCCCACTTCTTTCAAGGTTATTTGATTGCAGACTATTTTAAGCGAAAGTAAAAGTTCAATTCAAGGCCGAATGCGAAGATGATTATGAAGTTGACGCGATTCTGAAATACGGCCCGTGAAGTGGGTACATAGTTGTCCAAGTGTCCAATATTTATATGCATGGATGGAAAGGAGTTGAAATATATCCTTATGTCGTATTTACATACAAAGTGCACACACCCCTACATGAAATGCAATATTTCTTGCAATGCGGAAATTGGAGTATGAAAATAAAGTTTATCTCGTATTACTTATCCTTGAGGAATATATTGGACTTGGAATCTCTTTTTCTCTTCCCCTCTGTATTCAGGGTTGGGTGGAATAAAACAAATTTCTTAAAAATAGAATTTCAAGGAAAAATGCAAATGTATCTCAAGGGCAAAGGGTCCCAAAAGTCGGAGATGATCATAATTTCAAGGAGTTATTCCCTTCATTCAGTTTGTGCACCTCATCTCGTTCAAACACAACTCCCGAATATACATATCTTCGCCTTTTACAAAATCTCATTGTCGTACAAATTGGTAAGTACACGAAAAACTGAACTTACATAAACATAAAATTCTACCATAATTGTTTCATGCGCAAAATTAACTTCCGAATTTTAAATATTTTGCAGTTCATGAAAATTGCAATATGAGTAAGGAAATATTACTACTTGTAATTGGTGTCGTTATTGGTGTCGGTATGATGACTTGTGCAAATGGACAGGTTGTAACTTCTGAAATCTTGGAGAGGTAAGAACGTAATAAATATTTTAAACATTATGGCACCTGATTTGTCGATCTATAATCATGAGATTCATGTCTACCTACAATTCTACAAACCTTATATCGAAACTAATGGAATAAATGTGGTTCACTAATTTTGAAAGGATTAATGTGGATACCTACTTGCAAAATCGACGCCTTGTGGAGTACCATGTTAGCTGTTTGGTATACAATGGACCATGTGACAAGATTGGAAACGAGATCAAACGTATGTAGAAAATCAAACCCATTACAACCTGAATGTCATGCCACAAATACATGTCATTCGTTTTCCAGGGCTATTTAACTCCTTCCGGTACAGTGGGATCAGTACAACAGAGTGTCGCGTGTGCTCCGGTAAGTTATTCCCTGTTACTCAAGATATATTGAAGTCCTAGGTGAGTGTAGGAAAAAAGAAGGGTTTTAATCCATGGCCCCATTGCGCCCGCCACACCCCTTCAAAAGCACTGCAACTGCTGCCTCATTCAAACCCGTCGCTAAAAAATCAATTGTTTATAATTTTATTCATTTTTACGTCGTCTTGATCCTAGAATGTTGTTTCATCGTAGCCAATATCAGACTTTTAAAAAAAAAATTTGAGGACTTTCGAAAATTTCCTGAAATTTTCGAAAAATCAAATCAAAAAAGTCGAGTTTATGCTGGATATGGTAGACCTTGGACCATAAAATTATAACCGACCAAAATTGGATTTTTGACAAGGTTTAAATGAGAGAAAATAGGGCTGTTTCATGGTTTTTGCCTTTGAGATGGTGTGGCGGTCATGGAGTCAAATCACTTGGGGTACAACATATTCAAAAGGCATCGAAATCTGGCACTCACCTCCTCAATAAAACACCTACGGAATTAAAGATGAGTCATGTGTTTATTTCAGAGGAGCAGAAACGCCGATTATCCAAAATTGCTCAGCACTGGCAATCTCACTATCCACAGGTTAGTTCAATGCATATTAACACTTAATTTCTGTACGAAAACTCTTTGCATAAGTCGTTTTGTAAATTTCGCAGGCTTGGAGAGATTTGAACACCGCGATGAGGAATCGATAAAGACAAAGCCGTCGAGACTAAAATTAGGACAAGGCATCAACTTGTATGTAAATGTAGACAATCCAACAATATTTTTTGTACGCGTCATTTTTTGTTTTGTTAAATATTCAAATCTGGTCAGTGCTTAAATAAATAAATAAATATGTGTGTGAATGCTCGTACTAATAATATTTAATTTGGTCTTTTCCGAATAATGATCTTCGTTAAATTGAATAAGGAAATCAGCATTATAGAATCTAATTGATAATGGTGGGTCGAATTGCAAATACATGTACATACGTACCCAAATGCACGAATAAAAGGATGTCGTTCTTTACAATCAACTCTGCCGCATTTTGTACTAATGACGAAATTCATAATTAACGAAAGACAGAAAATTGCATATCCTACAAAAAATTACTTGCTCAATAATTTAAGCCTTGGTTTTGTGTTGAATTTTACAAAAGAGTAATTCATTTTGTGTATTTGTTAGGGCAATGTTTGGCTAATAAAATGAGTACCTTTCTTAACACCATGTATATGCAAATGTGCCAAGAAGTAACTAGTGCTAATTTCTACCATGTGCATAATATGACAATCTTGTGCAATAATTCAAAAATCTGTCATCCATCTCCCCTTAATAAACCTAATAGTACTTTAAGTCATCAATTGTATAATTGTTCTCCTGTTATTAAATATGCAGTTGTATACATGCTGCAAATTTATTATGTACCGGTTACACACACTTGCTTCTGCAGTTATCACTTGAAATACGATAATTGTTTGGGTAATGGTTGAGATCTTGATACGACGTTTTTTTTGCCTTCACTAGAATGGGTTTTATTTTAAGCTGGCTTATATTGTAGGCCAATGTTACAATTAAGTAAATTTCAACGCATTTACTTTTTATAAAACCAACTCAATGCACACGATAGCATGAAAATGAACAATTTTGGAACAAAGGAATAAAACTAACAGCATCTTTTATCTTGTAACCATATCCATTAGCCATTAGCGGATTGTTTAAACAAATTATGCAGAATCAAATGTTTCACGCAGTAAGTTATGTGCAAAATGCATAACGTATGTACGGCAGAATTAAATTGATGGAATGCACAAGATTGTGCTGGGTGTTTTATTTTGCAGAAGATGCATGCATACAAAGATTTTCCACTCTCACACTCGAAGGTAACGCATGTGCTAATAAATTTCGCTAAGCAGGAGAAATGGACAAGAAGACCTTTGCTAATTCCACAGTCAGTCCCTTAGGCTCTCGAAAAGTCTGCGATTATTGTTAAAGCAAACTGCTCCTATTGCATAAGTTTGCAGAGTTTACTCTGAGATAAAGGAGGAATTACATACTTGTAAGGAGGAGGCCAATTACTTCTTGGTGCACATCTCTTGAACAAATCAATGGATCCACTTAACGATTCGAGTGGAGAGTGATTGACAAGACGTGCGTTTAATCAATACGAGAGTATGAGACGTCGAGAGCAATGCATTGTTGTTAAGTATTGTTAGAATATTAAGATTATTAATACCGGAAGTAATTTAATTTAAGTGCGAGGGATTGTTATACATATTTCTAATATCCTCCTGCAGTGTTTAATAATATTGTGGTATTAATTATTAAAGAGTGATACTCTGCTATTGGCTAAAAAATGTCCAAATCATAGCTTCAACCAACCCGTGAATCAGAACCGTTGTTGACGTATTACTATTTGTTTGCAATACTATATTGTAATCCAAGGATTGAGAAATGAAAGAAGTGCATGAGAGCATCTTAATTCTAGGATTGACCATGATCGCAGGAATATTGTTACTTCTCTTTGACCGGAGATCGCAACCTGGAAATTTTGATATTGTACGAATGTATGGGTCCCCAGAGTCAAGTCATCAGAGGCTTATGCTGGTCAAAATTAGTTGAAATCACTGGATAATTACATATTGTAAATTACCAACAACAAATCGTATCTAGTCAAGCATGGGAAAGGTAAGAATAAGATGCAAAAGTCATTATCCACTTTAATGATGAATATAAAATTATATGAATATTGTTCACCAGGCAAATAAAACCAATGGCCAAACCACAGTCCTTCCTGTCACTTGAATAAGCACTTATACATATGCATAAGTAATTATGTAGTTTGGTTCAACGGGTGATGTCGTACTTATATAATGACATCCAATATGGACGAAAATTAATTAAACTATTTATTATAAGGTATTTACATAAGTAAATATGTATGTTGTACTCCCGAGAATTACGTTTTCAAAGAAAAATACAGATTATGAATTCACGAATCTGTAGTAATTTGCTGTTGTGTTATTTTCAAGCATTATTTGTCACACGTTTGACGTTGGTTAGGAGAGACTGGTTTAGCAGCTCCTGGTTATTTAAATTTAAATTAGACGATTTCTTGGGAATTCCTCAAGTGAATTTCTAATGACGTAAGTGTTTCTAACATTTCTTGGAATTAAAATTAGTATCATTAGTACGCTTTGCCACCTTTGACAAACAGGCAATGTCATACGTAATGCGTGGCATATGTATATACTTACCAACTAAAACATTTACATATGCGCATATGTATGTTCATGCATGCATATATATATCAACTCCAAATTCGATTTGTATTATTTCCATCAAAAACGCACCATAATAATTTGCGTGAATGTAAAACTTGTTTTTCACTTGACTCGACAATTTCAAAAATAAAACCGGTTGACATTCAATTTTAAATATATAAGTAGACAACATATGGTTGATAGAGTGCATCATGAAATTAGGTGTACGTATATGTACCTGCTTCCAATTAGCGTCATCAATTTCAGAGTAGAAGAGGTTTCGGGGCTGTAAAATTTACAATTTAGTCAGCCATATAAAAAGGTGAAGAGCTTGTGATACTTTCTAGTTGAAATCTGGTGTAGGAAGATACATGCATACTTAAAATTGTATTTAAAATTAGCGAATTATATTGTATTTTTAGTCTATTTATTGTGTAATACGAGAATATTAGTGATAACAATGGAGATATTTAGGCAAGGTACATTATTGGCAGTCTTGACCTTTGCATTTCACATTGGAATCATAACCGGAAGTCCTTTGAGCGAAACTTCAGCTCTGGAAGGTGAGAGGGTTCCAAGGGCAAAAAGTGATGTTAATACCCAAATGCTAGAAAAAATCAATGTCGACAAGTACTTGAAGAATGAACGTGCAGTTCGGCAACAAATTAAGTGCATTCTCAAGAATGGGCCATGCGATTCTGTGGGTGTGTGCCAATAAAGTTGTTCACATTGAAATTATTCCATACTCATCGTTTACCAAACTTTACTAATACTTTAACATTACATTTAGGTAAAGAAATTAAGAAACTGATGCCCATGATTGTCAAAGGCAGTCAGATTTGTGAAGAATGCACCCCACAACAGTTGGAGATAATTAACAAGATCATAAATCATTTGAAGACTAATTATCCAGCAGAATGGGCTGAAGGCGTGGAGAAATTTGGAGCACCTGCCCATGCATAAAGACTGAATAATGTAGTAAAATTATTTATATAAATGGAAAAATATTTCAATTCGTGCTTATGGAAAACTATCTCTAAGAGATTTAGAAATAAATTTATTGCTGAGCACTGGCAACACTGAATTGAAGGAAATTGAGATGTTTTACTAAATAAAATACCACAACTGCACACACGCGTATGTACATTCATCTAAGCACATACATATACTCATAATTTCCCAACAGTCGTTAACTATAATCCAGTGAATATCATGGCGGAAAATGAAAGCCAAGGGCCAGCAGTCGTCCAGCTAGCTGAATTGACAACTGACAAGAAGGACTTGAACAACTTGGACGATTTGACACTTGATGAGTTGGAATTATTCAAAAAACGAATGATTGAAGATGGCCGGATGGACTCAATCTTTCGGTTGAAACAGAATTTGAATGAAAAGTTTGATAATCGAGCATACCTTCACCCACATGGAATGACAGAGTTTGACTACAAATCAATTCCAGAGAATCGTAGAGAGCAATTTGAAAAGTTTAAGGTAAGTATTTGCATGCAAGTTCATAATTACAAAGAAATATGTGTCACCACTATTAATTAATCTAATCTTTTAAAAGCACAAGACTCGTCATGAAAACTATCAATATTTAGGAGGACATTACGAGTTGGATGCAATGCTAGCGTTGTTCTTCAAGTAAGTAATAATAATAAGCAATATAATAAGGTCAGACGTTTCAGAAAATAATCAAGCACACCCAAATGCTTATGTTAAATAAATGTTAAAATAAATTTATGTACATACATACTCCATCATCAGGAAACTATTGAGTGTGAAACCCCAAGATTCTATACATTTTGCTGCTGAATTCTTCACTAGTGACATCCTCATGTCAAATTTCCAGGGGTTATTAGACAACGAAAAACGTAAAATTTCGAATTACCGAGTTGCAAAAATGAAAATTGCTCAGAAAATTACGACCACGGTTGTGCATGAAATGAGAAAGCCTGAAAACAAGGAAGTTAAACAGTATGAGAGATGTTTCAGAAAGAGTAAGGACAAGCATTGCGATGACAAGAAACCCGTCGCAATCATTGTAAACCCTCAAGAGGTTGGGATTAAACCTCAAGATGAGAATCTCAATTGGTTGAAAAAGCTCAACATCGGACCTCTTGCCCAAGACTTTGACACTCGTGTGATTCTGCCACCACCGGTCGTGGAAATGTAGGGTGACATAAATTATCCACACCTTGATAGGTACTTATAAATATGTACTAATACCAATCGGTAACAATTTTCACAGTAAAGAAGCCGTGTACAAGAAACGAGTTAAAAAGTTTTACTGTGGATGCAAGGATCCAGGTCGACGTCTTGTGAGTCACGCAAAGAAAACAATTGTCGAAACACCGCCGTCTCCGGAAGATGAAGACGACGAAGACGGCAGTGATGATGATGAAGATGACGAAGACGATATTGCAGAACCTGCTAATGCTCCCCCCGTTTCAGTTGTGAATGCTAAAAAACAAGTGGAATTTGTATAAAATTCGTCCGATAAATCCAATACAAATTTTATAAAATTAACTCTGTTTATAATGGACTTTTTGTCTCATTTTACAACACATGACACTAAAAAACTTTAAAGTAAGCCAAACAGAAGACAAAATAATTCCTACATAGACAAAAATCACATCCCAACTATGATACTGAAAATAATTTAGCTTCCTTGCAGAAGACTTAAGATGCGGTGCTCCATTATGTCGTAAGATGTATTCTAACCAAAAGACGGCTAGGTCCAATGGATTGTCTGGCTGGTCTTTGAAAATTTTTGAAAGCGCTTCCGCATTTTGGCGATACCTATTGTACGTAAATCCGTGTATGTTTCAGGCAAATTATATTGCGAATTTGCAATGTTACATATAATTAAAGGTTGAGTAATATTTGCACGTACTTTTTATTCTCTAACACCTCCTGAATCCCATGTAACAAGGCTTCCTCTGTGATCTCATTCCAATCCAGCACTTTTAAAATTCCAAGTCTCTCTGCTTGTTTTGCATTCAACGGCTGGTCGCCAACCAAAGGCATGCCTACCAACACGACGAGAAATTCATGTAGATATTTACATAAATGTGACTATTAACATAAGTAAGTACGTTCATAACGTACATAAGGTATTGATTTAATTTATGTCCTAATTAGATATACTAGATATTAATTACCCAACATCGGGATTCCGTTTAGAATTGCTTCTTCAGTTCCACCTAAACCGCAATGAGTAATGAATAATTTAATATTCGGATGTCGTAACAAGTCCTCTTGAGGCACCCAATTCGAGATGAATATGTTGGACGGGGTGTGAATACTTGAGTCATCCCATTTCCATATAATTCCGTATTCAGTTAATTTTGAAAACGTATTCATAAAAATGTTTCGCTTTTCTATTGAAATTGTATTCGTATTGATTATCGTGCCCAAGCTAAACAGGATAAAACCTTTTGGGTGACCTTGTGAGAGAAACCTGTTCAGACCCTAGAATGAAAAAACTACAATATTTAGTCGTGAATATACGCAATTATCAATTATATTTTGATTGTCATCAATCTATTAACTAACCTCAGGAAGTTTGGTTTTTGTTCTTCCAACTCCAAAAGAATGGATTCCCCCAACCTCGACCACACCCGGAAGATGATTTCGATGGCCACTTAAGCTAAAATGAGAGTTGCTTAAAATCAAATCTGCGTTGCCCATGATTTCCCCCACGTCGGGAATGCTATCATCATTCAACTCTTCCCGATAGATCCTGGTCATTGCTGGTTGGTACACCCATTCCATTTGTAAGTCGAATAGGACATTAAAACCAAAATTAACAAACCGTTGCGCAAATGACATTTCATCCGAATACCCGAGAAAAAAATGAGACGCGAATGAGAATGGTTGATGAGATCCGATGAGTTTAGTGACATAGTTGGGAGCACCAGCAGGAGAGAACAGAACGAGGTGAGACCCAAGTTTGTATACCAGACCTAATGCACACTATGTAGCAAAAAGAGATTATCATTTTGTGTAATTACATCTGGTCATTTTTCATCCTTGTTCAATCTTTACTTAATTAGCTGACTCACCTCGTTAACTTGCGGCTGCATAGAAATCAGGTCAAACTTTTCATTTAACAGTCCCATAATTTCTGGCAACTTATAGCTCTTTCTGCAAATCTTCTCAAACAGGTCAATCATTCGAAAGGGATTCATCATGTCGTTTGTCTCTTTTATTTTGATGGGATCAAATTTCGAAAAAAATTCAGTATAGCTGTCTAGCGTTTGAATTTCTCGAATATTGTTCTTGGGCGTGGTTGTTGTTGCATTTGAGCTCAGGAGAGGGGTGAGAACGGTGACATGATGACCTCGCCGAGCAAGTTCTTGGATGAGGGGCAAATAGGTCAGACGATGTGATTTACCGGAAAAGAATGAGAGGAAAAGGATCCTCGAGGGTTGAGTGGTTACTGTTGTTCGTGTCAGAGTGGGCGTGGTGGGTGGGAGCAAGAAGGCAACGATGGCGAGGGCCGCCAAGAAGAATAGTTTCCTCATTGTATAGCTACTATTTAGTAGATACATATGTATGTATATATAGTTTCCAAAGAAGGTGTAATGTGTGGGAGGAACTCAGTCAAGTGGTAGTATCAGAATATATAGTTAGCTATTCAATTATGTAACATTATATGCACATGTTACATGTACATATAACATGAACTAGCAAACACTTTGATTAACTGAGGAGTGATTCTCAGTTTGTACATACAATCAAATACAGATAAAAGGATATCTACATTCGCCCTGCATCTCCACTATCTACTCATAGTCAATAGTTTGCGCATTACGTTATCAGAAAGTGGAGATGGTTATATGGTAATCATATTTATTATCTGTAAAAGTAGCAGTAGTATCCCCTCTGACCTCTCAAGTAGTCTCAAGACGCAAGCATATCTTGCATACTTTCTCACATACTTTTTCTGCCATATTTATGTACAAGTAAGTACTGCGGATTTAGGCAAAAGTTAGTCACAACACTGAATATGTATTTTTATTTTGTAACAAAATTTCTATGCGCAAATGTATAAATGCTTTGGTAAAGTAATTGTAACAATGAGAAATTGGAGAATACTTTTTTAGCAGGGATACTACAAACAACGAGTGTAATGGGCATGCAATTTCCACAAATTCTTGTATATTATAGTATAATATTATTCGTAAACTTACACTACGACTAGACTAGCAATGCTTAAAACAAACCTACACAGACCTATACTTAATGGACTTTTAGGGCATTTGATCAGGGAAAGCATAGCTTTGCCAAATTTTTAAATTAAGGAGCTTAAAATTATTGTGCTTTCGTTTTTTGATGAGAATGGCCATTGGAACCATTCGTTGCTGCAGAAGGCGATGGTGTGGAAGAAAAAACATTGTAGATTATTCCAAAATTCTGGAAATTAAAGTATCCCAAACTTATTGGTTTCACTGATATGCATATGTAAATGTGCATATTTATACATATGCAATATTAAATTGTAATATACCTTAATGGCTAGGTAGATAATTCCAATATACGCAGCAATGATTAAGGAGAGTACGAGATCGAATACAGCCGGTTTCACACTGCAGGACAAGATTTCAAGACACACAAGGTTAAAAGTGATACCCCAGTAAAATATAAATACTAAATTCGGAAAGTCTTACTCGTAAGCGACAATAATCCCAGAGGTGCTATCATATAAAACTAAGTTGGCATCTCGTTTGTCGGGTTTCATTGAAAACAGGGACGTTTCATGTGTATACCTTAAAAAATAAATATTCATATATCTTAGTTGCCTCAACATAAGTGTCAAACAAATAAATAACCAAAAAAATGGTCCACCTTGCCAATAGACTCCGCAGTGACTGAACAAATTTATTATTTTTGAAGGCAAGCAGCTGGGCAGACCGAGGTTGAGAGCCAATAAAATCCAACATGGAGTTCATGGAATTTTCAGAAACAGACTGAAATTATAATAAAGAGCATTTGAGAATCGAATTCGGTGTTTAATGTATAGAGGCAAATATATTTCACTAATGTCTAGTTAATTTCTAGTTAGTGTAAATCTTACTAAAGATCCAGAAAATGCCGTTCCAACGTCAGAAACGTTATAAATACTTGCTGCGAGGGCCTCGGCAATGATATGGGTTTTCAATGTCAAAACTTTAATATCCAAGTTGTCCAAAGAGTCTAATAAGCTTGACTTGATCCCAGACGGAGTCTAAAAAATCAAAATTAAAATGAAATTTTATGTTGAGAAATTTAACTTACAGCAAAATGTTCAATTATTTAGAAAATTCTAACCTGCGCAGAAGAGATAGTTATTGCGTTGATTTTTTTCAGATGAAACTTTTCATGTTCCCAGGATAATAAGTTTTCTGTCCGAATTTTCTTTTGTATGACTTCAACTTTTATATTAGGAGCCAAGACTTTGACAGTGTCTTTGAGGTTCTAACAACACGTACATATAATTCAATTAATTTGCTCCATTAATTTGAAAGTATAGAAACAAAGCTAGTCTTTAAATCTCACAAACAGATATACCTCGAGAAATGTATGAAGCATAGTTCCTTCTCGGATAGAACGTGACAGATGAACATAAATATGATCTGAATTTGTTCCCAAGCTATCCAGACACACGACTAATCTTGTTTCTTGAAGATCACTTTGATCAGAGGAATCGATCTGGTCCTCTAAATATTTTTGCGTTCCTTGGAAGTTGAAATGCCCAGCGCCAGAGAGAAGAAATAACAAGGAGCTGTAGGGTCGGCCCATGACTTTTGTGCCCCCTCCACCAACTCCACCAGAATTATATAGATGAGAGAAAATACGAGCCAATTCTAGCAGAGCAACGGTTCCTGAAAATCAGAATCATTTATTTTACAAATTTGCAAAAAATATATGCACTATGACTAGGTTACGAGTCACAAAGAACGAACCTGAACCGTTTGAATCTGCTCCAAATGCCAATTCCTAAACACATTCATTATCATTCACCAAATCATCATAATCAAAAGTTAAAGTATATAAAAAAGAAAAAAATCAACATACAGCAGCAGGGCTCATGCTGTCATAATGGCTAGAAATCAGAATTGGGAAGTTTCGTGCCGATTTTGAACCAATAAGTGCTCCTTGTACAGAGAAAATTTGAGCATCTGCAATGACCTTTGGAGTTCCCAGAGATGACACGAGCTGAACGCCATTCCCTATCACGAACTGAATCAAACCTATATTTGACGGTAAATCACCAACGAATTAAATTAATCATACGGTGAAAGAAAAAGAAATCGTTTTCATTTGCATACTTTGTGTTGCGCTGAGCTTAGTCCCCATTGACTCGGCACTGCGGCGAATTGTGTCGTACATTTTGAGAACCTCTGGAGTTTCTCTAATGAAATAGACAGGAACAGACGTTGCATCATCCAGCATGACCTGTTCTAATTCGTGAATCTGCTCTCTCAACTCAGAGGACAAGGGCTTGAAATTTGAAGGAATAATGATGACAACCTAAGAAAGGGTAACAATACGATGAATACAATTATTGAAAATTGTAAGCATACAGTGGAGTTATGAAGGAACGAATTTTATGTGATATGTACCCCTCCAACATTGTGTCTCAGCAGTTCTCGATATATAGTTACAGACACGTCCACAAGTTTCACAACATAGCATCGTCTTGGGCTGGTCACAATGGGTGAGCCTGGAAGAATTCTGGTTTCCAAATTTAGTAATGACCCAGTAGTTCCTATCATAAAGATTTCTCATTAAACATTAAACAAAAACACCAAATACTCTTGCTGAAGTCTGTTTATATAATTTATAGCCAATTACCGTAAGGGGTGCCGTGCAGTTCAAACTGTTGGAGTCGAAATGCAGGAAATTCTTTGGCACCGAGACAGGTCGGAGATACGGCGACCAGGATGACAATAAAGTAGGCGAAGCATGAGGACCGGAAGAATTCGAGTATTTCGTTGCTCTGGTCAAACCACATTTTTAAATATGGCTTGCACACCAAAGGCGTGGGGATCTGAGGAGGTATTAGAAGTGACTTTTGTAACGGTCTTGAGAATAAAATTGAAGGAAGGTCAATTTCAGTAGTACCTGGTAAATTTGTACAGAAAAATAAACAAAATATTTCTTCGACCTAGAAAAATCCCAAAAATGTGCCAACTCACTATTTAACAATTTAGTATTGTTGCAGCTCAGTAGCCTCCACTTTGTGTTATGGTAAAATTGGTGGGTGTGGATGTATTTGCTTATATGTACGCAAATTAAATCCTATTGCACATTTGAAATTAAATTTAAATCAAATCTTCCATTATTATAATCAGGGTTGAGCCCGCAGCAGCGCATGGATTTCTATTTCTGGTTCAAATGCAAGCCGGAGCCCGCAGTCGGCACAATCAACGAACCCCAAACAGTAGTAAAAAAAAGCTTCGCTTCTATTTTTTACTTGTTTTTGGCACTTTGGATAACGCACATGACACACATGAAGTGATGATTTATACAAAGCTTTATTACATTTTCATCTTGGTAACAAGAATAACGTCAAGCTATACTTTCCAAAAATACTAAATTACTAAAATAAAAACAGTTATTATTATCACAATTGGAAGTGGGAGAAATATATCACCCCCAACTTACGTCATACATAAGAATAAGTAATAAAATACAACTAAAAATAAGGGACTCACTTATAAATTACAACTTGATTTGTAGATTTGCGCTCTAAGTATCTTTGCAGGGCCTCTTCAAAAACTTTGCCAACTGTACGCTTAGCATAAAATGACGTTTTGACATTCCTTTCAATTTCAACATCGAAATCATACCAGTTTTCCTTTTGAATAATTTTAATTTTTCCATCGTCTTCAACAGGTTCTTCTGCCACCTTCTTGCTATCTTCTTTTTTCTTGTCTTTTTCAGATCTCGCTTCTTTGTCTTTATTGCTGTCCTTGGCGTCGTCACGTTTAACATTCCTGTCACGATGATTTTGTCGATGTCTATCCGGTGATCTGGATTGTCGCCTCTTATTATCTTGGTCGCGTTCTCTACTTCGACTTCGTGATCTTCTTCGTCTGTCAGAGTAGTGGCGTCGTCGTTCATGCCTGTAAACGTGCCTATCCCTACTTCTGCTCCTTTCCCGAAAGTCTCTTTCTCTATAAGAGTCACGTCTGCTTTTATTAGAAAGAGGACTGGCGTGTCGCCGTTTCATTTGCCTCTCCCGGCTGCCACTATGCGACCTTTTTCTTCTACGAGAATCATTATCATTACTGTGGGGACTTTTTTCAGTGATTTTGGGCTTATCTTCCGAGTTTCTACGCATATTTCTGTCAGGGCTCTGGCTAACTTCCCGTTTAACAGTTGTAAGAGGAAGATTTGATGATAATCCAGCTTCCTCTTTGACTCTAGTTTCTACAGCAGGCATATCCTTGACTGTGTCTTTGTAAAGTTGTCTATAAAATCCAGACATGTCCTTCTGCTTAGTGACATCAGTTACATCTAAAATGGGAGACCAACAATTAAATTGACCATTAATTTTTAGTAAATACTATAGTATATATGCATTAAATAATAATAATGAATTGCTACCATCTATAGCGTCCTGATAAGCTTGATCATCCTGCATTTTCCGCAACTCCTTCATCTTCTTTTTGAATGAAGATGTCACAAAGGCCTCCTTATCCGCAAACTCGTCACCTTCCTGTTCTCTCTCCTTTTGAGCTTCTCTCTCCTTTCGTAGCTCATTTTCAAGCTCCCGTTGCTTTGCCGTCTTCAACAGGGCTTCGATATACTTGGGTTTTTTATCCGCTTTCTTTTTCTCTATTGATGCCTCTTTCTTTTTGGTCATTTCATCGTATACTCCGTCATATTCGTAAACTGAGGGGTCGTCTTCCAACGCTTCCTTCATGACCTTCATTGACGCTTTTTGTTGCATGCTCCCATGACTTTGTTTCTGTCAGGATACAGTTAATTGCAAAATGAGATGATGTATAACAGTGTAGGTAGTGTTACATACAAATTAAATTACTTTAAGAGTACCATCATGTTCAAATGTTTTAATTTCATACCTTGAGGGATTGTTTAACCCAGTCAACATTACTTTCTTCGTCGCCCGAACTATCCTCTCCAAATACATTTGAAGCTGGCTTTTTTTGAGGGTCTGTTTTTGGTTTCGCTTTATCCGAAAGAATCAACCCATACCTATAAATTTATATATAATGATGTCTATAAATGATGGTCTATAAACTTATATGTAATAGAGTTCAAAATCTAACTTACTGTTTTTGGTGAGCCATTCTTTGGGAATAACAGAATATCTCGCCAATTAAGCTAAAAATTACGTTTTAAAATTTCCAACGACATAACGCTGATTTTAATTGTTTTGGTTGTGGAGTTGAGGCAGGCAGAGAGGAATTGTGAGAAACCCGCCGCCGTGGAGTCGTAATTGTATACTTGCGAATGCATTGCTCACACGTTGTTCTCGAGCTGACAACGTATAAATTAGTAGCAATTTCTCCGCTGGGTGACTGACTAATTAAATAAGGAGAATATACAATCTGGACCACCTGAACTAGCAATTAGAATGCGAAGGCCGCTTGTCTTGGTTTGATCATCATTATTGCGTGCAAAGTGTGTGCTGTGCACTGTATCGCTTAAAAATTGACCAATCCGGTAAGTTAATCGTGCGGTTTTTACAAGGCGTAGCTGGCGTAGCAGTATTAAAATACCATCTAAATATGTTGGTCAGCAAAAATGCGTAAAAAATCATACACACATATCTATCGTAGTAACATGCAACGTCATAGGTTTATTCCGTGACGGAATTTCCGTCCACTGAATTTCCCATTTGTTGCTAGTAATTTACACAATAAGAAGACGCGAAGCATGGGAAATTAGTTTGTCAATTAGTGCCACGAATAAACGTGTCCAAAATATGTTTGTTTTAAATAGTCATCATGCATCATACAATATAATAACTCGCATGTTTTGCATACTGTTATCTTCATCTCATTTGCGAGTTATCTTTGCATATATGTAATTGATTTGAATTTAATGCTGCTCGCAATTATTGCAATATTGAAATGCATTCCTACACAGCTAGCTATATACATAGTTAGCATAATGTACAGTATTAAACTGGCTTGAATTCACGTTATTGGTACATTCGTTAACACAGAAATTCATTGGATATACCCACTCGGTGAATTGGAAAGTTACGGTTTTACACATAGTTTCCACTTCTTACATACGAATCGTAGTAATTCGTTTAACTATATTCACCATACGTAATTCAATAAAAGCAATTATTACAAAACGTCAGCCTAGGAATTTACGACTTTGGAGAGTTTTATAGTTCTTCATATTATACTCCTACTCCTCTGGTTTTAAAAAATAGTCGAATCGACAAAATCTTAGGTATCAAGATTATTTGACACTTTATCAATCTATAAGGTTACGACAAATGGCCGAGTTACAAAATAAATTTTCATTTTTAGAAAACTAAAAATTGTTGAAAATATGCCATTGGTTACAGTTTTGGAAATGTAATTTTGTAACCGTCATGTCCGTCTGTCTGTTCGTCCGATCATTTTACGATAACTTTCGTTAAACTCGGCCTAGCGACTTTAAATTTGGTATACATGTAGTATGTGACAAATGAGGAGTTAAGTTTGAAGATGGGCGAAATCAATTAAGTGGTTGACCTGTGGTGGTCATCTGGGTGGGTGGAGTATTTCAAAATCCTCGTTGAAAGCTGTAAACTGGCATTGAGATTGCTAATGGTGTCTAATTGAAGAATATGAATTTAAATTGGGAAAATTTCCGACTGGAGGGACCCGATACCATACCGATTTTTGAAAATTATCCATCGAGCTGAAATTAGTGCAGAGATTGCTAATGGCCCCTGATGAAAGAATATGAATTGAAATTGGTACCATTTTTATGTGGAGGGACCTTTAAGGGGGTGACCCATATCGATTTTCAAAAATTGTATTAAAAAGATGAAATTAGACACTCGTAGAAGACTGAAATTTGGCACGACCCCGTGGGGGTAGACCAGATTGAAAAATATGAACTAAATATTAAGATTTTTTCCACAGAGATTTAACAAGGTGACCCACGCTGCTTTTTATATTGGTAGAATAAAAATAAAATTCGGTATCATGGGTAAGGGCACATCAGACTAAAGAATATGAATAATGTTCATATTCATCGAATATGAATATTTTTGTGGGCCCAGCCCAGAAGACTGAGACCCGTACTGGTTTTAAAATTGGTCAAGGAGCTGAAATTTTGCATGCTGGATTGTGGGAACATTTTTGCCGATTACGAATAGTAGTTGGTGCAGGTCGTCTGACTAAAGTTTAGAAGCTGACACTGACCCTGACTCGGGCTAAACAAACGCTGCACACTGGGATTTCAAATTTAATTTTCGAAATAGTACCCTCGAGAAATTGATCTTAAAAAATCAAGCTAAAAATTACGATGATTTCATCTTAACGAATTAAATCTCTATGTCTGCCCATTCAAAAGTTATTAAAGGTCAAAGTCGTTGGTACACACGACCATGGGACGTGTACCAACGATTTAAAAAATAATTATTTTATTTGTAACTCCACCATTTGTCGCAACCGTTAAAAGACACAAGAGTTACCTAGATACTAAATGTCAAGCAATCGTGCTTAGGTATAATATGATAATATGATATAATAAACTTCCGTGGAGATTGAAATAATGGAAAGTGCAATAAATCATCTTCTTGTTGCTTGTGCCTTTCAGAGACCACGAGGGGAAAAGGGGGTTCCTCTGCTTCTGCCGAGAACCATTGACATCGTGAATGGATATCACTGGATGGTCCACTTTCTCTGTAGGAAGAAAACGGAAAATCTGGGAATATTTTCTCTTCCTAGACGGATAACGACGGCTAAAGATATTGAAAGCCTCTGCTGCAAATGGACAACGAGAAAAAAACTTTGGATTTTTTCGATGCCGAGGAATATGAACTGGAATCATTTGGAAAAAATGATTTCGGAGCGTTTGGATTCGACACTGGTCAATCACTAACACAGGATTACCTCACTCAGAGCCAGTTTACCCAGCCAAAACGCGACTTTCCACAACCGGAGTTCTCTTCTCAAGTAGATCAGGATGACTCGTCGTCATCAAGCAGTGTAAGCACCTTCATGATTATCGATGACATATCACGGACATATGTGGCGTCAACTCAGTTTTACTTACTCAAGTACTACTATGTTACTTCATTAATCATTTCATCAATTCTTTGTTGCAGGATGACGATGATAAAAGTAAAAGTCATCATTCCTATAATGATGAGGGTAGCCAAGGTCTAGATGACCTGAGATTCGAAGACGATGAAGACGAAGGAACAATATTTCGGGTATTTTTTTTACAAACTGATAGACAATTATTAATTTATAGCACCTTGTATACACTTACAAGTATTACGCTGCATTTGTGCTTTACAGAAATTAGCAGAACATTCTTGCAAGTATTGTAGCGTCCATGACCCAGCGGCTGTAGTAATGTGTAACATTTGCAAAAAATGGTTTTGCAATAGTCGCGGTCACTCGTCCGGAGCTCACATAATAAGCCATCTTGTTCGTTCAAAACACAAAGTAATAAAAATATAACTTTTTATGAAGAATGATATGGGATTTACATTATATAATTGTCTACTTTGAACTATTTTAAATAACAGGAGGTTTCCCTGCACAAAGATGGTCCGCTTGGCGAAACCGTGTTGGAGTGTTACTCTTGCGGAGTTCGAAATGTCTTTGTTCTCGGGTTTATACCTGCGAAAAATGACTCTGTGGTTGTCCTTCTCTGCAGACAACCTTGTGCAACTCAAGCAACACTTAAAGATTTAAATTGGTAAAATAAGCGATATACTTTGGGAATACTTATAATTTTATTAACCTCTCCCTCTTTCTCTCTCGTTTCTTGCAAATATCAGGGATCAGGACCAGTGGAAGCCATTGATTGTGGATAGATGCTTCATTAATTGGCTTGTAAAAACACCTTCGGAGAAGGATAGCTCAAGATCACGACAGATAACTAGTGGTCAGATATTGAAACTTGAAGGTAATTATTATATTGGTATAACTATAATAATTATAATAATAATAATATTAATTACTACTTTCTTTTAGAACTATGGAAAATTAACCCTGATGCCACTTTCGAAGATTTGGAAAAGCCGGGCACTGATGAAGAGCCTCAACATGTTTTGCTAAGATATGAAGATGGATTTCAGTACGAGTCTGTTTTCCGACCACTGATTAAGCTTGAAGCTGACTATGATAAGAAATTAAAAGAATCGCAAACTCATGAAAATGTTGACATCCGGTGGGACGTTGGTTTAAACAAGAGGATTATAGCTTATTTCGTGCTTCCCACTGGTGGCGATTCAGATCTACGATTAATGCAAGGAGACGAATTAAAAATAAAGTATCTGGGAAGCCAGCATAAACCATGGTCGGGAGAAGGAAATGTGATAAAAGTCCCTGATAACTACGGAGAAGAAATTGGAATTGAGCTAAAACTCAGATTCTGTAATCAAGCTCCCACAGAAATAAGCAACAACTTTGCAGTCGAATTTGTATGGAAATCTACATCATTCGATAGAATGCTTGCCGCACTCAACAAGTTTGCTGTCGATGAGAAAGCAGTATCTTCATTCATCTACCATAGGTTTTAACTTTTGTCACGAGCATAATTCCCCAGTTATTTTGTTATCTAGTTGCTTATATTATTATTATACCCTTAGATTACTTGGACACGACACAGAAGATCCCCTCTTTCGGCCAAAATTGCCCGCAAACTTTTCCGCAAAGAATTTGCCAGAGTTAAACAGGTCTCAGGTACGTTTTATTTTTATTAAATACTTTTTAATGAGTATTATGTATCATAAAATAATCAAACAAATATGTTCAATAGGCATTTGCAGTTAAACACGCCCTGACTAGGCCACTATGTTTGATTCAAGGGCCACCTGTAAGCTATTTCAGATAATAATAAATAATTACCATTTTAATTATTGCAAATATTTTACATTTCAGGGAACAGGGAAAACGGTCACATCTGCAAGTGTGAGTAAATCGTATTATAAAATAATAATTTCTGCGGAATTAGGCTCGAATGTTATACTTAAACTATATATATATTTTCAATTTCAGATCGTTTATCACCTTGCAAAAATCAATGGTGGTCCTGTTTTAGTTTGCGCCCCGTCCAATACCGCTGTAGATCAGCTAACTGAGAAAATTCATCAAACTGGGTTAAAAGTTGTTAGATTATGTGCAAAGTCAAGAGAAGGATTAGATTCGTCCGTTGCATTTCTATCACTGCACAACCAAATTCGAGAGTTGAGCAAAGAAGTGAGCACCGAGCTTTCCAAATTGCAACAACTAAAAGATGAAACTGGTGAACTGTCAGTCTCTGATGAGCGTAGATACATAACATTGAAGAAAAAAGTTGAGAAAGATATATTAGAAGCTGCTGACGTTATTTGTTGCACTTGTGTATCTGCTGGTACTAAACTATTGAACATTACATTATACATACGAATGATGCTATAATGAACAACATTATAAGTAATTTCGCTCATTCAATAGGTGATCCACGACTCAATCGGCTCAAATTCAATTCAATTTTGATTGATGAGTGTATGCAGTCAACCGAACCAGAATGTATGGTACCTGTTGTTTTGGGAGCAAAACAGGTGAGTACATATTATAAATTTCATGGTTCTTATTAGCTGAGTTCTTTACGCAAGAAAATTCTCACATCCCTATATTATGTACTGCCACATTACATGCTTATACTATAATCAAATCTGTTTTGAAAATTGAATAGGTGATTTTGGTTGGAGACCATTGTCAACTTGGACCCGTGGTCATGTGCAAACCTGCAGCCAAAGCAGGCTTATCTCAATCTCTGTTTGAGAGACTTGTGGTGTTGGGAATTCGTCCTTTTCGGCTTGATGTTCAGTATCGAATGCACCCTGCCCTAGCGAAATTTCCATCAAATTTCTTCTATGAGGGCTCTTTGCAAAACGGTGTGGGGACCAAGGAAAGGACTTTGCTGATTGACTTCCCATGGCCCATGCCGGACAAGCCCATTATGTTTTACGTATGTCAGGGGCTTGAAGAAATTGCTGGGTCTGGAACCTCATATCTAAATAGAACAGAAGCCGCTCATGTCGAAAGAGTGATGACACGTTTGCTGAAGGCTGGAATTCGTCCGGACCAAATCGGATGTATCACTCCTTATGAAGGGTACATAATAATAATGACCAATGCTAATAACTACGTAGTACGTATGTAACAGGTTATACTTGAATTTTATACTCTGATATAGGCAACGTGCATATCTTGTCCAGTACATGCAGTCTCAAGGAACTTTAAATACAAAGCTATACTTTGAAATTGAAGTTGCTAGCGTTGATTGCTTTCAAGGTAATCTAATTTATACATCGAGTTTTGAATTATATTAAAATACGATTTATGAATCTCAATTTTGTATGAATATATTAATTAAATTGTGTAAATGAATACTTTATTGCTAGGTCGTGAAAAGGAGTTTATAATTTTAAGTTGTGTTCGATCGAATGACCAACAAGGGATTGGATTTCTGAGTGATCCTAGACGACTGAATGTGGCCTTGACAAGAGCCAAATACGGATTGATCATTGTGGGAAACCCTAAAGTTCTTGCAAAACACCAGCTTTGGAACAATCTCATCCACTATTGTATAGATTTAAAAACGTTGGTTGAAGGTCCCCTAAACAGTCTTAGGTATGAAAAAAACGGATTGGTAATCAGTTTATTGTTTGAGATCAAATTGATTTACTGAAACCTTTAGTAAGGGATGAGCAAGTATACAATCATGTACACAATTTGTCACACTTGGTTATAATGAGAATGGATATTCAAGCTCTTATTAAATATATTTACAGTTAAATAGCAGTAAAATACACTTGCACACACTCTCTCTGAGATTCTTTGCTTACAATTTGTGATTTTATGTTTTCTGATATTTTTTACTAATTATATGTAATTTCTTATACGTTTTTAGAGAAAGTAATATGTCGTTTCCAAAACCAAAGCCCATGGTCAATGCTGTTAATCCTGGAGCTCATTTCATGCAGACCAACATTTATGATGGTAAGTAGTTGTCGGCGCCAGTACTAATTCACTTGTCACAAATCTTGCGTCTTACATTTTAATATGAATCATTTGAGACTTCATCCTGATTAGTTTTGCCTTTATTTGTATTTTTACTGCAGCTCGTGAAGTGATGGCTCCACTTCCGATGCAAGTTCCTCCAATACCAATGAACTATGCTCCCCCTGGTTACTTTAACAATGACCAAATGCCTGACGATGATGTCATTGATGAGAGCTATATTAGAGCATTAAATGAGCAGTTTGGGATGATGAACATTCAACGTCATACACAGTATGGAAGCAATGGACCCGTCCCATACGGAATGTTTATGAACATGGCCCATATACCACCTCGATTTTTCAATCAACCATATCAACAAAATCAAGACCAGTCCATGGGACGAGGACGGAACCTAAATGGGCTGCCGCCTGGAAACACCAGGGACAGAATGCGGAACAATATGCCAATGCAACGCTCCGATGGACAAATGCCGTATAATACCAGAGGTGGTCCAAAAATGTCAAATTTCCAACAACAAAACGCATCAAGAGGTTACAATGGAGAGCTGGCTAGCCAGCCAGCCATGTTGTCCCAAGGTTTCGGATTTTCACAAAGGGGAGACGGTCCATCCCAGCCACATCGTTTAGGTTCTCAACCATTAACTCAACCTGGTGGTCGTACGGTAATATCCCTTCTTACATATGTAGTACTTCGCTTTTGACATTCAGCTTCTCGCAGAATGTCAAAAGCTCTTCTATTTACGGTGGTCTATTATTGTCATATTTTCTTACCATAGAATATGGGAATCATGTCGCAGTCCCAAATGATGTCCCAACAAGATTTTCCTGACGATTTTGGAGAATTTAACTCGCAGGCGGACGTATCAAACGATGAAATTGGAAATCGCTTGAGAAGGGACCGGGATAGTTCCAATCCATCAAGGGGCAAACAGTACCATGGTCCGGGGAGTTCGCAGTCTCAATCTTTCCAATTTTCACAGGTATTTGACAATTGTATCAATATTTAAATGGCGAAGGAAAAATTCACTATCATTTTCCTAATATCTTATAGCCTTACTGATTACGAGTCAGAAGCCCGAGGTAAGCAACATGGACGTCAATCCAGGCTTTTCTGTACTGCGCTACATAGTGAATGACACGACACGTACGTTCAAACCCACCAACGGACAGAACAGAAATGTTGTCGATTCCTTGTAGCCGTGGCGGCGAAGGCGGCGCTGTGGTCAAGCAGATGTCAGACAGATAACAAATCAACAACTCTACATTTCCAGCAAATGTCTCTAAACACCGAAATTGAAGCACCCAACAAATGGTATTCATTTCTATTTGGAAATTCTTCAATTCGACTCATCCAAAATTATCACACAGCGATAACTATCTAAGTCCCAGTAAAGACCATTTATCTCCAGTAGAAAATTCTAATAATGAACTTCTGCCACCTGTACCATATACAACTGCGTCTACGTCCATATATGACGACATTGTTCTTACTGAAACAATATTATTCTTTCATTTTTCCTTACATTATTTAGTTCATACAATTTTTTGAAACAGTCAATAAAGTTTCAATGTGAAATGCTAATGTTTTGTATTGATTATTATTCCAGAAGTGTGAAATTTGCAAACAAGTATTATGTAGTGCATTAATTCATAATGATACTATAATCAATGCGAATTCTGGGATTCATGACGTATTGTCTTAACTTAGCTCGTAATATCGGTCGAAAAATCTGTTTGACGAATAAGTGCGATTTGACATAAGTATCATTACTTATTTTTACATCAAGGATTATGAGGCCAAAGGAGAATGATGCTTCGTCTGTGCATTTCAGTCAAGTAATAATTTCTGGTCGTATTACATTATTTATGTACAAGTGGCATACAAAGCACAGTGTAAAAAGTCAAGGGATGGCAAGTGTAGCGACCGCACTTGAAATCTTTTTATGTACGTTATGCACCAGTCTTCTGCTACAGGTTTACTGCTAAATGAAATCAACTTGCAACATCTCACACCGTGTTAGTCGATAAAACAGCACTAGCCAGACCAGTCATCGTATCGTTACGTTGAGAGGAAAAGCCTTCATCTCGCGTATAAATTCTCATTCTGAATTTTTTCATAAACTGTACATAAGTATATTCGCCAGAAATAATAACAAGCCCAAAGTTTCGTGAAAACTTACTACCCCGACGAGTTCAGTGGTGTTATATTAATTTCAAATCCCATGATTTGTATCTTGAAGATATAATTCCTTCCTACTTATGCAGTATCAAGCCTGTAAATTTTAATTAAAAAATAATGTTTTAAAACGCATCGTCTCATCTCGTCTCAAGAAACGTGAAGCCAAAATCGAGACAAAGCACGGAGATAAAAGTAAAATTAAGAAGCAAGCTGGTTTCCTCTAATTCCTTGGTTGGTGGGATATGCATTCATCAAATTGAAACTGATTTAATTGTGAGCCGGTGGTGAGGTGAAGTTGTTCATCCAGTTTTGACTCACGAAGGAAGCAGCCAAAACTAAACAAGAGAACGCATCTTCCGCGTCATTTGCAGATCTTCTAAGTAAGCAACATATCACAAGGAAGACTGTTCATTCAACGCAACCAAAGGCAAACCGTGGTCAAGAAGATATGGATGTGCACTGAATTTTAAAGCATGACTTGAGCCAACAGGAAGACGTACCCGTCCACATTTTTATCAAGTGGTCGAAAACAAAAATAAAGTTTCCACTACCGCTAATTAGTCGGCAAACAAATATTTTACCTTCCCTTCCCATATGCCCTTCCCATATGCAATGTGCTGTACTGTACATTATGTTGCATACAAGGTGCAACAGCTATAAATTGACTAAAGAAAGGCGAAATTAGGCAGCCAGTCTTTTGCTTGAGAAAGACAGAAAAGTCACAAACCCAACTTGTTGGAATGCTTGTATGAAATACAATGCAGACTCTAAAATTATGAAGCTTTTATGCAACTTGGTGAAAAAAAAATAAATCCTAAATTTTGTGGTTTCACATAAGATTTAGTTGGAGTGATATATATATATTTGTATTTACATGTGTGTATGTAAATGACACTGCATGAAGCTGTTAATTGTTCAAATGAGCCAAACAACTTGTTGGAGTTTATGAATAATTTATGGAGACAGGTCAAACATTTTTGTTAAAATGCCCAAAAATTGGACAATATGTTACCTCTCCATTTAGTTGAAGGTTTGCGACTTGTGCTCCTAATCAGAAATTGGGAGTTTTAACACTTTCCAGATTTACTTCTTTTTAATACCAACATCACGCCGTGGAACAGAAGTCGTAGTGAATCGTTCAATTTCTATTCAGTCAGTGCAGTCATTCAGATGGTGTAACCTGAGAAGCTTTGAAGCTACATAAGTAATTGGATTCATTTAGTAAGTAATGTTTGTCTAATCGCATCGTCGTCCGTATACCGTAAAATATTCAATTATTATTTTTAGTCACTCTCACCTCTGTACAAATACGTAGTCTCTCTCTGTTCTTTTCATCATCTGTATTTGTCTATGCAGTATTTGATTTTCATGAAAATTATAGTAAATTCCATCAAGAAGTGATGTAACATCGTGGCACGATACATACATATACATATGCATGCATGCATATTTCTTCTTTAATAAACTTTTAATCATCTCTTTCTTTCAGATTGAATACAATTTGTACTCTTAATTGAATTATGTATTACAAATTACGCAATTTCTGATCAATTTGCGTGGCTAATAACCCATGCAATATTTGATGATGGATGCTTCTTCAGCTTTCTTAATAATATCCACGGTCCACCCGCTGCGCCGTTCTAAGTATTCGTATCGTATGTATGTATGATAGAACTGGTGAAGGCATTTAATTTTGGAGGTTTGGGTGTTAGATCAGAACTTCAAATGTATTCATAGAAATTTGAAGTACTACACCGTGATATTCATGAATCAACTGAAAAGTTTTTCAGAACTGAATACTGCGTTACGTGGTATTAATTCAAAGATTTTATTGATATGATATTTCATCACTCACTCCAACCCATTTATTAATTCCTTTGGACAATATATTTTTGATAATATTAAAGTGCAAAGTCAATACATGATATCATCGACAATCTAAACGTCTTATTGCCAACCTTTTTACCGATACTATTATGTTGCTAATAATAACAAACTATGCAACGCAGCTAAGCTTAAGGATACCATTAAATGTGTACATATATCGCCACAAGTGTTGACCATCATCGAGATTACCTTTTAGACTTCTTGGTGTGATTTTGATGTAATAAAAGGGTTGACTCTCCTGAGGGAATGCAATGACATTTTATGGTATTAAGCAATTCCTAACCACCACAACTATTTTCATTTCAACTTAGCATTAGTATTTGCGATGTATTGAATTATTTAAACTTTAAAAACATCTTAGCACAAGAAGGTGAGATCAGAAATTGCAACTTTAGACTAGATGCACATGCCCAATCTTCTGGCTAAATTTTAGCTCTCTTGGCTGCGATACACTCTCTGGCTTAATTTGGTATATTGGAAAGCATAAATAAGTCAAACTTGAGGTAATCATAACCGGTGGTGACACTTAGAGATTTGAATTGACATGCAAATCGGTAAGCGATTCGAGTTGGAACAAGGTATGTATATGACAGCATAAGAATATGCTTTAATTCAAGGGTTAGTTAACCCTGAATTTTTATTATGAACACGACGAGCAAGAAAAATATATTGATACGTAGCCATTCTATATGATCAAACAAATTCTTTATTATATGCTGAAGAACATTTGAGATGTTGAAAATCATCAATTCTACTCAGTGGCTGACAACAAGCAAAAGTTGATTCTTAATTATGAATTTCGCATTCTATTGTGCCTTACCTAGATATTTCCAAGTTTTTTAAATGAAGTTATCTCTACCATTTGCTAATTAGTGGCGCCATCATTAAATCTTTAATGTGGTTTTAATAACCAATGTGCGAAAGAATCACTGAATCATCAAACATAATCGCTTATCAAGATCTCAGCACATTTAACTTTGGGGTCAAGCTGAGATGATAAGGAAAAAACGACTTCGTTCTAAGCAGCGCCATTTAATCTAGGACGCGGCGATTGTGTCCCCTGCGGTCATATCATATCTGGACAAGATTACTTATTATTACGCTAGGCTTCCGTGTACTAAATCAAATGCATGTCACCGTGTATGGCTGTATATACACACTCATTTTACAGTCCTGGAAGGAATAACCATCTTTTATTCCAAGATTTCAACCCACACGTCGTTTTATCAAATTAGTTTAATCATCCATGTTCAATTATTTCGAGAAACCTCGTTGACGAGGTTGATAATTCAATTTTCTTAATTTAGTGATTGTGTAGGATGGATTGTTGGGTCAATTACATTACCATTACATACACTCATTACATTGCATCAATACATGGGTCAAGCAACATTATAGACGTACTTTATACTTTTATATAGATACTTTTGTGCCTATATGTGCGCAAAGAACCACTCAGCTATTAATTGATATTGATATTGTTGGTATTCTTGAGGTGCATATCGTACATGTAAACCTGGCTAAAGATGACATAAAGATTAGTCAATCCTGGGTGATTAGAGTTGCACTTGCTTCTGACTTTATCATCCATTATCATCCACTCATTGTTTTCCTACGCGGCTCAATAGGATGGGGATCGACTTGTTGGGGAGGCTCGATGTGTGTCTTATCGTCTTAAAGAAGCAATGTTTGATTTTGATTTTTTATCAATTTCATTTTTAAATGGCAGCCAATTCATCTGACAAGGCCACCATGCGCAGTCATTGCAGCAGCAACATGAAATATTGCAAAAGTCTACCTTAAACTTCCCTTAGTTATTATTGAATCAGCCCTTTTTGTGATGCTGGCTCAGTTTTCAATAACAATGTGAGTGTAATTACTGAATTGAAAACTTTTAATGAAGTCCATGTATGTACTGGGATGACAGGTGAAAGAAACGTCGTTGTTGTTGGTAATATGCTGTCTGATGGAAATTAAACTTGAACATGATTTTGTTGTCTATTCCGATGAAAATTGTTGGGTCACACAATATAAAATGTACACAACTTAATTATTTAAAAAGCTAATCAGGCAGGTTATTTAGAGAGGACACATATATGAAATCTGATACTTGTCCATTTTTGCTGGGTATTCTCTCTAGTTAAATCACTGATCTAGATAAGGAAATGTCATAATCAGAGAGAGAGAGTAGTTAAAACCTTAATGCGCGTACATATATTTGCATATTTTTAATGCAACATAATGGAGAAAATCGTCTCATCGTCAGTCATTTGAGTGATTTGTGGGAGTTGCGAGAAATTTGTGCGGCCGAAACTTCCTCCTCTAACTTTGACCCAGTTCAGTCAAACAGAGAGCATTTTGTAAGAGAATTGTCAAGCATCTAGAGCCAGCATAGATACGATTTGCAAGTCAATTTGGAGTGTCTTTGATTAAAGTCCATTTGGATTGTTCTTGATGACACTAATTGTCTTACAGCAATGAACCATTGTGAGATAATTAATGAGATTTAGATGCGAATTTGCTAACATCAGAATGCTTACATGCGTACAGTATGTATTCTTCTTGGTAAAAGCTCAGAAAAAATTAGTCGTGTAGCGTGTGTTCGTTATAAAAATTATTATTGATGTGGTGACAAAAGTTTGTGCAAGTTATATTATTATTAAACTCGGGAAATATCTGTTTTCCATGTGGGAGATTATATAAAGCTGATGCGTTACCTAAGTGTGATTTGTACAATTAAAACGGTTCCTCGTTGTCACTTGATCTCTCATTACTGTTCAAATTCTTGTAAATTCCCAAATGTGGTCTCGTCTGGCAAGCATGATTGCGTGTAGTTAATCGTAAGATTTGAACAAATTTGGTGGACAGCGCATGTAGCGATATTCAAGGACTTGCATCTGCATACGTATATCTGGCCCACATGTCTTGTCTACAAGATATCACACTTATACGGAATGACCGTTTAGTTCGGTCAATGCGCCAAAATGATATGTATGCATGCGTATACATTTCTGCAAGGCTCGCTGTATTGTGTCAACGATATTGCAGTGCCCATTTAGCATCCAACAGTCATCACCCTGTTGTTCACGAGGTTAAATATTAAATGTGATTTCTGAAAATGGTAGGATTCCACCCTCATCAATTCCTTCAGAACTTCGTGTAGCTCTTTTGTCTCTTTCAAAACGTAGTGTTGACTAATCTAATTTTCCATAACGGGAGACCATTCCCATTCGTATTTGGAAATCATCTCAAATGAATATCATTAACGCATTTAACAAACACTGTCTCATTTTGTCTCAGACGCGACCTCACACCTTTGCCTCTATAATAACCATCCTCCAACTTGTCCAAACAAAAGCATTAATTATCATCTGAAAGACGGTGGACAATAGATTCTTTCTGATTTATTATCGACTCATATGGACAAGATGCATATACGTCCCGTGTGTGTGGTTAAGTTTAAGAGCAACTTTAGGCAAACTTGTGTGCTAAACAACCTTAATTTTACAACTCGTAAAATGGATAATTACTCGACAATAATACAACTCAAAAATAACTTCTGTGAGTTTTCAAGTATCCATTTTGCATAACCTTGTCTACATAAAAGCGCGAAGGTGTGGTTCCACACAAATATGGTATATGCACACATATCGATTACAATTTTAAATGACAGGGCAGGGTATTTATTTGTATGCTTAGTGTGTAAATAAGAACTGCTTTTCATGAATAGATTAAAAATTCAATTCAAAGTAATATTTGTTCGTCAGAGATAATTTCCAGTACTAAAATATTATTGTTTTATGCCATAATTTGACTGATAATTGGGCAAAAGAGCTTATTTGCTTGTCATTAAGTCAAATGTGTTTGTCATCAGTTGTAATGATTTTAATTCTTTAATTACCCGAGCTTATTATGTATATGCCATATTATGGCTTTGGCAATGGGCATACATATAATTTTACAATTGTATGCATAAGTATTATTATTTACATGCATATCTCAACAGATTTTCGTTCAAGTGAAAATCGCTTCTATGTTGATAAGACATCTTGTAAATTAGTACAAATACTTGCATAAACAAAAGTGTTTAGTTAGTTGCTCAATTTTTGATCAAGGAAGCTTTGAAACGTGATTTTTTGTGTACTGAATAAAACAATCAATTCATCTTCACTGTGAATTACCTTGAACGAAATATGTGCACAACACACGTACAATCGAGTGATTTATTCTAGTTGGTCAAATATAAAATTAACCTCAACAAGGGCCATAATTATTATTACATGTGGAAAGCATATTAGGACCTCATAGGTACATACATACATATGTCCATACTTATGAGAACATGGTAGTGGCTCAAGAAGAAGCCCGTACAGTTCTGATCTGAAGATTAAATTGAAATATGGCAGCCACCTATTTACAATTAACATGTCATTCATTCAGTGAGAAGTGTGTGCAGAATTTTATTAAATTTTTCGCAAGTTATCTGGGTAATCAGTCAAGTAAATTTGGTTGACAAGGAATAGATACGTACGCCGCACAAAGATTCATTTGTAGCATCTTATTGTCACGTGCATTAAAACGACAACGTCGGTATGTAAAATTTTCTTTTGCTTTTTGTTGCTTAATTTAACATAATAAATCAAAACATTCATTAAAAAATAAGGAGCCATATTCTCATCCGCATTTCATTCATATTTTTTAACCAAGAGTCGAAAGTTTGGACGATACAATAGTTTCAACAAGTTTCTCGATATGTCAGAAATTTCGACGACATCCACAAGATTGAAAGCATCACAGTTTGGCATCTCGACTGAAACCATGAAAGATTGCATGGTTCACTGGTGACGATTTTCATTTTTGAAATCGCTACACAATGGAGAGGAACACATGTTATTTCATTTTGATAGAGTAATCATCGTTAAATCTATACATATTTTCGTTGTTAACTAACAATGCTCAATATCAATACTCGCATTCAATTCATTCCAAACACGTCGAGAGCCTTTCGCTTTTCATTTACTCTAAAAAATTGCTATGTATACACACACTTTTGCTCTTCACCATCCTCACATTCGCCCATAAACTACTCTTCCCAATTATTTTTCGCCCGTGTTCCTTTATCTTTGTTAATAAGATTGTGAGATTTGAATAAACGCAAATGCATATCAGCGGTGCTCGTAAGTAAATGAGAGCCTCGGATGATGTGTAATAATACATGCGAAATCAAAATTAGCGAACCCTTGCATTACGGTGATACCTATGATACTTACGTGTACCAAAAATGGTACACGTAAATATCTATGTAACGCTGCTTCAAGTTAATCGCGTTTGCTGCATCAAAGCACGTGCAGACATAATATAATTGGTTAATAGCAAACATGTAATAGAAAGTTTGAACAGCTCTTTGTGTACTAATGGCATTATTTCATATTGATGAAATAATAATAATAATAATAATAACTTGCACTATTATGGAATCCGAGGTTAATGAATTCAGAGTTGGTGGTAGATGTTGAAATGCATTGATGATGAGGGCGATATATCGCAGTCGAGTTCAAGATTAAAGTTCCTCCACGAAGCATGAAACGCACATAAAACAATTGGGCGAGACTGTTGAGCACATTTTATTTTTAGTGTGCGTGCCTACGAGGAATCTAATCAGAGTTCAATTCGTTTTCGCACAAAAACAATTATTCTTAATCTTAATGTCTCCGCCTCGGCTCACACGCCATTTAGAGGATTAAGTCGTATTGCATACACGAGAGACGCTTGTCAGTCGATAATGGCGAGTTTTATCTGCATTGGTTAATTCTAAATCCTTAATCTCCAAGAAAGTATACAAAGTTAAGTTCATATTAAATTGGAGATTTGCTCACTGTGGCGCTACAAATAAAGCACATTAATGCAATGACCAAGCGTTGCAAAATCAATTGAGCGAACTTTTCAAGAATTGGAATAAAAATAATCAAGGTGCTGCTTACTGACCGACGTTAATGAAATTTTTCTGTAATCTCTAATATTATGGATATTAGGTGGGAAATAGAGCATTCTTTATCGAATTTTGCCAGCAATAAATAACAAATTACAAAAAACGCGCATCATAAATATCCGTCGTCATCTTTGAACTTGATGGATTACAATGAATACGATTTTTATTGTACTGATTATTTCATATCACCATTTACGCAAACATATTAAAATAAAACTAAAAATATTTGGCCCGGAGACAGCAAACAATTTAAACCCATTTAATGTGATTAGATTTGATGATACTAATTTCTATGGCTCAGACAGTTACCCTTGACTTACAACTCGGGATTTGCGTCATTTGTCAACCTGAGGGATGCTACAAAGGTCCCATTCATTTTGGCCGAAACTTTGTCGAAATTTTACATCTGAGGATTAATAAAGCAGGCAATGAAATTGCACTGCACGTCGTAATAAATTAGTTACATGTAAATTATAACTAAGTAAATACATTCATACTATTTCATACAACTTTTGGTCATTTGCATTTACATTTTGTAATTTTTGAATTATTGTAGGAAATAAATCCTAGCAGTCCCAGACGTCCTGCACGTAAAGAAGAGGATTCCTCAGCTACTGTCATCACTGCCGAAATAAGTAGCGTGTGACGGTTGACATTGAACGAGAGTGGACCAGTTTCTACACCAAAATTATCGTAAGTTAAATGTCGGTGTCGGTCACCGAAACTCAAAAGTTAATTATTGTTAAGGAAGAGCAGCAGCAGATCTCTTATATTATAATTAAGGAGCGTCCGTTTCAATTTCATTTTTGCATCTTATTTACTACTTGCCACATAGTAAGTCAGTCTCACGTCGCATATAATCACTCAAACAAGAGGTCGGCCTGTGTGTGTGTCAAGTTGAGTAATTTATGTGTTTTACTGCAAAATTTCTCTCTAAAATTCAGGTTTACACGGCATATTAGCGCTGCAGAGGAGTAATAATACCGAATGATTTGTATGTTTGCTTGCTGATTTCAGGTTAATTATATTCCTTAAGTAGTGTCTACGTTTAACCTTAAATTATTATTGAGGTTTGGTTAGAGTTTTACTTTCAACCATCAAGATGAAAAGCGCCGCAGAATAAGTCCAAGTTTACCAATTTCCATTAAACATTTTAACAGCACAGCCTAAAATTAGTCCTAATCCACAAAAAATAAGGATAGAATAGAAACCTAACCGTTCTATTTTCAGATTATACAAAGATACGTAGATATCACTGCTTTTGCGTTGTCTTTGAGTAAACCATTTCCCATCTGTCATGCAACTCTTTGATAGCGCATACATAAAGTAGTTAACTGAAGTAAAGCTGCATATGTTTCAGCTCAACCGGCCAAGATCAGCTTCAATTAAAAGACTTATAAAAAGCAAGCAATTCAAAATAGTATGCAGTCTGTATAATGCAGGCAGAATTTAATTAGTAAATAATCCCTATAAATTGCACATTTTAACTTCAAAATTTTAGTCAAGCGCAGCAAAATGCATTTATTCGCGTGCAAGGGTTAATTCTAAATTGTGGATACACGAATCAAATCTCCTTTATTTGATTTAAATATATGTAATAAGCAGCACAAATTACGACACACTCTCTCTCGCTATATATGTGCATACAAGCAATACGTAACACTCGTGTACCATCAAATACTATGTGATTTTGGTGAACGGACGTCCTTAGAAGGAACACTTTTACCAACAGGACTCTTCTCCACGTGGAATTCTTTATTAGCCAAGTGGCATTGTCTTCTTAAAGGATATTACTTTCCTTGGTCTTCCCAAATTTATTGGGCAAAAGTAATAAATGTCTCAACACACCAAGAAATCCGTCGCCACTCATACCAAATTTAAACTGATTTGATGGACTTGGAGTAAATAGGTTTCAAGCAATTTGGCACTTAAATATATGCATCTTGGACGCATTTATATTTTTTAAGTACGCCCGTTTATTTAATACCTAATTGGCGACTGACTATCAATGTCAGTATCGAACAAAGATATGCGTTATTCCGATCAGGGACTTATAAGATCATTGCAAAATGCCTTTCTACGTAGGTTGAAATGATCTTGTAAACAAGCTCCAAGTATGGATACTAACATGTAACATTTCAATATGCATTTTTCTGCTAAAACTTATTCTTAATACAGACATTAAAATTCTTGGTGAATTTACAAATTTATATTCCGTAAAGAATTTCTGTCATAATAAGTATGCAAATTTTTAGATTGAGCTTATGGAATCGTCATGTCCGACAGTGTGCTAGGGGACGAATCATTGAACCGATTTTGACCAACTTACAATTAGTCTTAAGATCTCTAAAATACGTTTGGTGAGCTTGATGGTCGGCACGGTGGGTCCAGTGGTTGACCGGTGGAGGTCATTTAAGTGGTGGCGGTAAATAGTATACAATTTTATAAACTGATCGAAAAAACCTGAAATTTGTCATGAAGGGGAAAGCGCACATTAGATCAAATGAGTAAATCTTTGCACCAGGTAGTCGAGCAGGGTAGAATCTATGCTGGGAGAATAGATCCACAATAACATTGGCACTTTTGTAAAATATTGGTCTGGGTGTCTCTAAAAATAAGATAAGCAGAAGAATGCCTCGCTACATACATACGTCAAGTCCGCAGTCTTTATTATCATTAAATTTCACAATTGCAGATTTTCGTAAATACATTTCCGATAGCCAAACATTTCAAGATAAACACAGCGGAAACTTTATTTAGAGAGTTTATGGTCGCCTGTTGATTGACAAATTTTGATTCACATGGTTTCGACCATCCAGCTTAAAACTCTCCCAATTTCAACGATATTATCCGTAGCGCCTTTTTTATTCCTTCCTTGACTTTTGTCCGAAACTGCTTATTCATTCCATTCGATTAATTAAACATACAAATTTGCATGTACTTGTAGAATAATTCCATTTCTGACGAGAGAGTGTGAGTTATGAATTTAAAAATCTCTTATCACATCAGAGTTTCTAACGTAATCTGTTCTTGGCTACACCAGCATCTCCTGTTAGATTATGTCCGCTAAAAATATCCGATATTAGCACTTTCTAATTATAAACAAAGGGTCAAACAAGTTTAGTAAGCAGCAGCTGAAACCAAAAACATTTAGCAGAGGTACAGACTTATTTATTGAGGAATGTCGTTGCTGAGATATATCAGACCCAGTGCAAAAGCTGTGTCAACCGTGATAATGAATGTCTATTTAATGATTTTTTTGCTACACGATTAAACATTTAGAAAAATGTTTATATTTTCCATATCGTAACAAAGATCTGCATGCATAACAGGACAGGATTGACAGGAGCGAGGCATTGGTTTGACATAATAATGAGGCAAGATAAAAATTATGATGAATAGGAGATTTTTCTTGCATTTTGTCACGTTTCCACAAAACCCATGATGTTTGTTCTTTTCTTGGTACAATTATTGTTGACACTCGAATTTTATAATGAAAATCTAATAGATTTCATGACAATAAGAAATGAGTTAACGCTGTCTTGTTAGTATTCAATGCCAACTGACACCAAACCACAAATCAAGGAGTCAAACTACTCAAACGGAAATTCTCATTTAATCGTACGGTCCAAGTACAAATACAAAACAAGTGTTTGTTGTTGACAACTAATAAAAGAGTTATCCAATAACTTTAGCAAGGCTTAACTTCACCTAGTCAAGTGGCAACAAGCAAAAAATGAATGAACAAAGTGTACTTTTACCTTGCGAATGGACTTTGTCGTATTTGTAGTGCAACTACTTATTCATTTCTACGTGTGTAAGTATGTATACAACTCCACGTTTGAGATAATTAGTGTCCACCATCGTCTATCTATTTAAACACGTATACGATTGGTTCCCCATAAAAATAATGAAAGTCATAACATTGCACATCCAATTATTGTCCTGTCATTACATTTGACTGATTTCCTTTGACGACATTCAAGATTCGGTAAATAATGTTGAAAATTCAACTAAAATAAATAACGAGCTATCAACTCAATAATATAACCAGCTTGATAAGAAAAGATACACTCTTAAGATTAATATGTGTGAGGTTGTCCTTGGTGTGGTAAAAATAGAAATAAGTACGTGAAAAATTCTCTGACTAAAGATATTTTATTAAAAGTAAAGTTGACATCTACAAAAATTCTAAATCTGACGACACCACAACTCTTGCAAAAAGCAGCTTCAACCAACCAAGTTCTATGATTAAAGTCTCCTTCGGAAAAACTTTCAGTCTATCTGTAGAATAACCCCTATTTTCATCAATAGTCCACAAGTCAGCATGCTGTGGTGGTCAAGAATGTTATCAAACTTCCAATTTTGTCCCTTTCTTCATTCTTCATATTCTTTCACAATTGTTATCACACAAATTTGGAGAATTATAAAAGTGCCAGTTGAATAATTTTTGATTAAGTAAAAGTAGACAAAGACCTCAAAGCAGTCGCGGACACGACAATTATGCACAAAATCTTCAATTCAAAATGTTTTGCAACCAAATGCAGATAACTTGGCAAAAATTAAGCTTCTTTAGCATTAAAACTCGAAAAACTCATTAGCTCTCCTAATTGACTCGTGTAGAGCAAGGTGAGGTTATGGGAGAAGGGATACATCATATTAGATAAAAGCAAACCCCAATCCTCCACTGGTTCAATCATTTTATCTTAATTGCTATAAATGAGTGGAATTGATTCATTATTTCAGCTATGAATAATAACAGCGGTTTTTATGTACATACACGCATTTAAAACATGTACCAATTTTCAATCATCATTTACCTTGGCACAAAGAATAAGAGACGGTTAGAATTGGACTGCAATATGTTTAACGTTATTTTTCACAGAAAGTTTTTTCTACCAAATAATGCAATTTTACAATAATAATTATTGTTGAATTATGAAAGTATTTGGCTGAATGATGTAGCGTCCATTACAAGAAAATAATGCTTAACAACTTTTTGATTGCTTCCAGTCCATATGCCAAAATAATTTGACAGACTTCCCGTTGTTACAACCAGTCGTGGCATCATCATGATACTAATTTATTGTATTTGTTCGTCACCAATATTTTGTCAGTTGCACAGTCTTCTTTGCCGCATATCATTGTGGTTGGATTTTCGTAATTTTGTGTAAAAATGGTGGTGAATTGACCAAGAACAATTTCATATTTGATTGAAAACCATTACATTGTGATTCTTAGATGCCTTGTGCAATTCATCAATTATTTAATAATCATAACTACTGGTCGACTCGTCTTATGGTGTGAATTGCGATGGATCTTGAGCATGAGCTTCTGCAAGTTTTTCGTATTATTTACTCTTCAAGCTTCTAAATCTGTGCCAGCTTGTGCTATTACTTTATAATTGACAGGAAGGTAGACACACAGTGTTGCTGAGTTGCATTCCACCAAAAAAATTTACGACTTGCTAAATAACAGCAGCCATTCGTCAACCTGCATTTCAGCCGTCAGAAAATGGACCAAAATTGATTTATATTCATCTGTGCTCGTACATTTTGAATGACGGGATAGTATTCGTGTGCGTGTGTGTCTCAATTTATGCATTAGAATATGTAGTAGTAGTGAATATGTAATAGTGGTAATATCGTCGATCGGTCAAGCATTTTGCAGGAAATGATTTTGACTTGAAGGTG